CTATGTTTATATATATATTTTTTAAATTATTTATACAAAATTATTCCGAATTTATTTTGTACACATATCGCTACAATTACTTTTAATCATATATTATTTCCAATGAACCAAAGTTTACTTGAAAAAAAGTGCTTACACTAAAAACAAAATTGTTTCCATTACCTATACTGTTTTCAATTATTGTTATATTCACTCTTACTGTGAATCTAACCCTTGCTTGACGGGAAATGAGTTTTGCCGTTTTTATCAGATGGAAATTTCTATTAACAGCTAAAGTGTTTTTTTAATATTTGTATATATTAATTATGGTAATGATTAATTTGTTATCAATATTATTAATTAAAATAAATTAACAATCATTTACAATAAATATTACATATTATATTTTAGTTAGTTTTCGTGGTGTGTGATAATATTATGGTGTTCCATAGTGATTTATATAATAAGAAAAAAATGATTGTAGTTAAATCATAGAGAAAAGGCGCGAACAAATTTTGCCCTGAGGTGATGAATTACTTGACACGGCTCTGTACATAACATATTATGGTAAAATAATTAAATAGACATCATGAATATTTTTTTAATATTGTACCTATTTTCTCGTTTTTCTCATTGGTTAAGAAAATTCCTAGGAAAATCGAAAAATAAACTCATTAAAGTACCTCTCCAGTCCGATTTCCTTTCAGAAAAAGTGCTACACTTGTAAATCGGAGCAAGATTTCTTGTAGAAAAGTTATCCATAAAAAAAAATTAAATAAACATCTTTGTAAAACCATAAGCTTCTGCGCTTCATACAGAATCTAAAATGTTATCAAATGCGGTCGATCCTACGTACATAAAATACATACATGATATATAAAACGTAAACGTTGATTTTTAAACAATGTTTATAAGATAATCGACCAATCGTGGTAGGTTATCAGCCAAAAACTCAGTTTAAGAATCAGATAAACGCCTATTTTACGTTGATGATAATGGTCCTTACATATGTATGTTTCCCACACTTATTATAAACACGAATTTATACGGCGTTTCCGCCTACCACGCAGCATTTTAACAACTGTACTGCTTCAGACCCCCGTCGAATGTTGTTATACAGATTGTGACCGGGATTCTATTTTAATTATGAAATATTTTTTACAGTCTTATCATCTTCGTTGTAATCGTGGACCATCTGCCGCAGAATAACCACTAGTTATTGAATCATAGCTCTATCATAAATTATTATAGGAACATAATAATAATTAATAATTTTATGCTCATTTTTTGTTCTTAGTTAATTACACTTTGTTGTGCAAATTGCAACCTACTACATCATAAGCGTGTATTAAAATGTATTTTAACATAAATACGACAAATGAATAGAATTCGATTTAAAATCAACAAGAATTTGTGGTAGTAAGTTATGATGGTACAAAAGGCGAGAAATAATTGTGTCCCACTTCAGATGAACGAGCCGCCACTGCTGCAAACCTACGTCAAAATACCCCGAATATACTCGTCTGTATAGTCCATTGTTCATTTTTATTGACCCTAACTTTTTATAAAATACAAATTGTACAAGTCAATATTCCTCGTATTATTAATGAAAATTAATATTGACGAACTTAAAAAGACGTGCTAGGAGAATGGGGACGGGTGCGGCCACTGTTCTAGGTAATTTAATATATACCTGTAACGATAAATCATTGCTTACGAAAAAACGATTCTGAGCGGAGTTCAATTGATAGAGATGATTTGTGAACAATATACATATATGCCATATATTAAAGTAAAATAATTTAGTAAACTCTATATATTTTCTTTAATAATATTTGTTTAATGTTGTACCGATTTCCCCGATTTTCATGAAAATTTATGAAAATTACTATCATTAAAAGTTAGAGTAAAATTTCTGGAAGAAAAGTTGTCCACGGGAAAAAATAAGGGAGTAATATTTTTTAACTAATACCTACATTTCTTGCATTTTACCTTCTTTTTCGGTTTTTCACATTTGTTGAGGAAACTCCGGGGAAAATCGAAAAACGACCTATCTAAAGTTCCTCTCCAGTGAAATTTCCTTTCAGAATAATTGCTATCATTTTAAGTTGGAGCAAAATTGTTGAAGTTGTCCACAGAAAAAATAATCGCAATATTATACAAATATATGTCATACATTTTCCCGTTTTTGATTATGAGTGGAGCGAAAGTGGAGCGAGTGGATCGGAGCTATAGTTTTACTAAGATGTTTATTTTTTATCTGTGAACAACTTTTTTACCAAAAGACTTGCTAAGATTTCTAAGTGTTTTCTGAAAGGAAATCGGTGTGAGAAGGTATTTTAGGGAGGTTATTTTTCGATTTTCTCATCAAATTTGAAAAACTGAAAATGTACGAAATATATTACTAACATTTTACAATTTTTTTTCCCCGTGCACAACTTTTCAACCAGCAATTTCGCCCCAACTTTTAATGATAGTAATGTTTCTAAAAGAACATTTCACAAGGAAGGTACTTCAAAGAGGTCATTTTTTAATTTTCTCAAGAGTTTTCTCAGCAAATGTGAAAAACCGGGATAAAACATGGGAAACTGGGGAAATCGGCACAACATTAAACAAATATTATTAAAATCTACAAAATCTATTTTAGATTCCGGGCGTAGCGAGAGAGCTATTGGTTTTACTAAGATGTTTATTTTTTTTTTCTGTCTATTCTAGTCTGTGGACACGTTTTTCCAAGTAAATTTGCTCCGATGTATAAGTGTAGCACTTTTTCTGAAGGCTTAAGGGGTAATTTTTGATTTTCGACGTCATTTTTAAAATAATAGCATTTAAGTGGGAAAAAACATAGGAAAACGTACAATTTCACGATTTTATTATTTTATAAAGACATGGACGACGTTTTCTACTAGAAAAAATGATTTAATCGAAATAATACAAAACACCTTGTTTTTTGCCTTTTTAATTTATTTCTTACGGTATCATCCCCAGAAACTTTTGAGTCACTTTTGAGCTTTTAAGGAATTTTATTTTTTTAGGGTAATTCGGTTATAAATACACGTAGATAATTAAAAATTGGTAATAATACTTATAATGGACTTATCTAGACGTGGTAAAATTTTCAAAATCACCAGACGACCTTTTTTTTTTTTAATAAACGTTTTGAAATTAAATTCAAATGAAAATCGCAAAATAAATTACAGCACTTTAAATTATGTATTACCGAGCTGCGCTCGGAATCACCTTTCGTCAAGCAATGGTTTATCGTTGTTTACAGATATAAATGAAATAACCTTAAGTATCCTACCTTCCCAACTTCCCACCTACAACATTGGCTGCACCCGTGCCCATTATCACCTTTTTTTTTATGCGTATTTTTTATATAATTTTGAGGAAAATCGTTTTAGTAAAAAAGTATGTGGAACAATCTAGTTACTAGTCCATACAGATTTTCAATTCAAATTTATTTCACTCTAATATTACAAATATATATATTGTTGAAAAAGTAATATTATTAACAGAGCTTTGCTCAATTTCTCACCTACAAAAGTGGAAACAACACCAAATTTCTGAGTGTGTGTTCATCCACAATATAATTGTTTTAAATAAGGTTTTAGTTATTTTAACTCAGAATTGAAACTGAGATATCTATTAATTATGTAGGTAAATATTTAAAATAAATATTATGATCAACATTTAGTTTTGGTAAATTAACAACATATTAGGAGTGGCTAAAAGACGACGTTCAGTGGTGCATATCATTGACACTTTTGAGAGTTAAATCAACTGCACTTTTTTATGTGTATACAACAGTAGCAACACCCGTCCCCCGTACCAGCTTTTTTTTTAATCTATGAACAACTTTCTTACCATGTTGCTCCGATTATCAAGTTTAACACTTTCTGAAAGGAAATCTGATTGGAGTGATTCCAACTTCACTTTCGGTGGGATCATTTTTTTTTCTTGGAGTTTTTATAATAAATAGGAAAAACGAGAAATTTACTAAATCTATTATTTTTAAATTATAAATATTACAACCTTTTAAAACATGTATAACTGAGCTCTACTCAAAAATTTTTTTTTGTTATCATTTAATTGTTTTGGTTAACTGTTGCGTACAGATATACAGAAGACACTATACCCGTATGTGCTGTCTCACTAATGGGCAATATAGAAAAATCTACCTTACACAGTTTGCATAGAACTCTGTTAATTTCGGTTTTGAGTAAAAGCACCTAATATAAAATTAAAAGATGACAATATTTCAGAAAGCAAAATGATGAGTTTTTTCTATTATTCTAATTATTATTCTAGTTATAACATTCAAAACATTGTTAAAGAATGAAACCTAATTTATTATTTTTAAATGACTGTAAAATAATAAAGAATAAATTTTAAAAAAGAAACACATCATTTTGCCCTCTGAAATATTGTCCTCTTTTAATTTTATAACGGGTGCTTTTACTCAAAAATCAAAATTAAATGAGTTCTACGCAGACTATGTAAAGTAGAAATTGCTATACATCGACCGTTAGTTGAAGACAGAACATGCGGGTGTAGCACCCTCTTAAATTTCTTCTCTACCTTTCCAACTTCTTACTTACAACAGGGACCCACCTATTGTGAAGAATGTCCATAACTTTTAATTTTAAAATCTCGTTATTAAAATTAAATTAAATTAATGATTAATCAAGTTTTCATGCACCTATATTTTTTAAATCTTTAAATAATAGTTCAAAAATATTATTATTATTATTAAATATATATACTATATAATAATATTACTAAGTGGCTTTAAAATTTGATTATTTTTTTTTCAATTTAATTTTGTGAAGTCATACAATTTTAAATAATGAGATATAATAAATATGTAGATAGTATTACATTCTGCAAAAGTCAATAAAAACAAACTGAAATAGAATAATCATACAAATAGTGCACATACAAATTATTTCATAGATTTTTTAATAGGTAATATAAAAAATAATTTATTACATAAAAATATATCTAAGAACATTAATTTAGCATCACTTTTTTAATTCATAAAATACCATAGTAAATTGTTGAAATGTGAAAAATGTGTATTATATTATAAATGTTTGTGTGTTCCACTTAATGTGTGTATATAATTTAAGACATATTAGTATGTACAAACAGTTGGTAGAAAAAATTAACATTTTAATATTTCATAAAATAATGGAATATATTTTTACATTATTATGGCAGGCTTAAATTATAGTCATATTTAATTTATAGAAATAACAAATAGATTAATAATGTAAATTTAATATTAGCTATAGGTTATAATCTATATTCGTAACTAGAATGACTATGGACAATTTCTTTGTTCAAAATGAGATACAGTTTAATTGAGATAAAATACATAATTGAACTTAAGATCTTAAGTATCAGTAAAGGACATAAATTAAAACCTATTCAAATATAAATAGGGTGGTAACCATACAGCCATTATGTTTAAATAAAAAAAAAAACAATTTTAAACAACTATTTAGCTTCATGGTAAAATGATAGTCTTTCCACATGTAACAATTTTTGTAATATTGGTACTACAAATATAAGATTGAATGATACTAAGTAAAATGTCACATATTTATAAGTAATATCTAATAAAGGAATATGTCTCCTCAGTACATCATCTATTATTTTCACACCACATTTTACTAAAATTACATCTACAAAACAAAGAATATACTTAATAATTAAGAAAGACATAACTATGCATAAGTAACCTAAACCACTTCTGACCACCATCACACCTAATAAAACAAATGAAAATACAAAAAAATATATCACAAAAACAAATTTCAATAAACTGAAATTTATTTAATTAGGTATACTAAAAGACTATAATAATAATATAAAATCTGATTTTAAATAATTAGAGTCATTCTTTAAAAAGATACAGAAAATTAAGTAAAAGAAAAAAAAAATGTATAGGTGTTCCATGAAGATGTGACAAATGCAATAACTTTTGTTATTTTTAAGTTTTCTTTTTATTTGTAACAATAATTATAAAAGCTTTGTGCTGTGATTCCTATTTTATACATTTTTTTTTAATACAAATAAATATTTATTAGTAGCAATGGATATAATTTAATTTATTATATACTTCATATAAAAATAACAATTGTTTCATCAATTTTTCCATAAAAATAATTTTTATAAACTTCAAAAAACTTGTAAAATCTTAACAATTTGTTATAAGTAAATATTTGTAACAGCAAAATTTTGTTTCGAAATATTTTTTAGAAAATGGCTGTCTTGAATTTTGTTAAAATATAATAATAAAGAAATCATAGCACAAGGTAGTAATTATAACAAAAACAATTTTTTTAAATATTGAACAAAACAAAAGTTATTGTTTTTTTTCAAATCTTTTTGGGATACCTGTATTTATTTTATTATTATGTAATGTATAAATAAATAAACTTCATTTTTAATAATTAAAATTAAACTCATTTTTAAAGACCGAATTTATATTCTCTTAAAACATCTAAAATATGAAGCTAATATTCTTTAAAAAATTCTCATTATATTCTCTTAGAAGTTTGAAAAATTGCAAAAATAATCAATGAACAATATATGCTTTTATATGCAATTTTTTTTCACCGTATTCCATAAATAATTAATAATACTTATTTATTAAAACAGAATAATTGTGCAGTTAAGTAAGAGTAAGAATATAATATAAATAATATAACAATATAGGTAATTTACTTTTTAAAAATTTAAAAATCACGTTCACGTGATAGGAAAAGTGCGAACAGAATATTTGCACATTTGAATAATTGATAATCTTTAATGATAAACAAATATATTGATGTTATCACCACGGTGAACACGTAAACTTAAAATAGGTAGGTACTAAACACTAAACCTTTTTATCAAAATGATACAAAAAAAAAATTGGAGATGTTCAAAATATATTTTTCTAGGTACCTTATTATTAAAATTATTATTTTTTCTCACAATTTACAAAATATTCCAAAATATGCAAAATAAGCTTAATATTCTTCAATCCATGAAATATTCTCAAATATAAAAAAAAACTTTTTCCTATAACTCAGAATTGAACAAATCGTCAACATTTCTTACTCATAAACTCAGTAACGTTAGTAAAAACATATAAATCCGGTCTTTACTCATTATACATATTTGTATTATTATTTAATAGTTACCTATATCATATAATGAAGGCCAAATGATAAAATTATTCATTGGATTAATAACATGAAAATGATCTTGTATTTCTAATGTGACCATCAACCAACCGCCAGTCAAAATGCCCGCGCAAGTTCCTAAAATAAGAGTTGTATCGCCTCTGAAAAGCCAAAATATAAATATTAATTATAAATGTATATTATAATATTGAATATATAGGTATATACATTATTTCTTTAAATTATAAACTGATGTCTAATATATTAATAATTCTTAATAAATAAGAGCAAAAGAACATTTTAAAACTATTATTGGTTGAAAAATTATCATTTTAAAACAAACATACCATTACGATAAATACATATTTCTAATTTCTAGTTTATAAAACTGTATTAGGTCACCTAATTTAATTTATATACATATATAGGTAAAAATACCTACAATATTTTGTTTGAATGCTACACAGATTAAAAAATAATAGATATGGTCAATAATTCAAAACCAACTTAAGCAATCATTAGCTTATTGTATAAAATAAATTTAAATTGGCTTTTCGAATAACTTAAATACCATAATTATTATTACGTACAAACTATCCAAAAATTTTTAAATATAATACTCAATGTGAATATGAAAATTGTAAAAAAAAAAAAATATAACTTACTTGGTGGGGGTCCATTGATCACTAGTCGGATAAATGATAATTAAACTCACAGTGATAATTAAAAGTAATAATGGAGTCCATTTATTGTACATGAGATAACGGTCTGTAAGATCGGCTAATGGTACAAATGGAATCAACAAAACAATAGCTAATAAAAGACCAGCAATAACATCCTGGAAAAAATATAAATAAATATTATTAATTATATTTTATTTACTAACTACACTAACTTTATATCAACTATAAATAAAATAACTTAAAAACAATTATTAGTTAAATTCAAGAGTAATCTATTAATATCAACTATATTGTAGAGTAATTCTGTAAGCTAGTGAAAAACTATACTGAGTATTCAGTTTAAATATTTTAAAATGCCTTTTATGATTTTTATCATAATTTGAACTTAAAATACATAAAAAAAAAAAAAAAACTATTTCATTATACTAATTAAGATGATGTTTTTTTTACCACTAAAAACAGTTTATAAAGAACTTCATATTAAATGTTCAAACTTGTCTTTTTAGCTAAACAATTTTAACCACATTAAACCAAATAAAATATATAGACTTGACAATTTTAAATGTTGAATGTCTATAAATAGGTAACTCAAATATTGCTATAATGTTTTGAAAACAGTACCACTTCTAGCAAAGTCTAATAAAGTATTCTATAAAAATATTATATTTATATGACCAAAATCGATTTAAATCAAATTACAATAAAAATAATGAAATCTTTTTTTCCTGATTTTCCCACATTTGTTCGCAGTTTATCCCAATAATTAAAAAAACTACAAGGGAAACCAAAAAAACAACCTTATTTATATAACAAATTTTCTTTTACTAATAATACTACTCTTGAAATTTATAGCATGATTTCTGGTAGAATAACAAAATAAAAAATTACAAAACTTTTTTGATTGCATATTTGTTTTCTCAATTATTGAAAAATACTAGAAAACTCAAAAAACGATCTTTCCAAAACTAGATCCAAAATGATACAAAAAACCTTCAGTTATTTTATAGATACGACAAATAAAAAAAATCCTATATATCGATCATGGTGAAATTAATACATTCCTTACTGAGCTCAGAATACAAAATTTGCAACATCCTTTTAATATCTTTATTTTTCGTATTCAAGACCTATTACACGTAAGCAACTAAAAGTGTTTATTGAGTGCTATGTATACAATATACTATTTTTTTTTTTTTTTTAAGTAACCAGTAATTATAACAAAATGATTTGGTGAATTAAATTTACAATCATGTATATAAATATTTAATAATAATCTAGGTGATAATTAATACGTAATAGAGTACATATTATTAACTATAAAAATATAAATATATAAATAATCCAAACAAGATTTCACTGAACATAACTTGTATTAATAACACATAATAGTATAATTTATATTAATTATAGATAATAAGATATTACTTCAAATAAATACACAATTATTTAATAAGTAAATGATTATGAAATACACAATATGCAGATATCACTATATTATTAAATGATAAATTTTTTATTTAAACAAAGAGTAAAAATATTCAGTTTAAATTATGACAATCAAACTGTAATAAGTTATTATTTTGATAATAGTAATACAATTTTAAAAATGGTACAGATAAGCCATAATATAATATATGTTTTTAATAATAATACTTTTGATTTAATTTGAAGAAAAAATTCCATATCTACAAAAAATTGTTATTCATCCATTTATTATCATATTAATCAAATTTCAAATAAGAATGTAACTTTTAAAATAAATTAACTCTTGTATTGATTATAATATTCATATGGCCTATATAATCCTTGAGTTTGACATGCCTGAATACTAAACTTTTTAAGAGGGAAACACATATTAACTCAGATTAATGACTAAGCAAACTAAAATTTCCCATTAACTTTGCAGTTGTTTTGTTTTTCAATTCAGATTGATTTTTAACAAATTGTATTCACAACAAATGCACCTTTGTAGTTAAACTTTATTAAAAATAATAATAGCAATTTCAATACCTTAAATTTACAATATATTTTTCTAAAATACTTATTTCCTAAACTAAATGAGAATACAAATATCAAACTATAAACCCATAATTAAAATGAATTATATTTTTTTTTCTTTTTATACAAAGAATAATTTTAGCATGGATTTAATCTAAATAAATACATTTGAATGCATAATGTAGGGAAACATTTTTATAAATTACTTACCAAAACTGTGTGCATTCCCAAGTATAAACGACTAAGTGTAATTAACATACACCAAAAAAATACTACAATGATGCCAATTCTGTAGTCAATCTATAAAAAAAAAGTACTAACAACTTAGCTTTTGAATTAAATAAGCGATAGTTGATAAATACTTGATATCGATCTGAAATAAATTGTAAAACGGAATAAGGTAATGCAATACTAATCATTGCATGAGTTGAAGGCATTCCAAATTCAATAGACCATTTTGTTTGCAATCTAACAACTGGAGGGCAAGCCGGTCTTGGCCATTGTATTATATCCTTTATGGACTGACCTAAATAAAACTAACATGAAAACAATGTTATTTTCTTAATGCTTAAAAAATATTACCAATATACATAATGACTGCCCAGACAAGCACCATTTTCCTGGCAACTGCAGAGTCTATATTCCAAATTAAAAACGGTATGACAACAGCGTAGCCAATTTCATCACCAAGGTATGTGCCAAATAAAAATAAGTAGTACCAAAATTTATTGGTAATACGATGATCTACCTCATTTTCCTTCTCTACAACAGGACTGTTAGTTATTACTTCACCATTTTCTAGCATAGAACCAATCTCTGGAGCATCATGTCGAATTACACCAAAAAACCTTTGAAAATTAGCAACTAACTCTGGATCTTTCAAGTAATTTATATAATCCCTGATGTTATCCATGCCTAAATTACTATAAACGTACTATTCAACACTGATCACTAGAATTTAGATTTTAAATGTAAGTAAATCGAAATACAATAATAAAAAGTAATATTAATATAATATAGTAATATTTTATATAATTACTTATTAAAAAAATAACAACTATTTAAAAGATAAATGTAAAAAAAAAAAAAAAATACAATGACCAAATACCGAATTGAAGAATATTATTATTATAATTAGTTACGTACACAACAATTTAACATTAACTAGATGGTAATTTTGTAACCATTTAATTAATTTATGGAAATCACATTCTCCTCATTTATTATTCTATACATAGGTAGGTATCAGACTAATTCGACGATTGACAAACGAGCAACGGCATACTGAACACTTAAAAGTCGTTCCTTAATTTTTTTTATTATTTAAACATGACCAATGATAATAAATAATCACGCGATATCACACGGTAAAGACGGTAAATAGTATTAGATAATATTATCTATAGCCCTGGTAAATAATGATAATAGTAATAATATTATTTTATATCACGGCCATGGGTAGATTGCCAATTTATATCAGATATGTGGCACTATCTATATCAGAAGTAGTATTTTTATAATACGTCAATAGATAGTGTAATTGTCGATTATAATATTTCACGTTTTATGCACAACGTTATTTACTAAAACTCTTCAATAACATGCTTGATTTTTTACTGTACCTACATTGGAGAGAAAAAAATAAAATAAAGATGCTAAACAATGGCCTTCCTCAAGGTTCTGTGTTGGCACCTCTTCTTTTTAATCTCTATACCACGATGTAAAAAAGATATCTTTACATCGTGCTCTATACTAAAGATCTACCAGCGACAAGAAAATTTATCTATGCTGATGACTTAGCTCTAGTCTGCCAAAGTAAAGATTTCGAAGGCCTAGAAAAGATCTTTTCTGAAGAACTTGACATATTACATAAATTCTATAAACAATGGAGACAAACCAAATCCATCAAAAACGGAAGTCACCCTCTTCCATCTGAATAACAGAAAAATAAACCAGGAGATACAGGTATAGTTTGAAGATCGGATAGTGAAATCATCTTTGAAAAACTATAAGTATCTTCGCTCCATTCAGAATCTAAAAAATAACTTCATTGTAAATCCAATAAGTATACATTCTAGCGATCGCTACACTCAAAATTTAAATTAAATTAATTATTTCCAGTTTTGATTCTAAAAATACATTATTTTATTAAATCTTTGCGAATTGATTATTCCCACTAAGTTTTTCATAATTCTATCTTACCCTTGCAAAGTTAAGTGAGATTATTGCAAGAGAATATTTATTGAAATTTATAAATGAGAAGTGTTTCATTCTTGTTTCATCAATTAAAGTATTTACATGATCCAGAATCATGATTATGACATTTGGAACCAGTTGCATTTGTCCTTATCACCCCCCCTCCTCCCATCAGGGATGCCATTGATCTTAAATCTCGTAAACCGCCTTGGATAACTGTAAAGAAGTTATTACTAGAAAGCATCGACGGAAATACTAAATGACATGAGAATTGGATACAGAAAAACCGTGATGGACAAAACATTGTTACCAATCCAATATCCAAACAATCAGGCTTCGATCAGCCTAGAAAAATTTGGGTGACTTTAAAGCGCTTTCGGAAAGGCCGTGGAAGATGTAATTACATGATGTACAAATGGAAACCACATAATACTACTTCTTCCTGTGGCTGTGCATACGATACGCAAACAGTTACAGCTAATAAGAATATAGTTGATTGGATAAAAAATCTGGACACTAATTATTAGTTTCAAATATCTCCCAACTGTAATAGTTACCATATATCTAACTTAGTCTTTATTATCATTATAACTGTTTAAATAATTTTCATAATGTATAGTTTATTTCATTTAGTTTATTTGTCTGTCGATATTTATATCTTGTTTAATTTTATTGCTCTATTTTATCGTACGAAATAGATAATATATATAATATGAAAGAAACTGAGGAAAAACGGGAAATGTCCTCCATTGAGTGGTTCATTAATTATAGTAATTTAATATTCATTATTATAATATAATAATAATAATAATCATTATCTATGTAATAATTTATATTTTATAAGTTGTTGATACGACCTGCATTTAACAAAAAAAAAAACAAAACGCTTTTGAAAAATGAGCTGATAACGATTTCCCGCCGTTCATTCAGTTTTCACGTCACCTCTAAGCGATGGCCAAATTCTGTTATCAAAGACGATTTTGACCGTGGCTCAAACAGTCGTTCAGGCGACGCGCCTAATGATATAATTCTTTCGGCCGCCATTGATATCACAAAATAATATTTTCATTTCTGTTATTGATGATTTACTTATAGGGTAGTGTTTTTTATTTTATCGGTATTCGAGTTCTAAGTAAATTTTTTTTCTAATGCGTTAGGTGCTTATTCTCCAAAATCACCATTTATTCAACTGTAAGTACTGAGTACATGATATTATAATGGCTGAACGTTTAGAAGATTTAAACTTGCCCGTAACGGCAATCACGCGTATTGCCAAGGAAGTACTGCCTTCCAACACAATCGTTTCAAAAGAAGCAAAAACTGCATTAGCCCGAGCAGCATCCGTGTTCATATTGTACGTGAGCAATCAGGCAACCACAATAGCCACCAGCAGGAATAAGAAAACAATCAGCGCTCAGGACGTGTTTGAAGCCCTATCCCAAGTCGATTTCGAATGTCTAATTGAACCGTTACAGCAACTGTTGGAAGGTATGACCGTAGCGCGATATTAGATTGTTACAATTTTGTAGTATGTGCATGTGATAAACACATACTGCATCATAACGTTTTATTATTAAATTTTATAGAACCATAGCAAAAATTCAAACTAAAATTTTCAAGTATGAATTATTATTTTGGTATTAAATACCGAAAAATCTTTCTATGGAAATGTTGGTAGTAAATGTTGTTTTCAGACAAGTAGTCAAGGTGGGTGGTCCATAAACATTTATAACTAATGGAGTTTTACATTACAATTATAACACAGTGGTGTCCCGGACTATTTTTATTATTATTAAAAAGGTAAATTATTAATTACTGTTTGCAATCTGATGATCTACTTTTATATAAATTTTTTTTTGGTGATAATTTAAACTAAAAAAATAAAATAAAAATACATGCCAATTGCATTATTTACATAAAATCTGTGCTCGTAAACTGGACGTTTTTTGATTTGTGTGAAATAAGGTTCTATAATATTGTTTTATCTGTAAAACTAAAATGTAATGACACGCCTACGAAATATTTTGATTTTGGTCCACCTTAAGATACAGACATATTGTTTAATATCAATTATTATTTTTCTATAGACTTTAAATCAACAAAACAACAAAAGAAAGATACCACTAAAAAGTCAACACCAAACAAGAATACAGATGATGATGTAATCGATCTAGTAGATGATGATATGGAATTATGATTTTTATAATATTTAATTTTATAAATTATGTAATTATTAAACCAATAAAAAAATATATGTATTTAAGTTCGTTTTAACATTACTTCATGTATGAATTATAATACAAGTATAAATATTAAAATTTAATGAAAACTAAATTGCTACTAAATAATTTTTTGAGTATAAAAAAATAGTATATATTAAAGAATATTTAAAGCTAATATATTAATATACCCATTATAATAAAACAACAATAAAGAAATAATCAGGTTATATTTTTAATATTCAAGTTGTTCAAAATGTGAGTTCTGCACATTGGGCACACTGTGATTTTTTGTGAACATTTTGAACAGCAACACAAGTGTCCACATGGAATAAATAAAACATCAAACTGAAAAACAAAAATTAACTCGTATTGTTATAAGTTATAATAAACAGTACAAATTGTGATGTATTGTTTATAAATTATTGTTATCTAAATAAGTTTTGTACTGTTGTAAATAAATAATAACAATATTATGTAATAATTATTTAAAAATACAATTAAAAATGATTATATTAATTTAAATAGAATGTAGTTTTGAATAAAACACTAAAGTTTATTTTATAATGGATTATACTATTTGGTCTACAATTGTAGACCACATATTTTTAGTGTGGCTTACATCGTTTGAAATTATTTTATTAGTTACACTAAAAATAAAAAATTTATATGGAATTTAAACATTTTAGGATTATAATATTTGGCTATAATCCGTGTGTTCCTTAATTCAGAACATTAGTTAGTCTCTAGATTTTACTGTGACATTGGAGGAGAAGTGATTGATTTCCCTATATTGGATTGAAGTGTTTACTGTTTGACCCATAGATTATAAAGAATGGTTAGGTCATTCCTGTAGTTTTAACATAAGCGGTCGCGTTCCTAGAGAACAGATAGGCCTCACAAGATATCTCTGTTTTACAAAGCTGCCATATTAATTTGTCCAAATTAGTGCATAAAAAATGGTTTTTAAAGTCATAGGTTTGACTGCTCTTTTTAATCTCATTGGTTGTAAACAATTAAAATATTACAGTAAAAATTATAATTTTCAATTAAATCCTTATTTCAATTTTTTCTGCCTAAAATAGACTATCTTAGCATAATTATATACTCAATTCAAAATATTAAAATATTAAACTATCAAACAATTTTTGAGAGGTGAATAAAAATGAATTATTGTAAATAAAATAATAACTATAGAAATTACCCTTGCTTCCATGCAAACAATACATTCAAGCTCATCTAAAAATGGAGCTGTTGGAGTAAATTCATTTTCATGTGGAGCAGATGGTGCAGGTAAATTATTCAATGAGTTAATTAATATTTCTTGATCTTCACAGCTATTAACACCCATCTAATAAAATAAAAATACTATGCTAATTACCAATAATAATAAATAAACATTATTAAAAATAATAACATTTGTAAGATATTCTTTGGTCAGTGGTAATTTTAGTTCATTTTCCAAAATAAATAACAAAAGATGACTTCCTCCGGCTGAACACACTCTATGTAATAATGTTGGGTTTACAGTATTCTCATAAAACTTTAACTCTGAGGGCATGTCATTAACTAGATTTGAATACTGTGATAACCATTTCGTAGCAGTCTCCTATATAAAAAAAAAAGAACATAAACAAACTAAACCTAACATCATGATTAGGTCAAAGAATGCCACTTTTGTAGGTTGATAGTTTGAAAGGCAAAATAGTGTTTAAGGCACATTAGTTTATATACTATATGCAACAATAAATTATTGTGAACAAAAAATCTATTTTGAGCAGAATTCAGTTAAAACTTTTTTTGTTAAATTTAATAATGTTTAACTCTAAATACTTGTGTTTTAAAAAAGTTTTAACACTAAAAAAAACTCAATTGACATTATACTTAACTTTCTGTTCACACCGTGAGTATAACTTATATTGAGTGTAGTATCAAACTTTTGTATATTTTTACTGATAAAAATAAACTTTATTTATATAAAACTAATAAAATGAAAAAAATTGTTTTCCAGGAAAAAAAAATGTCTTAGTAAAATCAATACATTTTTTACTATATTGAATTTAAAACTGTTCAAAAGTTAATTTTATATATTGAAGGATTATACATACTATCAGTTTTAGATTCTGAATGAAGCGAGGAATGCATTGGTTTTAGAATGTTAATAAACATAATTTATTATTTATTTTATTTGTAAACAACTTTTCTACCATAAATCTTGTTCCGATTTTCAAGTGAAGTACTTTTCCTGAATGGAAATTTTATATAAGTGGTACTTCAAGGAGAATATTTTTTCATGCTATTTTCATAATAATTGGGAAAAACATAGGAAAAAGAGAAAATGTATTATTTTTAATTTTATATTTTGCTATGATTATTCAGTTAAAAATATTTGTGGATACTTGAAATTTAGACAGAAAACTTACATTTGCCTTTGCTAGACATGTAAAATTTCTAAATCATTTACCAATTTTAAAGCTTATAATAAACATTTAAATTTTGCAAGTTTATATTTAATTTTTATTTGGTAGGTACTTTTTAGACAAAATTGTTAAACCAAACAGAAATGCTTGACAATTTAACAGAATATTAAAATTTTAGTGTAATGCAGAATTATTTTTTTAATAAAAATTTTAATTTAATATTTATAACAAAACTTCCCTTAGAATCGTTCTTCGTTAGCAAATGATTATATGTTGGGTATAGATATACATTAAATTGTCTTCTATATCATACTTCCCTAATTTTTTACCTACAACAGTGCCCCACCTATCATGTGAATTATGCAAGTCTTGTTTTTAAATGTTATTAACAGTGATGTACTTATACATTTTGTTGAGGGGCAATTTTAATTCATATGCCATTACCTAAATTAAGTTTTAGACTATGACCTTGATATTTTATTATATGCTTTAGATTTTGGTGTCCTACTCGTATTTTGTTTTTTTTCTTTGTCTCACACTTATAACAGCAAAAAAATATACACATCACATTTTAATTACGATTCTGATTGAATTTAGAACAAATGAACCTATTATATATATATATATATATAAAAGTGATTTTTAATAAGCATTGAATGAATGATTTATTTTAATATTTGCATTTCTATCATGAAAAAAAAAAAGTATAATTTGTGTGGCATAGCACACTGTATTTTATAAATGCTCTATTCCTTTCAGAAAAATCACTATCATTTTAAATTGAGCAAAATTTTTGGTAGAAAAATTGTCCACAGAAAAAAAATATAAAAATAACAATTATTGTAAAACTAATACACCCCTTCTTCACTCAGAATCTAAAATTGTATTATTTATAACTTCCCAAATTCATTGAAATTTATATAGTATACTTAAGATTAAAAAAAAAAATATTAACCATTGCTAACGAAAAAATTATTCTAAGCACAGTTCAGTTGATAGTGATGCTTCGTCAACAATATATATTGTTATTATATATCATATTATGGTAAAATAATTAAATAGGCATTATGTATTTTCTTTAATAATATTTATTTAATATTGTACCGATTTTCTTATTTTCCCCATATTTTTTTTCACAGTTTTTTCTAGTTTATTGGAAAAACACTTTGGAAGTAAAAAAAATCACATCCTTAAAATACCTTTCCAGTCAGATTTCCTTTTAGAAAGTAATCATTGTAAATCTGAGAAAAATTACTGGTAGAAAAGTTGTTCACAAGAAAAAAGAGGCCGTAATATTTTTTCAACTAATACCTATATTTCATACATTCCCCCGTTTTTTACATTTGTTGAGAAAATCAAAAATGATCTTTCTTTAAGTACCACCCCAAGAAAATTTCCTTTCAGAAAAGGGTCTTTATCATATACACTGGGATAAGCTTATTGGTAGAAAAAGTGTTCATATAAAAAAAAAAAATCTTTGTAAAACCAATATATTCTTCGCTCCACTTAAAATCTAAAATTTTTGGAGTATACAACGTTAATGAAGTATAACCTAAGGGAACACTAGGGATTATTAATACAGCTAAATATAGAATAACAATATAACAAAGTTTTTGTAACTTGGTAGGTATCTGAATTATATGATATTTGACTTACAAATTCAACATTTTGAGCTTCTAATTCTTGAATTAGACGTTTTTGACTTTGATTTTTTTTGTCAATAAAATCTACAAGCATCTGTGTTAATGTAATTCGTTCATTGGATAAATTATTCTACAAGAAATCAAAGGTTTTTTTGTTTTAGACAAAGTTATATGTATTTGATAATAAAGGATATTATGTTAATGTGTAATTAATTGTACTATTTGTTTATTGAGCTGTAAATTTTTCCTTTGTACTTCAGCAACTGTTAAATATTTTAGTTGATTGTACATGTTTTTTAAATGTTCTTTTAAAACTTGACGGTAACAATTACTGGTGTTAAGAAGATCAGTCAATTTTTCCATTTTTGATGAATCACAATTTGATGCATTGTTAACAAGAACACACCTTTGCAAATTTGCTTCTTCAATTAGTTGTTCAAGTTTTAATGTATAATCATTATCTTTGCTGTATAATATAAACATGTATTAATTAAAATAAATTATAATAAGATGTCCTTGGATAATGGGATTGGGCACAGCCACTGTTATAGGTAACTTAATGTATATCTGTAAGCAATGATAAACCATTGCTAATGAAAAAATGATTCTGAGCACAGTTCAGTTGATAGTGATGCTTTGTCAACATTTTTATGGTAAAATAATTAAGTAGGCATTATATAATTTTTTTTGATAATATTTGTTTTGTTGTATCAATTTTCTTGTGTTTTTTCCCGGTTTTTCACATTTACTGGGAAAACTCTTGGAAAACCGAAAGTTTTCTAAAGTACCTTCCTAATCAGATTTCTTTTTAGAAGATGTGCTATCGTTGTAAATTGGAAGAAAAGTTGTCTACAGAAAAAAAAAAAAATTTTTTTTCCTATTTATTAGGAAAACTCATGGGAAAATCAAAAAAATTTCCTTTCAGAAAATAAGCTACACTTGATACATAAGAGAAAAATTTTGGGTAGATAAGTTTGCATAAAAAATCGAGGGGTATTTTGAGATTAAAATAGTCTGAGCGAGGGATGGCCTGTGTCTATAGGTATACCCGAAATGAAAATACATTTATTTTGTTTAGGCAAAAAGGGAAAAAAATTAAAACATTTTTTTTTTCGGTTTTAGTTCGCGATCTCTAGGATGAAAATGATTATATATAAACATTCAGTTACGATAAATATACTTTAGAGAGGACAATTTTAATTATTTAACATACATATAATATCAGAACTTTAAAAAAGCTATAATTTCTGACTTCTCCATCATTCTTAAATCGGCAACATATATGTTAAAAAGAAAAAAAAATTGAAAAATGAATTTGTTCCACATAAGTTTTTTAGTCTACGGTTTTCAACAAAATTGTATATTAAAATTTCTTTATAAAAAAAAAATACTACATTAAATTCAAATTTTCTTTTTTAGACCATAAAGTAAGACTCAATATTCCTCATGTTATATTTTTAAACATTTCAGTTAAGTCTAAAAATTTTAATACAAAGTACCTACCAAAATAAAATTACATACAAAACTCTCAAAATTAAAATGTCTATAATAAGCTCAAAAATGGCTTAAATTTGTTGAAAATTTTACCATTTCTAGAAAGGGCAAATAAAAGTTTTTTGTACAAATTATAAGTCATTAAGAATATTTTGAACTGAGTAACAACAAAAAAAAATTGAAAAATAATAAAAGCATTATTTTTATAAATTTACTGTTTTTCTTAAGTTTTATCCTGGTTTTTCCTAGATATTACGAAAACCGCTTGGAAAATTAAAAAAATAATCTCCCAAAAGTATCATCTGGACAATATTCCCTTTTAGAAATGGTGCCTAAGGAACCTAATCTAACTTAATCGTGCGTATATATCTGAGCAAAATTTCTAATAGAATTTGTGTACATATTATGAAAAAAAAAAAAATTAAATAAATATCTTAGTAAAACCAATAAATGCTTTATTCTAAAATCTAAAATGATTTTCAAGGCTTAAAATGAAAATTGTGTTTGTTATTAAATAGTTTAAATTCTGAGTGAATCAAGGAATGTATTTGTTTTATGTTTATTTTTTTTTCTGTAGAAAATTTTTCCACTAGCAATTTTGCTCAAATTTAAAATGATAACACTTTTTTTTAAAGGAAATCTGACTGGGGAGATACTTTAGGAAGTTCATTTTTTGATCATTTGAGGAGTTTTCAGTAATTGAAAATAAAAATTATAATGAAGCATTTAATTTGATTAAAAATACTTACTTTCTCAGATTTAATTGATCACATTTAATTGAATTACATTTTATATATTTTTCATCATAATCCATTTTAAATGAGCGATTAAAATTAAGTGTATCATTTATTATTTTGTAGGACGCATTTTCAACTGAAATCATGAATTTATTAATGTTTTATAAAATGTAGTGTGTAAAACTACTAATGAAAATAATACTTTCTATTAAATGATGCAAAAGTTGTTCATGTTTTTGTAGATTCTCTTTTTGAATTGAAGATACTAACTGATTGGTAGTTTCTTCATCAGTTATTAAAAATTGAATACGCTAAATAATAAATACAAATAAATAGCAAATACAATTATTAGTTATCCACAGAGTACCTACCGAATAATAAATAAGTAAAAACTCGCAAAGTTAAAATATCTACAAACAGTTAAAATATTTAGAAAATTTTACCTCGAAAAGGCAAGTATAAGTTTTCTGTCCAAATTTCAAGTTTATTTATGAAAATTTCTAACTGAATTACATCAAATAACAAAATTGAAAATAATACATTTTGTAAATTTTCTCGTTTTTACTTTAATTCCCAATTATTATGAAAATTGCTTAAAAAATCAAAAATGACATCCTTAAAGTACTATATCCTGATAAAATTTTCTTTCAGAAAAGATACTATACTTGAAAATCAGAGGAAGATTTTTGGTTAACAAATTGTTCACAGATATAAAGAAAGGTCCTAGGATAATGGGGACGGAAGCAGCCACTGTTATAGATAATTTAATGTAAACCTATAAATAATGATAAACTTATGCTTATGAAAAAACAATTTGAGCGAAGTTCAGTTGATAGTGATGCTTTGTTAACAATACATATATATATATGTAATTTTATAGTAAAATAATTAAATAGGCTTTATATATTTGTTTAATGTTGTACCAATATTCCCAATTTTTTTCCTTGTTTTATCTCAGTTTTTCACATTTGCTGGGAAAACTCCTGAGAAAATTGAAAAATGACTTCCCTAAAGTACCTCTCCACACCAATTTCTTTTCACAAAAAGTACTACACTTAGAAATCCGAGCAAGTCTTCTGGTTGAAAAGATATTAACAAATAAAAAAATAATAATAATAATAAATATCTTTGTAAAACTATAAGCTTCTTCACTCCACTCAGAATCTAAAAAAAATAAATATTTAAACTATGTAATAATTAATATAAAACAAATTAAAAATATATGAATATGTTATTATTAAGAGGATACTACACCGATAAATATTATCTCCTTCTTACAAACGTGAGACATAGCAAATTTACGTTCAATAGGAAATATTTTGTGCTGTTGTTTTATATTAAAGCAAATTAATTTATTATCAAACTTAAAGGTAACGAGATTATTTATGCCTTATTGTTGATGTTTTTTTTTAGATATTTGAATTTTTAAGCAAGATATAATCATTTTTAAATTGTGATATTTAACATATTCATGTCTCATTTAAAAATTAAAATATCGAAAAATCATCAACATTATAGCACGTAGCATCTTACCTTTAATTTTGGTAATAGGTCAATTTGCTTTAATTTGCTATTAAAACTCATGACATAAAATGTGTCCTACTGAACACAAATTTGGTATGCCTCATGTTTGTAAGACAAAGACAGTAGATGTTGGTATGGCGTTCTCTTGACTAACTGATCCGTATTGCATTGTTTATTCCATTATTTGGTTGCAACGTTAAATCAAAAAAATTTTTCAAATAGACAGGTCTAGACTTGTATTATTACACAGGATCTTACGAATATCATGTCACAGTCAAATTCTCCATGAAATACTTATTTTTTCAAAAAATGACTTATGTAAAAACTTATTAAAATTATATATATATACTAAAATATTATATTGTTATTATTTTTGGGGGTGAAATTATCACTAAAAACTTTTTATTTTCAAATAGTAATTTATATTAACTATTACTATTAATAATACCTAACCTATTATTATTCCTTAAATAGAAGAAGTTTTAGTTTAAATATACTTTGGTGTTGAAATTTGAATTTCTATCAACTGGAACATTTAGATAGGTGAAAATAGGGGCTGAGTAGTGAAGTATTATTAAATGTCCATACAGTACAAATTATGTTCCATTACTCTTCTAGATAAACTTTAAATTTAAAAAGTGGAATATCTCATTAACAGGTAGTTGGAAATATAAAATTTCAACACCAAAATGTATTTAACATATTGATAGATACTTTTAATGTAATTTGTACTGTTGTACTATACCTACATTCAAAATCTATATAAAATGATAGTGAGGACTGTAATAAATGGCAGTCTTTTATTATTTTATACTATTGAAAAATTACTCCTACAGCAGTGTTGACATAATATGAAATTGTCCATATAACTGCTATTATAGCAGTAGTGTCTGTCAATATGTAACTAAAATTTCACACCTTTTTATGAAATGTTTAATAAATGGTGTTAATTTAAAATCAAAAGTGTATAATAAACCACTATATCTAATGTAACATTTTAGAATATACAAAACGTTTTAACATAACAAGGGTGACGGCTCCAAATAGTTGGGATAAAGGTGAAGAAGACTGTTCAAAAATTTTAACTCAATTGATTATGAAGTGAAATAAACAGATTTACAATAAATTTAATAATAAAATCAATACTCTAAAAGCAGCACAATTCAAATTGCGACAAATAAAAATTGTTTACTATATTTTAGGTTTCTCAACAAAAGTTTAGAATACCTTATATCCTCATTGTGTACATCCATTCATATAATAGCTAGTACATAGTTACAGTTGTTTATTTGGTTAACAAACATTTTTTTTTCTTAACATTATTAATTTAAATATGAGTATTAAATAGAAATTTAAACTTTTATATATATATATATATATAAAGAGACGGACATACTTTGCATGATAGGTGGACTACTGTTGAAGGCAAGAAGTTAGAAAAGTGGGATAGTGGGATATAAAATTGAATTCAATGTATATTTATACAGAACAATTCTGAGCAAAGTATTGAAAGGCCATAACATTTACAATTTGATAATAATAATTTTCATAAATTCTTCCATTTATTATGAAAATCTTTGGAAAAATCAAAAAATAACCTCCCTTAAGTACCACTCCAGTCAAATTTCTTTTCAGAAAAAGTGTACATTTAAAAATCTGAACAAAATTTTTGGTAGAAAAGTTGTAAACATCATTGTAAAACCTATCTAAAATAGGTACCAACATATAAGTACTTTAAGAATTTGAATCAAATACTCTGCCAACTATTTATAAAATAAGATATTTAATTTATTTTAATTTCTATACATAAGAACAATATGGTTACCTTCTAGGTTATCAAATTACTTTAAAATAATATATGTAATTATAGTTTAAAATACATTTAGAAATCGGAAACTTTGCACATCTACCAAGAAATTATAGAGATAGAAATTAAGTCGGGTTTAATACAGTTCTGGAATTATTAAATTTTAATATTCAAATTGTTATCTATTTAGAAAAATCCTGCATTAGTTAAGAAATATAATATTAAAACTACAACTGCCAAACCTTTGATTACTAACTTCTTTAAAAAAACAGTGAAAAACAAATTTATTATTGTTTAGTGAACATTATGAAGTTATTTTTTAGTTACTTTATAATTTGTGTTTCTATTTTGATGTTGACGAATTTTATTTTCTTCATATTTTTTAAAATTTTTTTCTTCTTCTAGAAGATTTAATTTTCTTAAATCCTGTACAATTTTTCAATCCTGATTAGATTAAAAATACACAATTTACAAAATTATTGTTACCAACCTTTTGTTTCTCTAGTTTTTCTAATTTTTCCTGAAACACCAAAAAAATAAAATTTAATTAAAATATAGTAAATAACATTTTCAAAATTAACTACCTTAACTAATTTACCTGTAAAATTGAGTCTTGATTAATCATTTTTGATAACAAATTACTCCTATTTGATGTACTTGAGGACGCCTTATTATTCTTGTAAACTATAAATAAAAACAATTAACAGCTTATACTAATAAAAGGAAATAATAGTAATAATAATAATTTTTATTTGTTAACAACAACAGTGTATATATTAATTTTTTACACGAAAAATAAACACATTGACACTTGTGATAGAGGATAGTGAGTTCAAATCTATAATAATATATATATAAATTAAATTAAAAATTATAGTAAACTAAACCAATAAAAGTAAACAGAAAAAAAAATTAATATCTGTATAATTGTCTATGTGTGATCCATAAACAAATCTATCAAACAGATATCTGAAAATGTATGTACAAATATGGATAAACAAGTACACATCATCGTCAGATTTTTGAAATTCAACCACTAACTTTTTGGTATTTTTGGAACAAACATTTTTTTGTTGATTTATAGATTTCTTGGGCGACACGGATGAAATAAACATGTTATTATTAGTTCTTTATGCTGTTATGGGACAAGAAAGTACCATTACATGCAGAAAGATAATCAGAACTATTAATTGTAGTTTTGAATTAAGTTTTTATATTGGATTAATTTTGCAATAAATATATTAGCCTTTAATTAAATAATTTTTTTAAATGGGAAAAATTAATTTTATGTTCATATTTATGTAGTTTAATAATACTAATTTAATAACTACAATTAGTTAAAGGTGGATTATGATTTTAACTTAAGTTAATTAAAAGAATCATCAATTCATTATTTACCTATTCAAAATTATATAAAATACTTTATTAGTATATTTTTAACAAATCAAAGATAGAAATAGAGTAAAAGGAATTACAATTTTATCTTCCATCTACAGAAAGTATTTCATATTTATTAAAATAAAAACTTTGTGACTACGACAATCAATTTGTAACATATGACGCAATAGCCAATAATATGATATGTGAATAAATAATGTGATGCACTTACACAATGAAAAAAAAGCCATTTTTCTTAATTGATTTAATCGAGTGCAGTACGTACATTTCTGTGGTGATATTGAGGTGTCGAATAATAATATTAAAATATTTTATCGACGTAGAAAAAATGGGGTAAAAAATAGTAGTACTTAATGAAGGACATTGCGATGACTAAACAATAAACGGAATACGGAAACCTAACGAATAATAACAATCACGGACAACAATACGAATTATAATTTATAATACGATGTTTTGAATTCGCGATAACAATGATAACAAATATGATAGTACGATAAGGAGCCACAGTCTATAATATATTCATAATCCAACTGAACCACAGAACATATATATTGTAGCCCAGTTGCCTAGTTTAATTTTGCTCGATTTAAAACCGTACCATAATTATTGTAATGTACAATTGAAAGTAGATAGAAGCGAGCAGCAAGGGTGTAGATGTCGCTTTTGGCAACCGTCCGGTCCATACGGTTGTTGGCACTGGTCGACGCAGACGGTGTCTGTGGATAGAATGGACTGGCCTACCTGCGGTAAAAATATGTCGAAAACATGTCATCAATGCTCTGCTGTGCCGTGGTAAGTAAACCAATTGATTTGTAATTTACTATAATAATTATCTACGATCTGATTACGTTTAATATATGAGCCCACCGCACTTCGGACATCGTTTTACACGCACACCATTATCGCCGGACCGAAACGGTTGTCCCTCGTGGTTTTTGGCTTGTTTCGGTACCCTTGACAATGTCAACAATAGTGCTAAATATTGCAAAATTTTCCTCTTCCTGGTCACCGGAACAGGGCACCCCCTGCTTCGGGTTACGTTTGTTGGTCTGTCCCGCTGAAATAAAGTTTCCGGTTTCCGCCGTTGCTCGTGCTTCTATTCGATATATTCAAATAGGCAATAATTCCTAATAAATATACTAAGCATATTTCTTGTAAGGTGCCATCGGATTTTCGATAAAAAAATTGATAACAATGTCTCAGAATTAAAGGAAATATGCCCTAAAAGTAGGCCGGGCCAATTTTTTTTTTTTAGTACGTATGTAGAAGCCACCTATTTGGTTTAATTTTTTTCGTATCTAAACTATTTTATGATCAATGCAACTTTCGCCTATACTTTGTTATTTTTTCTGATTGCTTCAAGAAAAATATTACAAAACTGTCTTAATGTATTCACCTGCCGTTATTTTTTTTTCCTATTGAATGAACATATATATTTTATTTAAAATTTAAGTTTATTATTATTATTAATAAATTCACTTAAAATAAAAAATTAACAGTTTTGATTTTGATTTCGTTAAGTACATTAGCCAATACAAATAAATACATTATAATTTGTTGTTAGGGTATATTTCTGGTAACAAAGTATATTTGATGTGATCAAGTTACTGATCTATTTCTATATTCCGAAAACTAGTTTAATTATTGCTTAATCAAAACTTAAAAGAAAAAAGTTGTTCCTTATCAGTCTAATGTTTATATTTCTGATCTATGAAATAATTGTAACAACTATCTACCTACTTAAAATAATGGATTTGTTTAGTCATTTCCATTTATCATTTCACTACGTACATCTATAAATTATTTTAGTATTTTAATTTTTAGATTTATAAAATAATCTTAAATTTTTATATATCTTAAATATTTTATGCTTTGGTACAATAAATATGTTTAAAAAATATTCATATATTTTAAGTTACATCTGTGATTCACCCACGCAAAAGATTGAGTGATAGATGATATTGTATTGTGGGTTTAAGACTGTACCCATTATACATTACTAAATATAATATTATTTATTTAAAAGTTTTTAATAAATTTATTTTCTATAAAGTAAACATAAAACAATTGTGTTATTTAATTTACTAATATAACTAATAGCACATTAAATTACAAATATATTAGTGTAAAATTGAAATATGCTTAGTATAATTTATCTTTTTTATGACTTAAAAATAAATATTAGCTTAGGTTGCTTATGTTCTTCATGCTAAATTAATAAATTAAAGTTTGCCTTGCATGCGACTAAAATATTCCTAGTTATTTCCCAACATTTGGATTAAATTTAATATATTAAAACCTAAAAATCATAATTTAATTGTAATATAGTTACATAACATGCAAGTTATATATTAGTTTTGTCAATATATCACTTTAAAGTGTATACTGCACTATCTACATTCAAATTTACCTAAGACTAATTATTGATAAAATAAAACTTTTGCCTTATAAGTTCCAAAATAATATTTTTAGTAGATTGGATTTTTAACAACTTTAGTTTCAAATTATTCCATATTTAATAGTAATTTTATTCTTTATTTTTTTTTCAGCTTTCAAAACTAGGCTAAATTAGTTTTAGTCTTAATCACAACTAATAAATTGAAATAAAAAAAAAAAATTAATAAGTAACATATAAAAAAAGTCAACTATATTTCTTCGCTGTACGTTCCTTCAATTAATAGTCAACCAAGAAAAAAACATACTGCAACATTACCAGCAAGCATTGTGACAACTATCAACTGAGAAAACTTCTCTTGTTTAAATAATATTTAATCGAAACGTGTGCTGTGTATTGTAATGAACCAACCGAATACTTTAGAACTGTCTATTTTATAAAAATTATTATTAGATTTTTAAAAGTAGGTTAGAAACCTTTTTATTATTTTTAAAGTTTTTTTTGTCTTAAATTAAGAAGAAAAAAAGAGTTTTATGTATAAACCATAATAATTTGTGTTCATAGTAAAACAAATAGAAAAGTCGCTTGACTTAGTCAAGTGCCCTTTATAGCTCTTAAATATATTACCTACTGTGATATTGATTTTAATGGTAATAATGTATTATAATATATAATTTAATGTTAGGGTAATAGGATTATAACTACATATATGTATCTATATATATATTTATATGTATATACATATATATAAATATATACAGATCATATATATTATATACAATTTAAAAAAAAAATCTTAAACACTTCCTCCCCCCTTCATAATACATAATATAATATATTAAATTTTTAGTGGTCATAATAATTTAGTGTAAAATTAATAACTTGCAAAATTAAAACTAGTATGTCTAACAACTCTCAGTGGAATCTGTTCCAATCGACTATGTTAGATGGTAGTGATTCTTCTGTGTTGAACTTTAAAACGCTTTCGACATTAACAAATTTAAGCAATTTCTCACCATCAAGATCTTCAAATCATTCACCGCCAAACTATAATTCACAGTCAAGTCAAAATTTTCCTATGCCATCACAATATCAATCTTCTCAATTTCATCAGAAGGAATCATCAATGAATAATATGTTTAACAATGGACTACAGTCATCAACTTTTGATGTATTCTCTTCTGATAATACTGCACCTGTGAGTCGCTATCCTCCAGCTGGTAATGATATTTTTGGACATGACACAGCCACTGCAAGTAGTTCTAACAATTCTAATTTTTCAAATGATTCATTTGGGAATAACCAAGGTGTTAGAGAAACTGGAATTATAGAGAAACTTTTGGTTAGTATGGTTACCTTGGGTTAGTTATTATTTGTTTATAGATTATTTAATAATTTTAATTTTCAGCACTCGTATGGATTTATTCAATGTTGTGAGCGTCAAGCACGATTATTTTTTCATTTTAGTCAGTTTAGTGGTAACATTGAACATCTTAAAATTGGAGACCCAGTTGAATTTGAAATGACTTATGACAGAAGAACTGGAAAGCCAATAGCCAGCACTGTTACAAAAATTGCTCCTGAAGTGGTAAATATTTACATTTAATTTGCATTTAATACTTTTACATTATACAAATATATATTTAATCATAATTATTTCTTAGGTATTAAGTGAAGAAAGAGTAACTGGCGTAGTAACAACTGAACTAAGAACTGAAGGTTCTGGTGGTGATACACAAGGGCGAATTAGTTATGAAAATCGAGGAGAGTGTTTTTTTCTCCCTTACAATAAAGATGATGTTGAAGGTAATGTTACACTTAGGACTGGTGATCAAGTGAGCTTTCAGATTGCAACTAATCAGAGAGGAAATTTGGGTGCTACTCATGTTCGTTTGGAAAATCCAGTACATCCAGTGAAGTATCAGGGAGTGGTTTGCTCTATGAAAGATGGTTTTGGTTATATTGAAAGAGCTGATATCGTAAAAGAAATTTCATTTCCATTTACTGAATTTAAAGATGCTTCAAAACCTCTACAATTAGGCGATGATGTAGAATTCATAATACAAACACGAAATGTAAGTTAAGGCTTAAATTCTTATATTAATTTGAATACACATTATAATGTATCTAAAGATTATGTTTGAAAATAAGGGAAAAGAAGTTGCATGCAATATTGAACGCTTGCCTCCTGGTTCTGTAATTTTTGAAGATATTGATGATACTGTTATGAAAGGCCAAGTATTAAAACCATTGGACAAAAATCCTCAGAATCATTTACCATCTGAACCATTGCCTGGGCGTATACGTTACAGAGCACCAGATTATTCAGAAGTTGAAGTTTCATTTGGTGAAAAAGATCAACAAGGCGATTTTACATTAAGGTATTTACTAAAATTTAACTTTATTTTAATTTAAAATGTATGATAAATGATAATTCTTTTGTTTTTCTTTAAAGTTTTTTTTTAAAAATTTTTTAATGTTTTAATTAATTTTTTACAGACACGGTGATTGGGTTGAGTTTCGAATAGCAACTGATCGCCGAGATCAGTTAAAACGAGCTACTAATATTTCATTATTACCAGAATCATTTGTAGTGTCTGGAGAAAGAAGAGAGCAAGGTATTATTGCAGTTTTGAAACAAGGATTTGGTTTTTTACGTTCTGTTGAAAGAGAACCAAAAATTTATTTCACATTCAATGAAGTTCTTGATATTCATAGAAAATTGGAATGTAATGATGAAGTGGAATTTACAGTGGCTCAGGTAATATTTGTGAAATTCTAATCCATTTAACCAATTTGGTTATTATTCAAAGAAATTAGATTTGTATTGGTAAAACTATATAATATGCAATCTGTCTATTTAGTTTTAATATTTAGATGAAAGTTATTTAATATTATTGACATTAAAATATATTGCAATGTGAAATATAATTTTTTTGTTTCTATTGTAGGATCCTTCATCTTCATTTGGAAATTCTAGACAGAGTGCCATACGAATTAAACACTTACCGCGTGGTTCAGTACAATTTGAAATACTTATTGAAGAAGGATTAGTTGGAGTTGTTACTATTACAGCAACAGAGATATCTGAACCATCAAGTCCTTCGAAAATGAATGGTCATCATGTAAGTAACATATTGTTTAGTTTGAAGTATTTTTCATGTACTATCAAATATAATAATTCTTATTTTTGAGTTAGGTTAGAAAGAGAGTAGCAGAGCATTATTAAAACGGTGCTAAAAATAATTTACTAATTGATAATGACAAATTTGGTCTAATTGGACATTAGTATTTCATTGATATTTTGCTTTACAATGATTTTGATCAATAATCATGTTCTTAATAATAGAGATAATCATATTTATATAGTTTGACAGCATTTTACCCAAATACTATTGATACATTAATTTAAACTTAAAACTAGTTCTCATAGGAAGATAATGTATTGATCCTCCTCTGCATTCCCTGCTCCCAAAAATCTCAGGTCTTCTTTTACTCTGTTTGCCTATCTCTGCCCCGGTCATCCTCTGAGCCTCTTCGTGTTCGGTTTTCATACTATTATTTGTCTAATTAACCTTCCCAATCTCCACATATCATATCCAACTTATTCGCGTACTTTTCAAGGTCCCAACAATGCTAGTTTCATTGTATAGTTCTTCCAAATTTTTGTTGCTTCGTACATCATAATCACCTTCATTATTTCTAGTTGGGCCAAATGTTTTCCTCAAAATGAACTCGAACACTTCTAATTTTTTCTCATTTAATTTTGTCATGTCCCAAGTACCGCATGCATATGGAGACACCTGTTTGACTAGAACTTTATATTATGTTATTTTGATTTTCTTGTTAGAACTTTACTATTGATTTGAATAATGATATCAATCCATAGTAGTTCCTATTTGTTGCTGTGTGCCATTTTTTTACTTCCTCGTAGCTATTTATTAGCATCTTCATTAATGTCTGCACCTAGGTATTTAAAATTTTTACCTTTTAAATTTATAGTCTTTCACTTTTTGATAATTCTATGATCCTGTTTAAATATAGTATATTTTGTCTTTAATTCATTGATTCTCTAGTCAATCTATTTTCTTTTCTTCATTAGGATATTTGCTGTGTTTTTTAAATCATTATCTTTTTTGGCTATTGAGACTATATTATCTGCATTGACTACTGCAGTTAAATTTTGATTGTTTCTATTTTTATGCTCTTAGTTTGGGTAATTACTACCTTAATAACTGATTCTAAGGTAATATTAAACAGTGCTAGTGATAGAGCGCCATCCTGCCTGAGACCTGTCATTACCAGAAACTCTGCAGATATTTCTTCTCCAAAACTTACTATACTTTTCGAACCATATGTACACACTTTTATCATTAACTTAGTTGATATTCCTAATTAACCCATGACTTCTCATAATTTTTTTTCTATTTGAGTAGTATGCTGCTTTGAAGTCCATAAATGGTAGATGTATATCTTTATTGAACTTATGGACTCTTATCAACTAGTTGTTTTACCAAGTGTATTTGATCTATTGTTGATTTTCCTAGTACGAAACCAGCTTGATGTATTACCAGCAGATTATTATTTATTATTACTATTAATATTTTTGATTATTTCAATATATCATGTTTTTCAATTGTATTTGGCTCTTCTAGTATTTGATAAAGATTGAAAATCATAATGTTTGAATGTGGAACTTAATTTATAGTATTTTATGATATTTTTTTTTTCATAATTTATTAATCATTAAATAAAATGTATCTATAATACATTTCATATTATATTCTATTAATATATCTATATAGAATTATTTAACTTGCTTTGTATTTATTTCAGCAGTTTGATGAGATCACTTACGAACCAGGAGTTATCACTTTACATTCTAATGGTGTTAAGAGAACAATCTTATATAATATTAAAGACTGTAATTCAAAATATATACCTAAACAAGGAGACAAAGTAAATTATTTGGAATGTAGTTGTGTAGCAACAATGATTTTTTTTATATGAGGTATTATTTATTATTATTTTTTGTACAAATTTAGGTAAGATTTAACCTTTATCAAATAAAACGAAACAAAGAATTAATTGCTATGAATATTCATTTGGCATCATCTGTGTCAAACAGTATACATATCGCTGATGAGCCAAATCGTGTAGACTTAAAGTATGGTTTTATTGCTGCTCTTAAGGATGGATTTGGTTTTATTGAAAACATCTCACTTGATTCCGAAGTATTTTTTAGATATGCGTAAGTAGAGACGAACACATAATTAATATTATAATATAATTACTAATTAATCATTTAGGAATTTGAATGAACCAAGTGCGTCTCTTGAACTTGGTATGGAAGTAGAATATACATTAAGTACTAGAAATACAGGAAATGGTGGAAGTTGTGCTTCCGCTGAAAACGTTAGAATTTTACCGCCTGGTACTATTAATGACAATTGTGAATTGCTTCAACCAAATGTTATTTTGGATGGAGTGGTTTCTCGTCCATTGCGCTCTGTTAATCCTGAACAAACTGAATATGCTGGCATAATACAAGAAGTACCAACAAGTAAACTTTTTTAATTTTTATACAAATAAAAAAAAAACTTAATGTATTAATTTTTTTTTAGCTGAAGAAGAAAATATTTCACAATATGAATTTGGTATCAAAGGTTTAATAAATAAAAGAGAATTATTACAAGTTGGAGATCCTGTACAATTTCAAGTGGATTCAAAAAACCGAGCTGTTAATATTATTGCAATTAGAAAAAAACAAAGAGCTCATGTAGATGCAATTAAAGGTATGATAGATAAAAAATATTTATTCAAATTTAGGCAGTTTATAATAAGGTATTAAACATTTATGATTTGGCTGTAGGCTTATTTGGATTCTTAACGTATGAAGTAGAAGGTGGCAAAAAACTTTTTTTCCATACGTCTGAAGTAACTGATGGAATTAAATTGCATCAAGGAGACTTAGTCGAGTTTGTATTAGTTGTTAATCAAAGGTCAGGAAAATCATCTGGTTGTAATGTCACTAAAATCAGGTTAGTATATAAACAAACTTATCAAATTATGTTTTTGAAATTTAATTTTTATACATTTAATGTAATTATTGTACTCTTATTAAAAATGTTAAGTTTGTTTATTACTTACGTTTTGTAGTAATTTAAAATATATATACTATATGTAGAAAATACAAAGAATTTATAAAACTATATATATTTCACAATTATCATATCAAAAACAATTTTTAATTTTTGGCCTTTATTTAAAACTTCATTTATTTTAATAATGAGTACTTATAATATGTAGCCATTAAAATAAGCCTGCCAACTTTCATTTGTTTTTCCATTATTAGTTCTGCTGAGAATTCTTCACCAAAACAACCATCTCAACGACCAGATCATTTGATTAATCGCATACGCACCATTTCTATAAAAGATGATGGTTCGCCGAAATTAATAGTAATTCGTCAACCATTAGGTCCAGATGGATCAAATGGTTTTGATCCAAATGCACGTAAACAGCATAATCCAGGGCAACTTACTGAATTGTAATGCAATTTCATAGTTTAATTAAGTTATTAACATTTGACTACCACTTTGACTTATTTTCCGATTCAGAATTTTATCATTATTATCATTTTACTATTGTATCTTTTTGTAATAAATAATGAGCTTCCAACATGTTTAAAAATTTACTAGTCTTGATGAATAGGTTGTCAAATTAATTGTAACCAAACATAAACATCTAGCATTTAATATATTCAAAAATCTTAAGTCTTATGATTTATGATTTTTTTTTTTTTTTTTTTTAAATCTATTATTTATATTAATATGATATTTTATATTAGTGAAAAATGTAGCAATAAGATAACAGGTTATTAGTTTACAATTAATTAGTGAAACATTTAAATGTAATGTTAGTTTTATATTATAGCTGGCACATACATATTAGAGAAAGAGATAAATTTTTTAAATGTTAAAGTTATTTTAATTTAATATTATTTGTAGTATTCCCTAAAACTGATATATTATTTGATTTAGATTATCTTCAACATTGATATACATTTAAAAATGAAAAAAAAAAAAAAATTCTCTTTCACTGCTCAATCCCATAATTTTAATTAGAATGACTGGTGTATAATTTAAATATCATTTCAACTCTTGATGGTTTTGATTTGTAATATTATATATTAATTTTGATTAAACATTTTATTCGAATGATCCTTTTTAAATAAATCTAAAATAAATAATTTACTATTAGTAGTAGTGAAAGAGACTTCAGAGTATATTTTATTTAAATTTTAAAATTCACATACTGTTCCTAACATAGATCTCCCTATTTTCCGCACCATATACATTAATAATTTCCCTCCCGCATATTTTATTTTATTTAAATTGGATGCATTTAAAAAAAAAAAAAAATGAATTTTTTCATTTAATCTTATATAGTTAAATAAATAATTTTTATATTACTAAAAAAAGTATGTCAACAACTTAAATTGTGCCTTAATAATTTACGAGTTACATGCCACAATAATATAATTTGAAACTTTTATAGTTGAAATAAAAAAAAAAATGTCTTTATTTTATTTTATCAATGTTTGGAAACTAATGATTTGACTGAAGTTTTCTCCTGTTTTTTATTTGTTAATTTAATTAAAAAGTAGTAATTTTATCAAATTTACTATTACCCTTTACTCTTTAAATGCATCCAATTATTGAATATGCTCACAATAACTTCATTAAATTAGCTTTTAATTTATTATTCTAAATATTAAGGGCAATGATCCTATAACCATGAGCAAAACTTAAATTTTCCACTCTATGAAGTATAAATCTGTTTTCATAAATATTGATTAATAATTGTAAATATAAACATTTTTGCAACATCTTAAAAATACAAAGTTAGGGTTTAAATACAGATACGTTAACTCTAAGTCATAGTTTTTAAGCAAATTTTTTTTTTATCATCAACATACATATTTAATACACATTTACTTTATTATTATTATTATTTTTTTTTTTTTGGTACAAATCTTATAAGCCTTGTCTAATATTATCGTTCAAGTAGTGTTTTTCATTCCATATTGTTTTTCATCACATAACTCTACTCACAGTTAATCTTTCGAGCTTTTAGTTTATATAAGCATTTGCTTAAAAAAATTTAGTTATACAGGTATGATGACATACATACAAATTATGCCAAACATAAACTAGTATAAGACGTAACTAAACTGTGATAAATTATGAGTATGTACTATTGTAATGTATTTTAATTGTTATTTTTTATTTAAAAAAAAAAAAAAAAAAAAGTGTAATTTTGTATCTGTTTTTATCTTGCAACAATATGTATATTCCATAATCATTGGAACATTAAAACCAATAATATTATTTTGCAAGGAAAAAACTCTTACAAACTGTAAACATGATTTTTATATTGTATTGTAAATATATATTATAAATAATATAAAAAACTAAAAAAAAAAACTGTAATATTTTTGAATAATGTAATCATAGTACTAATGATTACAAATAATTGATTGCACTAAATTCTATTAACTGATATAAATTTAGTGTTTTTGAAAGAATTGTTTGCAATTGTTAACTGGACATTTTGCAAACACTCTAAAATTATTTGGCTACTTTGATATCTATTAATATTATATTAAACAAGTGCAATTTGGTTCAATATTGATATATCAAAATGTAATTTATCATTAATAATCATATTATACTATATTATTATATATTATTGATTGTTCTTTATAAGAGTATTAATTATCTTAAAATATTAATTTATCTATTCTAAATATGTATTTTTAATTTAAAATTATTAAAATATTTGCTTTATACAGTATAGAGGCATACAATATATTTATTTAACATACTTAATTGTATTTACAAGTTTATTCAATAGTTTCTGCTGAACAATTTTAGTATGCTAATGCACAATTTTTTTTTTATTTTAATGTAACTTAGTTTTTAACTACAATTTTTATTAACTTGAGGGATCAGGAAATAAATTTAAGGTTACATGCATTATAGCCTTTCATTTAAATGTTTAATATATTTGTTTTTTAAGGAGAAAAATACATAGTGTTAAGTAGTATGAGTTATTGTGAGCATTATTATATTTATATACATGTAGTCAAGTAATAATTATAACGTAACCTACTAATTTCAATAGATTATGATGATAATTAATGTAATTGTAATTATTATTATTATTAATGTATTTGCAAAAAAAAATGGTAGGTAGCATTACATGTTTTCCGGGTTGCTTGTGAACTATAATAACGTATTACCAAATAAGACAATTATTGACAAAAATTGTTAAGACTTTTCTGAAACACTAGGAAAAATTATAATTAACTCGCTGAAACTGTAAGGCTGAATAAATAACAAAACAATTTGAAACAAAATATAATACGTGTTTTTTTTTATATATATATATATAACTCAATTTACAAAATTTCCAAAGATTTTTAAAACTAATTGAAAAAATGTTTGTTGCTGTCTGGTTATCTTATATTTCTTTCCTTCCCAACATGCTATACTAAAATAAATAAATAAAACATAATACTAAAGTATTAATTTTAAACTTTTATATTGATAGCATCCTTGCCCCTACACTATATATGATAAACACTGCTATACTCCGGGCCACGAGAGACCGCACCCAGCCGGCACTGAAACATGTATATTTCCACATTTGCGGGCATACCCAACCATAAAACCTAATTATAACAATGGTTTTTAGTGATGTGCGACGGAGGTGCAGTCTATCATGGCGTGGAGTATAATATCACTTATTCTAACAATACTAATAATATCTAGCTTAACTGACAATATAAGTATAATACTATAATTTATTTTAATTTATATATAAATATTGCAACAAATAACCTCCATTATATTAAATTGTCAACATTGATTTTAGCTTTGGAGAATACAAATCAATGATAGTAACTAACTTGCATCACTTAAGTGTATGGTACTAACATAGTACTTAATTGTTCTAAATAAAAAAATAACCCTTTTAGCAAGCACAGTGAAATACTTAAGTGTTTACTTCGACAAAAGATTAACTTGTGTAACAAATATCAAAATTAAAATTAATACTTAAAATGTCAAATTATATCAATTCCAACTATCAAATATTTCCCTCTAAAGCCAATTTCTGATATACACACAAATTATTTGGGTATAGTAATTGTATGGTAATTGAGGTGCAGCCAAAAGGATCAAATTTAAATATATTTTTATATTTTTAGTCTATTAATTTGAGGCAAATAACTAATGTTATCAACCAGGAATTAAATATTTGTACTTTATTAACTTTTGCCTGTTATCATTGTTCAATCTTCCATATTCCCCTTCCTCCGTGAAATTAGAATGACCTCATGGCTTATTATGTTTTTATGTGTGATAACTGAATGAATGGATATACAGATATAATCAAAATAATACTAAGAGTGTTACTATGTCAACGATATATATGTTATATTATGGTAAAATTATTACATATGCAATTCACATTTTTTTAAATAACATTAGTTTAATATTTTTCCAATTTCTTGTTCTCCCATGTTTTTCCCATTTATTTGGAAAACTTTGGAAAATCAAAAAATTACTTCTCTTTAGTACCATCCCGGTCAGAGTTCCTTTCAGAAATATTGCTCTTATTGAAAAACAACAAAAGACCTTTTTTGTTGAATTTTGATTCAATATGGTAAGTAAAAAGTTGTTTTTGATTTGCCTTGTAGTTTTTTAAATAATTAAGCAAAACCAAAACCAAAAAAAATAGGCAAATTTACTAAAAAACTATTTTATTATTTTCAGTTTTGTTTTTTTTGTTGCAATTTAGTTAAAAATATTTGTAGAAACTTGAAATGTTGACAGAAAAATTATATTTGCTTTTTCTGGATGTGGTAAAATTTTCAAAACATTTTGATTTGTGTGCTGTTTATAGTCATATTTATGTTTGCATTTTTTTTTTTTTTTTTCATAGGTCAATTGGGATCTGAAGACCACCCAGTTTCATATCAAAGCCTATTCCAAACAGGAGCCATCCTGTCCATAGCCAGAATCTTCCAATTACTACCTCCCAGCTGTATACTACATCTTTTTTTATTACATCTTTCTAACTTATTTTTGGTGTCCTCAAAGGTTTTTTTCCTATAGGATTCTGTTCTATAACTGCATGTAGAATAGTATTTTGGTTTCTCAAAGTATATCCAGCCCTTTGTAGTCTTCTGATAACTTTTGATATGTTCTAAGATTAGGTCTATACAGGGTAAGATTTTTTTTATCATGAGCCAGTAATTATCTCGGAGGATTTTAAGTGAATTTGATTTATGTTTTTCTTTTCATTGTGGAATTGTTTAACCTTTATTTTAAAACCATTTTTAATTGTTTAAACCCCTCCTCCATGTACTTATATAAGTATATACTTTTGATTTTAAAATAGGTACCCCCCCTTTCTTTTGTATACCAATTTGAATAGAGAATATTTTATTAGAAATGTTGATATGCATAAAAATAATATATATTTACCATTTATGAGTTATAACAGTTTAAAGTTTAAACAGTTCCATAATGATTAGAAAAAAAAGAAATCAAATTCACTTAAAAAAAACTCCGAGATAATTGCTGGTTTATGATACAAACAATCACTGTATAAAACTTCCAGTTCTACATTCTTGCTTCATCTCCACTATTTGGTTATATTATCTTTGATTCAGTCATAAATTATCCGCAAAACTCTTTCAAAAATATGAACTTATTTTCATCCTTTTTTCTCAGTGGCCAAGTTTCAGAAACATATAAAATAACTGGTCATAGAGTGATGTATATATCTAACTTTTTTTTCATCCTTCGTGACAATAGGGACATCACGAAGGATTTCACATTTGTTTATGAGATGCAAAACCTATACTAAAAATGAAAAACTTGAAATCCGCTTGCGCAGCATATTAAACACGAAATCAATAATTTCCATAGGTATTCAATTCTGTTTTTCAATTATCACACATTCAAATGTAAAGTGCAATTCAAAAACGTAATACATTATTTTATAATAAACTAAAGTACACAAAAATTATATACTTTGTGTCTTCATAAGTTTATTATCAGAACAAACATTATCATTATCTATAGTATGAGTATAATAAACATAATCGCATAGATAACTGTAGGAACAACTCAACAATACCTATATGTATTTTAAATAAGCATTAAGCATAATTTAATTACAAGTAAGTACCTATGTTCTGAGATTTAAACAATAAAAAAACTCAACAGTATTATTTAACAGAAATATATTTTATAGTACATTTATGAAAATCTTCTACGCTTTAATTAAACAAAACTATCTTTATTCGATAGTTGGTATTTACTATATAATACCAATTACCTAAATTATATTATTTATAACGGTATTTATGTGTTATGATACCTACTGTTAAAATTACAAGTGTTTTATACTCAAGTTTCTTCCTTGGACCCATATAACAGTAATCACAAAATGTACTTATACGTGTTTATAAGTCTTAAACACATAGAAATAATTAACACCAGGGGCGTAATTTCAAGTGCCCTAGGAAAAAATAACCTAGTTTATACAAACAAGAGATCTAAAATATAATATGTGCTACTCACTCTTTTCTGTTGTACTACACCTATCAAGCTCGTATACATGGGGGGGAGTTGGGTTAGGGGTTCAACCTCCTCCTCTGAAATGTTTAAAGTAGATATACATTTTTAATATAACAAAGACTAACTGTAATATATGTTCATGTATTAAACATATTTTAAACTTCTCCTCCCCCCTCCTGAAAATTGATCCTGAATACGTGTTTGATACCTAATCACAATATTGGTTGAAAAAATAAATTAAACACATAGAACTATAAAGTTTCTCAGTCGTTGGTTCATGTAAAATTCAAAATGATCTCTGTAGTACTATCTCTGAAGAATATTTGTCATTTTGTGATAAAAACTTAATTTACTTATCTACATAATAATACCTAACATTTGAAGTTGATTTTTATTTAATTATACAATGCCTTCTTACTTAAATATTTCTTTGTAATTGTAATATATGTTTATTATTACGCATATGTAATATTATATTTAAATGTAACTTATAATATAATATAATTAATTACAGAGAAAAGATATTGATGAGAGATAGTTTGATGACTACAGTTCGAATTTATATTCTTTTAAAACACCTAAAATATGATGCTAATATTCTCATAAAAATTAGAAAACATGCAAATAGACTTGTTTTCACAAAATACTCATACTTTAACTTTGCTAGTTTTTTACGTAATTTTTATTTGTTAGGTAAATGTTGAATAAAATTGTTAAACCAAACAGATATACTTGAAACTTTAATACAATGTACATTATAAGTTGTGATTAGTTGTTTAAAAGACATTTGAGTTTATGCGTTAGTTTTTTTTTCAGCAGTATTTTAAGATTAGATTTTAACGAAAATCATAATAATCAAGTACATTTCAAAGTCACCGAAGCTCGCTCCGAATCGTTAGCAATGGTTTATCGTTGCTTATAGATATAAATTAAATAACAACAATAGCGCATCCATCAGCAGTATCAGATATTTTTGTTTTTTTTTGAATATCACTAATTAAAAAAACTTTTTCTCAATTTGGAAGCTCAGATCAATTACCCCTATAGATAAATTTAGTGATAAATCCAGCGTTCATAACAACAGTCCTATCTTAATTCTTGGTCAAATCTCTGAGTTATTCGAATTCTTTTTTCTTATTGGTATTCAGCCTTCTGTTAACTCTTTTTAACGTCTTTTTAGACGAACAGTATGATTTCAAGCCCGGGCGTTCCACCGTCACGAACGTCATTACTCTTAACAATTTTATTTTAGAGGCCATTGAAAATAATTCTCAGGTTGATGTTATATTCACTGATTTTTTTAAAGCATTTGACCGTGTGGACCATAATATTTTTTTAGAAATATTTTATAAATCTGGGTTCGGTGACACAATTTTGAGGTACTTTAAATCACACCTGTCTGGCAGATAAAAGTAGTTAAAGGTATATAGTACTAAATCTATAATTATGACCCCATCTTCAGAGGTGGTGACATGTCAAAATATCGCAAAACCAAAATAATCCCCTCAAAAATATTCCATGACAAAATATCCCGCGTAAATATTAATTTAAAATTTTAACCTACAAATGTTTAACTTTTATTATAAAAATTACGATTAGATATGCCATTAGAAGTAATAATAACGCAACAATAATCGCACTCTATTTAAAGTGATCGTGTGCTATTCGTTATTTTGATAATCTATAGAGTATGTTTTCATTATCTGCAACGTCGTGTCAGTCTTAAATTGAGTTAAATTGAATTACTAAAATAATAAAATGTTAGAATTTATCCAAAGCCAAAAGGCAATAAATTATTAATATTTGAAGTCTATTCATTCAGTATACACCGAAAGAAAAAAGAATAATTTGGCTGATTACAAAAGTAAAAATAGTTTGACAATACGTTACATAACCACAGACGACATAAGGTTTGTTGATTTATAATTAATTACTAGAGCGCGGATCATCATGAAGCATATCACTCTAAATAAAATATGACGTATTAATTTTAATATATTTTAAAGTAAATCTAGATTCTTAAATATTTTATCATATTTCGTTTTTACTTATTCAAAGGCATACTGGCGACAATAATCAGTATCTTGTGGGAAAATAAGTAACTTACAATTAACGTCGTTAAAATTAACATAATATAGTTAACATTTGCAATATCACCAAAATGTTATTAAAAAAATATCTTTTAATATTTATTTAAACACTTTTTAATTAATATTTTTGTGTTCTATAAAAGTTAATGATAATTGTATTCTATTAATATTATAGGTTTATTTAACTTTTCCAATAAAAGATTAAAATCTTGAATTAATATTTACCTGGGATATTTTTATTGGAATATTTTGTCGTAGAACCACTTCAGAGGTTCCGCAAAGTGGACATTTCTCCTCCTTGCTCTTCTCTCTATTCATTAATGGTATCAAAATAATCTTACCCAATTGCAATTTCTTCTGCTTTATTGATGTTCGAAACATATACTGCATTATAACTTCCATCTTCGACTGCAAATTAATGTAAAGTTAGCTTGATAGGCTAGTCACGTGGTTTAACTCCATCGGGCTACATCTTAATGTTGCTAAATGCCAATATATGTAATTTGTTGGACCTAGCTCTTCATTCACCTACAACTACATATTAAATGGCTCTATTATCTCTTACGTTCCTAGTAAAAAAGACCTAGGTGTAATCCTAACATCGGACTTCAATTATCATGCACATATTCTGTTAATTAGTTGCAAAGCTTTACAAATTTTAGGATTTCTTAAGCAGGCATCTTCTGAGCTAAGACTCTCTTTTTTTCTCAAGACCCTGTACTGCACAATTGTTCGTCCCATACTCAAGTATGGTTCCGTGCTTTGAGATCCATATACTGCTACAGACTCATGTACTTTAGAGAGAGTTCAAAGACGCTTTCTATCCTTCGGTAGTATTACTTTGAATATTTCCTAGCCCATTCACGACTACTCTCCTGTTCTCCTGGACTTCTCCTAGACTTGTCTAATCTAGTCGATAGACGTACTAATGTTAATATACGTTTTTTAGCTAAACTTATAAATGGCTCATTTAATGCACCTTCCCTCCTCCTGTATTAATTTATTCGTTCCCCAGCGCTCCACTCGCTCCTTCGCTCCCTGTATGAAGTACCCAAACGTACTACGAATTATTGCCGCGATCATCCTCTTGACCGTTTAATGCGTCTAGCCAATACTCTCTATAACCATCATTCCAATCCAACTAATTCAATCACTGCTACCTAATTAAAACTAATATTAAAATATTTTATCAGTTGTATTTTTTTTTCTTTGGGCTCTGCCCGTTATTGACAATAATAAATAATAATAACAATAACCGCTAATAATTATTTTTCTCTAAATATTTTATATCATAGTTATTTAATTATTTAGTATAACATATTAATTTATTAATATTTATTAATTGTACATAGATTATAAATTATAAGTATTCATTAAGACCAGTTCTTACAATGTCCAGTTAAGTTTCGATTAGCGTTAATCGGCAGTTTTACTAAAATTTAACCGTCAGTTGGTTCTTACATAGGTCGTTTAAGTAAATAGTCTAAAGTAAAAAAGTAAAAAATTACCGGAGGTTTTATGGTTGGATTTTTAACCGACGGAATCCTGCCGGTTATTTTCTTATTAAGTTAATATTTCTCGGATTGTGTAACCAGTAGCTAATTATCAATCTTTTTATAATTACTGTTACTATTAATAATTTATTCTGTATTACTAATTTTGTGTTTTATGAGTTTATCTTGAGTTTGTCTGTATAGTGTATATATTTTTGTTTTGTTTATACTTTTTTGTTAGAATTATGAAAAGAACAATATGCATTGGCATATAACTGCGTTTTGAATGATAGTGATTCTCCAAACTACGAAAATTAAATTTCAGAATTGAATATTGCAATGTATGGAAACGGACAATTTTTCGAGAACACAAGAACTACCTCGAATTATTAGACAACAGTTGATTTCGCAGTCAATTCGACCAATGTACTCTTCCGTTGTAGAAAAATTACTACTACGCGTTATTTTATTATTTGTAGACATGTTTTAAATAGTTAGGACGTTAAATAAGTAACGAAGAATATGTCAATAATCAATATGAATATTATAATTCCGGGTTTTGTTTTGTAAACTGACAAGAAAATATTACATTATAATATTTACATTATTTATGACGAATTATCTGACTGTATAGATGATAATAACAATAATGAATGATAACCCAAGAAATGCGCATGCGTAGAACAATACAATTTGGTCATGGACGGTTGTTTTGGGAATCACTGTCGGTTAGTTATACGATCGTTAATCGAAGCTTGTCAGAACAGATCGCCGTAACTGGCACTTGACCGACGACGTTACTGTTAGGTAACCGACACTTTTACCGCCACTTAACCGGACATTGTAAGAACGTCCTTAAGAAGACGTTATACCTGCATTTACTGTCTCAATCTAACTACCGGGTAATATACATAAATATTGCTTACGCAGAATAAGCAAAACTAGCTTAATTTTGATTTTATAGTAAAATTATAGTAAAATACAATTTATAGAGAACAATATTTTTGAGGGAATGTCATTGGGTTTTTATGTTCAAAATATATAGCTCCATGTAAAAGATACAAAAACCTTTATTTGTTTGTTTTTTTAAATAACTGTAACTTTTTTAATAGTTCATAATTCAAAAAAACATTTGTGACATTCCCTCAAAAATATTGTTCTCTATAAATTGCATAATAGGTACTTTTTCTTAAAGCTCAAAATTAAGCAAGTTTTACTTATTTTACGTAAGTATTGTTTATGTATGTTACCCGGTAGTTGGACTTAGTAGATATGGGTATAATGTCCTCTTAAGAAAAACATTAAAAATATGCGAGTCATTCCGTACTATGTCACCTGATTTTAAACAAATTGGAAGTTGAGTATTTTTTTAAAAATTAAAAAATTGTAATAAAATATGTTTATACTTACCATACAAAATACAAAAATATATATTTTTAATTTAAAAAAAAAAAATTTAATTGGATTCAGGGACCAATAAAAAGTTATTTTCAGACACAAATCCCTTTTAATTTGTAAGTACACAAGAGTTTGATTAAAACATCGCACTTTTGAACTTTTTCATGAGTTTTTTATATCATTTAATTTTTTTGAAGTAGCCACCTGAATATGAATATTTTTAATTCTATCATAATATTTGGTTACATTGATACGGGTTCTATTTAAGAATGGAATTGATTCGAAAGTAGTATAACGACAAGTTCGTAGCTTTACAACTTCGGTGTGGTAAAATATATAAATCTAAAATTTATACAAATTATAGGAACTATTAAGTGTAATATGTAATATTTAATTTTGGAGATTTTATTTGTATTCAAATTACGAACAATTGAAAATTAACAAAAATATAAGTGTAATTATGGCCCATTCCCTATACATAGGATACAATGTATTATTTATATTATTATGTTTATTATTTTGAAACGAACCACTGTCGGAATTTAATAGTAGGTTCATTATAAATTGTAATTTGTAGTAAAAATAAATTAGTGTAATGCAGATTTTTTTTTGATAAGAATTTTAATATCAAGTTTTGACGAAAATCGTAAGTATAAAAGTCTTTAAAAATACTTATAACCGAATTCCACACAGAAATCGTTTTCGTTGGTAATGATTAATCGTTATGTACAGATATACTATAAATTTCCCTCTATATCCTACCTTCCCAACTTCTCACCTACAACAGTGGCCTACCCATCGTTGTTAGTCTGAAGTATGTTCGTATATTTTTTTACCTTTCTCACCATTTAATTTATTAAGTAAAATTCTATAATGCAATTTTCTATTCTGTATAGATACATAAAATAACATTTTTTTTTTTTTTCAAAAATAAAAATTTAATAATGAGAAAATTGACAGTTTTGTATAAAGTTATAAGAGTTTATCAAGGTTGTTATTAGACGAATGATATTAAATCTACAAAAATGTTATTCAATAATTGGTTTTAATTTTTAGCATAATATAATGAGGCAATTTAATAGATACATTATTTTGTATACGAACATTTTAATTGTTCAGTGAAATATTTAGGTACCTATTTCGCCTATAACAATAATATATTAAAAAAAATTAATCAAATAAATTTAATCTAGATGCACTTAAATAACTATACATTCAAACGGGATTTCTTGCTTTGCAGTTGTATTTTGTTGCCCATAACAATCTGAAATTGTATAAATATGCATGAGTGTAATATACAAATATATTAAAGACAAATTTTATTTAATTAAAGGACAGTTCAAATAGTCCAATGGTATAAGATTTAAATTATGATTTATTTATTTTTTGTCTGAACAGAAAAACTAAATATTATAGAACTTAATTAAAATATATTTTATAGGTACCAACCTAATAATTAAACAATCTATGAGAGTATGGAATACTTACATTTTAGTAATAGGCTCATAATTATATAGTTAAAACTGTGAACTAAGTAGGTAAGACTAAAGATGAATAAATAACATAAATTACAAATCTAATTTCTAGGTATAGAGTATATGGTTAATGATTAGAGGTATCTGCTTGGTCATCATTTAGTAGATTACTCTATACAGAGTATTTATAACAAAGAGAAAAGTTTTTTAAAATTATTATTAATTAACTAAATATAGGTACGTTGTTCTCTAGATTAAATTATGTTATTTAATTGTTATCAAAATCATGGTTTACGCTTAATCGTATAGGTATAATCTATACATAATTGTATAGGTGAAATCTCCCATTAAATGATTTTTCAACATAAGATTTTTATCAGAATTTTTATGTTTAAAAACACTGCCCTGGCATCAGTGGCTCAATTATGCATTATGAAGCCCGTTAAATTAAAAATTGTATTTGTTAGTTACTTGACTGTTGTATTATTATTCAGTATTTACTACGGTTAATACTTAGTAAGTAATTAGGTAGCTACTTTTTTGATATTTAAACTTAAATGAAATATTTTGTACATTAATGAGTATTTTCCCTAACAATATTAAATTCACTTACTATTTAATTTTCAACTGGGAGTCCAATACAGAAAATTAAGGAATAGGACATAGGTAGTGTTTCGAGTAGGTAGGAATTAGGTAGGTCAGAGTTCGATTCCCATAAAACTATCAAATAAGTTTATGCATTATTTTCTCATATTTCAGGGTTTTTGTACTCCTGAAGGTTTTGTTCAACAATCCTTTGAATCGTTCTAGGATTTAGATTCTGTATGTAGGCTCTCGGGAATTCCCGGTCGGAACTTCAAGAGAGTTACAAAGGTTTTAAAATACTGTTAGGCTTATTATAATCATTGTTGCTAAGCCAAATATTTATACACCACTTATTATTTTGTCTGTAATAAATTAAATTTAAAACTTTGAAATCAAAAACATTTTTTGTGAGTATTTAAAAAAGACAATATTTTGAAATTTTACTCTCTGAAGTCCATGAGATCTAGTGGCGTGTATTGCAACACACCTTGTACACTTAGTCCATGAACCTATACTCTAATAAAAAATGATTGTTCTTGTGTATTTACTCGAATAAATAAGTAATATATCACACTATCAAAACGTTAATGTAGTAGATAACTAAAACACGAAACTTTGAGCAGTGACGTCATTTGGAGAGGGGCAGGGAAGGCATTTGCCTCACCCCTTGTCATCAACCTTTATTGGGCCGGGTATTGGTTAGTTTTAGGCCACAAACCTGCAAACATAATTCATGATTTATGTTGCACACGGCCACTTTTAGCTACAGTTTTTTTTTTTTTGAGATTTATTTGTGATAATAATTATATACAGTATTTTTTTTATTGTACTTTTTGTTAACATTGATTGCACTATACTTCAAATTACCGAATTCTCATAAGAATCCATGTAAATTTGTAGAGAGTGTCTATTTTTATTTAATTTATTCTATTATTATATTGATGTCCATGGTGACATGGTTATATTTTTTGTGAATACATGTACACTCCATATATATTGGCGCAAATATAATATATATTAGGGGAAAATTCACCTCAAATTAAATCTTCATATAGTAGCCAATAGGTAATATATTAAGTTATCCCTCTGTGTATATATTTATTATTTGGTCATTGTTGTCTCTCAAAAAAAATGAGTTATTCATATCTATAAGTAAGTATAAAAAAATGTAATAGATAAAATATTTTTTGTTTTACAAGTACCTAAGTTTTTGTTTTTAGTACCTATTTATAATGAGTGAAATACTGAAATCTTTAAACTCGTTAGTCTCGAAACATGGTTTTTTGAGTTAGATACCTACTACCCTAACGACACTGATAATGCAATACCTTACCTATTTCACATCTAGAACCATAATATCCCGTACCCGAACATCTGCATTTATATCCGGGTTCTTGAAAAGTTTGAACGCACACGCCGTTATGATAACACGGACCCTGTGCACAAAAATCGTATCGTCGGCCTAGGGATATATACATATATATTTTTTTTGTTACAAATCAGTTAATTTTAAGAAAAATATAATGTTTAAATTTAAGTGTAACAGTCATTTTTTGTTTTTTTTTGTTTTACCTTTTAACGCTTTACGACATTCTTCGTAATTACTGTATCTATACTCGGAATAGCAACCTATACCACAAAGACACGAACCTTCTTGTATTCGACAGCCTTGTCTAGTTTGATCGCAACCTTCGAGCACTGGTATAACTGAAATTTAAAAATATAAACTTGTTAAATTACCGCATGTTCCATTTCTATTTCATATAATAAATGTGTTTACCTATACATCAATAAAAAAAAACCAATTATCATATACTTAGTCCAAGTATAAATAAGAAGAAAATACGATGACTTATGACAAATTTGTAGATAACTACTTAAACGATATTAATTATGATAAATTGTAATAGACACTCCAAATTAATTTGTGATGTTTTAAAACAATACTGCCGTAGTTATGTATGAAAATTTATGATTAGGGTGATCTAACTTCAACATCCAAGAGTGAGAGAAGGGACGGAAAAAACAGAGGCTATGTATTTATTATGATATATGTGCCATTTCTGAGTTTACACAGAGCCATTTAAAGCTCATTCCGATCCCCCTTCTATCTCCAAGGCTAGTTATGTTAAAGGATTGTATTTTTCAGTCGTGTTAAGATTATTAAAAAGAAGCAGCATTCCGAATATTGTGGGTCTAGATAGAATAGTTTTTGAAATACGAGTGTACAAAAATCAGTTTTTGGCACTGACTAACTGACTCAAAATCAAAAATAAATTAGAATACAACTTAGAGTGACGTGGGAATTAATCTCTATAGATTAATATTGCACGTTGGACGTGGCAATACTACAAAAATAGTATAAATTCGACCGTATTGCATTTATAGGAATGTGTTTATGAATGCAATTCATTTATTTTATGCCAGAATGCGAATACAAATTATAGAATTTCAAAAAATATATCTTGAAATATATAATATATGAATAATATTTTTTTTAGTTTTATAGTATTCATTTATAATTATATGATATTTTTGTTTCCAATTTATAGGAAAAAAATGTCTATACAATTAGTTTTATTGATTTTACTATGTGTTATGTGATTTCTTTTTGTCTGTGAGCAACTTTTTTACCAGAAATCTTGCTCCAATGTATTAAGTGTAGCACTTTTTCTAAAAGGAAATTTTATTTAGTTGATGTATTTAACAGGTCATTTTTTGATTTTTCAAGGGGTTTTCATAATAATTACGAAAAATTAGAAAAAAAAATTATTGGAAAAATAGCAAATATTAACGGTACGCCACGGCGTTATCGATTTCATTGTTCTTAATTTTTACGAACATTGTTTTCTATCAGAAATAATGCTTTAATCGAAAAATTTCAAGTAATCTTTTCTGCTAAATTTTGTGTGTAAATACTCAAAAAGAAAATTGTTTTTTGATTTTCTGTGTTTTTTTAATAATTGAGCAAAACCTAAAAAAAAACGCAGAAATAACGAGAAAATTTTCGAAAATACTGGTTTTATTTTGTTTTTTTTTATTGCAATTTAGTTAAAAATATTCATAGAGATTAAAATTTTTTACAGAAATCTTACAATTGAATTTTTAAAACATTTGAACCATTTTTGAGCTATTTATAGACATTTAAATTAGCAAGTTTTTTATTTAATTTTTATGTAGTAGGTACTCTGAATAAAATTGTTAGACTAAACAGAAATGCTTAAACATTGAATAGAAGGTCCATTATAAGTCGTTCAGTGGTTAAAAAAAAAAAATAATAAAATAAAATAAATTGAGTTTAATGTAGTATTTTTTTTTTTTTTTTTTTTATAAGAATTTTAAAATTAAATTTCGAAATTACGAAAATCGTTAACATTACGGCCTTTCAAAACATTTATAACCGAACTTCGTTAATAATCGTTTTTCGTTAGCAATGGTTTATCGTTGGTTACATGTATAAATTTAATTACTTTATGTATCCTATCTGTTCAACTTCTCACCAATAATAGTGGCTGCATCCATTGTGCGAGGTATGTCTATTTTTTTTTTATTTTATTTACAATATTTATACAAACTAATTTTATTATGAAGAACCTAAAATTTCAATTGATCCTCAAATATTGATAAATATAAAGTAAAATGCATTCACTATAAAAATAAAAAAAATTTATGAATAGGAATGCATTAATTTTTTAAAAGGGATTTTCCAAACTTTGGTTTTTTTTGTACATGTATGTTCATAATAGTAACTATTTTAACTTTAGTAATTAAAATTGAGTAACTTGCTCTCCAGCTTTAATTAGATTATAGCTTTGGACTTTTGAAGTCCCAAGGAAGAAGACCAAAAATTATCTTTTTTCTGTGAACTAAAAATTGATTTATAATAATTTTATACTAGTAGGTGTACTTACTTATGGCTGTTATCAATAATAGCGGTAAGATCAACGGAGTGGCGTCCATGTTATTATGGACTGCTGTCTCAGCGATGAAGACGTGTCTCTTTTGTGCAGCGATCTGTGCGGTATGGTTGACGGGCGCGTTGTAGGTAACGGTAACAACAGATAACGGCAAAAACAACTACCCGTACTGTCAAAATAACAACAAATATAAAGAGCAATATCTAATATAACGACAATATGCGGAACACATGCGCGCTGGAAATAGACGCCGCCGTCGGTCGTCTCCTCTTGGGCCTGGTACGGGTTGCCGGCGGTGCACGGTGCGCACGCACGTCCCGTCTCGCGACCGCGTTTCGGTGATTTTATTTTTTAATTTAATTTTTAATCTCGTTTAAAAAAACACTAAACACAATTATTATTATAGTAATAATAATCATCATCGCCTCGCTGACCGGTATAACCGTATATGTTGTATAGTTTTATCTCGGTTTGTTTCCGGTGTTAATAAAATATCATTACTGCCGCTGCAGCTGCTGTTACCGCTGTCACTGAACTCTGCAACACCGACGACGGTATACAGGGTCTTCCAAATTTTACGTTACAATCGATTTCACCAAGAAATAATTATTTTTTTTAAAGAACTGATCGTAACTCTTCAGAATCATTTATAATAATAATATTTTTATCGGGGAAAAATATATTATAGAATTCACATAAAAATAAACTAAAAATTAAAATTAAAGTTAATAATTGACCAGGTACAGAAAATATATAAATAAATAATCACAAAATATCGTTGTTAGTTCAAAAAGCGATGAATGAAATAAATCGAAATTATACTCACTCACGTGGTATATAAGTGTTCTCAAAGTATTCGTTGTCCTTATACTTGGTTTTTTATTTTTGGTAAATAAAGTAACAACCAGTATACAACATTTCGATAAGTAAATGAAGTATTTTCAGCTTAATTGTTTCAATAGACTTTGGATTTGAAATTTTCCATATGACGAGATATATCACTTTTAAGTTCAGTAATTTTACAGACTGAGAGAGATTATATTACTATAGTAGTAGTGGCATCTATATAATACTCCACTCTCTCTACACTTTGTCCAGAAAATTGCGAAATTAAAAGTGGAATATCTCGCCAAAGACGGTTTATAGAAATTCAAATGTATTTGATCTAAAATATTATTTGTATTTTAATTTGTGAATTTTTAATATACTCGTAGCAAATCAAAAATTGGTAGTGGTTTTGCAACCGAAAATAACATTAGGGGTGATAAAAAATATGAGCAATGAAAAAATAAGTTTTAAATTATCAAACTCACCGTAAAATAAAATTTGAAAGACTCTGTATACGATGATGTACAAACAATGCACGTTACTGTAATCGTGTACCCGTTTACGAAATGAACTTTTTTTATTCTGATTAAAACCGTATATTCAAGATTATAATATGTGCGTATCATAATATAATATAAAGGTTTTATTCCGCAAATTTATTCTCCCCCCCTACCCCACAAACAATATTTCATATATATATATATATCACACGATAAAACATTACTCATAATTTTATATTCGCTCTATTATATTATAATATAAATTATTGAAAAAAAGTAGTCCACAATACACATAATGTGTTTTGTGCAATAACTCCATGTTATGAGTTAGCATCTATGTATCAGCAGTTTAACAATAATTTAATTTTTAAGTCGCCAAACTTTATAATTTCTTAGTTTTTTTTAGTATTTTATACAGTTATATTATTATCGTACAATTTGTTACTTATCTAATACAAAATAATAAGTAAACACATTTTTGAAGTCAGCAAATATAGTACTTGGAATCGCCAAATCTTCATCACATTTCTACATTGATTTTTTTTAGCATCAACCCTGTGTGGTTTGTTAGTTGAGAAGGTAGAATACTTATACAGGATGACTTATATTTAAACATGCTCACTTCATATTAGATTTCTAGTGGAGCGAGGAAGCTAATGGTTTTACAAAGATGTTTTTTTTTGTGGACAACTTTTCTACCAGAAAACTTGTTCCGATTTTTATGTGTAGCGCCTCTTTTAAAAGAAAATCGGTGTGAAGAGGTACTTTAAGGCGGTCATTTTTCGATTTTTCAGGAGTTTTCTCAACAAATGTGAAAAATCGAAAAAACTGAGGAAAAACGGGAAAATTTAAGAAATGAAGGTAGTGGTTAAAAATATTACGGCTTTCTTTTTTCTGTGGACAACTTTTCTACCAGCAATTTTGCTTTAACTTGTAATGATAGCAATTTTTCTAAAAGGAAATTTCACTGAGGAGGTAATTAGAGAGGTCGTTTTTCGATTTTTTCCGAATTTTTTTCAGCAAATATGAAAAACTGGGAAACAACATAGGAAAATTGAAGAAATCGAACGTTTGCAGCGCCTTGCTGAAAATAGAGCTAGAAACTCGCAAATGCGAGCACGGGAATCTTAAAAAAAAACTCTCTGCTTATGTGTATAATACTTACTGGCTTTGGAGTTGGGAAAACGGTCTTGGTCCCTAGAATACCAATGATACCAACCATTCTACAATTCCAGTTTAAACGGCTTTAATTTCCCGTGAAACTATGTTTTTCATTGACCATCAATAAGGCACAAGGTCAAACATTAAATGTTGCTGGTTTAGACCTTACCGTCATAGTCAATTGTACATGCCTCTATCACATGTCATATGCAAATAAATTTATTCGTGCTGGCCCCAGAAGGTGAGAAACTTAACTTGGTGTATCCAGAAATATTTAATGCTTAAAGCAAATAGTAATTTAAAATTTAAAAATATATGTCATAACAGAATACTTTTAGTCCATTGAAGGTGGATTACTCACTTTCCACCTATTTGTTTTTGTTCATTACTGACACGGCCAAAACCAAAAAGGAATATGGGTAAAAAAAAAAAAAATTCCCATTGACAAAGCTAAGCAGAACACCTAGTATACAACAAAAATACACTAATTTTAATATAGACATTAATTAGGTTAAATATTATGTATCACAGAATTTATATTAAAATACAATATTATACAAATTACAAAATTAGGCAATGTATTGTATTACATTATATTGTATATTATATATGTATTACATATCATTTTATATCTAACATAATTCTTAAATAAACTAAAATTAGAAAAACTCTTAATATCAAATTTTATTTAATTAAATAAGCTGATATCTACGTATATACATGTATATTAAATGAGTTTCTCTTACAAAATTCGGCATTGCACTTATTAATTTTAAATATATTTCTGTTGTTTTTTTTGTGTATTGTAATTGTGATTAAAACTCATTTTATTTAAGTTTATATAATATAAATTTAATAAGATCTCTTTTATTGCCATTGTTTAAAATTGAATAGGCTATGTTCATTAATTATTATATATATCTTTAGTAATTATTTGAAACGGGATTTTTTTTAATAACTCTTAATAGAGTATTCACAGTATTTTTAAACGACAATCATATGCTTCACTTTAGGCAGATATCCTGTATGAGTGTACTGACTGTGCAAGAGAACAGTTAACTATACGCATAGTATTTGACAATACATTTGGCTATCTATATTTACTATAAAAATTAATTTCTTGAGATTATTTTGCCAAATATATAATTGAGTACCACAATTACTTGTACTTATAGTTATGTAATTAGTGTAATTGTACAACCATTTCGTTGTTCATGTTTTAAAAAAATTGTATTATACATTTTAACTTAAAACTCTTTTAAAAATAAATTACACCAATTGACATAATGTTTTAAATATATTTTACTAACAAGTAAAATTTGTCATACATTTTACTTGTTAGTAAAATATATTTTTGATTTCCGCCAACATAACTTGTTTAGCGGCACAGACTAGAGTTTAAATAGTGCTCCATTCTCCCCACTTAAATTTAAAAATTCCTGAAATCATAATTTGCATTTATAAATAATTTACTTCTAAAAATGGGGTGAGCGTATTTAATGAATCATTTTGTATATCATTGATTACACGTATCGTATGCTAATAATATAAAAAGTTACGGAACTCAAAAAAAATAAATAAATATTTTTGTATAGATATTTATATTATAATATATTCTAGATAAGGACAAGGTCATTGAAGACAACAATTGTACAACATAAATTATACATTTAATATACAGAGTGTTAATGAATATTACCACAACTACCTTTTCCCTACTATGGAAGGACAGTGTGAGAGAGTTGAACTAATAACAAACTTTAACCATTTTTACTACCTTCAAAACCGGCGTTTTTATTTAATTTTATTATTATTTTATTAATAATTTTATTATTTAATTTTATTTTACTCTGTAATATTTGTGTAAGTTTGAATATAAATATTCTATGATATTTTCAGAAAATTTATCGTGTGAAATGTTAATCAATATATCAAGTGTCTTCAACCTGTTGATATTAAGCGTTTAGTGTTAGAATCATGCAAAAATGTGATTTTGAGTATGGAAATGTTAGTGATGGCACAATACACAGAAATACTGTATAAACAGTATTCCAATATGTATTCCATGGTATAAACCAGTGGTTTTCAACCTTTTACGAAAGTGACCCCTTAATTTTTTTTTTTCATTTATAACGAACTCTTAATAAATCATTTAATTAAACTTGAATAATACGATGAAAAGTATACATATGATACTTATGGTTTTTGGCGACCCTCTAACTATCATTCGGAACCGCTTTGCGGGTTACGACTCCCACGTTGAAAACCATTAATGTAATTGACTGTAACATGCAATTTGGTCGATATTGTACAGTGCATATTAAAATAATAAAACAAAAATGTCAAAATATTATAATATTATATGGAATGATGATACACCAAACCGTCGTTTATTATATTGTTTAAACAGAGTGATTCACTTATTACATACGATGATACATCTCGGAAAGTATTAACTTATTGAAATTTTTTTTTTTGAAATATTAAGGAACAAATAGTTCTAAAATGTTACATTATAATTTTTTTGTGGGGGAAATGGCTTCCTAAATTTTATTTTTAAATAGTAACCTATATTGAACATGCATTAAATTAATGGAGTTACAGTTGACATAAATTCTTTAGGTGAAATTTTTGATATCTGTTAACGGATTGACAGTTAAACGCTAAAATTTATTTTAACTAAAACTCCATATATTTATAGAATTTTTAATATAGATTCCCATTTGAAAAACTAAAGATGAAAACACAACAGAACACTCCTTAAATGCTGTGAAAAACGCGATTTTACAATAAATTACAAAGGTTGAAAATCCTGGGTTCGAGATTCCAGATTTATCTCAATAAATTGAATTCCCGCTAAACCATATTCACGTTTTTATTTTATACACTGGACTAGATATGAGAATGTTTAAAGTTATCAAATATAACAATTATTATACGATTTATACAATTATTGTACAATTAACATATTTCAGTCGGCTTAGGATGTAAATATTTGCATATGACGTTTCTTAAATTATTTTTGGCATCATCTTGTTCAAATTCGTTGTACACCTAAACCATAAACAAGTCAATGTATACATTAACATAAATTATTACCGATAATTACCAAAAATATATTCATATATGTATAACACTCACTCCATTGAATACAATGTAAGGTATAACAGTCGATTGTGTCGGTAGAACGGTTCGCGTTCGATTGCTATGGTAAATCATCAACGAATCGCTTAATTCTCTATTTATGAAACATTTTTTTATTTTACCATAATATCCGCTGTACATGCCCAACTTTCTGGTGCACTAAAATAAATTAAGTAGAAAAAACCATCATAAATTATCGTAATTGCGTAATTTATCCCATAGTATTATAATAAAATTACTAATTTTATTTTTACAATTACGTACAACTTATGATGAACCTCATGTTAAACCATTACTAATAAAAAACGGTTTGGAGAAAAGTTATTTTATAAACCTAATATGTCCTTTTACATAATATGTTTTGAAAGCCTGTAGAATTTACGATTTTCATACAAATTTGATTTTAAAACTCTTATATAAAAAAAAAAAAAAAATACCACTACATAAAACTCAATTTTTTTTTACCACTTGGTATAAATTATAATGAATTTCCTTATGAATTTTCAAATATTTCTGTTTCGTCAAAAATTGCATCCACGGAGTAGAGTGTCTACCAAATAAAAATTATGTGAACAATTCCCAAAATTAAAATCTCTATAAATAGCTCAAAATTTCTAAAATGTTTTGAAAATTTTAATACGTCTAGGAAAGGCCAAAGGGTTTCTGTCATAATCTCAAGTCTCTATGAATATTTTTTACTGATTTGCAATAAAAAGGACATACTTTGTACGTGAGCGGACCATCGTTTTAGTTGAGAAGGCTGAGGGCAAATTTAATGTATATTTGTACGCAACGATAAACCATTGCCAATGAAAAAACGATTCTGAGCGGAGTTCGGTTGATCGTGTTGCTTTTTCAGCAATATATTGTATGCCATATTGTAGTCAAATAATTACATATGCATTGTATATTTTTTTTTTATATTTGTTTAATATTGTATCTTATTTTCCCATTTATCTTATGTTTTCCTATGGTCTTTCCTATTTGTCGGGAAAACTTCTGGGAAAATCAAAAAAAATGATATCCTTAAAGTATCTCCCCAGTCAGATTTCCTTTCAGAAAAAGTGCTATTATTGTAAATCGGAATAAAATTTCTGGTAGAAAAGTTATCTACAGAAAAATAAATAAACATTATTGTAAAATCAATACTTTTCTCGCTCCATTCAAAATCTAAAATTAAATAATTTCAAATAGCTATAAATAGATCAACAATGTCAAGAATATTTTAAAAATTGTACCATATCTAGAAAATACTAATATATATTTGATGAAAATGTTTATTATCTATTATTAATTCTTCCCTAGTTACAAAAAAATCAATATAACAAAGCCATTATTACGTATATTTTGCTGTTTTTCTTACGTGTTTTGCTAATTATGAAAAGAATTGTAATAAAAAAAAAAAATTATCTGCTAGAAACCACCCTTACAGTTGATGATCGGAGCAAAGTTTATGGTAGAAAAGTTGCTGACAGACAGACAAATTTAATATAACTACACACAATAATTACAGTAATTTTATAGTTAATAAATATAGGTCATAGGTATATGTAGTGGTACATCGGATGTAGGTTGTAATTAATTAATTAATTAACTAATTAACTAATTCAAACTTAAAACATTAATACAAAAATTGTCTAGCATTATTATTCGATTATTATATATTATTATTATCGCGATATACATAAATAATAATGAGGTATCTAGTCTATTTTCACATTTTTGAAATTAAAATGATAAATGTAATACCTAGGTAATACGAATAAGGGAAAGCACTATTTTACCGTGCCGCATTTCCAGATTTCTTTTGTATCGATTAAAATAATTGCTACAAAATCATCATATATGATTTCACAAATAAAATACGAGTAGTTATTGTTGACAATAGTTTTTATAGCTGTGACACAAACATGAAAACGTCCAGATTACAGGATGTGTTAATTCCTAAGAAATAGACTGTAGTATATATAGTAATACATTTTCAAAATTGTATACAGCACTGAAAAATGGTCATCTATTTTAAAATTATATCATGTGTTTTACATTTTTTCTGGGAAAATATTGTACTGTATTGTATATACGTGTTCGATTCATACAATCTGTAATCGAAAGGTTAAGTATAGAATAATGAAAAAAAATGCTCATAATTAAATTACCTGAATAATTGCTAATAACAATTTTATAACTAGGCGAAAATTATAGTCTAGTGAAGTAAACTAACTATAATAAGCATATATCGTTATTTTAGAAAGTATTATATTATTCGAACATAATTATTAGTCATATTATTACTGAAGTAATACCTACGTGCGAAAAATATTCTTACTTGATATCCCGAAAGTATTTTGTCTGTAGAATTCATATAGCATACCAAATAATTAGCTAATAATTGTAGTTTAGATGGTAATATGTGTATACTACACGCTTGCCATTTATTTTTTGAACATTCATCGGGTCCATTTTTGCATTTAAAATACCATCTTCCGTCAAATGATTTTTTCTGTAACACACGTACAATAATTATTACCTATATTATGTTAAATGACTAATTTCTCTAATGTATCTCTGCATTATTCGGTTTGGTACTTTTGAATTTTATAATATGACATTTCAAAAAATCTATAAGATTTCACTCAAAAAAAGACTATTAATAATATAAGATATCTACCAAATAATAAAAAGCCGGACGTACTTTACACTGTGGGTAATTTGTAATTTATAGTATATAGGTATAGGGTATTTAATTTATGTATTAAAAATAACAATTAAGCGTTATAATAAAAAACGGGTTTTTGATAGGAATTTGTTAGTCATGTAATTTCCGTTGAAGATTTGTAGTCGAAGTGAATTCAGAAATCAACAAACATAAATATAACCGGTGCATTGACATTTCTTAGTTTTTTTTAAAAATTTGTATAGAAAAATAGAAAAACTTTCAGAAGTCTAGACATTTTTCACAGATAAAGAAATGCCGAGCAAATAATCTAGAGTATTTTTACTAACCAAAAAAGTGTTTTTCCGAGAAAAAATTAACTAAGTAACAAAGTGAACTGTAAACAATTTCAAATTCATAAAAAGGGTGTCAAGTAATGTAGTACCACCAGACGAAAATTCCACATCAAGATATGCCATGAACAAATGGGATCATTTCACTTAGGTACCAAAAATGTGTTTTTAAAAGAAAACATAAGGTGCAATTATTTAAAAAAATTGTTGGGAATTTTTAAAAAAAATGTTCAAATTAAGTATCTTCCACCATACCATTTTTATTAGCAACAAATTAGTTTTCCAATAAAAAAGAACCGCATCTTACAATAAAACTCTTAGCTTTTTGCTATACTTGGAATCTAAAAATAATAAAACAGCACTTCTTACTTCGGCATTACCAAATGGTACAAAATCAAAGTTGACATATTTGTGAAATTTGACTAAATTAGGTCCTATTTGATGTACGAATAAATCCACACATTCCGAGCACAGGCTTCCGTAGTATACTGACACCGTAATTTTCTGTAGAAATAAAACCCGGTTAATTATTAAGTTAATTTAATATTTATTTAAATACTCACTGGTACAGAATTTTGATTTTCAACGGTTGGAAAATCGTGTTGTAGTGAAGGTTTGATTTGTATATTTTTAACGCCGCTACCAGAATCCACCGTGCAATACGTAGATTTAGAAATTATTATCAATAAAAAAAAAATTGGAAAAAAGATACTCGTGATCATTTTTATACGTTACTACGATAGTATTATAAGTTTATATTTTACAGGATAATATCAAAACGAGCGGAAGGCAGTATAATACCTACATATAACGCGTATAATATATTTATATTTAGGTATATCTATTAACATAAGCACATCCTTCTGGTACGTTTATTTATAAGCGACTATTTTACACGTATATAATATTTCTATAATGTAGAAATGAGACGTTGTACCTACCTACTTACTTATACTTTGTGTTGAATACAATTTTTACAATAAATCACGTAGAACGAAACTGCATATAGTAATTATAGCGTTTAATCTGATGATATACTTTATTTTATCTCAAATGGCTATTTAATTAATCATAATATATATATATATATATGTATGTTGGTTATATTATAAAGATTTATTTAAACTATATAAGTTATAATATTATTATCGTTATAAATTATTAAGTGAATTATTTATTTATTTAATATTTTATGTTATACAATTGGATTTCACACTACAAATTACACACGCAGCGTTAAATTTAAATGACATAATATATAACGATGTATTGAACTATTGACTTTTATAGTATGTAAAAAATGCGTATTACACTTAAATGAAATTTCAATTTTAATTGTATTAGCACCGTAATACTTGAAACTTTACGGCGTTTCAACTAAACCTATTTGAAATAGTTTTTTGTAAACATACTTGTAGGTAGAGGTAGTCAGGTAGATACTTAAGATACTCGAGAAATACTGTAAACAAGTATGAAGAGTGACTTTTGGATTGAAGTTCCGGACAAAGAACTCATTGAATCAACGTCAAAACATATTCATTAGCGATCTTTTCGTTTTACATTTCAAATATATGTACTTATCCATGCTTTTTTTATGTCACAAAATTTGTAATTCCATCTGATGTCACAACTGTATACCTAAACTCGAAAGTTTAACTGTAGAACGCACTCCTTTATATTAAAGGGTAAAAATAAATATGTTCAATCATCGTGTTATAATTCAAAGACATCGCCGTATGTCTAAAACAAAAAGTCCAAAAACTAGATCTGTGTTACCTAAAAATTATTTACGTGAATTTTCATCGATTACAAGTTTACATGGTATAATGTATTTGGGTGAACCCAACAGACCTCTATTTGAAAGGTGAGTGTATTCAAAACAAAAATATGACTACAATACTATTTACGTAAGTGCTTAATTTTTATTCGATAGGTACTATATAGGTGAAATTGGTAGACTAAACAGAAATGCTTGACAATTTAACAGGAGATTCATTTAAGTTCATTATAATTCGTAATTAGTGGTAAAAAAAATAATAATTTAAATAAATTGAGTTTAATGTAGTAATTTTTTTTGTAAGTGTTTTAATATCAAATTTTGAAGATCATAAATATGACGGCCTTTCAAAACGTGTTAACCGAACTTAGCTCCAAATCATTTTTCTTCAGTACTAGTTGATTATTGCTTACGGATAAAAATTAAATAATTTTATTTATCCTACTTTTTCAACTTCCTAACTACAACAGTAGCCGCACCGATCCTCAGTATCAGCTCTTTTTTTTTCTGTGAACAACTTTTCTACCAGCAATTTTGATACGATTTTTAATTATAGCACTTTTTTTGAAAGGTACAATATTTAATAAATATTATTAAAGAAAATATGTAACGTATATATAACTATTTTACCATAATATTACATAAATATTATTGATAAAATAACACTATTAACCGAACTCCAAGAAAGGATCTATTGGTTTTACTATGGTATGATTTTTTTAAATTTATTTTCTATTTGTAACAAGTATAAAAAATAGCACATTTTCTGGTGCTACACCAAAATTTGTTTTCTCTAGTTAGACTTAGCAGTTCCCATATACATATATATATATAATAATATATATAAATTTGAAAATAAGAATCTTTGATGCGAATGATCTCGGGAACCACTCATCCGATCGTCACGATTTTTTTTTAACGAAAGAGTACATTTCAAATTTAGTAATATCATAAATTAAATTCTCTAAGTTAATTGAGTAATTAATAATAATGCTGATTTTAAATGGTCAAAAAAAATTAGAACGGGCTTTTACAAATAATTTTTTTCTAAGAAAGTTGAAATGCATTCCGAATTCTATAAATGTGAACGTGGAATACATTCATTATAAAAATAAGGAAGACTGATTAGAAATTCATTACTTTTCAAAGTAATTCTCGAAATACTGGTTTAATTATATAAAGTACTTACATAGGTAATAGATTCTTACGAGTTGGATATGATGATACCTAACGGTTTAGATGCAATATAGCTTTATAATATCAGTATATAAATCCAAGTTTTGATTCAAATTACTATAACTGTAACCAAATATTCAATAGTTTAAATCCAAGCAAACAAAAATAATAATAAATCTTTTGTATGCGTAGTGATTAATTGCATAATAATCATAATAATTTTATCACTTTATTTATACCTATATCGTTAAATTAAATGATTATCTACTCGTCCTTACCTAGGGTTTTTTGGCTCTGCGTTATGTCACTGGTAGTGTCGTTATGTGGTTGGCAAATATACCAATTATGTAGTAACTGGTCGAGTAGTCGAGTGATAATGACGATAAATAATAATGCATACGATATAGGGGGTCTACCATTTCCAGCGATTACATTCTGTAGCGATCTTCAACTTCAGAATATTAACAACAGAACCCCTAAAGACGACAAGTAATTATATATATTATATATTATCATTTTTACACAGATAATCAATTATTCGTTTTAAATTTTAGAGAAATGAATGACGTAATAAATATATTGTGTTATAAATTCGACGTTCATGCAAATGTGACTTTAAAATTTATTAACACGAACAATTGGCAGCATGTAATAAAGGTAAACAATTATATATTAATACTTTCATTTTAACTAATTTTCACGTCCTTTAAAAATGTTATATATCTAACTAGTTTTAGTTAGGTACCTATTTTACATACTTATAATTAACACGCTAATCTTATGTTTTATAGAATTTAAAGCTAACAAATTGTTTAATATAATATATTTAAATCATTTTTTTTTTATTCGAAGAATCATAAAATATCATGTCAACAAATAATTTCCAAATTATTTTGGCTTCAAGATGAAATTCATTCGCCTTGTGATTATATCCAACCGTTAATAACATCGTACGGTCTTTGCTATTCTTTAAACATGGTTCCTCATCGTCACCTTTACAAAAACGATTATTTTCAAACGTACGTTTTGATATGTATACATATACCTAAAGTTAATATTATATATATTATCATATAATATAAACAAAATTTAATCCCCTATATTTACTTTTAGAATGGCTTTTTTGAATCACACACACTCAGAAAATATACTTCAGAAAAACGAATCGGTATGGACTCCTGAAAACCGTTACAGTATAAATGCTACTCCTTTCGACCTACCGTGGAGAGTCACGGGCGATACTATCGAAAATGCTGTACGGTTGGTATTTAATCTGAAAAATACAAATCTGGGAGGCCATTGCCCAGAAACGGATTCTGGACTTACGGTAATTGTGTATCGTTTGTATAATATATATAGGGTTAGGTTAGGCACCGGATTATTAGTAAAGTAACAAGCTCACGTGCATGGATCATAAGAGAAGTATTTATAGAGGAGGGAGGAAAGTTGTCCGTGCCCGCTCTATCGGCCGTACATTAGTATATATGTTAATAACTCTTATAGTAACTATAGATGAGTATAACCTTACGTATATACATATTATTGTATAATTTGTACATAATCGTCACGATCTAAAAGTATAACTGATAAATCTTCAAGATGTACATGTCATCATGATAAACATTTTTTGAACAAAAGTTTGTTGGTACAAAAGTCTAATGAAATAAAATATAACGTTTCACTGACACTATTGTGACAATAAGTTAATATTATTTGAGATTAGAGAATATAATATTGTAACGGGCAATCATCAACGTTGGCGTACGTTAATAATTTTTTATTTTTAATCGTATTAAAGTAACAGGTATAGTGTAAAGAATTATTTTTTAATACATTGCACATAAATAAATATAAAAACATGTACCTAATGTTAATGAAAGTGTACGTTTTTATACTGTCGTTTATTTATTTGTTTTTACATTTATTTGTAGAGTTTAATATTTAGTTTTTCTTTTTTTGCTCCCCTCATTATTAATTTCTAAATACATCCCTGTGAATCATCATATGACTCATTCAGTTCGAGTTGTATAAAATTAAAAAAAAAAAAATGTTGTCCAACTCGCACTGTATATCGCACCTATATTGTAAACTTATATTTATTATTTAGGTGATTAAAATGACTTCGTTTTATCTCTTCTTTACGTTACCATTGACGCTCTAGATCTTTTATTAACCATCTTTCCGGGTCTCGTCCTATTCCATCAGATTTTTCATTTGCCTCACAATCACCATACATCTTATAGGCTTAATAAGTAATTATCTCCTACATCGTTATCTGCGTCTTCTCAATTCTGCTTAGTCTGGGCTACTACCACCCATTCTACTTAGATTTATGTTACTCCCTTGTTGTACCTCCTTCCACTTTGGCCCAGTTTAGTCTTAAGTTCAATCTGTCACAATTACCAGCTTTGGTACTGTAAGTTAAAATAATACTCAATTGCAGATAATCGTACACAACCCGGCGGATACTCCAATCGGTATGAAACCAACAGCTTACGTTACTCGCAACAACATGTTGTCTATTTCATTATCCATAGTTGTTATACACACGTCTCCAAAAATTACAAATTGGACTCCGAAAAATAGAAACTGTTATTTTCAAAATGAAAAAAAATTGAAGTTTTTTAAAATATATACGTCTCACAACTGCGAAGTAGAGTGTAGGGCCAATAACACACTCGAAGAATGTGGTTGCAACGCTTATTTTCAACCGAGTAAGGATTTAGATTTTTGATTAAATAATAATCGACCATAACTATTAATATTTAATATATATTACATATTCGTTTCATTTAAAAGACATGAACTATTATAAAACTATATTATTGTTCAGGGGCGTCTCCAGACCTTGATTGTAGGGGGGAGGCGAAATAATTAAATTTAATATTAATGACTAATAAGAAAAAAAGATGGAAATACTTCGCACGATGGATGGACCATTGTTATAGATGAGAAGTTGGGATGGTAGGAGCTATTGCCTCCCCCTTCATGGACGCGCCTGTTATTACCTGTATAAATAAGGCACATGTTAAAATTGTATAACTATTCAAGAAAGACAAAAACATGTAATGTCCATGAAGAAAATTTAAAAACAAATTGCATGTTTATAAGTACAGTGTTAGATATCCTTAGGTGTAGGTAGAGTTCTTTGTTACGAGTATACGCGAGAAACCATTTTATTAAAGTGAACACTGAGAGGTCCTCACACCCCTTCCAATAATAAATAAATAATATTCGTAATTGATAAGATAATACTAAATCACTGAGTTTTAAGTTTTTTATAGTTAAAGTAGATTACTAAAATAGACTAATTCAAAATATATAACAGCACACTAAATTCAACTTAGAGTTTCAGTAACTTTGATTTTAAATTCCTAAACTGATCTAGGCGGTCAGACATGACATCCAATGCAGTGAATAATACTAAGTAAACAGTTCTAACACAATAACGAATTTAACACTTATTTTTATTTTTTAAATACAAGTGAGGTTGTAAAATTTTAAAGGATCTGTTAACACTTTAACAGACACATTTTTATCATTAAAAAATATAATTCTTTTACATATGCAGTGTCCCACCATGTTCAGCGGATTTTTCTAGAGCTATTAATATTAGATATATATATATTTTTTTAATCGGTGTTTCTTCAAGGGGGGGCATCGATTTAAATAATAATAATCACAATCGCCGCATGATAATTCCTTATCGCAACTGTAGTTTATTGAATCTTAATTGTTTTCACACTTATTTTCTAGAAATTAAAACGACTATTACTAAGAAACTATTCATCGGATATGAATGTGCGATAAATTACAATTTTTAGAATAATATCTTTTACAAAATGGCTACTTTGACAATTTTGTAAAGTGAATAAATAAAAAGATTTTTTTTTTGTGTTTAAAGAATGAAAAAAAAAAATTTATTTATTTTCCAAATCGATGCCTTCCTTGTAGACAGATTGAAAAAAAAAAAAATTGAAAAATATTTAATATTAACAGCTCTAGAAAAATCCGTCGAACATGGTGCGAGACACTGTATTAGATATGTATAATAAAGAACTAAATTAAAAAATTAATTACTCAGTACACTTAAGTAGATACTAGATATATGTTATAGGCATAACATAAAGAGTTTGATTATATAGAAGTAACTCATACCATTAGTCAGAAAATCTATAATAATATCATTATAATGTCATTCCGTTCTGTATTTAACTGTTTGTATATTTGTTAGATTATTAAATATACAACAATATAAATATTATATTTTGATTTACAGGAGATCCAAATGTTCTGGTGTGCGGTTCCAATAGTACCGATTGTGTTAGAGAATCGATGACTATTGGTAAGTATTTGCATTATTATCGTTATTAGTTTTTTTTTTTTTTATAATTCAACTTTAATTATTCATAACTATTATTCCGTACGTGATGTCATGCAGGTTATTCGATTTTCGATAAACAATTAAAGAAGTTAAATAATATGGATGGTTGTGAATGTCTGCCGGCCTGTATGGACATTCGATATGATTATGAAACTGTAGAGTTTTTCAGGAACTGGACAACAAATTCTACATCGCTAAAAATGTAATAACGAAATGTGATTAAAAAATGAATAAATACCTACAATTAATATTATTATGAGGTGATTTTCTATTTTGATTTGATGTATTTAGAAATGAAGATAAATCCATGGTAATGGCATACTATAGAAGAAAACTTGCAGTTAGTATACAGAAGTCTCCGTTAATGCCGTTTAGTGAACTTTTAGGTATTACCTAATTTTTTAACATAGGCATCATACATTTTTTGTTTTACTGCAATTAATAATATTATTTATGTGTGAATTAATTTTTTAAGGTAACATAGGTGGATTATTTGGATTATTTCTGGGCTGCAGCATAGTCAGTTTTTTTGAAATTATATACTTTTTTGTAATACGATTGTATTTTAATCAACGAGATAGGAGGATGGCTAAATCAAAAATAATGCCAAATATCATTCTTGATGAATAGGTAATAAAAGAAAAATCAATTATTATAATTTAATAATATTATAATACTACTTCTGCGACGAGTATCTATATATAGTAATAATAAAATATAGTTATATTCAGCTTTGAAAATAAAGGATTACATCGACTATTCAATTAAAATTTGCAACAACTCAACAAAAATTAAAAATTAATAAACATACTATTTTTTCTCTTTTTCAAAATTATTTCTATTTAAGAATGCAATAAAAATTAGTTATATTATTGAGTACTATTGAGCTCTTATTTCGTTTTATAATAACATATTTTTAATTTTGGTTTAACATATCCCAGTACTAATGTGAATCAAGTATATAGGTACTTATTATAATTAATTATTGTATTAAATATTTATATAGTATTAGAAATAGTGGAAACATCAATTAATGAATTAATGACATAATGGTATTTGTGCATACCGAAAATTGCGTTATTATTTATTTAAGTTTTAAATGGGCCAGGGGCCCAATCACACAAAATTTAATAACAATCGTTCGTTAACAATGATATTAAAAAAAAAAAGAAAGCAAAACAATAAAATAAAATATACAATTAATATATAATATTAATAGCTATGTATGAAATTACAATACATTTTGAAAGAGTTATAATTATCATAATAATGTCAGTATTACGTAATTATTGCAATTATTACTAAATTTTTAATATTTCATGTATATTTAGAATTCTAAATAAGAAAATATTATACGTAAGTATTAAACAACTTTTTCAAAATTTAAGATTTGATGATATTTTATCGGTTACCCATATAACCCATATAATTAAAAAATATATTAATTAGGTAGTTCGAAATTTTCTCATCGACTAGACAATTAACTATTGGTGATCGACTACAAGTGAAAAACTGAAAACCGTTAAATACAGTTGGGCAGCTGGGTACATACCTACACGAAATATCGATATTATGTAAAATATTGGTAAAAATATCAATGTTTAAGTAAAAACCGCATGCCATATATTTTAATTTTTTTTTTAATAAAATAAATACACATTTTATATATTCACTTACATATAGTATACTGTATGTTAATATTTTATTCCTATTAGATTATATATTGCAGTTAAAGGTTAAGAACACATATTATGTCGATCTAATGACGAAAAACATGTACCTAGGTAAATAATTCATATTATATTATATTATATAGTTGTCCCACAAACCCATTGTAATATCTCCAGAGATAATTAAGATGATCAAATTATATATTTTTTTTTTATTATTAACAGGGAAAAGGACTAAAAATATTTATATTGCAATTAATTTTTTATGCTTTGATAAAAACTTAAAGAGATAACTTTTTATTTTATTGCTTTTAAAAAATTTGAAAATAGCGATTTTATTTTATTTTTTACAGTTTATTTTTCTGAACATTTTGACGTTTCAACTTTTTATTTTCATAATTTGTATTAATTTTTTAAAGTTTAGAGAAAAATACATATAATTATGCAGCAAGCTGTAATTGCATTCTCTAATCTAATTGATTATTATTATAATTACGATTAGATGACTGATACTTCTTTTTTCTGAACTTTAAAAATTTGTTAAAAATCACGAATTTAATGAAAATAAAAAGTTGATACATCAAAATGTGTAGAAGAATAAACTCTGTAAGATAGTTAGTCTCAATTTTTTTTTTAAAATAACGAAATAAAGTTATTTTTTAATTTTTTAACAAAACAAAAAAAATGTATTTCAATATACATATTCGTAGTCCTTATCACAGTGAGTAATATAGAAGTTAATCAGAATTGTCCGGAAATTTTCAGTAATCATACAGACTATACTATTCTGGAAAAAATCATTAGTAGCATTTATACAGACTGTAAAATTCTGGAATGTATAAATTTACAAACAAGAAAACGGCGGACTGTATAAATCCGGAAAATGTAATCGTCCGGAAAAATAAATGCCTAAACCAGAAAGACCCGGACTATTATAATCTGGAATACAAAAATACGCGTACTGTAATGTCCCGGACAAGAACCAGGGCCTAAAATTATTGTGTACAGTGGCGCACATTATATGCAGTAGTTAATATTAAACGTGCAGTAGCAAATTTAAAAATGTGCAATATTTATTTTAGGCTATTATACATTTTTATTTGATTAATATCCAATATTGATAATTCAATATAATGAAAGTTACTAATTAGCATGCATTCAATTAAAATCCTTAATACTAAAAATAATACCGACAATACTGTTTGGGTGACGCCGATAACGATATTCTTTTTTTTTGTATTACCAGTCTAAATTAAACTCTTATTCAGCAGTTTTGTATTGGCTTAAAGAAAAAAATAGGCATGTTAAGGTACACAGTCGTATGCTGTTAAGTAGGAATGGTTTCGAGAGGCTTTCTTTGAAGCTGAAGCCTCAAAAAGTATTTTTTTTGCTGAGAATAATAGTACCAAAGTTTGTTTTTAACTAAATTTATATAATTGTTTTAAATATAACGTTGTGTTAAATATTGTTCCTAGTAAAGTAGGTATTTGTTATTATTTAATAATAAAATAAGTTAGTAAACATTTAGTTTTGTCAAAATAATATATAAGAAAAATGTAAAAACTGCAAATATATCTACAAAAATGCAAATAATGCTCCAAAATTACTAAAAAATTACCAAAAAAATGCAAAATATATATTGTTTTATTGAATTATACATGATATAAGTCACATTTCTGTAAAGACAAGCCTCGTGTAAACGCATTAGAAAAAAAAATGCAAATGCATCAATTTCCGGGCTTTATTAATAAGTGTATTAACCCAAAATATTTAGTTTTTAATTTTAAAATTTCTAATCATATATCAAGAACTTTTATAGAAGATTGTCTTCGATTCTAAGACTGAGATTCTTAGATTCTTTGTTCTACAGATTGTATTTATTATAACTTATTATTAATAAATACCAAAAACAATTATGCAACGAAGTCATATGTGGCATGTGCACTACTAGGTCTATGTTCATTATTTTAAAACACTTTGGTATGTGGAATTAGGTGTGCAGTGGCAAAATACCTTAATTTTAGACCCTGACAAGAACTTTCTAGAATTTAACGAAAAATCACTGATAGATGGCGATGTTTCACATACACAGTACAAACAGAATAAACGCATTAAGATTAAAAGGTTTATGATTTTATGGCTGTTTTCAGAGATGAATAGGTATGCTTAGACCCGGTGTCACGGTTATCAGTATTAATAGTGTTTTTAAAATTCCGGATTATTCTTATGCGTGATATTACAATCTGTAAGATTATATTCCGGAAATTTCTTGTCCGGGACATTACAATGCGCATATTTTTGTATTCCGGATTATTATAGTCCGGGACTTTCTGGTTTAGGCACTTATGTTTTTCGGATTTTTACAGTCGGTATATTCTGGTATGAGCATTTATTTTTCCGGCCGATTACAGTCCGGACATTTACAGTGTTTCATATTCTGGATTTTTACAGTTCGCCGGTTTCTAGTCTATGAAATTTACATTCCGTAATTTTACAGTCCGTACTATTATTTTTCGGGAATTTCTAGCCATCCATATAGAAAACCAGAATTTGATTATTTTTTTTTATCCTCGTAGATATTACAATGGGTATATCTTCGTGGGACACCCTGTATGTACCTAGAAGTATTTTATTTCATAGTTCTAGAATTGAAAACAAACGCGTTCTTTGTTTAATCATTACGCCATTGTAACGTCAATACTTTTTTATTAAACATATATATTAGTTTCGATTAAGTATATATATATGTATAAAAAAAAAAAAACCATTTCGAATTTTAAAATATTGATACGTTTTTATTTATTTTTAATAACATATTCTACGATTTATTAAATAGTTACGCATCTCTATGCACATTCATTTACGTTATTGATTATATAATCATTAATCAATTTGGTATGTATATATAAAAAATATGATATTAAACGTAACATAATGTTTACCTATACCTACTTGTATTTTATCTGTAAGCCTATAAAAAAGTAATGTAAATATATTTCGAACATATAATATTTTAATATTTATTTTTATAATACTACCTTTGTTTGGCTACCTATGACAGGTATAAATGGGTATTTTACTTATTATTTCACAAGATTGAATGATCAGAGAAAAAATAACTCATCTAGACGTGTATAATATGGGACTATAGTTATGAATAATATCGAATAATTCGACGTTTTTCAAACCAATGGCTTGCATTATAATTATAATAATAATATGTAGGTATATCATATTCGACCTTTTATCTAATCGTTTTTTATCTTATTTGCCGTGCAAAAAACACGTATTAAAAACAGTCACCGTGTTAGTCGCAATCGATTTTTTTGTAAAGACGATTTATATTACTTCATGTAGAATGTAGACATAAGATTAATAATTACACATGTATTATAAACATCATACCAGTATAAATGGTATATAAATGCAGTGTTATTTTATGTATACTAACGAGAGGTGAATAAGAGACGAAGTGCGTAAACTACAATATTTCATTACCGCTATCGTTAAATAAAATTCTAAACATGAATTTGTTTAGTAACTTTATTACAATATTAACGTCTATGACGACGTTGGCTTTCGTTATATTTTTAGCCTCTGGTCGGCGTCAATCAGGTAATCCTATTGTAATAATAACATTTATTAGATTGTATTTTTATCATTCAGTTCGATGTTATTTAAATTAAATATCAGTATGTATAATATTATATATCTGCTTTAAGAAAGTAAAAATAGCTATTAAATTAAATTACATCAACAGTTTTTATAAAACCATAAACAATAGTAAATAATATATTGTATTAAATTACAAAGAATATTATGTTTGATATTTAAGAACTAATAGATAATACATTACCGTTGTTATTATATTCAACTATAACACCATTTTCATTCATGATAAAATTTTTCATATTTAATACAAAAATAATACATTTTCTTAATAAATTCACGATGATTTAAATAAGGAAAGAATATTGATGGATGCTGTTGTTTTTGTTAAAATGTATACATTTAAAAAATAATAATTTAATTTATTTTTAATTTTTGTTTTTGTTTTTTTGTCAAAAAAAGTTAGGAAGGTATCTACCATTATAATTTCTATGTAACAGTGGTGATAAAGTTCCGGATGGGTGATTAAGGGTTGATGGGTCTATGAACTAGTTTTGGGCGGTATTTTCGGAAAAGTGCTTTGTATGGTCTGGTCTAAAAGTAATAACTGAACAGTTTAATCTTCTTCGACTAAGTTAACTGTCAACATCTTAACTCATCGCATAAAGATATTATAAAATAATCCTTTTGTAAATATTAAGAAAGATAGCAGAGGTTGAAAGCTAACTCCTAGGATAGCTCAAAGAATTTTTGCTTAATGCTAACATCATCGGTTGTATCTATTTTGGACTATGAATTCTTGTCAAATTATTTTTAATTATATTTCCCTCTTTGTCAAATAAAGATTCAATATAGTGATAGAATTAATTACCAAAAAAAGGAAACAACTAGACGTCGTGAAAAGAGACTTCAGTTATAATATAAAAACCAAATTTGACATAAAAAATCTGTCTCAAAACCACCAAATAAAATTATTCCACTGATAGATACGCTTTATTCATAAATTGAAATTAAATTTTAGATTCTGAGTGAAACGAAAAAACTTATGGTTTTACAATTATGTTTATTTTTTTTTCCCGTGAACAACTTTTCTGCCAGGAATTTTCATCCGATTTACAATAATAGAACATTTTCTGAAAGGAAATTTGACTGGGGAGGTACGTTAAAAAGATTATATTTTAATTTTCCCAGGAGTTTTCCCAATAAATGGGAAAAACCGGGGAAAACCAGGAGAACGGGAAAATAGGTACATTATTAAACAAATGCTACTAAAGAAAATGTTTAATGTATATTATGTAATTATTTTACCATAATATGACTACATATAAAATATTGTTGACAGAGCAACATTATCAACTGAACTCTGCTTAGAATCGTTTTTCGTTTGCAATGGTTAATCGTTTCTTACAGATATATATTAATTTTCGTCTATATCCAAACTTCCCAACTTTCACTTACAACAACGACCTATTCATTATGCGAAGTTGCCCGGCTTTTGTTTTTGGTATTTTTTCAATTTTTAATTTTTTCTAATAAAGAACACCTAATGTATAATGTTTTTGTTGGCTATTTTTTTTAATTTTACAATTCAGCTGCACTCTCCTTGACGAGAAAACTCTTGAGAATATTAAAAAATGACGTCTTTAAAGTACCTCCCTACGTAGATTTCCTCACAGAAAAGGTTCTACACGTAGAAATCTCAGCAAATCTTTTGGTAGAAAAGTTGCGCACGGTTAAAAAAAAATAAAAATAAAAATAATTATCTTTGTAAAACCATAAGTTTCTTCACTCCACTCAGAATCTAAAATTTCGATAGTTATTTTTGTGAAAATGTATAAAATATTATCATTGAATAAACATAATATAGTCAATGGTATTAAAATATAATGTGTTTCAAATGTTTATGATTAACAAACTTTTTACTTTGGAAGTTGCATAAGACGTTTTTTCAATTATTCAAGATGAAAACTTTTTCTTGAACCATCTTTCCCACTATACCGGGTACTGGAATCAATTTTAAAAAAATACCTTCAAATATTTTTATGGCATCTGACAGTGACATATATTTTACCTCAAGACTAATGATAACTTATCAGGTATTTCTTTTAGTTTTATTGGAAAATCTTAATACTTTTTTCTTAGGTGGTTAAAAGTTTGCAGTGTATTGTTCAATTTTAAAACGGTTTAAACTTTCTTCTTATTTTTAATGTGGTGGTGATTGTCTAAATCGATTGATAGAATGCACTTAGCATAGAATTAAAATAATAATACCAATCTTTCACCAAATTATTTGTTCATTAAATATCATCATCTTACATTGAATAACAATTCCAAATTTCAATTGAAAATAAAAGGGCTCCACTAGTTTTATGATTAGGTCTACCGATCCATGTATCTTCAAAATTATCAATTAAATTCTATATCATTTCATAATTATGGTGGTAAAATTAAAATTCGAGTAAAATTTAAAAGGCCGATACTTCATCATTTAAATAATAAACATTACGACGGTAATGACACGCGAGATAATTGATGTGTGATAATGTGGCCACGACGCTATTTCCGCGACAATATTGCCGCGATAATTTGATGGAATTCTTTTTATATTCATTCTTTATTCTATTTTTTCTATTTATGTTCCAACACACCGAAACATATAACATAGTCAGTCTTATAACACTATTTTAGAACTTAACTTAAGTCATATTGGAATTTTCTTGTGATATAAAACACCTGACACTTCTCTCCACTTTATCCAACAACACGTAATCTTTGTTTCACTTCCTTTTGAAAGCCTCCGTTCTTATAGTATGTTAAGTATATATTTTAATTATTAAACCACATTAATATAATATAGGTGATTCGCAAAGACACGTTGTTAAGCTAAACGTAGAATCCGTTAGTCCCACGGCATTTTATATTGAATGGACTCTGCAGTTACCCGATGTCAATACAAATATATATTATTATATTGTGTATTCTAGTCGATTCACTAGCAAAGTAAAGTTCACCATAGGAAATAACTTGACTTTGACCGACTTAACTGAATGCACAGCGTATACGATCACGGTAATGAGTTCTTTAAATGAAATTAATAACGGAAATAATAACAGTAATGCATTCTGTAGTCCATACGCTTCTGCAAATGTAACAACATCACACAATTCACGTAAGTAAAAAACGAAATCAATAAAAGCACTATTTGCATAACTCGTATTATGTATAAAGGTTTTTTTTACAAAAATTACATTTCCTACCCTCATCTAATCCTATAATTCTTTGATTTGGCCAATTCCTCTAAAATAAGTATTAATTATAAATTATAGTGTTTGAACTAGTTACTATATTATATACATAGATCGATCGATCAAAATTCTTAGATTTAAACATACTATTTGAATTGTCTTTTAGATTCTGAGTGAAGCAAGGAATGTATTGGTTAACAATGATATTTATTATTTTAGGTTCGGAGTGTAGCGAGGTTTTACTATAATGTGTGTTTTATCTGCCTGTGAACAAATTTTCAAACAGAAAACTTCCTCCGAAGTATGGATTATAGCATCTTAACAAAAAATTGACTTTGATCTTTATAATATTTTATTTACGGCAACGCCATGGTTTAATTATTTTAATATTTTTAACTTATGTTTTCTATCAAAAATAATATTACTTCAATCGAAAAATAAAAAAGAGATCGAATTTTTTTTCTTTTAATTCATAGCGACTGACAAAGAAAGTAGTTTTTTTTATATCTATGTATTTTTCATAATATTTGGAAAAATCAAAAAGAAGATACATACGAGTTTTTCAATTCGCGACACAATAATTTCATTATTTTAAATTCTTACGACTTATGATTTCTACCAGAAATATTGCTCCAATAGATAAATAAAAAAATACCTTTTTTGTTGCATTTCTGGTCAATGTCTGGTCCATGAGTAAGTCGTTCGGTTTTTAAATTTCTCTGTAGTTTTACTAATAATTAAAAAAACTAGAAAAAAAACGTAAAATTAAAAATTAAAAAATGTATGTCATTACTATTTCATTATTTTAAATAATTACGGCTTACGTGTTTTACCATAAATATAGCTCCAATAAAAAAACATCGAGATTTTGTTCTTTCGTTGTAATTAAGGTTAAAATATTAGTAGAAATTGAAATTTTCAAAATATTTGATTCATTTTTGAGCTAATTACAAACATTATAATTTTGTGAGGTTTTTACGTGATTTGTATTCGGTACCTAGGTACTCTGTGGATAAAATTGTTAAACTTAACAGAAATACTAAAAAATATGATTGGCTGATTGATGGTTTGTTATAAGATGTACTTGGTGGCCAAAACAAAAAAAATTAGTTAAATGTAGTATTTTTTTTAATATATATATATATATATATACCGAGTGACCCATTTAAATGGGTACACTCATTATCTCGGAAAGTATTAACTTTTTCCGAAATTTATTTTCTAAAATATTAAATTTATGTCAAATATGCATTTAATACAATCATACAAGAAGAGCTTAACAATAATAAAAGTGTTTATAATTTTATTTAGGATTGAAAACGGTTGAGAACTTGACCACACAAATTTTGGGTGACTTCGTGTTAATTGCATGGGAAAGTCCGGCGGAACAGACTTTGTGCACAGCAAGTTATAATGTATCATCTTTTTCTACACGAAGTTCTACCGGCAAAGAAGTACAAATAACCGAATCTAATCATCATATGACAATGGCTTTAGAACCGTGCGTAACATATTACATTGATGTTTGGGCAATTGATTTTTTCGGTCGAAAAGGAAACACTATTCGGTTTAATATCGTGGGAGACGATAGAAGTATGTATATTTTATACTTGTATGATTAATGAATTTTGTATACAATTAAGTCCATTATATATTTAATCAAAAAAAATGACCTCTCTAATGTAATAACTAGATATAATTTTCTAATAGAAAAGATGTTACACTTGATATATCGGAGCAAGTAAATAGACACTAAAGATTGAATTTCTGAATATAAAAACTACAGATTCGTATTAATAATTGGAATTGCAATTTACTTACATATTTTTACACAGTTATAAGGTTTTTTTAAAATTTTCTTCCAGTTTTGGATAAACCTGCAAATGGGCGAGTATTATTCTCCACTAATCATACGGCCACTTTACAATGGGATCCTCCCGTAAATCGTAATCTTGTATGCGATTTTATTCATCGAATTGTTAACTGTTCGTATTCGAATACATCACTGGAAGTGACGACATATGAACCAAATCAACCAGTAGTCATGGACAATTTACAAGTTTCTACAAAATATACATGTCATTCAGCATTTTTCAATAAGAAAGGTTACTCGGCAAAAAGCGATGACATAATATTTTGGACGAAATTAGGAGGTATTTACATTAATTATTCTTAAACAAATCCTTAACACTACAAAAAAATTCACTCAATATTTTTACTAACCTTATTTAACCTAGGTTTTATTCTTATATAAAGTGTTTTTATTTTTATATTATTTAAAATTAACTAAGTTTTAACATTTTCTAATACTTCTTGGTCGGCCGTAATATATGTTTATTACGAATTTTTGTAATAAAATCTATTACTTTATTATTTACTAAATTAACAATATTTTCAGTCATTGCATTGATGATTGCCATCAGTGGCGTAGTCGTAAACAATTTTCGGGGGACTCTTTAATTTTACATTTTTTCTATTCACTAAAATAAAGTCAATTGTCCAAAAAATATTAACACTTAACACTTAAGAAGTAGTAATCAGAAACATTTCAAGGGCTAAACCGCTGATATTGACACTGATAAGGCATCATGGATACCCTTATATTATTAAGTCACATAATAATGTAAAATCACGTGATGATCATGAAAATTATATTTAATAATATCAATGGATTTTTAACTGGCTTTGACGCTTTGTTAAATATTATTACGACATAATATAATTAGAATTCCCTTGCCTCTCGCGAGTTCTCTACGAAGTTGCATCATAAATATTATGTATTCATAAATCATAATATTTTGTAATTGTGATATTAAAATACGATAATAATGTATTAACTTGTGTCTTGACCTTGAGAAAAGTCAGTAGTCACGTCCGTGCTTGTGCGGTAAACGTACAGTGGTCAGCGATTTCAATAATATTGCAGCAAAATTGTTTGGTGATGCATTTCGTGAATAATTTGTTATTATTTTTACGTTGAATGAATGCATGACCTGCGCAAAGGAAGATAAATAGGGTACAGACTTGTTTGTTTGGTTTTTTTTTTATACAATATTACAAAGCAATCCTAATTTTGTAATTTCTTTGCAGAAATACATTGTATACATTTCCAAATTGGCCCCAATAAAATAATATTAAACATAATTTTATTGAATTTTTGATGATTTTATTTTAATTAATTTTATTGAAATTAAAAACAGATATTGTATTTTGAACTTTATACAGTTCTAACAACGATTGTAATTGCTGTAGGGTATCCATGAAAAAAATGTGCAATGAATAATAGATACCTACTTATCATAACACTAAAAAATAAGGGGTTCGGGAAAAAATTAATATATTTATTTTAAAATATATTATAATATAAAAAGTAATATTATTGGTTATTACTACATAATATTTAATAATACCATATAATAGATTCCTACACTATATTTTAATATAATCGACTATATTATATATTCAATGATAATATTCGAAATGTTTTCACAAAAATAATTATCGGACCGTGTTATTGAAATCTGCAGTCTATAATCGAAAGTAACAAAAATGACGACTAATATAGTGTAAGTAAAAAATATATAAAAATCAACTTAAAATAAACATATGGCTGTAGCATAATTTGGAAAAAATAAATTATCTAAAGTATATTTTTGTCTCAAAATAAAAACAGTTAGAAAAAGGAAATTTGGATTTATACGAGTATGATTTATAATTTATAATTATTTATTTTTAAAAATCAATAGGTATTCATTATATTATTATTGGTATATACTATATTATATAAGTCATAAGAAATAATGGTACATTACATACATAAACACAATAATAAAATGTTTGTATTAAATTTTTAAAAAAAATACGCCTTAGGATAATGGGGACGGGTGCAGCCATTGTTATAGGTATTTTAATGTATATCTGTAAGCAACAATAAACCATTGCTAACGAAGAAACGATTCTGAGCAGAGTTCAATTGATAGTGATGTTTTGTCAATAATATATATGCCATACTTTAATAAAATAATTAAATAGGCTCTATACATTTTCTTTAATAATATTTGTTTAATGCTGTACTGTATTCTCCGATTTTCTTACATTTTTCTTAGTTGTTCACATTTGTTGAAAAAATTCAGGAGTAAATCGATAAACGCCCTCTCTAAATTACCTCCCCAGGAAAATTTCTTGGTAGAAAAATTACTATCATTAAAAGTGCTAGTAGAAATAGAAAACATTTTTTTTTAAAATATATTTTCTCGGAAAAATCTTTTATTTTTAAAAATCAATTTTTCTGGGACTTTTACTTTCATCAAAACTTCTAATTTTTAAATCGGCGTTTTCCTCAGTTTTTTTTCTTAGTAAATATAAGAGTTAAAACCGATTATAAAAATAATATATAACAAGAAATTTGGAAAAGTGCCGGTAGTGTTATCTGATTACGTTCCTGAGTAGTTAAACAAAGATCATACTTTTTCCTGTGGGTCAAAATGTACAATATATTATCCAATATTTATACAATAAGATAGGTACTAATTAAAATGTGAATAATTGAATTTCTGGAAATAGTAAATGATCATATTTCCACTACAAATTTTTAATTGTAAAAGTATAATAATATTATACATCTATACATACGCACGGTAGAATATTTACGAGTTCACATAAAATACTGCATAGAAGAAAAAAATTAATTGAACAAGTACAATGATCTAATAAGTTAAATTGAAATATTATTTTTATCGAATTTAATTGAAGTGTACAAATTATATTTATTTATAAATTAAACGATGGCTTATTATCGATATGAATATCGAAATATACTTACGCGTACCAATTTGCAGATAAAGGTTTTTTTTTATTAATAAAGGATATTATACTCAGATTTTTTTTATTATTTTATTTTATTTTAATAATAATTAACGGGTGGTATTCTTTGAATACAATTAGATAATACTAAAGAGTCTATATAATATAATATAATCTTATATAGGCTCTCTAGATAATACATTTTAACTTTAGTAAAGAGTAGGAAAAATACATAGTTATACAAATAGTAAAAATAATGCTAAAAAAGAAAAAGAAAAATATATAAATAAATAATTTATAAGTAAAAATTAATAATTGAATAAATGAATGCGTTGCCTGGAGTATTATATGTTTATTGTACGGCCGGTTTCTAATTAAAAATTCAACATCAGGTAAATTACAAAGTCAAAAAGTAAAACATGACTGAATATGAAAAAATAAATGAAGGGACACTTAGAGAAAATTTTTTACAAATTGATTGTTTTACATAAAAATAATTCATTTTAATAGGAGAGATTATTTAGAATGAGTTATTATTAAACATAGATATGTTAAGAAATGTAAATTATTTGGTTATTATTTATTATCTAAAATGTATTGACAAAAGATATTATTTTTAAAATCAGTTTGTACATTTAAAATATTATTAAAATAATTTTTCTTTATTTCATTGAGTATTTGTAATTCTTTTAAAACTGAATTAATGTAAATGTTATTTTGGGTATTTAATATTTCTAAGCCTGCATTAATATCAAAACTTATATTATAGTTATTTTCTAAGACATGTTTACCGAAATTTGAATTAGGAGCAGAAAAATCCTCCTTTTGCTGGTATACATAAACTTAAATGTAACTGTAGCTAACATAGGTAAGACAAATAGACATTTTTAAAAAAAAGATTGTGTGTAACGAGTACGCGCGGGTGAAGAGAAACTTTTTTCAGGGGTATTCAACTGATGGAATGAATATTTGATTTGTATTTGAATAAAATAAAATCCAATTGAAATTAATTTATTATTGTTATTATTCATTTTCTTATTCTATTGTCACGAAAGATATAATGGGTTTATGATAATTGAAATAGCCGTGACACTTTTATTTACATTGTGTGCGTGTAAGTGGTGGGAAAAATCCGGATTTCGGATAGTTCGAAAATCCGAATAATAATCCAATACTAACTATATTATCATTAGCAACGATATCGACCAGCACTAAATGTATTTTTATTTTTGTTTTCTCGGTCAAAATAATGCTTAATTTGATTTTAAAGAAATAGGTACGTACAAAGTTTTGTGCTACTACTAGTGAGCCTTTGACATAAGAATATAAGAACTATATATATATATAATATTATATAATAAATACTACAGAATTTAACAGAGTATTGAATATTACAAAATATTGAAACTTGTGTCTTATTATAGTATTGGATATTTTATTTATACTGCTACACACTTTGTTTACTACGGAATATCAAAGGACATTTTTAATATTTGTTAATGTTTTGTAACATGTGATCCATTTAGGTGGGTACACTCGGAAAGTATTAACATTTTTCGGAATTTGTTTTCTAGAACATTTAAGACACAACCAGCTCTACAATTTTATATTTATGTTATTTTTTTCACCCTTATTTTTGGGGGAAGAATCACTACCTACTTTTGATTTTCAAATGACAACTTATATTAAAAATTTTAAACATAGATGGAATTTTTAAAAGTAGGGAGTGGTTTTTCTCCCAAAAATAAGGGTGAAAAAAAATAACATAAATATAAAATTGTAGAGCTGTTTGTTTCTTAAATGTTCTAGAAAACAAATTCCAAAAAAAGTTAATACTTTCCGAAATAATGAGTGTACCTATTTAAATGGATCACTCGGTATGTATCAAACTAATACATCCATAATGTGTACTACGGATTATGAAAAAAAAAACCACTGACAAAATTATTTATATAGAATATAGATCATATCATATATGATACAATATATTCAAATGTTGTTGACAATTCATATGGATAAGATGTTACAAAATCAGTTTTACCATTAAAAACAAATTATTGTTTAATTATTATACAAACTTAAAGTGCCTATATAATTTTATTTTATTTAATAAATTGATTATTTGTTGTGTAGATATTATTATATTAGTATATTAAAAAAAAAATCGGTTTAACCGGTTAATCGAAAACTAATTATACGTTTTTACAATATAATATCATGATAAATGCATTCTATTGTATACTGTAATTATTACTAAACTACTCTTTTATTTTTAGCTATTTTTTTTTATCGATATTATACTATTATTATCATTATAGATCGATTAGATCGCGTTTTTAGAATAACAATTAAATGGACACGTGAACATCACAGTGCAATTTGTATTCACCTACCTACATTATTAAATCACTATGTCAGATATAATGTTTTAGCACTACTCCCATACTTCTAACCGTTGAGGTCTACCTTTTTGGGTTTGATCTTTTCACCCTGTGTGACTTCTGATCTATGATCATTAAGTCAAATTTGAAAAAAAAATCAGATACCACAAATAATAATTATGTGCATCGTGTTTTAAGTTAGCAGTTTATTTACTGTTGTAAAATCGAAAACCGTGATAAATCATCGTGTAATGCATTTAAAATCCTATTCTGGATGTAAATAGTAAAAATTAAATACTTTGTTAATTGTTCTCGAATAATGCTAAATCAAAATTTAACAACTGTCTACCAAAAAAAATAAATAAATAAATAGTCGAATTATAAATTATTAAACTAGACTAGATCCAAAAAAAAAAAGACGGACACACTTCGCACGATGGGTGGGTCACTGTTGTAGGGAGTTTAATGTATACCTATACGCAACGATTAATCTTTGCTGAGGAAAAACGATTCTTAGTAGAGTTCAGTTATACATGTTTTTAAAGGCCGTACCATTTATGATTTGAAAATAATACATTTCGTAAATTTTCCCGTTTTTCTTGGTTTTCTCCATTTATTATGAAAACCCCTGGAAAAATCAAACAATAGCTTCCCTAAAGTACGACCCTAGTCACATATCCTTTCAGAAAAAGTGCTGTAATTAAAAATCGGAGCAAAATTGCTGGTAGAAAAGTTATCCTATGTCCATAGAAAAAAAAATAAACATCAATATTACAATATTGGCCGATTATGCAATTATCAAATATAATGCATCTCGAATATTCGTGTCATCGTCACCGAGGTACTCTTATCGCGGTCCACTAGTCAAATTTTCCTTTCCCACGTGCCTTTGCGACCATTGTGACGACGTCGTCGCGTATGTTTTTTTTGGCGTTGTAAAGCGGTCAAACGGAAAGTGTCGCGCTGCAATCATTTTCGTCGTCATCAGCCTCATAAGTTTTGTCTGTCTTGAGTGACTGTCATAACGAATTTTCTCTATTCGTGTCAATTTTTTTTACGTGTGCGACCACAACATGCTTACCCACGAATTTTTCGTTGTTCGCGTCTACCCACTGATTTTAGATAACACGTTGGTGTCCAGTTGTTCCGATTAACCATCAGAACAGCCGCTATATCATTGCCAACACCACCCGTCATCATCAACAACACGCTGTATGAACTAATTTATTTTTATATATATATTTTTTATAAATATTTATTTGTGTTGTTGGTTTGGTAACATATCGACCATTTGTTGGTCCACTTCTTCTAATATTATTATTCTCTTTTGCTTTATCGCAATTTATATTTAACATTTAATATTTAATTGCTTACGTATAGAATACATATTTATTCTGCATACCCGTTATAATAGGTGTAAATTTTTTCATCCTTTCCGAGCAGGTAATTTTTTCCTTTCTTCACGAGCAGTCTATTGCTAACCACCACCATTATAGAAGCCGTCATCTTGAAACAATTATTATAAAACCACTACATTCCTCGCTCCGCTCAGAATCTAAAATTACAGTGAAATATTTGTTACATATAAACTTTTAACGTCCTATAAAAATATAATAATACACATCGTTAAGTTTAGAGTTGCAAGTTTCAGCGTATTTTAACAGAAAGCTGATTTTTATCCGGCAAACGTATACTAGTTATACTCTTTTTATTGTTACTATATTTGTTTTTGAATTTACCTTCAACTAAAATATTATTTGGTAATATAACAGTTCCAGATACTCCGAAAAATGTGTCAACCATCAAAGTAAATTCCAATAGTATTATACTTACATGGACTGCACCTACTACAATTTCACCAGCTAACATCAACAGTTATCGTTTAACAGTTGAATTTAAAAATGTTTTACACGAAATACCGGATTACTGCTTATCTTTAACAGAAGAGATGGTTACATACTATATTCAAAATGATATGACTAATCAATATGAAATTAAAAATCTACGACCCGACAGCCAGTATTACATAGAGTTAAGTGCTGCTACAGAATCTGGTTTTGGAAATTCAACAAATATTACAATTAATACGTTGTCCTCAAGTAATTATTATACATATAGAATTTGAATTTTAAATTATATTTTCTAAACAATTAGTACCTAGGTCCATAACGATGAAATATCATGTTAAATTGTTGAGTCATTGAAGTTATACATTTACTGTTACAATATATATTGTCTTCGATATTATTTGTACTTGCAGTTAGTTCATCAGTCGAGAACTTAAAAGTTACGCCAATAAAATCGAATTTAAACATTCTTAGTTGGAAATATCCATGTATACCAAATGGAAAAATTAAATATTTTTATATTGCATTCGTGGGAGAAAGAGTCGGATATCATAATCATATTTTTAATACAAAATTCAATATTTCGGTAAAATACAGACACAATAATGTGATTTTTTTTTTTAAAATTTTAAGTATTAAGTATAAGTATTTAGTAGTAGTAGTTTAATAGTAGTATATTTTTCTACATTAATTATAATAGCATGTTTTTAGTACAAAAATATTTCACTACGTATATAGGGAAACGAAAAGGATTTTGAACTCAGATTAACGAACTTACTGCCTGAGTATACATATCTATGCACAATAAAACCAATATCATATGCAGTGGAAACTTCTGGCCAAGAACAACTCATACGATTTAGTACTCAATCGACAAGTAAACTATACGATATTATGTATAATTTGAATCATTTTAAATACCTAAAATCTATCATGAATAGTGCACGATGTCTACTATTTGTATTGATTTTCTTAAAAAAATTAATCAAATGTTGTTAAACTAAATCTATATCTGTACTAATAAATTATGCGAATCAAATTTTTAACCACTAAAAATAATACGATTTTTAAAGGTCCGGGTTTGCCACTCAAATACGACACGTTCCGTCGTTTACGAGTAACTGTGTCTGAAAGCTATCTGACTCAAGTACGTTTGTCCATACCCGGTGACTTGTTTTCAAATGCTAATGGAAATATTCAGTATTATTCAATAATCGTTTACCAAGATGGCGGATTTCCGGATAAACCTGAACGGGGCATTATCAATCATTATGACGTTTGGCCACCTGTTATGAGATCATGGGCTGAAGCGTCTCCGTATCCTTTCATATTACCTTATCAGACAACACCCGACAAATGGATGCCTTTCAAAAGTTAGTAATGGATAAAAGTACATAATATAGGATGTCTTATGAAGATATTTTGTTTGGTCTTCAATCTCTCAATTGTTGGCCGCAGTTCTCCAAGCTTCCCTATCAAAACTCAACTTTTTTAAGTTTTGGTAACTTCTAATATTCATGTCCTTCGTAATTTGTAAAATGTATTCCATTATTGGTCTTCCTCTTCCTGTTTTTCCATGCACATATCCTTCAATAATCATCGTCAGCAAATTATCATGTCACAGTGTGTACCTTATCATATTATCCCTTCTATTAATTATAATTTTCCAAATTTGTCTATTTTCTTTAATTATCCTCAAAACTTCTTCATTTATTACTCCATCGTTCCATGGAATCTTTAGTATCTTTCGATAACACAACATTTCAAAAGCTTTTAATTTTTTCTTCTCGGTTGCGCTTACTATCCAGGTCTCACATCCGTATAATAGTATATTATACTACATATACGTATATTTTCAGAAGGTTTTTTCTTGTGTCTAGACTTACACCCACACTGTTCGTAGTTAGTAAGTATTTTTTGCTTTGAAACGCTTTTAGAATATATGTTCATATAATAATGTATAATATATGTATAATATCTAACTTGCCTTTACCGTCCTTAGTTATTTTACTGCCAAGATAACAATAATTTGCACTTGTTTAATAAGTTCTCTTTTAATATTTATGTTCAGCCTATATAACAGAGGCTGCACCCAACCCCATTTTTCAATCTTTACTTATCAAGGAATTTATACCTTTTTTTCTTTTACTTTCTTCTTGAAAGAATTTTCGTATTTTTTCAAATGCTAGATCACTCCGTCCTTATTTAATATACTCATTAATTTCTTGATATATGTCATTTAACCAATGCTCTTTGGTGATTTCTACTTTTCGCGATATTAAATTCTTAAGCGTTTTATAATTATGTTGGTTACTAATAATACTAATCTCTATATACTTGTTCTATTAATGTTATGATTTCCTCAGTTATCCATAGTTTCTTTGTGTCACTCCTTTTTACGCCTAAAATATTGTTAGTATTCTCTTTGAATGTTTGTTTGAGTTTATTCAATTTATCTTCTATACTTGTATTTCTGTCTGTCTTGCCAGCAATTGTTTATTTTATTATAACGTTCTATAGTAGACTTTGTTCTGATGTCTTCTTGCTTCAATTTATCTTATCGAAATTTAATTTAATTTTGGTTTTATTTTTCTTGAGTATTTTTAGTTTAAGTTTTATTTCCAGTACAATTAAGTTATGGTCACTTTTGACATCAGCACCAGGGTAAGCTTTGCGTTCCTTCGTTAGATTTGTATATCTATGTTTGACTATTATGTAGTTTATCTGCTATCTAACCGTATTCACCGAATTTTGTCATGTATATCTTTATCATTCTTTTGTGATTTTGAAAAATTGTGTTTGCTATTACTAACTTTTGTTCGGAATATAATTCTATTAATCTTTCTCCTCAGCCGTTTCTTTTTCCAAGTCCATAGTTAATTTTACATATACGAATGTATTTTTATGATTTACATATATTCCTTACATGTGTATTTATAGACAAAAATGACGCGGTTTTCGATATTGGTATTGACGAAAAATGTTCCATAAACGACGAGCAGAAAAATTATTGCAACGGACCTTTAAGACCAGTTACTGATTATAGGCTAAAACTTAGAGCTTTTACTAGCAACGGGTATCAAGATTCCTGGACGGTGCCATTTACCACACGTAGGTAGACACACGTATGTATATTAGGTGCTACACTGTGTTTATATTACACCATATAGTAAATAAGATAAAGTTAATAATGCATTTGGTAACGTTACCAAGGTAATAATAGCCAATACTAAAAAACTAAAATACGAACAACATAAAATTGATCTATATTTTATTAATATTCGATGTATTTTGATGTTTGTATGTGTTATGTATGTTAGCTGGCAAACCGACTGCAGTTTACTATTTAGTATTGTGTAGTATACTATTCGCTATATTCATTACTGCGGCTGGAATGTATTACATACTGAATGAAAAAGTTCCATGGTACGTAAAATGGATACATTCTGGCAATCAAAATTTAATAGTTTATAAAATACATCAACGAAAATAATGTTTTAAATCAACAAAACAGGGCCATAAAGTATAAACTAGTAAACACAACAACAAATAAATCGGACTTACCAGGCGATATGAGTGTCAAACAGTTATTAGATAAAAAAACTCATGAAATAGAGGCAGAATATGATCTTTTAAGTATGTATTTGAAATCAAATCCCTCGATAGATGTGGCCACGATACCGCAGAACAAGTTTAAAAATCGATACTCCAACGTGTTACCATGTAAAATTATAAATCCAAATATAAATACTTTTTTTGTATACATACCAGTTACCAGTTTGTCTTATTCTAGATGACTATAATAGAGTGACACTCAAGTCAAGTGAAAATGACTACATCAACGCTTCATTTATTGAAGTAAGTTAAATCGGTAAAACATTCGATGAAGAAACACAATTAAACAAAACCTTTATTTTAATGATAGGAAATTTAAAAATAGCTTTTCTATTAATTCATTCGCTAATTTCTAATATACGTAGTATAAATTTAAACTTCTTTATTTCTATATACCAAAAAGAGTTAATTGCAAAAAAAAAAGATTGCTATAAAATTATTATAGTGGGTACAAATACTTACTCTCAAAATATTTACTTTATAACTAATTGTATTTAATTTAACCAACAATAAAATGTACAGGCATTTTATACAAGTAGGCTGGTTATCGAATTTGTTTGTAAACACATTTTAGATTCATTGAACAAACTATCAATTGAAAATTTCTAGGATTCCAAAGGTATTCGTAAATATATAGCTTGCCAAGGTCCAACGGCCAATACTTGCATTGATATGTGGCAAATGATTTTGGATCAGGATGTTGCTTCAATTGTTATGTTATGTCAAACTATTGAGAAAGATAAGGTAACGTCAAAAATTATTTTAAGAAAACATAATAATGTAACTAATCACTAAATGTACGTATTTTGTTTAGATATGAAAAATGTATTAGGTATCTACCATATAATTAATATTTTATACATTTATTTTGTTAACAAATCTTTATATTAGGTAAATTATAGTTTCCAATTAAGATCGTTAGTTAATTTAAGATAATAAGTTATTTATTGTAATATACTGATTAAATATTATTAAATAGGTAGCTAATTTAGGTACATTCTTAACATTTGTTTTATAAATCATCTATTTAGATTAAATGCGAAAAATATTTTCCAAATAGCAAAGAAAAATTAATTTTTGGTGAAATAATCGTTAAAAATGATATTACAATTGTCAACAAAGTTAATTCGTTTACAACAAGAATATTTACACTTATAAAAGTAAGTTAAACTTTATTTCTTTGAAATATCTACGTGTGGTCGCCAAAGAGTACCTACGTACACATTATTCTAATAACAATAATTGCATCTTGTTTAAGGGAGATTTAAAGAAAACAATAAGACATTTTCAATTTCACGACTGGCCAGATTTTGGGACACCTAACAGTCCTTCAACACTGGGGCAGTTTTGTCAAGTAGTACAATCTAAATCTCCAATGGGTCTGATTGTCGTCCATTGTAGGTAAGTGTTTATTACCTGATATCAAATCATAAAAATATGTATTATAATTATAAAACACATAAACTAAATGTATTCGAGGTTGTTTTTTTTTTATATAGCGCAGGAGTTGGTAGGACAGGCACCTATATAGCGTGTGACATGTTACTGCGACAAATCCAAGATAGAATTCCTTTAAATATCTTCAAAACCGTTCTAAAACTGCGTGAACAAAGAGCAAATATGGTTCAAACTCAAGTAAGATATCTATTTTGTTTTGTTTTATTTATTAACTTATAAAATGTGTCAACATACTATTTATAATATTTTTACAAGTTTGTTAATAAATAATATTTTTAATTTTAATTGGATAGAATAATCGTCATAGAGTTATAAATTACTTAAATGGAGTTAATTTTTGTTAGTATCATCTAATTATGTAGAAGATAAAGTTTTGGTCATAATAATACCAATAGTAATAATATAAAGGAAAGTACACTATATATTTCTTAGAGTTGGAAAAGAGACCACTATGGGTGGGACTTCGTCGTACATGAGAATACAGAACCAGACATCAAGGAATTCAACTCCGTATCAGAAAGACTATCAGTAATAACTATTGACACGAAACCAATATATATTGCCGTAATATGCAAATATGCGCTAGCTGAATCAGCGGATGAGGATAATAAAGACACTTTTTATGAGAAGTAGGCCCCAAGATATGAAAAATTATACCAGGGAATACAATAAAGGTTGTGTTGGGTGATTTAAATGCAAAATTCGGCAGGGAATGGCAGTTCTGATAGGAAAGGAAAGCATGAGAACGGGATTAGATTAATTACATTTGTGACAGAAAAAAATATGATAATAAATAGTATGACGTTTCCATATAAAAATATTTATCAAGGTACATAAAGAGGTCGCCCAATGGTGAAACAATTAATCAAATAGGTTACGTACTCATTCAAAACAATTTCCATTAGTGCATTAAAGACGTGCGTAGTTTTAGGGGAGTGAACTGTGGCCATTTCATGGTAGTGGCGAAATTCAAACTACAACTACTTAGTCAGAAACGGCTGGAGGATAAAAGGAATGTGTTCTATTGAAGGATCTTTTCAAGGATGCAAGAATACAACAAAAATATTCAGAAAGAATAAAAGAGTACATAGGAAATGACGAAGACGAAGATATAGAAAAACGTTTGAGTAAAATATGTAAAACTAAAGCGGTAGTTTAATTGTATGATTAAAAAAATAAGAAAAAAATGGTTCAACAAAAATTGTCGGGAAATGGTAGAGAAACGACGTATAGCTCGAAAAAATGATGTCAATTCCAACGACGTAAACAGAAAAATAGCATACAGAATAGAAAGAAAAAAATGTAAGGGGATTATATGAAGAGAAAAAAGGAACATCCTAAACTAAATACTGCAAGAAGCCGAAAAAGACCGATCACAAGGTAGTATTAGGAATTTCTTTAGGTCTATTAAATAGTATAAATCTTTTAACACAATCGTGAAATCGATTAAAAGTCGCGATAGAGAAATAATCACGGAACTAGAGCAGGAAGCCAGACAAATTATTTAAAATAGATTTGTATTTATTTATAACATTATGAATCTATGTTTCATTCAATATAATTTTCAACAGTAAATAATTACATTATAGGTACCCATATGGCTATATGATTGTTTAATAAGATAACATGCAATCATTTTCTTAAATAAATAACACATTTTAGAAATTTGACAAAATTATAAAATATATACCTTAATATTTTTGTTTTTGATTTTACACTTTACTATATAATTTATCATAACTTGTAAAATTATAACTACTTACACAAAAATAAAGTGATAATAACCTAATAATTTTCATTTTTTAGGCTCAGTATGAATTTGTGTACGATTTGTTAGCTTATTATGTTAAACAAAATCTAAAAATAAAATCATTAATAACAAGTAAGTACAAATTATTGTTACAAGTGTTATTAATACCGTGACTAATTTAGTCATGATTATAACATTAATTATATGTGAGTAAATAATCATAAATTATTTTAATAGACTAAATACTGATAAAAAACTTACTTATTACCAGGTAAAAATTGAGAAAAATATAATTTTTGGGTTATACTAGAATTTATGGAACTTGGAGGGCATTTTTTTAATAATCTAATAAACGAATATTTCAAACATAAGAAACGCTGTATAACGACCGTACAAGTAATGATAACGCGCAGTCGACTGGAATATAATAAGATGAAACATCAATTATTTTAGAAAATAGCAAAAAGGTATAGAAACAATTTAGAGGTTAAATGACTGAATATTTCTGATAACAAATGCACTTATCTTATTAGAAATAGGGCATAGAAGAGCAGTCCAGAATTTCAGATCGATTTGAATAATGCGAATATTTTGAGTTTCTAAAATTCAATAAATTTTGGAAATATTATTTCTCAAAATACCTTAAAACGAATCCTACGCAATTGCCATAACTAAATAATGTTATTTAACCATGGCAACCGAAGCCATTATTGTGCATTATTAGTATAAAATATTTACTAAAATTAATTTTAATGTACTCGTATAAATACACGAACAAAAAATAATTGATATCCCAACAGAAACATTCTACTAACTCATTGTAAAAACGACTAAAGTTGAAAAGTGTAGCTCTTCAAATCGTGAAATATTTATTGCTAAGTTATTATATTTTGCAAAAACTAAAAGTTGACATCCTAAATAACCTAGAAAATTCGTTAACAAATTTATACATATTTGTTTAGAAATTAAAATCGGACATTAATCGGAATTAACCTAATCATGGGGGGATGGGAAATAACTAAATTTAATATTAATGATTGTTAAGAAAAAAAGACGGACATACTTAGCACGTTGGGTGGACATCTGTTATAGATGACAAGTAGAGAAGGTAGGATATTAAGGGAAATTTAATGTATATCTGTACCTAAGCAAATTTAAGCATTGCCAACAAAAAAATATTCTAAATAAAGCTCGGTTAATATTATCGCTCAGGGGCGCTTTCTGATCAATTCCATAGGAGGGGAGGGGAGCGGCGAACAATTTTTATTCTTGAATACCACCGCTTTGTCAACAAAAACTTAAAATCTTTATGTCTAATGTCATTTCAACTTATATTAGTTCAGAAGACTACATATATATTGTATAAATGCAGTAAAATAGTATAATTTAAAAGTAAAATGTATTTTTTTGACATTAAATAAATAATAACTACAATAATTTTACTATGAATAACAGAAATAATAAAAATAATAATTAATAAAAGTTAGATGACCAAATCCAAAATGCTTTTATTTTAAGCAGCGTTTTGCAAGCGATTTGATCACCAATATTTTGTATACCTATTAATGTTTTCATTTTGATGAATACCTAGTTAAAAGTGATAAGCAAGTTGGCCTCTGCTCAAAATTCTTTTTTTTTACCACAGAGTACGAATTTTAATGAACCTTATGTTAAATTCTCAAGCATTTCTGTTTGGTCTAACAATTGTATCCACAGAGCACCTACCGAATAAAAATTACGTACAAAACTCACAAAATTAAAATTACTATAAATTACCCAAAAATCGAACCACGTCAAGAAAAGGCAAATATAAGTTTTCTGTCTAAATTTCATGTCTTCAAAATTAAAAATAATAAAAGCATTATTTTCGTAAATTTTCCCGTTTTTCTTACGTTTTATCCTGGGTTTTCTTGATATTATGAAAACTGCTTGAAAAATAAAAAAATGACCTTTCTAAAGTACTGTCAAGTCAATATGACAATATTTTCTTTTAAAAAAGGTGCTACACTTAAATATTAAAGCAAGATTTCTGCTAGAAATTTTTGTCACAATATATATATAAAAAAAAAAAAAACATTTTAAATCCAATTAAAATAATAATTTCCAATTTTGATTTTAAAAATATATTATTTTAATATACCTTCGCAAATGGTTTCCACTTAGTTTTCCATAATTTTATCTCGCCCTTAAGAGAATATTTATTGTAATTTATAAATGAGAAGTGTTTCATTCTTATTTCAATCAAAGTATTTCCAAAATCCAGAATCATCTTTATGACATTTGGAACCAGTTGCATTTGTACTCATTTGTGCTTAAGCATTATGAATATTCTGTATAACAAAAATGTACATCACACGGCTTATGGGGCTGGGAGCGATCGCTCCCTCACCCCTCTTTCAGAGAAACACTTGATTGAATATAAAATAGGTGTGTTTCAATCTCATTAACAACATTTAACTATTAATAAATTAGAAATAAGTTTTTGACAAATATAGAATGTATAGATTATAGATGGTAATAATAAATATTACGATATAATATTTAAATAATATTCGTATTGTTTATTGTATTCTTTAAATTATTGTATTAGGTTAGGTTAACTGTTAGCATACACCCTAAAATATAGTATTAGGTATAGGCGTTATTCCGAGATAACGAGGAGTAGAAACCTCTACATTGCCATTTTTATCGGAGTTTAAATTTAATAGTTGCACTACCCTAAGAGTAATTTGTAAAAAAGTAAAATTTTCTTGTTTTGTTTATCGTAATAAGATCATTAATTTTATTTATTTATTTAACACCCTAAAGGGGTAATGAGCTAATATGAATATAATATCAGCTATATTAAATTTTAACTTGATATATTTTTTTATTTATTTTATATTCTATTTCTACTCGATTTTGATGACAAATTGACTAGTACTTATCGATGATTCATTGACAGCTCTCTCAGTTTAAAAATACTATTACTGAATTAAATCTATTATTTTATTTTAAATGACATCTATAATATTGGTTATATGGAATATAAAATATGATTACTTATTAGTAATTATGTTTTGCGTATGTAGGACAATTACTAATTACTGATACTACGTTCGAAATTCACAACAAATATTTAAATATTTTCAATGATTTTATTTGTGTGAACTTTTTTTTAGATGTAAAACATCACAATTCTTCGTTTATCGGAATGGATTATACGACTACTGTCCATGGAACAAAACCTATAGAAGCATGAAATACAAACATGCGACTTGAAATTTGGGCCTGATGGAGTAACTTGCTGTTAATTGACAATGAAATCAATTTCTAGATATAAATATACCCATCATACATTTTTAAATTTAGTATTCATAGTTTTAATTTTTTTTTTTTTTTTACAGCCCATATGATTATAATTTAGATGTGTCCCAAAAAAATTAATAAAAAAAATATTTTCAAAAAAGAGCAGGTAAACTCTAGAAAATCCTTTACCTCGGCCTGCACGGACACTAAATGGTAAAACGCCTATGATGTATAACGTCTAACGAGTATAGTGAAATTCAAAGTTAATATTATAAAAAAAATATGCATATTTTTTTAAAATTCAAGTGTTAAAAATATTTCTTTAAGCCCGGAAAAAAATGTTTCATGCATTAGCTAAACAAATGCAGGTCAAGCCAATAATTATTATAAACATCTGAAATAAATTGTATTAATTTAATAAATGTAAAATATTAAATTGAAATGCGTTTTAGTTTAAATGCTATAAACGCTTATATAGGATGTCCACGAAAGAACGGTTTTATAAAAAGTGTGCCATTTCTTTGTTTTTGGGTCGGTATCACTGTACCCAAAAGTTTTCTTATCTCAAAAACCTAAAGTTTCGTATGGTATCTTTTTTGTTTTCGATTGTTTTGAGGGCGTCTATAACTATGGAAAGATTGCCTATGCAAGAAACGTACCTTTTGGTTTCTGGACAGACTCAGGTCATTGCGTGGGGATCAAAGCTGGCCACCACGGTCTTGTGACTTAACCTAACGAAAATCACTTGTAAATTCAAAAAAATGACCTTTCTAAATTACCACTCAAATAAAACTTTATATTAGAAATGTGTTACACTTGAAAATTGGAGCAAGATTTCTGATAGATAAAATTTTCACAGTTTAAAAAGTTAAAAAAATAAGCTCATTCATTGTAAAACCAATAGATTCCTCACTTCTCTCAGAATCTAAGAAAGATAATAATCATATTTTATATTATTGTCATAGTATTTATATATAATGCAGTTATTCAAATATTCTTTATTTAATATTTAATATAATATAATATTATAGTATTGTTTAATATTTCAATACATTTTTTATCATCTCTAGGATTTTTTCGTTTATACGAATTTAAAATTAATTATTAGTTTTTTATTTAAATTTATTTAATTTCAATTTATTTTAATTTTTTTGCGTCCAAATATCCTTCACACTTATTTGGCGACGTTCATATGGTGGCGCGCGGCATCCAGACAGCCGCGTCTATTTGTCTTAGACCTACAATAATCGGTTATTGACCAGGTTGAGAGTTTCAACTATCTATATGACATTTTGAAAAAAAAAAAATAGTAGCTTCCATAAAAATGTGAAATATAGGATTTAGTTTTACTTGGTTTGACGAGGGTAAAATTATTTTGGCCATGCAGAAATGCTTAAAAATTATAGATTACGGGATTCATTATATAATTTTTACTAAATATAGTCACAATTTTTTAATTTTTATAATCTTTAAGAAAATCGTAAAAATCGCGTCATTTCATAACATGTTAATAATCGAGCATCACTCGGTATCGCTTTTTATTAAAAATTAATTATCGTTGCGTACAGATATAAATTAAACTATTCTATACATCCAACTTTTTCATCTTCTCATCTACAATAGTGGTGCTTAATTTTTTTTTTTTACACATAATGAATAATTTAATGAATAATAGCTTATGACTTGAGGAAATTAGAACAGTGTAAGGTTTTCAAATTATTCAATATTCAATCATTTAATATTTATTAACACAATGCATAATATTACATCAATATTTTTCGTTTAAAAATTAGTTTGTTTGCCGAATACAAAAATATAGTAATAAAAAAAGACAAATTCTTCACATAATCTACTACAAGTTGTGTACAAAAAAAAAAAATAAAAATCAAATCATTTTCCAACCATTTATCACAGATACCGTTACAAAAAAAAAAAAAAATGTATAAATAAACACATAGGTACCTATATATATAATAAAAATTCGTAAAATATAATAATACTTGTAAATACATTTCACCTGCGGATATTTAAGAGGCGAATACGAGATATTCGAACAGGTTGACTATTATACATAGAGTGATAGGAAATTTGCGTTCCGAAATATTGGCAGAGAGAGTGTTTTTAGGCGATAATTGATCGAGTGGAAGAGTTTTAGTTTCCTAAATCATACTACATAGGTACAATATAATTGCCTATGATACATACATATAAGGCATATAATATTTCAGTCCACCCGGAATCGTCTATTATCCCCCCCCCATTTTTGTCACGTGAATTTCAAACCGTCCTGCACATCATACGATGATGTAATACAAAATTATTTTTATACCGGCGCGTAACTGTGTAAGTATACAAATCTTGAATTAAAATACGGTATTGAAACATAGTATTATTAAATTTATTAGACTTTAGGTATAATATTATAATAATATTATTATCCTAGTTGTTGTAACTTAAAAAATGTGTTTTGTTTTAATAGTAGATGACCGTTAATAACAATCAAATCCCGGGACTTTATGCAGATGGATTTGTTATTTGATTGGAAAGTGCATAATTCAGTGGCGTATTTATGATTTTTTCAAAGAGGAAGTTGTTAATTTGAAAGTTGTGCGCCTATTAAGGTTAAAAATAAAAAGATAAGTTAGGTCATTTTTTTTTCAATTCATCTTTTATAACTATATCTCCACTATTAATACAACTATCAATTAAAACAAGAAAATTTTGTTAAGGTCTTTAGCTGGTAGTTTATGAGGTTCTTATCCTTTCTTCCTGTTTCAAGACTACAAGTCAATCATTAGAGCGAAAATTTAATATGGATGCTGTTTGTTTGGCTCCGCTGCCTTGTCCCACCACAAAAGATTAAATTCTTTACAGGCCAGCTGTTTACGCTCTACGCTCAGGATGCTAAAGTCTAATTCCATACTAAATGATGAGTCCTCTTGGTCACCTCTCCCAATTAGATACCGTTGGTTTTCTAGTACATTTATCCTGAAATACTTATATTTATCAAACTCTTCAATATTGATACATTTCACTCGAAAAACACCAAATGGAGATTTGTTCGCATATTTATACAAGAGCAATGGAAAATGGAATGGGATAACCTTCCAGATTTTTATGCTTTTGGCTAAAGGTCACTATTTAAAAGTATTCCTACTAAACCATGGTTTCAATCCTAGAACATCAGTCACGCTGCCATAGTCAAATACATCAGATAACAAACCGCCCACAGCTTACTACCACATCATTCGTTTAAAATGGGACTCAACAATAGCTCGTATTGTTTCCCAACTAACTGTGGTGGTGTGTGAATTACTGTGACTTTCAACATTTGCTCCTAAATTGTCAATCTCTCTCTCTCCATAAAATTCAGCTAAAGTCTTTTCTTTCTTCTCTTGGTTTTAACCTCTTCCTCATCAACGCCCCTTCAGTTAATAACGTTAATGTAATCTTTCATACGCTTAACTTTGTTCTCCAATCGAGCCTCCGAATTTAGAAGTGTGAGTTTTATCAATGTTTATGTTTGTTGCTCAATAACCTTCGAGATATTATAATATCCTTATTAAAATCTCATTAAAGTTTAAAAAAAAAAAATAAGAAGAAGAAAACCGGTAACGTGTTGGCAAATTGCACATTTAAATTTTTAAAAATGCATTATAATTTATTTCACTATGTGTTGATTGTTGTGGTTAGGTTAGGTTATGATTATTATAATTCAACCACATATTTAAATGCATAAAGCCCCGCGCCCCGAATCGATAACAATAGCATTATTATTTCACCCGAAGGAACATATAAAATAAATTGTCTTGACTTACCGAACTTAGCTATATAACTAATATTCTTAGGTTAAATATTATTATTGTTATCATCATCATCGTCGTCGTCGTATAAACATTGTGCAGATATACATTGGACGGAATATTTGGTGTTTTGATTAGGTATCACATTTTGTTCACATATGCTTAAATCTAATATACAATAGTACCTACTTAAATATATAATATAGGTAGATTAAATGTCAAAAAAAAAAATAATAATAATAATAATAAATGTCTACTACTACAATAAAATATATTATGTTTCAAATGGTAAATATTGTTATATTATTACATTATTATGCCAGCAATGGATGATCTCGATTTACTCGTGTATTTTATAAAAATAAGAGTATTTACTATGCCTTGGTCGAACGATTCATTTTTGTTTTTATACATACATTTTCATTAATCAAAAACTAAATAACGGTTAAAATTAAGAGAAATTAAAAAATGCGCACTTGTGCACGGTAAAAATGAAAATATTTTAAAAATCACAGCCTAAGACAACCGTAGATCAAGACATTATAATTGTTCTTCTTTATAAAATGAACCTATATGTACAATAGATTTATTTTCCTTAAACTCAACCATCAGATCAGTGGCATATTTAAGAGGAAGATTAAGGAAATATATCTCCCTTTTCAACCCTATTTTTATTACCTATAATTTATATATATATACATATTTTTAAATTAAAATTGTTTTAATTTTTAGTCGAAAAATAAAATATTTGCTGGTACCTAGTAATACATCGAAAAAAACTTGAACCTAAACATTTTTTTTCTTAAAAATAAAATCTATTGGAACCACTACTATAATATGAAAGATGTTAGATTAATATTTAAATAGTAAGTTAACTAAAACTAATTAATATAATACCTATAGTAATTTGATTCCAATGATAATTGTACAATAGATTGAATTATAAATTACTTACAAAAATATATAGGTATAAATTAAAATTGATCTTTTTTTAGTCTAGGTGCACATGATACAATATGACACAATTTTTAAATTTAATATCTCCCTCCTTGGTCAAATTCTAAATACACTACCGTATCAAATAGACGTGATCTTTGAATTGTGTTAAGTATTTGTTACTATGCTACGCATGAGACAGACAGAGAAATCAATTATGTACCTCTTAAAGCTTTTACGTCCCCGACTAGGTATATATATCTTATACTTACAACCATATAATCACACTAAAATATTTGTTTTATGCTTGTACTTTCTAGTGCTGAGCACCAAATCCAGATCAATTCGAATTCGGTTTAAACCAATGGTATAATTCGTTAAATCCGAATTAAAATTACTTACCCGGATTATTATATAAACCATTTATTTAAATCAATTAACATAATATCCATTTAACTATTACAAATTGTCTCGTTTGATGGTATCTACTATCTAATTTATACCATTTTAGTACCTAATCCATATAAGACAAATTGACGAATTAGATCCGAGATCCAGATAAAAAAATTTTTTTCCAAAATCAAAATTATGTAATTGTAATCCAGATTCCGGATTGGTCAACAAATTGATTGGCACTAGTACCGACCCATATGATTATACTTTACTTGCAGTATGTCACGTATACACGTGCGCCATGTAAATAACGTTTCTATATTAATACTTCTAATACCCATAAACGTAACATTACCGTTATCCACCGGACGACGGCGGCGTCGTCGCTTGTAGTTGTCCAGGCCGGTCTGGACAAACAACGATATCCTCGTAAATAAATATGCGAAAATGTCCGTGAGTGAACGCGATTGTAGGTACTATATGCACGTAACAAAATATTGTTCTTTTACAATAATATAATATTGTACAAGAACAATATTATATTACGTGGGGACACGCGTATTGACTATACACCGTGGTTTAAGATACATAAACGGGTATATGTGGAAACGATTGGTACACGACGACGACGATAAAATAATACGGTTTACGGTTTTATTATTATTAATTGTTATTATGATCGATATTTGTATTGTAATATAATACGCACGACGTATTATAATAATATTATATGCAGTTATATGCATGCACGCCCAAACACAAATAATAATATAATATACTGCGGTGACAACTTAAATACATTGTTATATTGCTAAGTTTATTAAACGTACACCTCGCCCCTTTTGCGCCTGTTGGACGCCGGCGTTTTTCGGTCGTCCGTGCTGGACACACTACCGCTGGAACTGCCGCCGCACGCGCTGTCGTCTTTGTCTAACCCGCCGCCGACCGCCGTCGTTGTGATGTCGGTAAGCACCAGCGGCAGCGGTGACGCATTTCCGTCCGTTATCGTAGTCGTCGTCGTCGTTGTCGCCGTGCAAATGCCCATCGACGACAATAACGGTTGGCTCATGGATACCGTAGACAAAGCGATTGGGCTGACGGACAGCGACATGGGTCGCGTGGTATACACCGTAGTGCCATTTAGCGTGGTTGCGGAAAACGCCGCTGAGTTCAACACGCCGTGATGGGCTACCGCGCTCCCCCCGCCAACGCCCCGGCGCTGGTTAATGTGTAACGTACCCGACAGGTTGGGGTCCATCTCTTGGATCGGTGACAGTACCACCTGCACAACAAAACAATGCATATTGAATTTTAATGAATTTGTAAGTTTTAGTGAGTTTGTAGCAAATTCATGTTTTTTAGTTTACCTAGAGGTACTGTATAAGACAATCAATACAAAGTTCAAATTATGTGACAATTAACTTAGTTTGGAAATTTTTATTTTTATTATTTTTTTTTTCAAATTGCTTTATGAACCGTTTTTCGGGATTTCACGTGATTTTTTAATGTTGTTTAATGTTTTATATCCAAACTTTTATAATTCATTGGATTATGCATAATCAGACCAGGGGCGTAGTCAAGAATTTCAAAAGAGTGTTATTATGAAATAAGATATTCGTTGGGTTTAGTTAGTTCTCGGAGATGTCCTCCAATGTTTGGTAAATATTGTCCTCCCTAGAAGTTTTCCTAATTTAACCACTGAACAGATATAATAATCTATTCTCTCTAATAAAAATATATTATTCAAAAATTATTTCATCATTGTTAAAGCAGAAGTAGCAAAGACACCTATTTAATGTCAGCTACATTACTTATAAAATAAAAAACATTTAAAAATAAATTTTAGGTAAATACACATAATCATACATCGAATAAAATAAATGTTCATCATCTGCGATGAAATGTTACCTACCTACACTGTATTATTATTATGAACGAGAATAAATTTAAAAAGTAATAATACTAATTTCACACTATATTGACTGGATCACTGCTTTTGATGAGTCACGGCAGGGTCGACGTTAGGGTATAGCAATGGGATTTACGTCCAGGGCCTCGTGCTTTCAGAGGCCTCGCACTTGTAGACCCATAAAAAAGAAAAGCATAATTGTAATAAACGTAAAATTGGAAAACTAATATTTTTAGATACGTAACGATGTTTTTGGGAAAAACACGTACACGCACAGTGTCTTATCAAACAGTTTTCTGGCCGTGGCCAAGACGTGCAGGGTATTAATAAAAGTATTAGGTGGGAGGAGTTTTAAAGATTAAGTTGGAAAAAAAAGGAAACGTAATAATAAATTAATGCAGGGCCTCCCAAATCGTAACACCGGCTCATTATAAATACAGTTAATTACGACACTAAGTTGTTATCAATCATTTATCCCAAAACGTTATTAGTTTTGATATAGTCACAGGCACAATATTGAAAATAATAATTATTAAGTAGGTAAAATAAAAAAGAGTTGATACTAGTAACCACTACTGTTTAATGCAGGTATTAGGAAAAAAGCCCCGAAACTAAAAAAAATCCTGTTAAAAATTAATACATATATTGAACATTTTTTTAGAAATAAGTACATAAGCTAATTTAAAAATTTTACCATAAAAAGAAAAAATGTAAAATCTTCATTTAGCATTAACCTTTGTCGTTGAAAAAAATTAATTCAACAATAAAAAAATTATATATAAGTACACTAATATTTTTCAGTTCGTCTTCAGATTCATGTATCAATACGTATTAATTTACAATGGGGTTTTTTTCCTAATATTTTCTTAACGGATCTTATTTTTCTGAATTAATTTATATATATTATATTATATAGTATAATATAATTTAATAAAGACGTCCTAGGATAATGAAAACTGGTGCAGCCACTGTTTTAGGTAATTTAATGTATATCTATAAGCAACGATAAACCATTGCTAACGAAAAAAGGATTCTGATTGCAGTTTAGTTGATAGTGGTGTTTTGTCAACAATATATATATATACAAATATATTGTGTTATATTATGGTAAAATAATTAAATAGACATTATAAATTTTCTTTTATAATATCTGTTTAATATTGTATCGATTTTCCCGTTTTTCTCGGTTTATCACATTTGCTGGGAAAACTTCTGGAAAAATCAAAAAATAACCTACTTAAAGTACCTTCTTTGTTAGATTTCCTATTAGAAAAAGTACTATCATTTTAAATTGGAGGGAAATTGTTGGTAAAAAAATTGTACACAGAAAAAAAAAGGTTGTTTTACGAATACCTACATTTCGTTTTTTTCTGTTTTTCCGACATTTTATCTCGGTTTTTCCCAGATATTATGAAAACCACTTGAAAAATTAAAAAAATGACCTCCCTAAATTACCACGGAGATAAAATTTCCTTTCAGAAAATAAGCTACACTTAATACATCGGAGCAAGATTTCTGGTAGAAAAGTTTGCACATCAGAGGTATTTTGCGATTAAAATAGTCCGAGCAAGCGATAGCTTGGGTCGAGGTACTCCCAAAATGCATTTGTTTTTTCTTTTTTAGGTAAAAGAGAAAAAAAATACAAACAATTTTTTTGACACACTGGTTTGAACTCGGAACACTCGGGATGGTATTAGGCTTGATTAACCATTAGATTATGAAAAAAATGCTTTAAAAGGGTCAGTATAAAGTTATTTAATATACATATTCGCATAATATCAGAACTTCAAAAAACAATAATTTCAAAACTTAGTCAGTCCACTTAATTCTGACTCCACCATCATTCTTAAATCAGCAATATATATATGTTAAGTTAAAAAAAAAAATTGAAAAATTAAATTAAATTTTTTTTTTTTAAACTACAAATTAAGACTTTAATGAACTTCCTGTTAAATTTTTAAATATTTCTGTTCAAGTCTAACAATTTTACCACACAATACTTATCAAATAATAATTACGTACAAAGTTTGCAAAATTTAAATATCTATAAATAGCTCAAAAATAGCTTAAATTTTTTTTAAATTTTACCATGTCAAAGAAACGCAAGTATAAGTTTTCTGTCCAAATTTCAAGTCTTTTGAAATATTTTTAACAGAATTACAACAAATAACAAATTAGAAAAACAATAAAAGAATTATTTTCATAAAATTCCCGTTTTTCTTAAATTTTATCCTGGTTTTTCCCAAATATTATGAAAACAATAAAAATTAATTAAAAATTATTCATAAATACAGAGTTATTTTTTAATTGTATATGCTGTTTTTCTCTATAAAATTAAATATTATTTCAATAGTATAGAGGTACTTATTTAGTTATTTGAATTTTTTTAAAAAATATATTCGACCTTCAGAATTCTGCTGTTTAAAGTATAGATGAGTATTTAATTATTATGAATTTAAAATTAAGCAACATTATTTTTACTATACACATTACGATGATATTAATAATGTGCTCGATGATTTAGCAAAATTATAAATATCATATAATTTATTAAAAATATGAATACATATAATATGGGTATAGTTGATTTTCAAATTTTTAACCATAGTTCAGTAATCACGCACATTTGATGTACGATATATATACTATTGTATGTCATTACATTACACACTTGAAAAAAAAATGTATTTTTAAATGCCACAATATTTTGAATATCGTATAATTATGTAGAAATGATTAAAATTGTACAAGGTCTACAGGCAGTGCTCAGGAATTTTCAATAAGAGAAGATGTAGCGAATAATAATCATAAATAAATCATAATATATTCTTCTCTACACTAATTGACTATGGGAAGTTTTAGGTTAATGGGGGGAATATAACCCATAACATCTTCCTCTTGAAAACGTTACTACGTAAAGGTGGTGTCATCTTATGATAACTACTGAAACTTAAATTTGTAATTCATGAATATAAAAAAAAAAAAAGGAATTTTTCACGAGGGAAATAGATGTTAAAGCTTAAAACTATTACCGATTTTAGATTAGAAGCGTGACGAGGAATCTATTGGTTTTACTATGATGTGGGTGTATTTTTTTTTGTTTGTGAACAATTTTTCTACCAGAAAGCTTGTTCCGAAGTATGGACTGTAGTGTCTTTTCTGAAATTTTCTGAATTTTCTCTCGTCCTAACACACTAATACTAATACTAATACTAATATACTAGTATTGGGTCTCCCCAATTTTATGATTTTCCAAGGTGTTTCTAAAATAATTACGAAAAACTAAAAGAAAATTATTAGTAAAACGGAAAATATTTACGACGCGCTGCGGTGTTACAGTTTTCATTGTTTTTATTATGATAACACTACCAGAAACATTGCTCCAATTAAAAAATTACAAGGGATCAATTTTGTTCATTATAATATTTCGCCACTGACATAGTAAGTCGTTTTTCCATATCCAAACTAGTTTTCCTAATAATTAGGAAAAATAAAAAAAATTAAAATTGATTAATATTTAATTAATTAATATTTTTTATTAATATTTACGACTACGTAGCGTCCCGGTTTATTTTAATATGTTTTATCAGAAATATAACTCTAAAAATGACATAAGATCGATTTTGTTTCTTTTAACACATAGCCATCGACAAAGAAAGTCGTTTTTTATGTGTAAAGTATTTTTCATAATAATTGGAAAAAACCAAAAAGACGAAAATACAATTTTTTCCAAATTAATGCACAACGATTTCATTATTTTAAATTTTTACGACTTACGTTTTATACCCTAAATTTTGCTCCAGTTGATAAACGACAAAAAGAAATTTTTTTGTTGAATTTTTAATCTAGTAGGTGACCAAGAAAATAGTTTTTTGATTTTATTTTTTATTGTTTTGATAGTGGGGAAAAACTGAAAAATATGTAGAAAGAACGGGAAAATAATTCTTTTATTATTTTAAATTTTGATTTTGTAATGTAATTCAGTTTAAAATATTCATTGAGACATGAAATTTTGACATAAAACTGATATATGCTTTTTTAGATGTAATAAAACTTTCGGAATATTTGAGCTATTTATAGACATTTTAATTTTGCGAGTTTTTACATAATTTTTATTTGGTAGGTACTCTGTAGATAAATTGTTCGAATTTACAAACATGCTTGAAAATTTGATAAGAGGTTCATAATAAGTCGTATTTAGTGGTAAAAAAAATAAATAAATAATGTAGTATTTTTGTTTTATAAGAGTTTTAAAATCAAATTTTGATGATGAAAATATGAAAATATGAAAACATATTTATTCTTACTAAAATTATTTTCGTTTGTAAAAATTGTAAACTGTGATTAGTATTTGAAATATTGATAATATATTTTAGGAATACTAAAAAAGTTAAGCCCTAGTTAAACCACGATTTAGTTTAATTACCTACTTATAATTATATAAGTTAACAAATAGTGTTGACTGTTGGCATGACAAAAAAAAATGTTATGAATCTCTACTTAAGTATTAAATGTAACTGGTGCACATGAACATGACTACAATTTATAAACGACGCCCGAATCGTGTACGAATGATAAGGTCAATATCCATTAAAGCCTATCAATATAATAATAAACTGTTTTTCACTAAAGTTTTAGCTTTAAAAATAAACCGAAGCCTGAACAATGTGTTCAGTAAACCCAATATTTTGATAACGTAAAAGTGTTCTTTTATTTTTACCTATTTATTTATTTTTTTTAGGTAATTCAGAGGTCATTATAGATAATATAAGAATACAATTTATTAACTGCATCAAGTGTTAAGGTATCTATGTAGATTGTTTAATAACTGTACAGACTGCACCTGTACAATTTTTTTTTAAATTGTATTAAGAAAATTAAAACATTATTACCTGTACGACTGGTATATCTGACGGATACGTTCCTGGCTGAATAGAACCGTTGACAGATACATTCTGTTTGTTGTCCTTATCGATGACACCGTCCTTTTGCACATCCGGGGTCGGAATTCTAGGCCTTCCTCTCGCATTCATCGCATTAATCTTGTTTGAACCTAAAAGTAAATCGTACGATATATTATATTATAACTATAATATATATATTGTATATGATATACAATATAAGGATATACAGTATATCCTTATGGTACGATAAACTGATTTAAAATGTGGAACGCCAGACAGGCTTATGATATAACGGGAATTGGGAATATATAAATTAATCTGCGGTATGTACGTCGTGTAATTTTATTATATTATTTTTAAAAACAAGTATCTTTCGGGCAAAACTAAAATATCCGATTCATAGATAAGTATTGTATTTAGGTAAATAAATAGTGGCTCTGAGATTATACAGTTACTTTGTTATATACTTTATTTAATGCTTCAGAGGATATTTTAAGGAATTTTCATTGATTTTACTAAGCGATACTGAGAAATAAAATCGAGCGTCCTGCTACATTACTAAGTTGAAACCTAACCTAACGTTTGGTCTTTGATTTTTGATAAACTTAACTTATTTTTTTTCATTTTACATAATAAGGCAATTTTGAATTACACTACATTAGGTGATTGATTTTAATATTGACACGATATTAAATAAATTCTCTATCTATTTTGAATACCTAATAGGTATTATCATCGCATAATTATAATTTTTTTTCACTATGGAATTCACTATGTGTGGAATTCCGAACTTAAAATAAGTATAATTATTGGCATTTCCAGAAAAAATAAAGTTAAATATTATTTGGATCATCCTTATTTTTATAAATCCCAAACTAAAAATAATCTAAGATCCAAAAAAATTGTCTCAATTGTGTTCATTAATAACAAAATTAGCTTTTTCCATGTTAACTTGTTAACTATTTTCAGGTCAATTTTGTACCAATTCCCTCAAGAAAAAAATCGTAATGATTAATTGAAAAAAAAGAAGAGAAATTTAAAAATATTAAATAAAATAAAAAAGTATTATTACTTATTACATGTGTAAAATTTACATTATTTACATTATATATATTTTGTTGTACTTATACTGAATCTTCCATATTCTATACAAGTATATAACTGAAAATGAACAGACAAATACATTAACAATTGTTCGTTTTTTTTTTTTTTTTATGCGAAATGTTCATAATAAATCATGTTAAGCAAGAGTGTATGTAATAACATATTTTTTTTTGCGAATTTTTATGTCCAATATATTATAATATTATTATCCGCCTAATATTATAATAAGCTGGCACGTATTTATCTGCGGTATACAACAGCAGTGTAAAAAAGTGAAAACCCGTTGTTCAGTTTTAGTACCTACCTACCTACCTACCTATATACTACTATTATGGCGATGATTTCATGTGCTAAAACTAGTAACTATATGAGACAGGTACTTAACCATAACTATATATTTATAAAAAAGATCTCAAGCGAATTTTTAGTATATAAATAATATGTATATTATATATATACATATGCACCAATATAATGTTAGGTATTATGTATTAATATATGTATAACAAGAAAGTTTGTAATATTTTCAAACTATCTGCAGCAATAGTTACCTACGTAAATGTAATATTATAATATTGATATGATTTTTTCACTTGATGAGAATATCGTGTTAATAATATACAAGCATTATGGCGCATATAATATTATTTATCTGTTTAAAAATTAACTCGTGTTTTGACGATTTCGTTGCGGATATATTATTAGGTATAATTATGATAAAAATATTAACAAACGAGTTTTAATCACGATGAACTTGAGAATAATAAAAAAAAAATTAAAATAATGTAGCATTATACAAAACAATTTATTAGAATCAGGTTTTCCGCTTTATTTTGTTTATTATTGGTACCTATCTACCTCCTATACAAATAAAACACGTGATTTTTAAATACCGCTTATTGATTATATATTAAAGGGCCTCTACACGTAGGTAATTTGTTTACTCTGTCTCATGCATAATAACAGCAACAGATATATTCCGCACTTAAACAATTGCGACACTCTTTGAAGAAATTTGTACGATAGGAACAAATTAGAACTGAACAAAATACATCAAATTGGTTAGGTTTAACAGAACGTGTAAACCCACCTTTTTCCAGAAGTTGTGGGTACATCTCGTGAACTTTCAAATTGTTAACAATTAAATAATTATCAGTGTGATAATATAGTCTTGACTCTTGATATGAGCTGATTTCTAGTAGACAATTTTGTCTATTTAGTGTGTTTAAGTGTTTTATTTGTTTGCGATTTTTAACACATTTATATTTATGCATTTATAAATTATCTATCGAAAAAATTGAACTGAATAGTATTTACTCCTAATACCTAATATGTTTAAAGACATCATAGGAGAATACCCAGGAAAATTCACCAGAAAAAAATCAACTATAGACCATATACATACCATTAGACAACTAGCGAAAAACATTGAGTATAATAAGGAACTCCACTTGGTATTCATCGATTTCAAAGAAGCCTATGATTCCATAAATAGACGATAATTATAAAAAGTTATTAAATATATGGGTATTCCCAAAAAATACTTATATTTAATAAAGTAGCGTAATTAAAAAACAATCTTCAAAGTAAAATATCAACAGGAACTATCAGAAATATTTTAAGTCAATTCGGGATTTCGACAAAGCGACGCATTGTCACTAACTCTTTTTAATGTCACACTAGAATGAGTAGTAAGAACAACTAATAAATCCCGGACAATGGAGTTTGGTGGAAAAAAGTAATTTTAGGTTATGCAGACGATGTAGTAGTACTAGAATACTCCAGAAACGAAGTAACACAAACTACAATGAAATGTTTGGAAGCAAGTGAGATAATGGGATTAGAAGTTAATCAAGAAAAAATAAAATATATGTGTATATCCAGAAATGATAGGAACAACTCAGGTCTAAATTTAGACTAATACTCATTTGAAAAAATAACATCATACAATTATATAGGGTTAAATATAAATAACGTTTACGAGGAAATACAAGAAAGAATAATCAACGCAAATTATTATATTAAACTATTATAGTATATGAAAACTATTTAGATCAAATTTACTATCGAAAGAATCGAAAATAACTTTATAAATCAGCTACCTTAGACCTATTATAACATACGGATGTGAAACTTTCAAATTCTCTTTATACAAAATTACAAACACATCGAAATTTAACAAACATTTTCATGGCGTACGGTTTTTCTTAAGAGTTTGCCAAGTTTTCCAAGTTATTAGGAAGACTACAAAGAAAATCGAAAAATTCCATTTAAAATGCACAAACTAAACGGAATTCGTTACTAGAAACCATCCTTGAAGTTGATGATCAGAGCAAGATTTCCGGTTAAAAAGTTATTTTAGACATAATATTATTATATTAAAACTAATGCATTCCTTGTTTCATACGTAATCTAAAATTAGGCTCGTACACGAAAAGACTCGTTTTTATAACGGTTCGATAAAATACGATCAATGATCGATAGATATATATTATTAACGTTTCGCAGTTGAATTTTGTATAAACTTAACGAACAAAGTCATACATAAAAATAATTGTTTATTTAATAATTAAAATTATTATTTTTTTAAGGCAATCGCACATTATACCTACAGTTATATGAGAGAGAGAGGGAAATAGAGAGACATACATAAAAAAAAGTAGCAATTTATTTTATCAAAATATGACGTTTAACTATAATGTTCATTGTACATGTTAAATTTAATAACTTAAAAAGGAGTGGGTAGTAAACTGGTATTATTTTATGTATTTATTCATCTAAAAATATTTTTAAATAACAATTCAATACTAAGAGACTAGATGAGTAAAATGTATCTTTTCAGTTTTCACTAATGATTTATATTATGTGTTTTCAGCACCCTCCAGAATATTTTGTCTAGGGCCTCGCAAAACCCGGCGGAGGTACTTAATCTGGTCGAATTTCAGACAAATTTTATAAAGATTATTCACCTAAACCCAATGATTTTTTTTTATATATATATTAAAAGATTTATATATTGTTAACAGTTAAAATTGAAAGAAATAAAGTTAAGGCAAAACACGCATTTTTCGGTATAAAAATTAAAATATAAAAAAATCATTCATCAATCAAGATGAGTGTGACAGTTTCTATGTGAACTACAACTTTGTAATCAAAAAGACGTTCTAGAATAATAGAGATGGGTGCAGTAACTGTTCTAGGTAATTTAATGTATACATGTAAGCAACAATAAACCATTGCTTACGAAAAAACCTACACTGTATTATCGGAGTTCAGTTGAAAGTGATGCTTTGTTGACAATATACATGTTACAATATACATTTTATAATAAAATAATTAAATAGGCTTCTTTTATTTTCTTTAATAATATTTGTTTAAAATTGTACCGATTTTCCCAGTTTTCCTAAGTTTATCCCGGTTTTTCACATTTGCTGGTAAAACTATTGGGAATATTTTCTTTTAGAAACATTGCTATCATTAAAAGTTGGAGCAAAAGTGCTGATAGAAAAGTTGTACACAGTAAAAAATAAGGCCGTAATATATTTTAACTATAATACATTCCTTATAGTTTCCTTTTTTTTTCGGTTTTTCAAATTTGATGAGAAAACTTGCGCACAGATAAAAAAAAAATAAATATATATCTTTGTAAAACTATAAGCTTTTCGCTTCACTCCGAGTCTAAAAAACAAATTAAAAAAATTGATAACGGTAATTTATCGTTGTGGATAGGTACAGTCATACAGATATAAATTAAATTACTCTATACAAGAGTGGCACATTCATAGTGCGAAATATGTAGACTTTTTTCTTATACATACGCTTCCAAACTATAAAATAAAATATTTAGGGGGTAAGCTTCAGTCTCCCCACTATGCCAAAATAATAATTATATGCAGTTTACTTTTAGTATAGCACATACCTTGGGAGCCACCTCGTCGACTTTTCATCGATTTCCTACCCCAAAGTCGCTCGTACAAAGTTATCTTTTGCAAATGAGGTGTACTTCCGTTGATAGCATTAACGTGACCGTTAATTCCTGTTGTAACAGGTAAGCCGTTTTCCGGACTCGAGTATACTGAATTATGCCTAGTTCGGTTGAACAGTCCACCGGACGAATAAGTGGTCGACGATGACCTCATCGATCCCATCCGATGCATTTGTCTTTGAAACCAATTTTTACGGCGTTCGGCCATAGGCGTGTCAACACTTTCCTATAAATTAAAAAAAAATATATATATATATATTAAATATATTTACACTAAACACTTTAGGTATTTCAATATTTTTCAGTTCTAGTATGTACGGCAATAATAATATAAAAATAATATTATAACTTTTAATAAGTGCTGGGATTAGGGAACATAATTACGACGGACTTTGGTTTTAGTTTAGAAACAATCGTACCACAGCAGATAAATGTCACAGTAATCCACGAGGAAATTGGTCTCCTTTTAAGGGGTATTAAGACCTTGTCATTATTATAACACTAAAGACCGGATTTTGCATAAAATGCGTATTAATAATTGCTACATTATATACTGCAGTCAGTTAGAGTCTATAAATCGTTACTTGGTGGATTAAATAACAAAATTTTACATTTCAATTTTTGCATATTCCAACGTTAGTGTATGTTCTGTATGTTTTTCATACTTGGTTACTATAAACAGAGACGAGTTAGTATAAAAATACTCACCAAAAAGGTGAACATGGAACGTATGTGGAATTATTAGTTTATAATTAACAAACTTAAACACGTAAAGGACAAAGTCCGTAACACTTTAGTAATTTATTTTTCCAATTAATAGACTACATTTTTTCGTAATTTTTCTTATTAACAATATACTAAATTGGATTACTAAAATATTATTTACTTGGTTTTTGAATGTATTAAAAAATAAACACAAAATGTATTCTTAGTTTATTGTACTTTTTGGTTAACAAATTTTAGTTACCTAACTAAATATAATTTAAAATGCTCATACTAACAAAAATTAAGTTGTACAATACATTTTTGTACTACATATTTATGCCATATTGTATATTTTACTTTTTGTTTTTACAAATTATGGTAATTAATAATTAACACTTCAAAATTACAAAATATATTAAGCATTTTAATTGTATTCTGCATATTTCGTAACTTGTTTTACATATTTTGACTTTTTTTAGTGCTTGTTGTCATGCATACTTATTATTTAACCAATTAACCATATTTAACAATATTATAAGTACTACTTACAAATCCGGTCTTTAATTATAACATAAATAGTCTTTATTGTTACTAGTTTCACTGCTAAATTATTCCTTATTACACACTTTCTCGAATGCGATTTAAATTTAGGCATTTTTTAGCAAAAGGACCTTTTATATATTTTATAAAAAAAACTTAGATTTTATAAATAAATTTTTAAATATTTCCATTCCTTAATTAGGTTATTAGTACTTAAAATTAAGAGATTAATTCCAAATATCGGAGCAGACAACAATATATATAATAAGATGATTCACTAAGCTTACTCACGTAATTTTTTTTCCATTTAAATACCATAAGTCAAAAATATACATCGTCTAAGTTACAAGATATGAAGAATTTAGAGCATTTATTAGTATTTAATAGGAAAAGCATTTCTCGGGAAAAATATATCAAAAAAGACGGACATACTTGGTACGATGGGTGGGCTACTATTGTAGGCGAGAAGTTGGGAAGGTAGGATAGAGGGGAATTTAATTTGTATCTGTAAGCTACGATAAACCATTGCTAACGAAAAAACGATTCTAAATGGAGTTCAGTTGATAGTGATGCTTTGTCAACAATATGCATGTTATATTATAATATATAATATAACAATATGATATATTAAATAGGGATTATATATTTTCTTTAATAATATTTGTTTAATATCATACTAACTTTTCCGATTTTTCCCATGTTTTTTCCCGGTTTTCCACATTTGCTGAGAAAACTCTTGGAAAAATCGAAAAATGACCTCCTTAAAAGACCCCCCTCTACCGATTTTCTTTCTGAAAAGGTGCTACACTTAAAAATCGGAGTAAGTCGTTTGGTGGAAAAGTTGAGCATAGACAAAAAAAATAATAAACATCTTGTAAAACCATAAGCTTCTTCGTTCCACTCAGAATTTAAAACATTATTGTAAAACCAATACATTCCTCGCTCCGTTCGGGAGAATCTAGGAAGTGAACTGTTAACAATTTAAAAAAATGTTATTTTATATTTTTCTAGGAACTGCACATAAAAAATCGGAGCATTTCACTTTCTTAAAAATAGCTTTTTTTTTAAAAAAAAATACAGTTCGTATTATTCAAGGTGTAATGTGAAAAAATATGAGCGTTTTTAACAAATCGAGATAGCGTTTTCTGATAAAAAAATCAATGTTAATAGAATTAATAGCTTCTTCTTTACACCCATGTCGGGTTGTACGCAATGTTATAAAGCTAATAACTTTCTATCGATTGTGTAAAATGAAAAATGTTTTCAAACACAGAGTTATCGAATCGATAAGTTGTGGAATTGATTTTCATTCTGATGTAAAATTTACAGTATACACTGAACATTTTTAAATTTACATTATATTTTCTATGAGCAATCTCTTTTTGTTATTTTATTAGAATGTTGCTATCACGTAAAAAACGTGTCTTATCCTGTTACTGAGGCCGTACTACTGTTATTCTAAGTGGTAACATATCATTAACTTAATTTCGGCACTCTTATCTTCATTAATTAAAGATAGGTATTATGATGAATTTTCAAATGTCAGTTAATCATTAATAAGGCTAAGGAGCTTTAGAGATAGATCAAATCCTCTTGAAAACTTCGACGGTTTAGATTTTACCATAATTTAAAACAGAATTTATTACTCTTTATTTAAACTTCAAAAACAATCATATTCACCCCAAAATTTAACAATTATGTCCAATGTTTCTCATTTATTAAGAAAATTACAAGATATAAATAAATGACCTCCTTAATGCATTAACGAGATCAAAAAATATACAAGAAAGTTCTTATAAAGTTTTTGGCTGGTGTAAGATTTCTAGTAGAAAGCTCTTAAATAAAAAATTTTTTTTAAAAAACTCGTTATAATAAAACCAATAAATTCCTAGCTTCACTCAGAACCTAATAATCGGGCCCAACGGACAATAATTACAATATTTGAATATTTTCATTTGTTGAATCGGCTAATATAGTGTAAGACGATAAAATAACATGCGCGAACCGTGGTTAAGTATATATTATGAATAATATTATTGTAGTAGCGAATAATTATTACGATAATAATGGGACCGACTGTACAGTAAGTAGTATATTATAAGAGAGTAGTGCCGGAATAATAAAATATCACTGCGGTGAATGATACATAATATGTAGATATACCTGTAATACTGTTGCAGCTAATATACCCGTGGGACCCCGATATGCATTCCTTCACGACCACTTGACCTTCGATCGGAGGTACCTACATATTATTATTACTATTGAAGAGGAGTAGGGGGAGGATGGCGGGAAGAAAAAAAAAGCCAAAACAAAAATATTATATATATTATATTATTACACCGTAGTAGATTCATGTACACACAAACGTAGGCGCACAAACGCGTACACACACTGCACACACAAGCGCGCGCGCACGCACATAGACGGCACACGCACACGTAGCTTGGTAGACGCGCGCGCTACCACCCGTCCGGGTTCATTAATCTCGTCAGTCTGCCTTACGGCCGCCGCATAGTGGTCGGAAGTAGAACTTTAGATGGACAAAATTATTATTTTTCGTATCTAAATATTAAATATGTTTTAATAAAAGATGTAAGATTTTTGAATGATGATAATTTATATAATGTTTATTACGGACAATTTTGTCGTGTCTAATCCAAATAAAAAAAAAACAATTATGATATACGTTTCACCCGTAGGTAAGGTATACCATGCCGAAATCTGTCCACGGTAGGGTCCGAGACTGTGGTTACACGCCACGTATGTTTATATAATATTCGAGTAAAACCCACATAGCTGGATGAAACTAAAATTATTATTTGTAAATATTAACGATATTTTACCAATTTACTGCCCATGAACCATAATAGTATTTCTAACCTCCTTGGACAACCTTGTGACCGGCTTATAATGAACCGTTTAATCACGAAATTCAACAAAACAAATTTTGAAAGTTTTAAAAATGTTTCCTAGACATCAACACACACGATTAAATCCATACGAAAAAGATATTTTTTAGAGAAGATTAAATATGAATTCCGAGTTTATTCAATGATCCGAGAATACAAACAAAAATCAAATGCCTCAAGAATTCATGTCGACAATGGTTCGGTTTGTAATTTATCGAATAGTATTTAGAGTGATCCGTATAAACACTTAAAGTGTCCGTGTAATGTCTAAAAAAGTGTTGGAAAACACTGTTTTATTCTGTTAAATACTCGTATATTATGATAAAAATAGAAATCGCGAAAACAAAATGTACTTAGTTTCGATCCTGAATAAGAAAGCCGTGCTACCAGTCGCAATTCATCGGCAGTAAAAATTATTTTACAAGGGTAAAAAACTTCTCAGGCTGTATACTTCATTAAGATTTTGCAGACCCTCGAACATGAAAAACTCGCAATAAATCTTCAATACCATGGTATCCCAAGTATACTTTGTACAAAAAATATCGTATTGTGATTGCGCACTGTATTTGTGAGGATATCAAATACTGATCATGACCTATACCGGGAGCGAAACTGGAGCAAAACTTACTGGTAGAAAAGTCGTTCACAGGAAAATAGAGGTCGAAATATTTTTCATCTAATACCTAAACTTTTTATATTTTCCTGTTTTTCCTTTTTTTTTTTTTGGCTTTTCACATTTGTTGAGACAACTCTTGAGAAAATCTAAAAATTCCTTAAAGTACCTTCCTGGTCAGATTTCCTTTCAAAAAAAGGTGCTACACTAAAAAATCGGAGCAATATCTCTGGTAGAAAAGTTGTTCACACAAAAATAAAATAGATAAACATTTTTGTAAAACCATATGCTTCTTCGGTTCACTCAGAATCTAAAATTGAAGTACATTTCTGATAACTAATTAAACTCTTCAACCCTTTCAGGAAATTCATCATGAAAACAATTCAAGACTTTCAAAATGTTTTTATTCCACATATATTTGTTCATTGAAACGTTCCCTTTCTAGTCTTCGAAGCCTTAAATTAAAAGCCATATAAACAACTATAGGGGTGCTTTGGGGTGCTGAAACGCCTAAAATTTCAAAATTGAATGATTGTTTCAACAGAAATTACCAAATAAAAAATGTTTTTAAATCTATTTATTACTAAATACTTTATGACTTTAATAAGGTCAAAGGTACGATATTTGGAGGTATAGGAGCGTAGCTTTCACAGGTTGGTGTGCGGTGTGCATTACATAATTTCAGCATCCCCAATAATTGAACTTAAATTTTGCTTAAGCTACAGAAGACGAAAAATTTTACCTTAAATAAAAAGGGAGACTTTGCATCCCCCCTCTCTTTAATCACCGGTCGTAGCCCAAAACAACTTGAGGAATTAAATTACACCGCGTTTATTACTTTGTTCCGGTATAATATTATATTATATATAGGCATACTTACGTAGTCCGCGTACATGTCCTCGGGCACCGCGGGCTTCCTGTGCATATGGTGCACCGGTGCCATGTTGGCGTACAGTGAATCTGACTCTTTGACCTTGTACTGCTCGGCAGATCCCTTGGGTTCTTCCCGTCTGTAGTGTTCTGAAGCCACCGTGTACGGCAGGTCCTTGGGCACTACTTCGTCCCAATACTGGTCCTTCAGTAGTTCCGGGTGTTCTTCGTGCATTTCGTCCACGATCATATACGCCGCCTATAATAAACAAACGCACGCACAATTGTATTATAATAGGCGGTAGGTGACCATTGTCCGATCGACCGTGGATACCCACACTATACAAGGTGATTTTTTTATCATGAACCAGCAATTATCTCAGAAAACTTACTCACATAGTATTCGATTAACTTTAAGGGAATTACTCAAAGATTGACTTGTATTTCTTTTAATTATGGAAAAGTGTTCTTATTGTAATTTTTCCACAAAATTTAAATCAAACTTGAGATGAACAGTATTCACAATTCAAATGTAAATACTGTCCATATTCAACGAACTAAATCTAGTTTTTGAATTCATTAGTGGTAAATATAAACAAAAAAATCAATATAAAAAACCAATACATTTCTCGCTTCACTCAAAATCTAATAGATTTGAACAAAAATATAAAATAAATCCATAAATGCAAATAAAAATAAATTGATTAAAAAATTAATACATTTTTAAAAAGAAAACAGTGTGGATTATATTTAACCTTGATATGTATACATGAAAATACAATTAATTAGTTAACTAATGAGTTGCCTGGAGTATTATGATAAGTGTATTATACGACCGATTTCGAATTAAAAATTCATCAACAGGTATATCACAGTCAAAATGTAAAACGCAATTGAATATAAAAAATTAAATGAAGGAACACATAGAAACAAAAATTTACAAATTGGCCGATTTACATAGAATATAGAAACAATTTATTTTAATAGGAGAGATTATTTAAAATTAGTTATAAGTTAGACATAGTTATGTTAAGAAATATAAATTATTTGGTTATTATTTATTATCTAAAATGTATTGAAATAAGATATTATTCTTAAAACCGGTTTCAACATTAAAAATATTATTAAAACTATTTTTCTTTATTTCATTGTGTATGTGTAATTCTTTTAAAACTGAATTAATGTAAATGTTATTATACCAGTATTTTTAAAAGAAGGGGGAATTTTGTGAACTTTTTAGTCCTATTGTTTATATGTTTAATTAAATTATTATTAGTTTTAAAAACAATGTTGACATTATTTGTATTATTGTTTAGAATTTTAGCGAGTTCGTTAGACAATATATTTTGATATTTCATACTACAATAGTTGACAACATTATTTGGTGAGCTGTGTATTAATTTTCTTTAATAAATTTATGAATTTTTTAATAGTATTTAAATTGAAATTATTTCTATGGGCTACATTATAGATAATATTGGCTTATTGAAACCAACATATTCAGAAAACACTAAAATCAAACAATTTCTGAAAAATCCTTTTACAGCTATTCAAAATGTACACACACAATTTGATTACAGTTACTAATTTATTAATTTTAGTTACTTACAATGTTTATTTATTCTTTACTTGTGACTATTTGTCATTCAGATAAGTTTTTAAGTTTTTAAGTCGACACTATGTATTTGTAATTTATCTTTTTGGGCGGAGAATTAATAAATTACAATATATTATAACATTATTGTCAGGAATATTAAAGTACATTTTTGATAATTTAACCTTCCTATAACTTGTGTGATATAAGTGTGGTAATGTGGTATAGTGATAACACAATCCTCCGAGCTGTAATTGCCTCGTGAAAAAATATCAAAATCAAATTAAATTACAAGAAAAAAACAATTTATACGTACGATTATATATAGCTGATAATCGCCAGTTCATGATAAAATTATCACCCTGTATACCTATAATATATGTACGCCGAACGCCTACGCCCGACGAAATAATAATATATTTTATCATTTGTGGTATAAGCACTATAATATTATGAACGTAGGTACGAATGTATGATTTGTTTTTTAAACGCACAAAGAATCGTTTAATATGACGTGTTCGTTACGCCAAATAGTTTTGTAACCGACATTTTTTGTTATTGTTGATTATTATTGTTGTTTATTTTTTTTTTTTTTTTTACGTTCTTAAAGTCATAATATTTTTAATGTTAGAATCAACGCCGATATGTTTATTCTCAAAAACTTACTGCCTTCCAAATACCACGTAATATACAATAATTATACTTTAGAAATAATTGTATTTAACATAGTAGCTACTATAAGTACTAGAATGCACGGTTTTAAAATCCACGCGATAAATATTACGGTGAGTAAAATACCTTATCCCTACCTACAAATTGGTTCATGTAATTTTGAATACTATTGGTATTAAAATATAATTTTTTAATTATATTAACCGTGCAATGTCTACGCGTAGTTAGAACAATTTTTTTTTACTGAATTAAGATTAATATTACTAATATTATACTTCAAATATTTTATCATTTCAAAGTAGGTGTAAAATGAAAAATTAGACTAGACAATTTTATGACATAACGTATAATATATAAGTATATAATCTCAAATCGTTAAACCGGTATTACAGTAAGTTGAATAATTTTTATTATTTTTATTTTAGATTTGAATACACATAGGTATAATCTAAAACGCACAAAATTATCAAAAAACAATTTTTTCGTTATGTAATAATATTTTAAACTAAATTTTAATAAAATACTTGCTCTGATGTCTGTATTAAATTTTATTTGTCTATCTAAATTATATCTACACCAACGGTTCCTAAGCTGCGAGGTGCGCCTCACTTGAGATGTGTAGAGCCCCTGCGCAAACCCTGCGTAAGATATTAGGTGTTATTACTCTCATTACCAAATTTGCTTAAAAGTACAACTATGAGTAGGTATTCATTTAGTAGTTTTATCTTGAAATTATATATTTCAACCAAATTTAAAAAAAAACCTTGATATATATAGTAAAAATTTGATTTTTTCTGTTTTTAAATTTTTGTTGTTAGGTTTGGTATTACAGAAAACTTCTACAATTTATTCATGAATCATGATTATTGTTTACTAATCTCCTCCCATTGAACATTTCAGGGCATGCTACTTCGTGGCGTAAAATATACCGAATGATTTTGTTTCCTAGAACATTTAAGAAATAAGCTGCTCCACAATTTTATATTTATATTATTTTTTGTCGCCCTTATATTTTGTGGTAAAACCATTATCTACTTTTGATTTTCAAATGGCAACTTATATTAAAAATTCCATAAATGGATGGATTATTAGTCAAAATAAATTTCAGTGTTGATATTTTTGATTTCCGTCGATCTGTACACGAAATATTCCACTTTTAAGTTTAGGTTGGAGGAGAGTAGTGGAGTATCATTTGTGTGGCGATACAGCGTGCGGCGTATTAATAACGCACCACTACTCTCCTCCAACCCAAACTTAAAAGTCGAATATCTGGTCAATGGTTTGACAAAAATCAAAAACTTCAACACTAATATTTATTTTAACTAATATTCCATCTATTTATGAAATTTTTAATATAGATTACTATTTGAAAATTAACAGTAAGAGGTGGTTTTACCCCCAAAAATAAGGGTGATAAAAATTAACATAAATATAATATTGTAGAGCAGCTTATTTCTTAAATATTTTAGAAAACAAATACCAGAAAAAGTTAATACTTTCTGAAATAATGAGTGTACCCACTTAAATGAATCACCTAGCATAGTATACATCATCCGACGGCTTATAAAAGTAATTTCGTGAAATATTTTCTAAAAAAGCGAGGAAACCATAATTGATCCCTAACAAATACGATTTTTCGAATACGAATTTGGAGAAAAACACATTATAATAAATATCATAAAACTATAGAAAGAAGTTTTGCGTATACGGTTAAAATACCATTTGCAATTTCTTATTTATGTAAAACATGACTTTTAATAGTAGCCGTATTAAAATATAAAATATCGTTCCACACTCAACTTGTCAAAAAGAAATGTACGAAACAATTACAACATCTGTTTCAATAAATGTTAGTAAATTATTCGCACAAACTATTTTCGTAATGTCAAACCTAAGGTTTTTTGTTATTATTTGTGAGAAGCGAGAAAAAAATATTTCATTTTAGGGAGGTCTGAATAAAAAAGAGCTGATACGGGTGCGACCAATAATGTAGACGGGAAGTTGGGAAGGTAGGATACATAGACTTATTTAATTTATATTTGTAAGCAACAATAAACCATTGCTAACGAAAAACAATTTGGAGTGAAGTTCGGTTACACATGTTTTGAAAGGCCGTAATATTTACCATTTCATAAAAATTTGATTTTAAAATTTTATATAAAAAAAATATATATATTACACTCAATATTTTTTTTGACCACTTAGTATGACTTAAATTGAAGATCCTATTAATTTGTATGCATTTCTGCTTGGTCTAACAATTTTATCCACGGAGTAGGTTCAACCGAATAAAAACTACAAAAAAACTCTCAAACGATTTATTTTCAAAAATTTGCATGTACACAAAAAAAAAAAACCGCATACATTTTAGTAAAACCAATAGATCCTTTACTAGTCGCTATACTTCGAATCCAAAAAATTGAGAACTGTTGATTTGAGTATATGACAGTTTAAAACCGAGTATATCTATCAAAATATAGTTTTACAATATTATAGTAATTTACAACAATTATTTTAGATTTGAAAGTAGCGAGGAATCTATTGGTTTTACAATGATGTGTGTTTTTTTTTTGTTAGTAAACGACTTTTCGAAAAGAAATTTTTCTTCGATGTATAGAGTATAGCACCTATTCTGATAGCTATTTTAGTCTAGTTGGTCATCTCTTGATTTTTCAAGGGATTTTCATAGTAATTCGGGTAAAACCCGAAAAAAATTATAAATGAAATGGTAAATATTTACAGTGCGCTACACCATTACCTTTATCATTATTTTTAATGGATATAAATTATGTTTTCTACCAGAAATATTGCTAAAGAAAGTCGTTTTTCGATATCCAAAGTAGTTTTAATATAATAATTAAGAAAAACTAAAAAGACAAAAATACGATTTTTTTCAGTTAGGATTCCTTTATTTTAAATTTTAAAGGTAATTTTCTCTAGTTGGTGTAATAGAGAGGTCACTTTTTGTTTTTTCAAGTTGTTTTCAAAATAATTGGGAAAACCGGATAGAAAATTATTGGTAAAACGGTAAATATGATATGTCATAACATTGTAAGATGTTTAAAATTTTTAAATAAATAAAAGACAAAAAAATCTAATATTGCTGATGCCACTATTTTAGGTATGAAGTTATGAAGAGAGGATATATAAAGCTATTTAATTTATATTTGTACACAACAATAAATAAATGTTAATAATTATCATTGATTTATCGTTGATCATTATGATCAACAATTTTGAACAATGTTTGGTTGAACATGTTTTGTTTTGAAATGCCATGAATTTTACTATTTTTGTCAAAATTTGAACTTATTGCTTATACATAAAAAAATGACATAAGTCGAACTAAATATGATATAATATACAGTATGTTTTTTAACTTAAGATGAATTTTCTGTTAAATTTTCAGATCTTTATGCACAGTGTTTTTTTAGCATTTAACGCTCCTATAAAGATTACTCAAATGAAATCAGGAGATAAAATTGTGTGCATACATGATTTTAGTATCAAGGATGTTCCTTTTGGGGGTTCAAACTTTCATACCACGTTCCCACAATTTTAAGTAGTATTATTGTTTTATTAAACAATATGTCTATACTAAAATATAGACAATGGATAATTAAACTTTATGTAGTGACAAAAATCTGCTACTCAACTACTCAAAAGTGATTATTTTTTTAATACAGAAAATATTTTAACAGATAAAATAGTTTATATAAGCAACATATGATATATCTAAGTACCTACTGATTACTCATAAGTCTGTTTATTTATTATCAATCGTGAATTTTTCGCAAATAAATTACCCATACAACTACTGCATATTTTTCAAAAATATTATCATCGTATCCAATAAATCGTTAGATTACTGCAACAATAGTAGTAAAAATCCCATTAAAAAAAACAAGCAAATAAAGATATATTCCGTAAACCTTATCACGTTTAAGATTAAAGTCAACAGCATTTTGAAGTTATATAATTTTATGATTAAAAAATCAAACAAATCAAAGGGTTATTAATAAATTATGACCTCGACCCTAATTATAACTTAATTAGGTTTTTCATTAATAATGCAATAGGTATTTTAGGTACCATCATCGTTGAACGCGATAAATGAAAAAAAAATCATTAGGGGAACGTGGCCTCCTGTTCAGTTACGCCTATGCGCTTACATATACCAAGAAAAAAAAACTGGGGACATTGTATATTGTACAAGTGAATTTATAATGTTTTAAATTATTTACTAACGAGAATTAAAAAAAAACAAAACAAATAACATTCGTTCGGTAGTTCAGAAAACATTTGTCCACTACAGTTTGTTATAATATCTTCATGTCATTTCATATGTACCTTAAATTATATATGTTTGGTTTCAATAGCTGACTATATTATTATCATGGTACTGCAACGGGCGAAAGTTACACAAAGCTATTATTTTATTTAAAAATATAACAATAATAATATACCTAATAAAAATAAATAAAATAATATAAAAAAAATTGCATTTGTATGTATGTAAACAAAAACTGGACAAACTTGTTTAAATTTTAAAAATATATAAAACATATAATATACGAGTATATTATAGAATAAGAATGTTTAGTTTTTTTTTTTTACTATCATTGTTGAAAGATTTAAAAAAATATGCCGTTTTGGTCGCAATATATAGACGTACCTAATAGGTACCTAATACCTATAATACTATATATATCGTTAAAAAGCCTACTGGCTATTAAGTATTAAAACTATTTATGAGTAAAAAATAAGCATTTTCATGTTATTATTTAACCTCAGATGACTGCGATAGTGCACAATACACGTTATAATCTAAATTAAATTCTTTTTTTTTTTTTTTAAAGTAATAATATTATAACTAGTGGTGAGTATCGACATAAACCGATATCGTATATTGGCCGATATTGAGGATATCTGAATATCAGATATCGGTTTTTTTTTTCAAAAAAAATATTGGACTCGAAATTTTTTTTTTTTTTTTATTTATTTTTAATAAACATCCGATTTTGATAATAATATAATATAAAAAACTGTCTACTTTAGTAATGTAAATCAAAGAATGATTGTTAAGAATAAATTGTTTAAAAAATTAGCATGAACAAAATTGGTAAATACTGAGTATAGGAAAAAAGTTATATTGGCTCTCTACTAATTATAACTATAATTTAAATAATAATTTACGTAATGATTTCCACAATTTTTTTTGTTATATATGTATAATATATGTGATAGAAGATCTCAAAAATAAATTTCCATGTAAAAGTGTAGAGCCCTTTATAAAAATAGATACGGACATACTTCACACCGTAGGTGGGCAACTGTTGTAGGTGAGAAGTTGGAAAGGTCGGATATAGAAAGAAATTGAATGTTAATTTGCACGCTAATGTCTTTGCTAATGAAAAACGATTCTGAGCGGAGTTCAGTTTTACATGTTTTAAAAGGCCGTAATATTTACGATATTAAAATAATAAATTTCGTTAATTTTTCCGTTTTTTCTACATTTTTTCCCAGTTGTTCACATTTATTATGAAACCCCTGGAAAATTAAAAACGAGCTCCCTAAAGTAACACCCCAGTCTAATTTCTTTTCAGAAAAAATGCTACCCTTTAATATCAGAGCAAAAAATTCCTGGTAGAAAAGTTGTTCACAGAAAAAAAAAATAAACATATATTAAAACCAATTCCTCGCTTCAGCCAGAATCTAAAAAAAAAAAATTACTATAATAATACTTTATTAAAGTTATCGCGATATCGAATCACCCAACCCTAATTATTATACTATCACGAGCATCATTTTAACTTGCACAATTAAAAACGTTTGATACAACACAAATTAGGTATAATAATAAAAATAATAGATTGATAAGTGATGCTTACCTTTATGTGTCGATCGATCAACCAGTTAAGCTCAATATCGTCGTCGTCTTCCCCGAATGGTCCGATAAGAACTTCCGCCACTTTCAGCCATCCAACGAAAAAGCAAAACTATGAAATAGTAGATATATTATAGAGTATAACAGGCGTTCAAAAACATAAAATTAGAGCCGTAAGTATAATTTAAATTAGTGATGACACAACCGAAGAATTTATTACATTTGAACTATTCGAGTTTTCTCAAACAAAAAGATCAGATAATGGAAACAAATATTTGAATAAAACATTCGATAATTTATCTATTATAATTATATTTTATATTATTGCATATTTCAATATAAAATATTTCGAAGTGCTCGTCACTAATTTCAATTGATTATTAAAAAAAAAACCCCAAACCTCGATAATCGTCAAAACCGGCACGTATAAATCGAACTCTTTGAAATCTTTGAAACCCCATTCGGGGGGCGGTTCCAACATTTGAGCGCCGATCAGTTGGGCACCAAAGTAAGCGTACAATGACAATGTCACGACCTGTATATTATGGAGAATAACATTTTAAAAAATTAAACGATGAAAAAATATTACTTATACATTTTTTTTTCAAATGACGTTTTTGAGAACAACGGTTATACATAAAATCATTTGTGCTTATTGAAAATACTAATAATACAAATCAATTATTAAAACCATCATTAACCAACTACATAATATTAAATGGACTTGCATAATATTATTTTAATATAGTAAAATAATTATACAACCTAATAATAATGAATATAATGTGTTAATTATTTACTTCAACAGTATATACTCGTACATAGAATAATTAGGCGTTTATATACATATTATACGTATTTTGTGCAAGTATTATACAAACTATGTACCTACCTATATAGTTGCTTACAAAACAAAATTATAAGTAAATAATTAAAATACGCGATATTTATTTATTTTTTAATTCAATAAACTCTCAAGTTTTTACGAATTAATAAGACTTTAATAATAATAATGAACACCCGTGCGAGAAATTTTTACTAAAAAAAAAAAAATAAAATAATAATTGCATAACATTACCCGAGATACGGTCTGTTGAAACGTGAACCACAACTACGATGATGCAAGGAATTTGCTGTGGTTTACAAAAAATGGTGGTTTTCAATATCAATCATCAAGGTCACTTGAGTATTTTATTTTTTGTATTTCAAATAATTTCACACATATTAATAGGATATAATATTATTATAAAGAGCGGGAAAAAAAATCAAATTTTAAAACCTACATAATAGTGTGAATTCAGATTTTTTTTAATGTCAGCAAATTTGTGTGAATTAAATTTATCGTCCACGAGTAATTTGGTGATTTTTAACCGGAAGATCGTAAGCTATTCTACAATAATAGTATAGCTAGGTATACGTTATTTATAAGTCACTGAGATCACGTTTTCGCTGCAAACGAATAATGTCATTAACATGAAATAAAGTTTCATTTAAATAAATTATAACAATAGTGTATAATTAACAGAATTTAATACAAATCAAATATTTAAGGAGTCTTATAGGGAACTTTTCACAATATTTTCGAAAAAATGAAAATGATCAATTTGAAAGAAGTTTCCAAATTCACTTTCAAATATATTTTAAAAGTGATCTTGGTGTAACGCAACGTGACCATTTTTGTTTTTTTTCATCCAAATGCGTATTTCGCAAAATTTAAGCTCTTTAATAATTATGTGAACCCACTCTATAACTTAAATATATAAGAACAGAACTAATATAAGACGTAGCTTTCTCAGTAAAAATTTCGAATTATGTAACAATCAACTCAATTTTGATTTTTTATTATTTATTAAACCTTTTTTTTTACTACTTTATATACATTTTTTTATTACCTACAAAAAACAATATATTTTTTTTAATCAAATTTTTGTACATTTTTAATTCGGTATGATTAAATAAATATTTATGAACTCTATGATTTATCTATTTAATGTACACCATTTCATTATATTAGTATTCGGAAACGTTATAATTTTACTGAATTTACAATTTTTTTTTTTCTAAATTTTAAATGCATTTTGAACTATTGTTATCATTTTTTTTTTTTTTTGATGGAGAATTTCAAATTCTTTGTTAAAAGTTTACGCATCGTTGAATTCACTGCAGCCCTTTAATAAAAACACTTAAGTTATAATAATTATTTTTAAATATTTTAAATTATGCCGATAACCTAACCTAACCTAACTTATTATGTTTGCGAGATTTCTTAAAAATAATTGTTTTAAGCATTAATTTTTTCCTTATTTTCTAAAACATCTTTTTTTTTATTTTCAGCTACACCATAATATAAAACTGAGAGTTCATTGGACGACACAATACACTAGCCGACGCATATTATACGCTACTTTTATATTGAAAACTCATTATCGCCCCCAGGATCATGCTATCGACCGTGGATAACCTAACCAGCTCAATTTCATTTATCATACGCCGGGTCTTACCATCACCGTTCATAATAAATTAGAAAAATAACTGCAAACATTGATTGAATGAACATTATTAGTTAGTTATTATACATATATTATACTGTTTGTTAAACGATTGTGTCAATGCCATCATTAACTATCATCATAATAGAAGGCCGAGCATACGAGTTTGATATATAATGTGATATCATATTTTATTAGTAAATAAACACGTCTTTTTCAGCAATATACGTTATATGTCAAAATAAAAAAAAAATGTTTACGAATAAAATGTAGAAGCTCGATAAGTGCTATGTAGGTAATAATTAATGTGTATAGTAAATTGTACTCATCGCGAGCACACATAAAATTCGGATTATGATATAGAGTGGTTAAAACGGAAAGACGAAAAGGGATAGAGTCCGTCTTTTTATTAAAGGTAAAATATCTGTTTCCTTTAATTCAAGTCTTTGAAATCCAAGGTTATGCCTTAGTTATTGTCACTAAGGCATTTTGAATAAAATTTGAATAACTCAAATTAGTTTTACAAAATAATAACTAATTACTATAATCAGACTCTGTTCTACTTTATTTTTATTGAGCAGGCATATAATACGTACGATCGTATATATTTTTTATGAATAGATTTATGTGTAAAAAAGAACATTTGAGAAGTCTTATCTCCAATGTGGGTATTCTGGAAGTTTGGCTGGGCTTATTCGCTCTCGGGAATTTTCATTAGAAATGATCCCACTTCGAAGTTTTTCCCATCTTTAATCACTGAATATATATTAGGTATATTGTGTTAATTCATGTAAAAACCATTACGATTTATAGTTAATTATTGAACTTCTAAACTAATTTTACACCTACCTATAGCTTAAATAATTTTATACTCGTACATTATTCGAAAATTGTACTATGATGTGCTTTCTCCATTGTTTGTGAACTTTTATATTTAAAATCTTATTTTATATTCATATCATATTTCGACAAAAATCATAAAAATAGCGACATTTTAAAACACGTTTAACTGAACTCCGCTCAGAATCGTTTTTGGTTAGCAATTGATTATCATTATATACAGATGTAAACTAAATTACTCTATATATCCTATCTTTCTCACCACACATCTATAAAAACTGTGTACACCCAGCAGCAGTATCAATACGCATCACCTGCTCTCTGTCTTGCTTTATTTTTCTAGATATCAATCGCAATGAATTAAGCGCAGTATAATACTCAAATAGTCTAATGCGCCAAATCTGATTCGAATTTGATTAGATATAGCTTAAAGAGCGTGGGAAAATTGCCGTCAAGGTAATTTTTTTTATACTATATAATATATATACAATGTGATACTATACTCTTAATAATAGTAATAATCACTCAACCGAATATTAAATCGTAGTTTGGGTAGGTATGACATTTATGCATGTTGCGTTTTTTTTTTGCATTTTTCCTCTTCAAAACATCATTGTTTCCACGAAAATGATGTTCAAACAGGTTGAATTCGTGTATCACATTTGTATTTTTTTTTTCGTTCATGCATATTTGCTGAATAGATTCTTCCAACCTTGTATGGTTCAACGATTTTAATTCACCGAGACCGAAGAGAATCGTAAACAATAATTAGAGTTTAAAAAAATATAGGTGCACATTAATCGGAAACAATTTTAACAACAACCCTAATCAGTAAGCACCGTATATAACTTAAATACTGACACATTTGAAACATAATATTATAATTATATATTATTATTTAAATATTAAGAAGACCTAATACCTGCATGTGCTATTTTCATCCTACAAACGTAAGACAGCAAATTTGCGTTCCGCAGGGAATAATTTATGCTGCTAGTTTTAATATTAATATTGGAATTTTGGATTTTAAACGTAGCGAAGAATATTATATTGTTATATTGAATATTATATTACAAAGATGGTTTTTTTGTTTTTTTTTACTTATGGAACTATTTTTGAAAAGAAACATTGTCTAGATGATAGTTTAGGGAGATCATTTATTATTTCTTGGGTATTATTATCAGCTTTACTAGTAATACGAGGGTTGTCCCAAAAGTAATGCACAATTTGCTCTGAATAAATAAGTTTTTATTTTAAACTAAATACAATATTATAGACCTTCGATATAATCTCCCTGCTTGTTTATACACGATTGCCATCGTTTCGGGAGCGCTTGAATGCCGCATAGGACGCCATATTTGTTGAGTTCACGGATTCTTCGGCTTACTTCTTCATTTAGTATATCTAAGTTGGGAAAACGGATCCCTCTAAGTGGTTCCTTCAGTTTTGGAAATAAATCAAAGTCCAGGGGACTTAAATCCGGCGAATACGGTGGGTGTCTGAGGCGTTTCCATCCATATTTCTCCAAAAGAGACGACTGGTGCTCCGATATGCGGCCGCGCATTATCGTGCAATATGGACACACCATTTTGTAACATTCCTGGTCGCTTTTTACGGATTTCTGGTCGCAATTTTTTGGCAAGGAATGTTTTGTAGTAATCCCCGGTTACACTACTGCCAATTGGAACTCGATCAGTGACAATTATCCCAAGTTTATCGTAAGCAAAAATCATCATTTGTTTCACCTTTGTTTGCTGGCGACGAACTTATTTTGCTCTTGGTGATGTTATTTCCTTCCAAATATTGNCGGCAGATGTCTTTGCGTGTATCCTTCTGTTCCGGTGACAGAAAATGAGGCACCCAACGTGCTGCAATCTTTCGTTTCTGTAGAATTTCCGTTAAAATGCGGTGAACACTTGATTTTGAAATACCTGTTTCATTCTCTATCTCACTCACCGTTATTCGTCGGTCTTCATCGAGTAGAGTTGCGAGAATAGCCGCGTTAGTGTTGTCTTGAGTAACCGTAGAGGGTCGGCCAGAGCGAGGGTTGTTATCAATACTTATACGACCATCACGGAATCGCTGATGCCATCTTTGCACCGTATTACGATCCACAGTATCCGTTCCACACACTTCATTTAACGCGGCATGAATTTCAGGCACTGTTTTACCACGAATCGTTTCGATTTTAATGTATGCGCGTTGCTCAAAAACAGAAATGTGAGCCGACGAATTGTTCTCACTTTCGTTATCGCTCTCACACATCATCATACTTTACTAAAACAACTAAAACTGAAAACGCACGTGTTCGTTAGACTTCAAACTACAAACTGATACTAAAATCAGCTGATAATATCACATTGCAAGACAGCTAGAGCGCGCTGTGCATTACTTTTGGGACAACCCTCGTAATAATGATATAGGACAATTTCTGTTTATAATACACGAATGTTCAAGCAGTAGTCATAAATCGGTTTGCAGAGGAAATCAAGATTATAATATTACTTTAAAATTTTAAATATATATATACACAATTGTTTAATATTAATAATGAATATATATGTATATGTCACAGGCAAAAACTGAAATCGTGCAAATCATTGCAACGTTATTTGAAAAAAATCATATTTTTCGTCTTTTTATTATTTTTCCCAATTATTATGAAAACTACTTTAAATATCAAAAAATTACTTTCTCTGTCAGTTTTTATATATAAAATGGAATAAATTCGATTTCTTGTTTTTTTCAATTGAAGCAAGATTTCTAGTACAAAATATCTTTACAAAAATTAAAATAATTAAACCGGGATGCTAAGTTTCCGTAAATATATTAATTAATTTTAATTTTTTGGTTTATTCAAGTATTATAAAAATCCCTTGGAAAATCAAAACATGATCTCTTGAATGCATCAACAAAAGAAAATTTTCTTTCGGAAAAAATACTGTACTTTATACATCGGAGCAAAATTTCATTTCAAAAAGTTAAATCTCTTGCCCCGAATCTAAAAAAATAACTGAACTTAACTTCACTATATTCTGAATCTAAGTAGGTACTTAGTTTAAATTGTTTTGGTGTTTGGTAAAACATGTCAAATAATTAAACACCTACGCTGTCACAATATTTAATCGATTACATATTGATGTATTTTATTAAAATTGCAAAATGTATACTCGAGGTCCCATATGAATGCAGTTTGATTTGTTTATATTACCATTTGTAATATCCATAAAGGATAATAATATAATTATTATTAGTGCACGAGCAGAGAATGCATAAATTTTTTTAGGATAGAAATGTATAATCATAAAATACTACTTATTGTTTCTATAATTTGTAGGTTACTGTATAATTTAAGTAAGTATAAAACACTGCGCATCTAGATTTTTCTATATAAATACCTACGCAAAATGTATTTTTATTATTATTTTATCGATATGTGTCAATGGCATTATTGTTATAAAATTTAACAAGTAGTAAAATATTATGGAGTGTATAATATAACACTTTCTGAAATCCAAATATATACGTATATATTGATATACTTGATTGGTATACATATAGATAGTTAAATTATTTGCAATATTCTTTAACTCATATGAAAATTTTGAATTTATCATCATTATTTAAAAGTATAGAGGTTCAAAATATAATTTATTTCATTTTCATAATATTCATTGCAATGTAATTGTTTAAAAAATGATTCATTATATTATTAGGTATAAGGTACAACTAAAAATATAGTTAATTATATTATGATCGGTATATACTCATGATTAAATAAATAAACAGTTCAGCTAACATTTCGATTTCCATAGCATAGCACATACCCCTCAGACATGGAAAAAACACCCTCCATTTAAACGCTTCTGATTGAATGTTATGTTACAATATCTGGACATTGTTGATTTTTCCCAATTATTGTTAAAACTACTTGGATATCTAAAAACGATTTTTTTTTTTTATGTTAGTGTCTATATACTAAAAGGAACCAAATTGATATTAAGTAATTTTTCAATTGAAGCAACATTTCTGGTAGAAAACAAAAATTAAAAACAATAAAGCCGAAACGTGCAAGATTTCTTTTCGAAAAGTTGTTTACAGAGAGAAAAAAAATACATCCTAGTAAAACCAATAGATCCCTCGATTCACTCATAATCTTATATGACGTTATCAATTTACTCAGAACTAAAGATACTATACATAGAATTTTAGAAATTTTAGATTTTCTATCTGTGGATGTATAATATTGTTTTAAAAAATCATGTTTCGTAGAATGTCAAGTTTTCGAATGCCACGTTTTAAAAACTCATGTTTTCTAAACTTTTTTAGAATTTATTACTTAACATTCTAAAAACAAAATTCTTCAAATATAATAAAGACCTTACATATTATTTTTTTAAACTCAAAGCAAGCATATGGTATCATTGATCGAGAACAGCTTTGAACAATACTAAAAAGTTTTGATACACCAAGTAACTAGTAAAGCTCCAAATTTGTAACCAATAAACATTCTGACATACCGCAAAGTGTGTTTCATTAAAGAGACTTTTGAAACATTTTAATATAAAACCGGCTTGAGGCGGGAAACGCACTATCTCCAGTGCTATTTACCCTGCTCTGGAAAAAGTGGAAAGGGACATACAAGTAAATCGAGATATGGAGTTAGTTAGGATAAACATTTTCGGCATCGCAGGTGACTCAGTCGTTGTGAGAAAATCTATAAATGAAGTAAAAAGGGTAAAGTAAAAAAGTAAAAAAAAGAGATTATTCAAAGCAAGTTTAAACATGGGTTTTAAAGTTAACGAAGCTAAAACTAAGAATATAGTTATTGCAGGATAGGAAACTACAAAAAAAGCTCATTTGAACATCTCATTTTAAATATCAATGTAAATATTAATGACAAAAATAGCATCACATAGAGATCTCTCAAAGAGATTAAATTAACAAAAGAGAGCATATACACTATGTATTTGCACCCCATAGTAACATAGGCGTGTGAAACATGGGCCAGCTCAAAAAGCGATGAAGGAAAACTCGCTATTGTATAAAAATTATAAAAATGTTATAAATTTTTTATACAAATCCTGAGCAGATTACATGGACTGGTGTATAATATGGATTTAGGTACTTTAGAAAGAAAGAAAAATGATGAATTACGAAGACTATAATAAACCTAATATTTGCCAATTCTTTTATAGTAAACGATTTTAATAGGCTGGCCACGTATGGCGTGCAAAAGAAAGTCTCACAAGAAACGTTCTTATAAATAAACCTATTGTAAAAAGATCCTTGGAGAAACCATATTAAAGATGAATGAATTCGGTGAACAGAGACTTAACAAGTATAGATCCTACTTACAGCATTTGTTTGACATCGGATAAAAAGTATTGGAGAAGAATATTGAATAAGTAGCAAAAGATCTTAATTATCTGTCTTGAGCCTGAGAAGAAGAAGAAGATATTAAAAAAATAAAATTTTAAATAATAAAATAATTATTTACTTACATTGTCCCATTCTTTCAATTATTTTTTACAATTATAAAGAAAATGAAAATATAATGAATTGTAACAATTATCGCCCTATCTCCACTCTCTTTATTACAATCTAAATTGTTAGAAAAATGTATAAAATCTAGACTTATATGATTTCTGGACAAAAAAAAATTTTTGTATAAAAACCAGTATAGTTTTATAAATAGTAAATCTACTAATAATTTCCATTTTATATTAAATGACTTCATTCATGAAAATCTTGATAAAAAACAAGTGAAAGGAGTATTCCTTGATGTTAAAAAAACTTTTGATTCAATAAACCATAAAATAATTTTAAGAAAATTGTAAAATTCAGGAATTCGGGGTATTGCTTTTGAATTACTAAGTTCCTATTTATTTAACAAAACTCAGTTAGTTAAAATAAATAATATATATAGTAATCCCTAAAAATAAACTTATAGTGTACTGCAAATTACAGTCCTAAGACCACTGTTCTTCATAATATTTATTAATGACCTGACTTAAAACTAAATGCTAAAATAATTTGTTTTGCAGATGATAATGTTATACTAATGTCTGATAGATTATATGGTGAAATATATATATATATATATATATTCTGAGACAATCAGGATTGTAAATCAAGTCAAATCATGGTTTGATATTAACTTATTGGAACTAAATCTAAATAAAACTAAATATATGCACTTCAAAATTAATAATACTAATTGTGATAAACATAAGAAAAAAATATATGTTCACTCATCTTCTTGTAACTATTCAAATTGTAAAATAAATTGTTTTTTGTTAATAGAAGTAGATAACATTAAATATCTTAGATTACACTATGAAAATAAATTGAAATGGTGTACATGAGTACATATATGAATATATTTTTTAACAAAAATTATTAGAAAATTCTATATATTCTAAAATATATTAGATACATACGTAGTACACAATATAAACGTATTATATATCTATCATTAGTGCAATCAATTTTAAAATTTAGTATTGAATTTTGGTACTCCGTCTACACTAGTCATATATACAATTTAAATACCACAGTTAACAGATTAATTAAATATATTCTTAACAACCCATCAAGTGACAATAATACTAATATCCATAAAATCCTGAATATTCAAAATTTAGACAGAAATTTTAAAAAGCGATTATTACTATTAATTTTTCAGTATAAGCATTTACTTACACCAAAATATCATGACTATCATGCAAGATACCAAAAAAATGTTAATTTTACCAAGTATGAATGTAACTCAAATTTTGGTAAAATGAATCCATTAAATATTGGAATTGATTTATGTATCAAATTTAATATAAATATATTAAGTTGCAAAAATTTTATTTTGTAAACAAGTTTCATTAATAAATTAATATTCTGAATGTGTTAATCTTATATTTCGTTTTAAATGCATTAATCTATATACTTTATTTACTTTACTTTATTTATATACTATTATTGATACAGCTCTTAATTTTTTATGGCATCTATATTGCTATCTATATTATTTATATCTGTTTACCAATATTATAAATTTCATTTCAGATTTGTAAGTTATTGATTATAATTATTTAACTTTTTATGTAACAAATCTTACATTCTAAAAATTTAAAGAAATTATTGAACTCTTAACCACACAACGAGTACTAGCTTACTAGGGGTTTAGTAACTTTTTATGCAAAATAATATGCTCATTGTATTTATGTTTGGTAATAATAAAATACATTATTATTATTTTTTTTTTTTTTTTAATATTGTACTTGTTTTCCCATTTTTCCTCCCTTTTTTCCCGGTTTTCCCATTTATTGGGAAAACTCCTGAGAAAATCAAAAAACTACGTTCTCAAAGTACCACTCCAGATTTTTTTCAGGAAAAGTACTTCACTTGTAAATTGGAGCAAGATTTTTGGTAAAATAGTTATTCACAGATAACAAAAAAAAATAATAATAAACATCACTGTAAAACTAATACATTTCTTGCTCCACTCAGAATCTAAAAGCACACATCATAGTAAAATCATTAGATCTCTCACTATGCTATCAATCTAAAACAAATAAATTCTGAAAAATAACGAAAAGTTGGATTTTTTTATTTCTTTTTAGTGATATCTCATTCGACATTATGGCATCTCTTATTATAAAAATTTACTTTTAGTATACCTAACCTAATAAATAAACCTTTATTTATAATACATTATTATTATGACATCATTTTATAATTAGCGAAGTATAGTAGGTAATTACACGTTGCTGGGAGTGAAAAAAGGTATACTTCTACTATATTAGTTCGCCAAGGTATTTGGAACTTAAAAATTAGCACATGCCGAAGGCAGAATCAACAATAACTGTACAGAACGGCCAAGGTTACAATCGTGTCTCAGAGTACAATTATTATTACAATATGTAGATACACACATATAATATAGTATAGTATATATAGTATATGTATAATTTTATCAAATGACTTTGGTCGGATGCACACTTATATAATATTATACTTATATATTGAAGAATAATATTTTTTTGGTAAATAGTAACCCAACGCTATAGATATATACTTATATTATACGATATATATATATATATGTAGAAAAGATACGTACTTCATAAAATCATAACCATAATAGTTGGTATATAATATGTGCAACTGTCGAATTAAAAAGAACAAAACAAAAAAAATATGTAAAAAATATTATTATTTTTCGCAATGATTGTAGTGCCTCGAAACTTCGTTACATAATTCAAGTGCGTAGTAGAGGGAGAAGATGTTTAGATTTTAAAATACCTCCTTAACCATATTTAAGTTGAAAATACATAAATACTTAGTTAATAATTTAATTTATGTATCATAATTAAATACTAAATGCTTCGGATTTTTACAAAATTTGTTTCGTTACAGATAATCTAAGATTAAATGATAAAATTATTTTAATTAATTACTATTGAAATTTTATGACTCCGTGAAGGATATGTAAAGCACTGAAAGCCTTCCTCTCCCAACAAGTCATATTTAAACATAAAATTAAAACAACACGTTTTAGAAGATCCTGATTACACTTCTGTAATGTACATTGATACCTATATACTCGTATAGTCGTACACTTAATAAATACATAATATTGTATAATACAAACACGCGTTATAATAATAGTCTGTTTTTATTAGCCTATATTTTATACGAATATATACAGCATCGTGTTAATATTATAAAACTAAAAAACTAAAATCTAAACAAAAAATAGCACTACTCTACAACTATACGGAAGACACATGCAAAAACACCACCACCATTAAACCTGTGAAAAATGTACCTAATCGCTATAATGAGTATAATTATTATTATGATACCGACCTGCGAATAGAGAATGGGAATGTTGACATTATCGTAACCGATCAGCGATCCCAGCCTGTACCTGATGTCTGACATCTCCAATAGTATGGTTTGCACCATATGATCGTTGGATATCAATTTCTCTCTTCTGGCCCGGTTTATGATGTTGGTCGCCCAAGTCAACGGGATCCAATAATTGGTCATCGCCGTCTTTTCTTCCACCATTTCTAGTATCTCCTTTTCACTATCCATCATCAAACCTACGTCCGCCATTATTTTTTATTCAGACTATGTATTATATATTATCAAACGTTTCATCGCAGATAACTTTATTTTTAGAACTGGTGTGAGTAATATTTTCGTTTGACATAACTGACGAATTTTGAATGTCCGTTGAATATATAATATTATAATAGCTAGATAGGTACACGATTATTAATATACCTAATACGTATCGAGTGACAACGGATTATTTGTAGGCAACTGATATGGGTACAAATATACATGTAAATAATACATATTGCAATTGTATGACAAAAAAAAAAAAAAATACTAAAATATACAAGTAATATGATAATAATATGGTGCTGACTTTAATAATATTATACAGGAATCTACTTGTCGTAGTATGACGAATACTAATTTGAGATTTTTGGAAGATTTGGTGGTGGGTGTTTAGTGTATATTTCAATAACATAATTGAATAATTATAAAAATAATTTCAAATTATAGTAGTATTTTTAGGTAATAACAAAAATAATAAACCTATACAAATCGAAACATCTAAGTAGCGTAAGCTCCCATCGAATAATACATTAAATGGGCTAAAAATCAATAAAAGCCTGACTAATCGTTTAATGAGAACCGTGTTCCAAATTCGTTACCGTATAAACAATAAAAGGTATACGGACAGACAGACAAACATCAAAAAAGTATATTACGACACTAATACAATAAATAATATTAAATTATTCACTATATCACTGTCCAATGTTTATGGTTTAAGCCATAAACACACAGTTTGAGCGAATCAAAGCAATTTATAATATGGCAATTGAAATGTCCTTATATCACCATTTATGAAAGACTATTTTTGGCCAAGATAGAGGGATATGAACATTTTACAAATTTGGAGGATTATTCTAGTTAGATATGGTAAGACGCTGTAAGCCTAAAGTTCTATTCTTATTTGAGCAAATGATCCTCAAACCAAATTCAAAGAGTAAGATTTTTTTTCAGTTATTGAGTTAGGTGGAGTGCATTGGTGGAAGTCGTGGAGAGCTTGAGGGGTCTAAGCTCGCTCAAAACGTATAAACAGATAAATTAGTCCACCTCAAATTATAAATTACAATTTCCGCCAATGGTGGAGTAAGTGGGTGGGTGGTCCACCATAATATTTGCCTGATTGCCTCTCAAAAATGTTACATTTTTCAAGCCACTGGGTACTTTAATTGCGTTGGTATTAACTATAGTTAACATATTGCATATAAAAAAATGTTAATCGTGAAATGAATCACACAGTTACACATAAATATAACAATATAACGTTATTATATAATAATACACGTTACACGAAAGTTGTATAAATAATATATAGCATTATATTAAGTATGAGAAGATTTATACAAATGTATAATTGAATATCAAAAACAAAATGTTGAAATTGTATGCATATTACACAGTTACGCCCACGGACGTAGTTAGCCTTTACATAATATAAAGGAGCATTACATATTTTACTCGTATATTATACGAATTTGAAAATAATATTTTTTTTTTGCCACCTAAATATTATTTTGAATGTGTTTTGCGTAAGTATAAATGTTATATTTCCCAAAAGTGTATTATATTTTTAATTTTACGCTGACTATAATAAAATACGACCGCGGTTTTAAATATTTTAATACAAGTGCGATATTAATATTAATCCGAATTAATATTCGATTCGAAATCAGTTATTATTAATGGAATGAAACTCACGGGGCAGAGCACTGCACCACCATGGTATAGGTATGTACAATAATATTATAGGTGATTAATAATTTCGCTGTTGGGAGAAACTATAAGTAGAATTCAAATATATATGAAGTGTAAAAATAGCAACAGTTAAATTTCAACAGTATATAAACGTCCCTCTACTACTTCACTCGTTCACAATCTCTCTCTCTCTCTTTCAATAGTCATGGTGTACTACACTTTCTCTCGGCAATTAGATTACGTGTGCACTTACAACAACGAGTAGATATAATATCATAGCGTTGATACCTATACAAACGCATTTGCCTACTTACACGCTCGCGCGCGCGCACAACGTAATCGGTTAAATTTAGAATTAACTGCTCGAGAGACAATTGACATTATGACGAACGCAATTATACAGCGATGGTGATCTTAAAAAATAATAATAATCAGATAGGTGTACGTGTGATTATAATAATAATAATATTAAACGACTTATCATCGTGCGACGACGACGAGTGACGACGCATTGATGATCGGGGACGACACTCTGACAATACCCAAATCGACTCGGACGCGACCGGTGTGATTTTTTGGCGTTATTATTAATTATTATTCTCCAAAAAATTAATATTATATATATATTAATAATAATATTGTTGTTGTTGTTGTATACCAATATTTCGCGTTCGCATGCCTGGCACATCTTGTGACAGGTGAAATTTATCCGCCATGCAAAACGTTCACCTTTATAATAATAATTCTGATGTTACACGGGTTTATCCTTGTATTGTAACACCGCGATAGTATTATAAAAATAATACGTGTATACATAATACAATAAATTATTACTTATTTGGTAAAGTATTGTTATAAATTTGTATGTACATGTTTAGGCAATAATTGTAATAATAATACAATATTGTGGAGTTAAATATTATAATGTATTTGATTTTGATTATTGTATATGATGACGAGTTGGTATATTGATGATTTATAAGCTTTTGTTGTGCGAGACGCTCCGGGCCGACTTATATAATAATTATTTTAACCGAAAAACCGATCCAACTAGTTCGGCGGTTAAAAATAATTCAAACGGTTTTTTTTTTTTTTAACCGCGATCATTCAATATTATTATAGATTCTGGTTAAAAATAATACGCATGACAGTATAATAGTAGGCAGGTACAGCATTTTCATTGTTTTGACACCGTGAGATTAGGTATAATAATAATGTTTAGATCCTTTGAATACATTTCTATATGTAGTTGTCGAGTCAGGATCGTCATTCCGAAACTTAAAACATCTGATCGCACTTAATATATAGTGTATATCCGCAATCCGTACAATTTCCAAATTGCTTTATGTGTGTAGGTATTAATAATTATTGTTTATAATATATATTCGTTAGTATAATACGCATGCGCATGCAAAGCTTAAGCAATATTAATAGGTCGGTAGGTATTTATGTAAAAAAAACAAGCAAGAAAAAAAATGAATAATGTCACACCAAGAAATCAACACGCTTACTATTATTACAATTTAAAATTTTTTTATTATTACTATTTAAAATAAACGACTATATTATCATAGTCATTAATAAGTTAAATTTATTAATTATTATATTAATGAAAATAACGATATTAGTTCTCCCGTGAGAAATCTGCTGAAAAATAATATTAACCTTAAAGTATTGCAGTGGTCGATTGTTAATAGGTAATCATTTATGAACATGATAATATACGCTGTATATATAGGACGGAAAAACTAAGTAAATATTTTTGTAAGATACAACAATATATAATTTAAATACTCTTAATATTTAGATATTATAATGTCTTTCAAAAACATTAACTTGGTCTTTCTGACGTCCACAAACCGTACATATTTTAAACTCGACAAGATTGAATAGTGTACACATAACGCATAAAAAATTCAAAATGCCAATGACAATAAGTAGGTATTTAGTTTTGTTCGTATAAAAATTATATGTAGTGTAATTACAATTCGCTCTAAAATGGCTATAATATAGTATTTTGAATAAGATTTTCAGCAAATTTTCAAAGGGAGACGATTAAAGAAAAAAAAAATGAAAATACTAATGAAACAAGAACAAAAACGCTAAAAATGTATTATGTGTATATATAATACGTATTTTGTCGGTAGGGCATTGGCAAAATGCTGACCTGTGTATAGACGAGCGGCACGCAAACGGTGTCATAGCTGATCAAAGAGCCCAGTCTGCGCCTGATATCCGACAACTCAACGAGAAGCGTCTGGACCACCTGGTCACTGGATATGAGTGACTCTCTGCGAGCCCGGTTTATGATGTTGGTCGCCCACACTAACGGCATCCAATACTTGGACATTGGGCTCCTCTCGTCCATCATTTCCACGATTTTTTTCTCGCTCTCCAACATGATTCCTGTGCCGTGTCCAAGTTTTTTACATGTTCAACAACATCAGCCCGCCAACCCCCAAAAGTATATACTTTATAGGTATGGATACATATATTATAGACTGTAAGCCATATTTCCAAAAATACACATGTATATTGTCTATATATAAACAATAATTTATAACAGTATAGTATTTTATTTACGCACAACAAAACTCGAATTTGTATTTTTCAGTTAGCTAAACTATACATTTAAAACAAGTTCTCTATATGTTCAATATTCAATCTCTATATATTCAGAAATTTTCAACAAGAGGGTTCGTAATAAATAATAATCATTAATAAATCCTACAATCTTCATCTATTTACCTAATCCGACAATGGTAATTTATAATCCGGTTCTATAAACCCCAATTTATATTCCTTGTAACTCGGCTGAAATATTTATACTTCAAAATTTAATTAATAAATAAATACTCGCATTGATATATTTGTTAGCCTATGATAGAAAGAATATAACTCTATAATAAAAAAGAACATGTCAATCGTGAATGACTAGTGCGATTGCGAATAACTGATATGCATAATAGGTACTCTGTCAAAATCGTAATCAATATTTGAAATTATGGAAACTAAAATTGGACAGAGAATAAAAATTTCAAATAGCATATTCGTGCATAAAACATTAACATTGATGTAAATTAAAAACGCGTGTTCGCATAGAATGATAACAGGACTCGGAAGTAAAATCCTTGAAACTTTGTTTCTGAACAACAAATAAATGCATAGGTAATATATTTACTATTATGTTACACAGATAGATAGAATCGTTTCGTAGTGTAGTGTATATTATAATATATATCTACTCAATAACGAAAAACAATTCTAAACATAATAATAATATACACAACGTCACACCCTGATTCAAAGGTCATATATACACGAACAAAACAAATAATTAATAACTATAGGTACCTATCTAATATAAATTTAAAAAAAGAAGCGAAATCGTTAAAAATCACGATTGACTCACGATCTCCGTTTTATTTCTTATTTCGTAAATTAAAAAAAAAAAATGTTTTTTCCGCGAAACAACTATAAAAAATGTTGTCGTGTAATAAACCATTAATAACATATATAGATACGGGTTTTTAGGTACCTATACCATAAAACTCTATGGAAATAATGTTATTAGAATAAAAATATAATCGAATTATAAGAACGGTGAGATAAAAAATAATATGTCAATTGACCATTGTTGTTTATATTATTGTCGAAACTAATCCAATCGTGACGATCCCATCCTGGTATATACCTGGTATAACCTTGCGCGCGAACACCACTATTTAAGTATTGTTGTACCTATATACTCTGCATCACGCATAATAATTAGGCACCTACCTATGTATGTTATTTCCATTTCCAACAGCACTACGGATTTACGCTCTAGGTCAAAATAAGTGTGTGTATTATATTATAATATTATTATGCGTGTAAAACAATTCCTGCAGTCATATGCTAATCGGTACGGTTAAAAAACTTCTCTGGTGTACCTACGATCATAAGTATTACAAAACATACAATAAGTACCTCAGCATTTCACTCGGACGTTGTCGTCATCAGATACCACGCGTGCCGAGGCGATTTTTCTCTCAAATCTGATTGATGCAAATCTATATTATAGGTACGAAATGATCCAATTTTTTTTTTCAAACCGCTTTTGAACAGTCACGCATTCTTTGAATAAATTTATATTATAAGTACCTATACTGCAACGGGTTTCTGGGCTGCTGCAGTCCTACGCGAAATTAAAACCGGTCGTACCACGTGTTCGGAAAAATAGGTAGGTATAGGTATGATGACGGTTAATTTAATCGAGTAAATAAACCAACAGAAATGTTTATAACATGATACATATTATTTTGATAACGTTGGCTATAATATTATAGATAGACATGTAGGCTATAGTTGGCTATTTATACACCTAATTATATTCAAATAAATCAAGACGACGAGACAGGATATATTTTTTGGTCATCGTATATAATATCTATATAAAAATAGCTAAATATTTGGGATCGTTTAATTAGGTATGGTGAAGTACTTACCAGCGTCAACGATGTGTTGTAACGTAGGAAATCGTTTTTTCACCCTTATGCTCACGTGTTTTAGAGTAATAACGTAAGCCAGTACAGCGTACCTCACTATGTTTCTTCTCATCAGTCGACCTCTTTCGTCCTAAAATAAATAGCCAGGTATAAACAATAATAATTATGGTTAAAACTGTTATGTATACCTGTTAAATGCTACGATAATCATTAACGTTATGAATAGATAATTATGATTAGTGATGTGCTCTTGTGAATAGTTATACTATCGATAGTTTAGACATTATCGAATATTTCATTAGAATATTTTTTCAATGACCGAATACTTGTATTCGAAAAACCATCTATGATATTTCGAAAAATAATGATAATTCGGATTTAATTCAGAAAATCGGTGTTAAAGTTTCTGTTTAAAAATACGTGAAATGTTACTTCTCTTAAATCGGAAAATGTTAAAACCGCCTATAGTTTGTCGGCTAACCTGAATAACGAAACAATCAAAAAACCACTTGCGAATTCGTATAGTACTAAATTTATACAGTTAGTATTATAATAATAACTATAAATATACGGTGCGTAAGAATAAAATATTATGAATTGTTGACGATTATAACCGTGGAGGTTTTGATGACACAGATAATATTAGAAAATCTAAACTTTGTGTAGTTTAGTTCCTTCAAAATTAATTTTGTATTCATTTTACTTACTGTTGTTCCGGGTATTGCTGCACTTGCGAAAAGAGCCAACGTATCCGGCCATGGCAACAGCCTATACTGTTCCCACCATCGTTTCACTACTAAACCAACATAAAAGCTCATGGCAAATGTCAACGGGACGCTAGCAGAATGTCCGGCCAAGTAACATCGAATTTTTATGAATAACCTGCAAAAAAAATATAAGTATTTAAAACAGGTCGATTTATTATCATACGTTAATATTAATCAAAAATACATTTCAATTTAAATAATACAATATAAAAGCTCGTTTAGAAATTCTATAAAAATCTGAAACATTGATTCATATTTAGTAATATAATAAAATTAATAACGTTAGGTATATCATCTTAGATCGCCAAAACAAATTATTTTTATTTCAAAATGTCTTGAAAAATCAAATAAAAATCATAATAAATTTTGTAAATGAACAATAAATTATAAAAAAAAAACATATAACAATACTGTATATTAAACGAATACTTGTAAATACATGTTTTACCTATTTAAAAAAAAAAATGCATTATAGAATAAAAGTTTAAGATAAATTACCTACTTAGTGTACAGTATTCTGTAAATAGATTTAATTATTACCAAACCAAAAACAAGTCTTTTGTATCAATTTTATCAGTAATAAAAAGTCGCAAATGTTTGTGAGTTCAAAAATTGAATTTAAATGTCAATTTTATCGAGAAACTATCGTCATATACTAATAGCGGTTGAAACGAGCACGAATATATTATTACATCTTATCTATACTATTATATTGTTATTATACTATTATTGAATTCTCTACTTTTTAGTTTTCCGGCTCAGCAAACTTCTCAACAAATATAATTTTTTATTTAACCTACCTTTTTTTTTACGGTGTAGGAACTAACATATGTATTTTTTTACCTGATAGGTCTCATGTAAGAACTTACTATTTCCCAATAATATTACTCAGAAACCGAGCGTTGAAGAGCAAAACGATTGAGACCCTGGCATCTATGACTTCTTCTGAGCACATATATTCTTGTAGGATCTCTTCTAACCTAACCTATCCGAACCAAAGCGATAGAGTATTTTTTTAAAACTATTATCAAATATACGAGTCACATTACTACAGTCTATATAAGTTGCTGTTACGCATTTTAGATTCTGAGCAGAGCGAAGAATATATTTTATTATGTGCCCTAACATATTATTATATAATAATTAATTTTACCAACTTACCAATAACTTATCCTATATTTTATTATTTCCACTCACATGATTCACTTTAAATTAAAAATCAATTTAATTTTTTTACGCAACACTTATACGGATGATACCTAGTATCTACCATACGCGTTTAAGGGGTAATTTAGCATTATTTTATATGTATAATAATTTACATAATGTATGTATAATAATTTGATTATATAACATACTTTTGTTGAGCTTCTGTGAACGCAAACCTGTATGCCAAATTTATAGCAAAATAAACCATCAAGTATGCTGCTAATTCCCTCCATACAAGCTTGTAGACGCTACCTCTCCATCTGAAATATACATAAACGTTCGTGATTATTAATATTGCAATCAAATTTATATGATAATATCGATTTATAATAACCAAAATGCGTGGAAAATATATACAGGTGTCCCATGAAAATATATTCATTATTACACCTTCGGAGATAATAATAATAATCAAACTCTATTTTTTTATATTACTCACAGTACTACAAATATTTATATTTCAATTAATTTTTTTATGCTTTCATAAAATACTTTAAAAAAATAACTTCTTATTTTATTATTTTCAAAAAATTTGAAGAAAACCATTTTATAGAGTTTATTCCTCAGAAAATTTTAAAATTTTCAACTTTGAATTCAAATTTTTATTTTCATTAAATTCGTGATTTTTAATAATTTTTTAAAGTTTAGAGAAAAGTACCTAAAATTATGCAGCACGTTATAATCGCATCACATTAACTAGTTGATTATTATTATTATTATAGCCAATTGAATTAGCTCCCTGAGGGGAGCAGGGAGGCGAACGCCCCCCTCCCCATAAGCTGTGTGATGTTCTTTTTTATCATATAAATATCCATATCCATAGTTCTTAAGTACAAATGCAACTGGTTCCAAATGCCATAAAGATGATTCCGGATCTTGGAAATACTTTGATTGAAACAAGAATGAAACACTTCTAATTTATAAATTTCAATAAATATTCTCTCAAAAGTAAGAAAGAATTATGGAAAATTAAGTTGGAAATAATCAATTTGCAGAGATAAAATAACATGATATATTTTTATAATCAAAATTGAAAATGATTAATTTATTTTAAATTTTAGATTCCGAGTGTAGCAATGTTTTTTTTATATATATATACTGTGACGAAAATTTCTATCAGAAATCTTGCTTCAATATGTAAGTGTAGCACCTTTTTCAAAATAAAATATTATTATATTGACTAGATGGTACTTTAGGAAGGTCATTTTTTTGATTTTCCAAGCAGTTTTCATAGTATCAGGTAAACCTGGGATAAATCGTAAGAAAAACATACAAATTTACGAAAATAATACTTTTATTATTTTCAATTTTATTTTTTATTGTAATTCAGTTAAAATATTTCCAGATACTTGAAATTTGGACAGAATACCTATATTTGTCTTTTCTTGAAGCGATAAAATTGTTGAACAATTTATAGACATTTTAATTTTGCGAGTTTTGTACACAATTTATATTCAGTAGGTACTCTGTAGAAAAAATTGTTAGATCAAACAGAAATGCTTGAGAACTTAACACGAGGTTTATTAAAAGTCGTACTTTGTGGAAAAAAACAATTTTGAACAGAGGCTTATCACTTTTAAATATTCATCTAAATGAAAACATTAGGTAATATAGAACATATTGTTGGTCAATCCGATTGCAAAACGCTGCTTAAAATAAAAGTATTTTGGACTTGGTCATCTAACTTTTATGACTATTATTATTATTATTATTATTTACATTATCATGATTTTAATTATTATTTATTCAACTTGAAAAAAAAAAAATTAACATTTAAATTGTACTGTTTTACTGCATTTGTACAATATATCTGCAATCTTCTAAGCTAATGTAAATTGAAATTCAAAATATGACCGTTTTTTCTTATCAATCATTAATATTAAATTTAATTAATTCGCCTAACCTAATCTAACCTCCCCCCCCCCCATAATCAAGGTCTAAAAAAGATCTCTGCGACCAATCTTGAATGGTTATCAACCATAAACTCAGTTCAATAATCAGATAAATGAAAGCGTTTTTGTTCATAAGACTAGGTCCTGTAAGTTTAGTCAATTAATTATTATGTCAAAAAACTACATTAACTCTTAAAATAATTGATTTATTTACAACACCCTATTTTTAGCAAATATTTTTTATAGGTATAAATAATATTCCCATTCAGTTATTTTCAATCGATTCAGTAGCAAATATTTAGAATTTTTTAAGGAGGAAGATATTTAGTTTGATGAATCTGTCATATTATTATATAACTTGTACCTAGGCTATAAAAAGATAAATTTTTAATTTATATATTTTTATAAGTAATTTATAATTCAATCTGCCTTAGAACTATCACTCAAATCAATTATATAGGCATTATATTATAGTATAATATTATTATTTCAATGTCATCTGCAAAGAATCGTGATGAATGAAAAATCTTGGTTGAAGCGTGCAAATTGCCTTAAAGACTTTTTAAACACAAAAAAATAAATAGATTTTATCAAGTCTAGAAAAGGCCAATGTTAATATATAACAAAAATTTCAGGTCTCTAAAATAATGTTGATATACTACGTAATGATAAACTATTGCAGACGATTCTAAGAATAGTTTGGTAAAACTAATTTTTAAATGTCATAAGTTTTAGGATTTCCGTCAAAATTTAAACTTAAAATGCTTCTTAATAAAAATGACTACATTATGCTCGATTTCTTTCTAGTTGAAAAATCATTAAGAACAACTTATGATGAAATTCGAGTAAAATTGTTTAAAACCATTTTTGCTCGGCAAAAACAATTTTATCTATATTATATAACCAAGTAAAAAATAAAAAAAACTCAAAAATGTCAAATGCCTATAAATAACTTAAAAAAACGTTTATTTCGAAAAGTTTTAAAAATTAATCACGCATATGAAAGATATATTAGTATATTCTGTAAAAATTTCAGATATTTAAGATTATTTTAAACCGAATTAGAAAAAAATAAAATCGAAAATAATGAAACTGTTATTCCCGTTTTTCCTAATTGTTCAGAAAACGATAAAGAAAATCAAAAATGATGTTCTTAATTACCAAATAGAGACAATTTTATTTTAGTAAAGATGCTATTCTAGAAATTCCAAACAAAATTTCTGGAAGGAAAACAATGAAACTTTTATTTTTTATTGTTGTAAATGTATCCGTCCCAGTAGACATTATTGATAATCTACTACTCATAATAATAAAAACAAATTAGATAGGTACCTATACAATAATTTGGGTATTAGCTTTGATTACAAATACTATTATAATCCATGGTATTATAGGTACTTATTTTAAAGGAAATTTATAAGATTTATAAGAGAATAGCGTTTCTTTTAAATCGTAAGTAGGTATAATCTAATCTAAGGTATAACCTAATCAAACAGCTGATATTCAAATGTTTACGGTTTATACGTATAATATATTATAAAGTATGTGGTTTAAGGCGACGGAAACGATAAATTTACATAAATATTTTGTATGAATGAAAAATATGACTACTTAAAAATATAATAATATTTTATTATTACGTATATATAATAATATTATCACACAATGGTTTTACGGTGTATCGGCCTCGGAACCTGCAACGTGCATGGTCAACAAAGTGCATTCTACAAAGGATAACCGCATTTTTATAAAGTATAAAATACGATTTAGTAGGTAGTAGTACTGGAAATAGAACCGGTCATATCCTACTATACTTTGGCATAATAATAATATAACCGGTCTATCGGACACCGCCCTCTGATACGAAACATATTTCAACGTGAACTAGGCTATATTCTCACATGGTTTGAGAGATTTTTGCTGTAGCGTTCGATTCGGATTTCCTGCTTATAGTATATAATATTAATATTATATTGATTAAATAACGTTCTATTAACGTCATTCGTGAATATATATTTAGATAAAACACATATTATGTTTCAAATATTCAAATTGATATAATAATAATGTACAAAATATGTAGCGTTCCCAGAAGTTTTCATTGTGAAGGGATGTAGTAAATAATAATCCATGCATATATCTTATAATTTTTCTTATTCAGTACCCGACAATGAGAATTAAAAGGTAAATTTGAAAAGCCCAATTTGTATTTAATAAATTAACCTTATTTCCTTGTAATTTGACTAAAATATATAATTTCAGTGTAAAATTACTAAATTAATTCCAATTCATAGTTCATTTTTAAGTCATTGAGAGATAAAACCCCTATCCCATCCCTCTGCACATGCCAATGAACGTATAACAATATAATATCAATTTCTTTTACATGGCGTACCTACGTTATGACATAGTCGGTATAGTCATCAACTGCGTCATTGATGAAACTCGAAATATTTTATTTTATTTAATAAATACCTAGGTATTTAATTTTTCAATTAAAATCCTCGTAACTTGCACCCGGATGACTTGTTCTTAAAATATTATTACGTCCTATATATATATATATATATATATTGTATGCATAAGTGATCAGACAATATTGTATATACCTATCTTACCTATATTATACAAACGATATTATTATAATGATTGTACTTCCTCCAACATCATATGATTATAATATTATTATTATAAACGATTAAAAAAAAAAATGAATAATGATACAAGTAGACGATCGTTAAAAGAAAAAGAAAACCGATAATTACATAGGTATCCAATGACATTTTACATAAGGGGCCAATTCAAACGCGTTGCGAGTACAGCCTCGGGTGGACAAATTAAGAGGAGACACTGCTATACATTATAAAAATCGTGTTTGAATTGTTTTGGCGACGTGAAACTCTGACCGAATTTACCTGAGGCGAAAATGCCCGCCAACACTCCTCAGATTATATCATATTTCATAGTGCTGAAGTTGAATAATATTTTAATAATCATACGTGGTGGTACTGGGTAGTCAAAAATAAAAATAAATAACATATCTATATACATAGAACATAATTATTAAAAGGACGCCATACCGATATCTACTATTTCCGTCTTACAAATACGAGATATAGCAAATTTGCATTCAGTAGGACACATTTTGTGCCGTAAGTTTTAATATCAAAGCAAATTAACGTATTACCAAACTTAAAGGTAAGAAGATTATATATGTCCTAGCGTTGATATTTTTTTGATAGTTTAATGTTTAAGCAAGTTATAACCATGTTTATATTGTGATATTTTACATACTCATATCTCATTTAAAATTAAAATATCGACGCTAGAGCACATATCCTTACCTTTAATTTTGGTCATAGGTCAATTTTAATATTAAAACTAACGATACAAAATGTGTCCTACTGAATGCAAATTTGCTGTCTCGCGTTAATAAGACGGATGTAGATAGTAGATGTTAGTGTGGCGTCCGAGACTATTTCCCATTCTAAAATATGGGAAAATTTACAACTAAGCGGTTGTACTAGTTGTAGGTTTTTTTTTCATATTCCTGTAGTTAAAACTATTAATTTCGTCGTTCGCTTACTGATTTAAATATCGGTAATTTATTACAATTCTGACACTCAGTGGCGCCCAAAACTATATTTGTATGGTGTAGAGGGAATTTTAAACTCAAAAACTTTGTTATCTAAATTTGACTTCTTAAAACTAAATACAAAAACAAATAAAACAATACTTTTGGTAGGTATTACAGTCGGTAAAAAAAACTCAACAATTTTTTTTGACGTATTTTTATGAAATTATGTTTGCACAATTCCGTTGAAATTCACGCGTTTTTCACTGCAATAATATTATATTTCTTTGTTTTAAAAATTTTAAATTTAATGTTTTCTATAAGTACCTGCTTACTTTAATAATTGTGATTTAGGTAAAAAAGTTATGGATGAATGGCTCGAATTCATTTTAGTACAGTTTTTAAAATAGTCAATACGAAATTTAACAATACTAAAATAATATACAATAATAATTATACAATTTAAAATCATTTAACTTAAAACTAAAACTGTATACAATAAAAAAGAATAAGAAATAAGTAAAGAAGAGGGGAAGAAATAAATATAATAATATAAAGTTAAGAATATCATAGCAACATACAAATTATAAAAATTAGTTAATGGCTACACTGAATTTGCAAGTTACAATACATATTATAACTTATTGAATGATGTATTAAATAAATCAATATTACACATAGAATTACCAACCGATATAAGTTTATTCGTAGGAGAGTGCATATTATGTATAGTATGTATACATACTAGTAGTACATATAGTATGTATACATATTATGTACTAGAACTAAACAAAGGATAAAATAAGAATTTACTCCTAGAATTAAATGAATTAAGAATTAGAGAAGAATTAAATTAAAATGTATACGATCAATTAGTTTAGGGCAATCTATGTGGTTATTTAATGGAATTATATTAAAATATACTGCTAATATAATCATACACTGAATGAAGAAGTTTTTGAAATTCACATTTAAAGCTTAAATTTCTTAAAAATTATTTTGAACAAAATTTAAACACTGACATTAAGAAATGCTCTCCGAGTGCCAAATTAAAGAGGCATATTCAAGTTTGGAATAAGGATAGTGATGCTATTTCAGCAATAATTATATAATTTTATAGTAAAATAATTAAATAGGCTTCATTTATTTTCTTTAACAATATTTGTTTAATGTTGTACCAATTTTCCCATTTTTCCTACGTTTTATCACAATTGTTCACATTTGCTGGGAAAACTCTTCAGAAACTTAAAATATGACCTATTTAAAATACCTCACTAGAAAAATTTCCTTTTAGATACATTGCTATCATTAAAAGTTAGAGCAAAAGTTGTGCACAGAAAAAAAAATATATTTTAACTAATGCCTCCATTTCTTACATTTTCCCATTTTTTTTTCGGGTTTCCAAATTTGTTGAGAAAACTATTTTTCTTCTAAAAAAAAGAAATAGAGGTACATTCTAAATACTGAGTGGAACGATGAAGCATATAGTTTTACAAAGATATTTATTTATTTATTTTTTTTTTATCTGTTAACAACTTTTCTACCGGAAGATTTGCTCGGATTTCTATGTGTAGCACCTTATCTAAAAGGAAATCGGTGTGAGGAGATACTTTAAGGAAGTCAATTTTCCTTTTGGAAAGGTCATTTTCCGATTTTCTCATAAAATTTGAAAAAACGAAAAACAATGGGAAAATATAAAAATGTATACATTAATTCAATTATATTAGGTACGGCCTTCTTTTTTTCTGTGCACAACTATTCTAGTAACAATTTTGCTCTAACTTATATTGATCGCAATGTTTCTAAAAGGAAATTTCACTGATAAGGTACCTTAGAGAGGTCATTTTTCGATTTTGTCAGGAGTTTTCCCAGAAAATGTAAAAAACCGGAAAAAACATTGGAAAACCGAAAACAAATTCAGAAAAATTGAGAAAATCGGTACAACATTAATCAAAAATGTCTAAAGAAAATATATAAAGCCTATTTAATTATTTTTTAATATAAAATTACATATATATTGTTGACAAAGCATTACTATCAACTGAACTTCACTCAAAATCGTTTTTTCGTAAGCAATGGTTTATCGTTAGGTATACATTAAATTATCTATAACAGTGGCTGCACCCGTCCCCATTATCCTAAGACGTTTTTTTCAATATTCAATATCATACAATTTTCAATACACTACCAATGCAAATTATTAAGATTGGAGTAATTTCACAGTATCTAACATTTAATTTTTGTATTAATTTAGTTGGGTATTTTTATAGAGTAGATTTATGAGTTTAGTATCATCTGCAGATAATTACCAATTTTAATTTATTATAACTTAAATTATAACATTAAGAAAAATAAAAAATAATAATGTTGACAAATGGTCACCCTGTGGAACGCTAGAGGATACATTAATAATATTAAATATGTGGTTCTCATATTTCACAGTTTGAACTCGATTTGTCAAAAAAGTATTAATATGGTAACCAAAACCATACAATTCTAGTTTAGAGATTAAAAGAAAATAGTGTACAGTATCGAAAACCTTTTTAAAATCTGTATGTATCACATCTAACTGTGCTTTATCATCAAATGTATAATCATGATAGACTGCTTGAAAATACATAGATTTATAACTGCTAATCGGCCCTTTCGAAATCCATGCTGTTCATTTGAAATAACACACTCACAAAGAGTCAACATTTTCTTATTGACTAACTTTGAGAATAATTTGGAGAGTATAGAGATTATAGATATTGGACGGTAATTAGTAACAACAAATTTATCACCTTTATTAAAAGTAAGCGTTATATAAGAAAACTTTCATTTATCTGTTAATATGTTTGAATTTAAAGAAGTATTAAATAAATAAATAATAACTGGGGATAGAACGAACGAACATTCCTCCAAAAATAAAGCAGAAATTCCATTAGGACTATTATAGAAGTATATAAATTAACAAACCATAGTTCGTCAATAACGTCTAATAAAATAATATGTACAATATTTAGGGAAGCTAAAGAGTTATTTGAACACTTATTAGGAAGATGTTTTAACGAATGCAGTTTATAAGCATTATAAAAATGAAGTTTAAATAAGTTAACAATACCGTCACCAGTATTGGCTTCCTTATCATGGTATGACATAAATGCAGGAAGTTATTATAGTGATTTTTTAGATTTATAAAACTTCGGAAAATATTTAGGATTGCCATTAACGTTGAACGTTATTAATATAATTTCTATAATCACGGCTTCGTATAAATTTACATTTATTACGAAGAAAAAATAATTTTAAATAAAATTCAGTGGCATTTAAGGTTTTAAAAATTTAATGAGTATTTTGCTTTTGTTTGATTAATAATTGTAACTCATTACTAAACCATAAAGGATGATTTTATTCATATTAACGAATTTTGGGAACAAATTCATTTGTAACATAATCAATGTTAGAATAGAAAATATTAATATTATTATTATGTTATTTGTTCCGATTATTTGTAATCATTAGAGCTCGGATGTATATGAATTTGCATGTTTTTATTTTTAACAGACCAAAAAGTAGCTAGATAAACTACAAATTTGAATGATAGTTAATAGATCCAAAATAAAATGTTTTATTTCAGATTCTGAGTCCAACGAAAAATGTATTGACTTTACTAAGATGTTTATTTTTATACTGCGTACAAAAATTCTACCAGAAATATTGCTCCGATTTTTAAGTGTAGCGATTTTTCTGAAGAAAATCGGACTGGGGAGATACTTTATCAATTTCCTCGGGAATTTTCTCAATAAATCGGATGAAACGGAAAAATGTAAAAAATGTAGATATTAGTTAAAAAAAATATTATGGCCTTTTTTTTCTGTGAACAACTTTTCTACAATTTCGCTCCAATTTATAGTGTTAATATAATATTATCACTTTTTCTGAAATAAAATCTGACTAGAAAAGTACTTTAGAGAGTTCATTCTTCGATTTTCCTAGGAGTTTTCCCAACAAATGTGAAAAACCGGGAAAAAATTTGGGAAAATCGGTACGATATTAAACAAATATTACTAAAAAAAATGTATAATGTCTTAATTATTTTACCATAGTACCTATGACATACATATTGTTGACAAATGTACATGTGTGTTACATGCGCATAATTAAATTACAAAGTTACATGTAAACCTAAAATTAAAACACACCCCTTAAAAAAATCCTGGCTATTCCACTGGTTTACAGATACAAATTAATTTCCCCTCTTTATTCTACATTATCAACTTCTTACAAACAACAGTGGCTGCAGTGCTGCACCCATCGTGCGAAGTATGTCCGTCTTTTTTTTTTGATGTGTACTGCATATTTCTGTATTTTACGATTTTTCATTGCATTATAGTTGAATACCTAAGTATTTCAAACCCATTTGTTTTACTATTGTTCATTAATTTACCTACATATATACCTATAGTTCGTAAAGAATTTGTTTTCTTATATCATCTAATAACTTTTATATAAAGATACTTCGATCGAGACAAGTCGTTGTAATCATTTTTTTTGAATATTTTGCATATTTCAAGTGCATATTTTAATGACAATCAGTGCATAAATGCACACATATTTTGTACGTTTTTTGTGCATTTAATTTTGGGCACAAGTAATCATTTTATAATACAGTGATTCTACAAAGACATAACACCCCAAATTTGCAAGTGCTTATTTAAAATTTAAAAATTGTTCGACTGTTTAAAAATATTTATTTCGTGCGAAACTGAAAAATGAAGGCACTTAAAAAAAAAAAAAAAACAATGAATTTTGCAACCAATAGCATATCTATACTCGAGCACACGTGATTTCTCAAAATTGAAACTTGTAATAACAGTTCTATAATTGTACAATCCTACAATTCCACTATTTTCACTATATTATTATTTGCTGTTTATGAAGAATTTTAGAAACTCGTAAACAATAATAACTTTTTATATTATACTTTTGCAATTGGAATTGTTTGAATATAATAAAATATAATTATTACAATTTTAAGGGTAAAAACACTACGCTGTAGACCTATATAAAGAAATATACCTAAAGCAGAGAAGGAGAAAGAGAGAGAGAGAGAAAAAAGGTCAATATTGTTATGATATAAAGCACATAAAATAGAATACCAACAATACCTATTAATACTTGAGAAAAGTTTAACAACAACGATAAGTTACAATATTTGTATTTAAAGAGATAGCATATAGATTAAGTCCTATCATACATAGCCTGCAGGTGGTATTGGCCATCTCTTTCTAGCGGTTTTAGTACTAGGCAACCTAGCCTAGTATGTAATAGACGTTGAGTCATACTCAACATTCCACCGTAATAATATTAAAGCCGATAATAAATTTGTATAAGTTGATTTCACCGGCTATCGAACCCGCCGAACATTGTTACATGTTGATTCTACTGGATATTTGTGTATCATAAAATGAATATAAATAGCATAAATATTTTATAATAATAATAATAATAGCTTTAGACCTGACCGCTCCACGCTGACAAATTTCTTCACGTTCAAAACTTTTTTTTCTCGAGTGTTTTGAAAAGAACATGCAAGTAGATGTCATATTTAATGATTTTAAGAAAGTGTTTGGCAGTGTTAACCACAATATCTTAGATGAAATATTGTATAAATCCAGATTTTGCGAACCATTGTCTTGGATTAGATCATATCTATGAAATATACTTATAGAGTTCAATGGGTTGAAATTCATGGGAATTCGTCAGTCGTCACCTATGGTTCCATCTGGGTGCCCCAAGGGTAACTCACTTTATCTCCCATACTGTTCATGCTATTTATCAATTATACACAAAATATATTACCTGGATGTAAGATTTTTTGTCTTCGAGGACAATTTGAAATCATTTTGGAGTATAACTAAGTAGTTATACTCTTTTAAGTAAAAATATATTATATTATATAAATATAACTTATTTGACTACCATATCCTCTAAAAAGATCTCAATTGTTTAGTGAATTGGTTAGATTTAATTGATTTGCACTTCAATACTGGGAAGTGTATGCCATCGACAGGGACCACTCATTAATTAAGTGCCCATACACTATAAATGGATTGGCTGTTAATTCTGTTAACCGACTGAAAGACCTGGGTAACCTTAACATCTACTCTTGAATTTCACCCACACATTGAGTCTTCATGTTGGAGAGCTCTTAAATTGCTGGGCTTTGTGAAGTGTATTAAATCCGAGTTTCACCTCTTTGTGCCACTAAAAGTAATTTGTTGTTCCCTGGTATGTTCGATTCTTGAGTACTTGTCAGTATTATAACCATATTTACCTGCCGTCAAACGGGTTAAATAAAGATAGAAGGTGTACTTGTCTTTCTAGTAAATAGTTTCTACCTCTCGACGACTGAAAAACCGTTTCCAATTTTTAAAATATAATGACACAATTGTATATTATAATAAAATTAATGATAGTTGTAGATACGCTATATGAGGAAGGCATTATTTGTATATTATACTAATATGGCTATTGGTAATATGTTATAGGTATACACTATACCCATTAAACGACTATAAACGAGTATCAAACTTGTGATCAAACTAGAATTATGGAAAATTAAGACAAAATTAGTTTGGTATTATAATCATAATTGAATTTCAATCTTTCCATATTATTTTATAAGAAACTATAATTGCCAAAGAAAAATATTATAATTTTCTTTTTAAATGTATACCATATCGATTAAGTGAATTTCTCATCTATCCGTGTACTTAAAATTGTATAAAATACGATGAATTTTTCGATGAGTTTTATACTTATTACCGTCGTCGTTTAAACAGTATAGAAATCAAATTTAAGTAATATTTATATCAATATAAATATTTTATTTCAACTCTGTAAAACTAGGAGGCTTCGTAATTTTTGTACGTGTATTTAAGTATAATAACGCGTAGGATACTGTAGCTAGGTAGGTACTTATTTGTTTGTGTCTCCGACTAATAACACAGTAGGTCATCACGTCATCATACCAGACACAAACTCACATGTTTCACCGAGTAAAGAAAAAGAAGAAAAAATTCAACAGTAATTCACGCGTTTAACAATGCCACTATTGTATATTCGAACAGAACACACAAAAGCTTCGAAAAGGGCGTAGTTTACAGCTGCAGTTTTGTACAAACGCATATTATACAGTACAACTATATATATATATTATATACATTATACATATACGTACTATTTGAGCACACGTGTCTAGAAAACTAATTTTCAAGGAGATTCCCGATCGACAGTGTCTTGCAACAGGTTCGATATTATTACCTTAATTATATATAGGTGTAGGTGGTGATCGTCGGCCGTATACGAGGGCTAATCAAAAAGTATCAATACTGGTAGTATCATTCAGAAAAGGAGCATCGAAGAGCAGTAGAATTGGTATCACTTGCTTCTATGACTTTTCTGAGTACATTTGTTTTTATTGCTTCTCTATAAAATTCTTCGGTTTGATTTCACTGATATTTTTGTAAAATATATTTTTCGAGTTTGGCGGTTTTGTAATAAACCCAAAAGAAGAATAACTTATCAGATTTGGAGATTTTAGAAAATTTGTCTGCATTTTTTTCCAGCTTCAGAGGGATGCAATATTTCATGGTTTTTGCCATTAAATATCAATTGAAAAACTGAAAATGTGACCTCGAGTGGCAGCGAGTTCCGCTTCTTTTAGATTCATTACGAAATCGCCAAACGTGAAAAACAAATTTTAGAAAAATATCGTCAAATCAAAACAAAGAAGTTTATAGAGATTTTATACGAATAGATGTGCTCAGTATAAGTCATAGAAGCTAGGTTTACAAATCGTTTTGCTCTTCAACGCTCGGTTTCCGAGTAATATTATCAGTCTCGANCTCAAATGGCAGCGAGTTCAGCTTCTTTTGGATTCATTTAGAAATCGCCAAACGTGAAAAACAAATTTTAGAAAAATATCGTCAAATCAAAACAAAGAAGTTTATAGAGATTTTATACGAATAGATATGCTCAGTATAAGTCATAGAAGCTAGGTTTACAAATCTTTTTGCTCTTCAACGCTCGGTTTCCGAGTAATATTATCAGTCTCGATACTTTTTGATTAGCCCTCGTATATACTATTAATCGACCGTTGAATTGGCTCATCCCAATATCAGATAAATTTATTACTACCCCATTTACTATTGAATCAGCCTCCAAAACAATTTTTAACGAGAATGTCTAAAAACAAATGGCAAATGAAAGTTGAATAAGTGCGTGATAATTGACAATTATAATAATAATCACAAAGTGTACTAGGTCACTGCCAAAAGTTATCAAATTAATATTTATTAACTATATTATCTTAGATATGATATGTGATTTTGTGTTATTATGATTTTCTTTTTTAAATTTAAAAACGACCTTTTTTAGTTTCTGATTTAAAAAAGAAAAATATTTTTGATACTCAAATTAAAAACTATGACACTGATTTAATATTAAAATTTCAGTATATTATACAAATATTATCAATGATTTTTTATCTAATGTTTTAAATTTTGTTTAATAAATTGTAAACTACAATTTGTAATACATAATGAAGGTAAACAATTTGTATTAGTATATTGGGCATTGTTCATAGCCGCACACTCTCTATAAGCAATTTCCGCACACTTTTTCCTTTTGTTTAGTAAGTATTCTTAAAGGATCAACTGTTCAGAATCACACACTTTTAATTGATACGTTAAAATTCATTTTTTGTCCGAACAATAGCATAAACAGTTATCTAATATCAGACTATCGTTTAGAATTACACTCCAATTAATAAAAATCGCAAATTCATAAAAGTAAAAACTTTCGGGGTGGTTCGTGTTTATCAAAAGCTTATCGAAATATTATCATAAAAAAATAATCATTATCACCACTCCGAAAACTTTGAACATAAACATTTTTTTTATTGAAATTTGAAATGACAGTGATATAATTTTACAGACGTCGTATAATTTATTTTATTTGATTCGTATTGAAATATTTCTAATGAAGTAATAAATGGTACGTATATGGATCCTTCTTAAACAATGGAAAAACTGTTATTATTTGTAAGTTTAAAACGGGCCCGTTGGCCTTCGTATCGGTGTCGATAGAAGATAACTAGGTAATCATAAAATTATACTTAAAAGGGGTGTTGTATGGAAATTTTAAGAATACCCAGATTGCAACTATGGAAGCATAATATATATTTCCCTCGAACAGCGGATGCTCTGTTGTGTTTATTAAACTATTATTATTTTCAGTATAGAGAATACCAAGTACTCAGCTGCATTTGAATCTTTTAGTTACATTGTTATAATTGTATAAATAATAAATTGTACATAGATATGTTGTGTGAGCACAACATTACAACTCGGTATCTAAAATATCGACTATAATTGGTTTTAGGGGACAAATTTTACCTCACCGTAATAATATAATATAATATTATCATACAATAATACCTCATAATCATTGTGTAAGAATAACATCACGAAGATCGTCTAGAAACACGTTAGCGATTCGAAACAAACGTATACGTACCTCTTATAATATATTATACCATTACTATAGCAGTTATTTACAACGCGTTCGAGGGTATTAGAAATTTTTGCCGATACGTCCTTGATTGCTGCAGTATTCGCAATAATATATTATTATAATAATATATAGTTACCTTACCTACATACTTAAATCACGTATAATAGCATAATTAAAGCGATTAATAGTTTGCACTGTACCTAACCTAGAATACCGAATTTTCAACGAACTATTAACGCAATACAAATATAACTTATACAGCTATATAATACTATATAACATCATGGCAATAGAAGTCATGAATACCGTGAGGACAAACGCGTCCTCGTCGGGCATCGCAGCAGTTAAGTGTAATGTTATTGTACGTTTGTTCGTAATTGAATTGAAATAATTTTTTGACATATAGTGATTGAAGTTAGAAATATTTCCCTCTCCACTGAACGTTTCACAAAGTAATTGTGAAATATTGATTTTTGTTTTTTAGATTCGAAGCATAGCGATGGATCCATTCATTTTACTATGATGTGTGTATTTTTTTCTGTCTGTAAACAACTTTTCAAGTAGAAAACTTACTTCGACGTATCAAGTGCAGTACCTTTTCTGAAAAGAAATATTAAATAGTTCAGCAATTCTCAACCTGTGGTACGCGAAGAGCTCATAGGTCACACGAGAATAAATTTTTTGACAAATGAAAAAGAAAGTTACGAGTTATAATGCAGTTCATTTTTCCATAAAAAATAATAAATGTACATATTTAAATTTACATTTTTAAATTAAATGCTTATAATTATGTACATTTAATAATAAAAAGCTCTATAAATATAAAATAACGTTCACATATTATCTTTTGATAGGTAAAAAAAATGACTAATATACTTCGTACGATCGGTGGGCCACTGTTGCAGGTGAGAAGTTAAAAGAGTATAAAGGGGAATTTAATTTATATCTGAACGCAACGATTAATCATTGTTAATGAAAAACGATTCTGAGCAGAGTTCAGTCGTACATATTTTTAAAGCCGTAATATTTTTGATTTTCGTCAAAAATTGATATTAAAATTCTTTTTGACCCAAAAGTATGACTTATAATGAACCTCCTGATGAATTTTCAAGAATTTTTGTTTGGTCTAACAATTTATCCACAGAGTACCAACTAAATAAAGATTACGTAAAAAATTTTCAAAATTAAAATATTTATAAATGGCTCAAAAATGGTTTAAAAAATGTTACCACATCCAGAAAAAGCAAATATAAGTGTTTTGTAAAAATGTCAAGTCTATGAATATTTGTTTAATTAATATAGTAACTTCTTAGAAAAATCACTCAAATAAAATTTCCTTTCAGAAAAGCAACTACACTTGAAAATCGAAATAGGATATATGGTAGAAAAGTTATGCACAGATAAAAATAAAAATAAAATAAACATCATTGTAAAACCAATACATTCCTGGATTCGCTCAGAATTATGCCCGCTCATGAAAATATAAAATCGAGCTAAAAAAGAGCTGGGGATGGGTGTTACCACCAGTAGTACCAAACTTGGGGTCACCCGACCAAATTTTTTGATTTATTTATATTTATTTAATAATATTTATATTTTTTAATATTATTTAATTTACATCTATAAACAACGATAAACCATTACTAACGGAAAACGATTCAGCGCAAAGTACGGATATATACATTTTGAAAAATCATAATATTCACTATTTAATATCAACAAATATTAATTATAATATTTGATATTGACGAATTTAATATCAAAATTTGATATTTGATAAATTTGATAGAAATAATGGTTTTATTGTTTCATTATTTTCAATGTTGTTTGTTATTGTAACTCAATTAAAAATATTTGTAGAGATTTTAAATTTCAGAAAATGTAAACGATTTTTGAGCTACAGGCATTTTCATTTTATGGATTTTTATTTGGCAGATACTCTGTGGATAAATTTATTTACCTAACAAAAATACCGTCTCAATAAAATCTCAATTATTTTGAAAACAAGTTGAAAAATCAAAAATAACCTCTTTAATGCATCAACTAGATAATATTTCCTTTCAGAAAAGGTACTACTCTTGATACCTCGGAGTTTTCTGTTCCAAATATTGTTTACAGACAAAAACAAAACCCACATTATAATAAAACCAGTATATCATTTGCTCAATTCTGAATTTAAAATTTTAAAAATGTATACTGCAGTAGGGGAGAAGTTGAGAAGGTTCTTGATTCAAGTAGTTAAATATGTTTTATGAGATCATAGAACAATATTATTTAAGTTAGTTTTATTGTCTAACTCAGTTTATAAATGTAGGAAATTTTAAGATTTAAACAATTTGCATAGAAATAAGAAAATGTTTGGTGAAAATTGGATTCGTTAGATTTTTTACCTATTACTGACATAAAATCCAGGCATCGATTATTTATAAAGTGTTATGTGTGTTAATGATTCAGTAATATACATTGATACAACTGATAATATAAACGATGAATATCTATTCATCAAAGATACAAATAAAAATTTTAAATCTCAAACCAATGAAGTTTTTATGAAATGTTCAAACATTATACTTATATGAAGTTGGACGTGCCGGAAATAAGAATACCAAATGATTAGCATCTCGTTTGATCATTAATGCGTGCATTTATATTATAATATCTGTTATACTTGAATAATAACTCTTTGTGACGCAAAACAATAATAATAATCGTACGCGTTTAAAAAGACACTAAATAATAATCATTTTTTTTTACGATGGTAAAAAATTAAATGACCAAGAATAAAAGTGCCCCTTCGTCTTCCATGACCCTTTATATTCGCATTATTAGTTTAATAATAAGTAAAAACAATTACACATTGGTGGTGGTAGAACCTTGGAGGTAATTACTATGAGCCGTATAATTAAAAAATAATAATTACGCCACTACGTCGTTCGAAATATTGTTTAATATTATCAGTATACATTTTATAATTTAATAAGCAATGAAAGAAATTACTACTAGCTGATGCTCCACCGATGGTTATGTAAACTGTGAAAACTATTTATGTACCCCGACTATTTTAAATAACCTCCACTTTGAATAAAACATTTAGAATTGAGGAAATTAAAAATTACCTATAAATTGTTTTTTTTTTTTTAATTTTTGTGCCAAAAAACTAAATACATTTATAATTTATATTTAAATTACAAAGTAAACTTGTGTTGTTGATAAATAGCTATATGTTAAATAAATGTAACTAATAATGTGTAAAATATAAAACAATGATGATCAGTGATCAAAAAATACCGAGACTATTTAAATTATGCACTAACAAAGCGTCAGAGAGCAATAGAATTAATATCACGGTTTCTGTGAATTCGCTTAACCATATCTGTAAATTATATATATGATTTTTTTTGGACGGGAGGAGATGGTTGAAGAGGATTTTTCGTGATTACAGAATATCAGTTAGCAGATAAATACAACATTTTACATGACTCATGCCAATATATTATAACTGAAAAACTACAAATACCGGTGCATTTGCACCAAGTAACAGCCATAGTATATTCCGTAAATATTGGGAAATGTCAAAAATCAAAAACGAATCTAAATTCAGGTTTGCCAGGAACTTTTTTATATGATAAATGTTTATATTAAAACTGTTTATTATATTATCATGATAATAAGCATTACTCATATCATTACGTAGTCATCAAACGAAATAAAAATCCTCTCCAACTTCCTCAAAAAGCTAATCAAGTTACTCTTCTTTAGGGTCATTACAAAATCGCCACCACACGAATATTTTTCAAAAATATCGATTACATCAAAACCAAGGAGGTTATTGAGAATCTACGAAAAGAGGCGTACTCAAGAGAAGTCACAGTAGCCAGTAATATTCAATAAGCAAAAAGGGTCCTCTGGAAGAAAAGAAATATTTGTTGTTTTTCCATGAAAAGCATTTATTTATCATATTATATATTATAATTAGATACAAATATTACTAGATAGCTAACTACTATATTTACTGTCCGTGTAGTTGCTTGAAGCCACCAATGACCGATTTTTTTTTTAACCCGTAAGTGTTATCATCTATTTATTTTTTAATAATATAATAACTGTTAAATCTATCTTTTTTATTATTTCGTGGTGATCAATATCGTGTTTGTTCTTATACTACACGTATATAACAGTCATCAGTAGTAAAAGTGTATGATAAGGCTCATGGGCCTTGAATTAAATGGCGGAATGAAAACTTCACATAATATCACAAGTTCTTCTTATTATATATTTGTGACCTTGGATTATGTATATACAATCTTAGTGAAGCCACAGCTTATCTCACCCGTGTAAATAAATACATATTATAAGCGACCAGTCATCTGCTAAGAGGCGCGGTGTGCACTTGCGAGTACTATAATATTATTTGGAATATTAAATACCTATGCAACGAGTATACTCTTGCATGCGCAATTCACACTTCTCATCAGGAAATTCTTTGTTCAATACACAAATAATGTTGTTTATATGGGCTTCGAATTATCTGAACATGGCTTCATCCATAGTATATGATATAAGGTATTTATCTACGTCATTTATCAAAAATAATTTTAGTTAATACGTTATCTATGATATTTTTTGAAGAGTTACAGTCATAGATCATACACTATAGATTGAACTATGTAGCAATAATTTAAAGTACATCAATGACGAACTGAGTCAAAAAGGCCCACTCCACAATTTGGAAATATTAAGTGCCACCCAAAATCGTTAGAAGTAAGAAGTAAGAAGAAACATAATTAAAATAATGCCATAATTATGTATTAGGTTTTGTTCTTATGCATTATAATTTATGGCACCACTACGCAATTTTCTACTTCAAAATGTGGCCTACCCGTCAGGGCATTTTTTATTTCTTTCTCCTTTGTTTTTACTTTGCGTGGTATTTTAACGATTAAATAAAGGTTCGACTTAGGACACCAACTAGTTCACTAAGCAGTAAACTAAACGAGACAAACTTGAAAATTGAGTATTTAAGCTAGAAAATCATATGAAGTTTTAGATATTTTGGTTATAGAGTGTATATTTTCGAAAACTAATAAAATCATAATCATTAAAAATTTGAAAATGTCTGATAAGAATAATTGTATTGTGTACACAATATAGACCACTAAGTAAGATAACATCATTTTTGTTATTTAGGTATCAAATATTATTGTTTGATAAAATATGTTCCCGATAAATTATTTCCACTGAAGAACTAAGTGGGGATTTCGATAATTGTATGCGATAAATCTAATTATTATGTCATGAATGGAGAATAGATAATAAACCAACTCGTCAAAGATTTGCAATAAAACGTTTTGTTAAAATAGATGGTGACCGAAAACGCTGAAAATATTTTTAAAATTTAAGTTTTCTTCCTAATGTTGATACAGTATTAAGTTAAATTTATGCTCATATAATATATGCGAACAAAGTTTTATCGAGTTAAAAATCGTACAATACCAATCTATATAATCAAGAGCGGAATGGCCAACCGGGTAACCAGACAAATGCCCGGCGGCCTGGCTTATGGGTGGTCCGAAGCATTCAAAATTAATAGTTATATTTTGCTATTTAAAAATAAATGTTTGCTAATAAAATTATTTTTAAAAGATAAAGAACTCAAATGTCAATTTGTATTTATTTATATTGGAATCATAATAAACGTATACTTTATTGCACGATATACCTAACTACACTACCTACCTACTTACCTACCTACTAATTGCACAGAAGGAATTCCGATAGGTACTGGTAAATATTTATAATCAAATCTGATTTAATTGTAATAATTGTTAATTTTAAAAGCATTTCTTCATCAATCTCATACATTCATACAATATTAAAAGACTAGGTATTTACTATTACGTAATATTATTATTTTAGTAAGGTATTTTAGTTTGTATTAACTTAATAGTACTAAAAGTGACAAAAAACGAAGGGAAATCAAGCGAAAAACGAGATGCGGTATTTTTACCGCATTTACTAGGCATTTTTAGATTTTAAACGTGAAGCAAAACATTTATTGGTTTTCCATGATGTGTGTGTGTGTGTTTTAGATTTATTATTTATTTTGTTTTTCTATCTGTAAACCATTTTTTTTTCAGAAATCATACTCCGTTCGTCAACTTTAAGGATGGTTTTTGATAACCAATTTTGTCTAGTTGGTGTATTTAGGAAATCATTTAAATATTTTATATGCTTATAATTTTTTTTACATATTTATCCTCAAGAAGTTGTAAATTATCTACCGTCAAAATTTAATGAAATAATATTTATTTTTGATTGTATGTTTAAAATTCTCTAATGTAGATTAAAACTTAAAATATTGGAAAATAGTTATATCATTATTAATAGCACACCTAAGAGGGTGGAGGCGGCTAAAGAACAACCATTGATCCATTAATCATGTTTAATGTAAAAAAAATTGCATAAACTATTCGTCATTGACAAATTTCGTATATAAATATAAAATCGTCGATTCAATCGATTTTTGTTTGCTTTTAATATAAATCTATAATTTTATTCCGATCTAGATGAAACTTTTCACACTTGATATTTAAAACAAAAGGGCAATTACAGTCTATTTTTTTATCTAGAAATTCAACCCCTAAAAAGTGGCTGACATAAAATTATTAAAGGTATTCTGTGTTTGGCTAAAATGTTTTGCCTTAAAAAAATATATGTATAGTGGATAATATGGAAGGGATGCTAATGATGTTAATTGGGTGATGCAAGTTTTTACAAATGTATGATCCAAAAATGTGTTTATACATTAAACAAAAATTGTAACAACTCTCAATATATTATCAAAAATGGTAAAAATTGAAGTAGTCTGGATAAAGTATTTGCCCGGTAAGAATTTTCGAGCCACTCCGCCCCTGTATATAATAGAACAGTTAGAGGCATAGGTATTATCTAGAAAATCCAAATTTGTGTAGTTGTATAGTTGCTATGTTCGATTTACGTACGGTATTTTAATTGTAATATAATTTAAACCATTTCATTTCCTAAACGCAAATTCACGTAAGGTTTATAAAGGTTATGATTAAGAATCAATTTTCAAAATCATTGCCCGAAATACCTATGTCTATATAATATTGAATAAACGTTGAAATAATAATATTAACCAGTTTTTAAATCATTATAAAACGTACAGGTATCGTATGATCATTTAAAAATGTGTGTTGTACCTATTACAAAAATGTACCGTACATAAAATGTTTAAAAAGAATTTTCATGTTTTTAAGTTAAGATCCGGAAACCCACCAGAATTGTTTGACTGGGCACGAAATGTTTACATGTGTAATCATAATGTGTTATAGCTGTGATATGAACAAAATATGATTATTAATGATTATTATTATGAGGTGCAACACCAATAGACATCGCATTCGATTTCCAGAAAATAATATTAAATTGTCCGCCGAATACTAATACGAGTACGAAACGTTATGTCGACCGTGCATGTCTCCGGTTTAATATATTATCATAATACGTATGTATATATTGTATATATTTTTTTTCTTAATATTCGCTAATTCACTGTCCATTATAGTACCTGCTTATACCTATACCTAACTAGTACCTACCTATACCATAGGTTTTATTAATTGACCATACAAAAATGGTTACGATAAATTGTACGACTTTCTATTACTCACTTGCAAAGTATACTGCCAAAACATCCGAAACTACTTCCATTGGCGACGAGACGCGAGTACGAAACGGTCATAATTTTAAAGCGGGAATATCCTCACGGCGGTGTTAAACTCTGCATATCGTCACATACCGCGGATGACATTTGTCACATTAATAATCACATTTTTTTCTTTTGCTTATTTGTATTAATGTTTTAATCGCACTTTTTTGTAACGGACATATGTATATTAAATATACTAAAAACAGTTAACGGACAAAAATCATAATCAACATTACATGTATGTATATACCGATAATTACGGGCGTTTTATTTTATAATATTAATTAATCGTTTTTATGGTTTATTTACGTTATTAAAAAAATGAATATAGGTACATAATTTATTATAATATTAATATCGTCGTCGTTGCCACTGCAGTTTGTCGAATGAACAATAATACACAAACACACACAATAAAAAAATAAACGAAAACAAAATAAATTTATATATATATTTAATATTATCTTTATTTCTATATAAACAACGAAATGAAAAACACAACTCGCCAATCAAGTTGTTCGACGTTCCGTACGGTTCTGGCACTTCTGTCGACGTCGTTTTACGGACAAGACCACGGCGAACGTATTTTCACTGCTCCCTCCATCGCGCTGCTCCGATCATTTTATCCGACACCGTGTTTTGGTAGGTAGGTACATGACGTACTTACATCGAGCGCTACCATTATAATAATAATAATATTATTATTATATGATATAGATGGTGTTAGACGTTAGTAGTAATGGTAGTAGCTGTTATAGACAGTAGTAACTAGTATTAAATAATACAATCCATATAATAACCGCGTTTATAATATTATAAAGTATAATATAGTGTAGGATAGGCAGAGTAGGTAGATAATATGTAAGCACCTCTCTGACTGTGTTTAAATATGTAATGACACTTTTTTTTTCATCAGTGGGTATTGTGGGTACAGTGGGTGATTTGTATTACATTCCTTGCCCCTTCTGTTTTACCGCGGTCGATTTAAAATTGCAAATGTGTTAAATATTGGCGCCTCACAATACTTATTAGCTACATAAAATTATTATATTTATCGAACAACAACATAACATAATAATAATAATATAATATGAGAACACTATTATTACATTAGTCCCAGGAAAATGGAAATATAGACTCTGTTGTATTTTTTTTTACGTACATTTTTTCTTGCTATTTTTAAACATTTCAGCAGCTGCCACTGAATCAAATAAGCTTAAACTCACGAATTAGAGTTATTTCATTAATGGATAAAGTAAAGTATCGAGTATTATTATGAATTTTACCATATTGCACGAAGATAATGATTATTTAGCCCTACAGACCTATCATATTAGGCCAGGGGAATGACATTATGTATATGCTTGGTGTATTGAATATCAAGAATGTTCTTTTTGAAGATTTTCACTTTCAATCCCTTCCCCAATCATTTTTATGTTAAAATTTGATATTTTCACAGGAATATCGAGTTTTATAAATACTCCTACAGACTAAAATGTAATAACACTCTGGTAACAAACCTAAATTCAATCAATAATAAACAAAAAAAATGAAATATTGTTACGGCAACAAATCATCTGAGGGAAAATTCGACTTTAGTGATAGAGCTCTGTTGCTCAGGTGTTTTTTTTTATTAAAAATATGCCCTAAACTATATTTCTACGAAAACACGTAGTTATTATATTAGATAATAAAGCCTATATACGCTCAATCTGATAATATTATACCGAAGTTAATAAGGGACTCGTACAGCGTTTATAATATTGTTATTATTATAATGTTATTCAAATGTCAAAAGTTCGTTTTTTCTCAATCTATATTCGGTCGGCGTTAACATTCCCCTGAAACACACCGAAAACTTTCCATTTATAAATACCGCAAAATCTATTATACAAAAGTATAAAGTAGTGAGTGAGCACAGCCGAATAATTACTATGAAACTATTCGGTTATGGAAAAAACTTTTCGAATAGTTTTTACCGTAACCGAATGAAAATAATTTAAATCATTAACGAAATATTCAATAGTTTTTTCGAATAAAAGTATTCGATCATGGAAAACAATATTCGATAGTTCATTTAAACTATCGATAGTATAATCTGTACGGAATAGTAGAATGTTATGAATACAGTATATAATATAAGAAATATAAGATATTACAAAATCGAAGTGTGGTTGTAATTATTTTCAAACCTTAGTACAGTATCGAAAGTGACGGACACTCCTTTAGCGGTCATTTTTTTGAAAAGCGTCCAGCATTCTTTTTCTTTATCGGACTTGAACATTGGTTGACCTTCGACCGTGTCATCGTTATAACGAACAGCGATGTCTTCGGCACGTTCCGTCTCGCCGCCATCCTGTTGATGACATAGTTTAGCGTTTTCAACACGATCTTTTGTCTGCACTTGTCTGTCACCGTCGTCTTCTTCTTTTTCGTCTCTGAAAACATTAAAATCATTCCGACGGTAAACTTCGACTAGTTGGTATATTTCAAGTCATCGACCTAAATACAACAAAATAAAAGCATACGCGTTCGTATATCGATTTGCATTTTTCGCCATTTGCGTTGGCAACTTTAATAACGGAACGAGTAGTACCATAATAATATACAACCGATATATTATTATAAACAACCGAAATTATTGCGACATGGGTAAATGGGTGTACTGGTATACAGGTATCTACCTACCAATAGGTTTATTCGCATGTTACGGACAATATTATTACAATATCGGTATATTATTATTAATATATGTAACTTTACCATCGCATTTTTTTCCCATTTATTGTATTAACGTAGGTACCTACCTACGTTTATTCGTACATAATTTGGTAAGCGTATTATTATCAATAGAATTTAAATAAATAAATTGTCGTGTTCACGTGCAGTAAAATCATTTAAATATAGCAGAATACACCTATATAACAGAAACTCGTATAGCATTCAATAAATTGAAATGGATATAAAATTATAACGATGCCGCATTATGATAAACTATATACGGTTTTATATATTGTAGGTCATAACATTAAAGTAAAATATTAAAATGCACTTACATATATAATATTTACGGATTTAACTATGAATTATATAGGTAACACAAAATAAAGATATCATATCATATCTACCTAGTCCGCGTGTTATAGTCGTCAGTAATAATAAATAAAACTTGTAAAACTGTAATATGATTATAAGTTAAACATGCACATATTAAGCATATTATAAAATTATTATTACGTTTTGATTTACAACTTTACCTACCCAAAACTCGATAAACATAATATATATCCATAGAAATATTAATAAAGATTGGGAGAATATTTAGATATTAATTAGGGTACGAGTAGATCAGGAGAAGAGTGGAGACAATATACAATATAATTAAATTGAAATATTATTTGTAAAATATTACGTTGAGAAGTTTAACGCCTAGTTAACGAAGCTTATGACTTTGTACTGTATACTTAGTTGCCTATACATTATTCGATTAAATAATATCTATTTATTTTAATAATATGACTCGCATACTATATTATTATTATTAAAATCAATAGCCTAGTACTCATATTAAGGAGAAAGGAGGAAATGTCCTCCTTATTTTTTACAATGAATTCAGAACCGACGTTAACAAAAATCGATGAAAGAATGTGATTAAAAATTTGTCGATTCAAATACCACATTTACCGAACTAAAAAAAAGGTTTTTTTTATTGTTCGGTAAGTAATGAATTTGCAGGTAACAATAATAACATAATAATATGAAAAAAAAAATAAATACCAAATGATCTATTTAAATGAGTGGACTCATTATCTCGGAAAGTATTATCTTTTTCCGAACATTTTTTTCTAGAACATTTGAGAAATAAACTGCTCTACAGCTTATTTTTGGGACTAAAACCACCATTACCCACTTTTAATTTTCAAATGGCAACCTATATTGAAAAGTCCATAAATGGAGAAAGTATTAGTTAAAATAAATTTTAGTGTTGACATTTTTGATTTTCGTCAATCCGTTGACGAGATATTTCACTTAAGATTTGGTAGGATAAGAGCAGTGGAGTATCATTTATATGGCGATACGGCGCGCGACAAATTAATAATGCACCACTAGTTACTACTCTTCTCCAACCCAAACTTAAAATGGAATATCTCGTCAATGGCTTTACAGAAATCAAAAATGTCAACACTAATACTCAGTTTATTTATGAAATTTTTTGTATAGGTTACTATTTGAAAATCAAAAATAGGTAGTGGTTTTACTCCCAAAACTAGGGGTGTCAAAAAATAACATAAACATAAAATTGTAGAGCTGCTTATTTCTTAAATGTTTTAGAAAGAAAAATTCCAAAAAAAATTAATACTTTCCGAGATAATGAGTGTACCCACTCAAATGGAAAACCTGGTGTATACGAAGAAATTATTAGTTTTGTCGAATTTTAAAAAAAAATTATCATTGAATATCTGTCTCGATCGTCTGAATTTCCAAGTCATAGTAGAGGGTTAACCCCCCCCCTCCATTCTCCAGCCCTGAATGGTCATTATGAACGTAAATGGCATAGAAAATATTTAAATCTTAAGGTACGCACAATTTTTTACTCGTTTGCATCTGCCATCTAATGTACCATCTAACTTACTTCCAATTTAAGCACTAAGAATAATCGTATATTATTATTAGGCGATTATTCTATTTAGATAAAGTTTAACACATTGTAATAAAATATGTGTAATAAATTCCATTAAACTTCATTAAATATCTATTTAAATCAATGATTATCTAATTTAAATAGATAAAGCTACATCTATGCTTCGCTACATACTGATTGAACATTTCATAACAATATCACGATTTTCAATATTATAAATAGTCATACGAATCACCAAATGAACTTATAAGCTATATGACATGTTTGTATATAAATATTTTATTTATTATTATACCTCAGTACTTCTAATGTTCTAGATTTAATCAATGATTTCCCAACATGGTTGTTGATTTGATGCTTTGACGGTTTCCCAATAGATTGCATTGCGCTGTCGAAAGATTTTTGATGATAGCTCACGCTGTTATTGAATTGTGGAAATGTAACTATAAAATAAAAATGGTATGATACATGTGGTTATTTCATTTATAATTGTATGCAACGATAAATCTTTGCTAACCAAATACTAGTCTAAGTTTGGTTAAATGACATGTACATGTTTTCAAATGCCGTGTTTCTTACAGTTATCGTAAAAATTTGAATTTGAAAAAATGTATAAAAAGACTATTACATCAAGTTATTTTTTCAGAAATAATAATACTTTTGTTGTGCTTAGTGGCGTACATAGGGATAAAGTTCTAAGATTTTACTCCCCCCTTCGAAATTTTTTCCTCCTCTCAAATATTTTTTAAGTTTTAGTATTGATAATTTTTACGGTTAATTTTAGTACAGTTAAAAAAACATCTGTAATAACCATGGGCTAAGATAGGTATTGATACGTATCACGGTTATCTAAATGTATATATAAACGTGGTACGTAAAGATATAACAGAAAGGTAGATTTGTGAAACATGATCTATGCCTCCATGGAATATGAATACATTATTTTTAAATATATCCTATCCTATTTCGTGGTGATACGTAATTGTATTGTAGCAATTATTTATTGTAAGTATAAATAAATATAAAATTCTTATTCTTTAACTTTTAAAACTATGCATAGTTTATTAATAAACATATTCATTAATTATTTTATTTTTGAGTTAATGGTGTATATTTTATTTTATTACTAACATTTTTTTATAATTATCAAATTAAATACAAGAATTAGAGAAAAAGAGAAAGAAAAATATAAAAATAGGAATTTGGAAGAATTATTTTGTGTTTTAATATAAAAATTATTTTCTAGTTCAGCAATAGAGTGGGAAGTGAGGGGGAGGCGATGCCCCCTACGGCTCTATGATAAATCTATAGAGAAAACCCGATTGAAAAATCCACCGACTGCGCTTCACTACATTCAGAATCCTAAATAATAATCTGACCAATTTATTGATAAATTTTTAATCAAAAAATTATAATAATTATTATATACCTATGTATTTTATAACTGTTAAACCTAACTAAAGTTGTATAATATATTTTACATTGCTATAGAAACGCGGTATATACTAATGTGATTGTACGCGAAAGCATTTAAAATAAATATAATATATTATAACATATAATTATTTTAGAAACTACAAAGTAAATGAAAAAGTTTTGACAATCGTAAAACTTGATTCAACATTAGATGATAATTATCATTACAACAAGTAGGTATACTAACTAGGAACACCACCATAATAATAAAACTGCATTCAATTGGTATACGATTTTATAACTATAATATCCATTACCTATTCAAACATATTAAATAAAAATGACTTGTTTTATTATTATTTATTCGTATATATATTGCATCGATATATATCTATATATATAATATATTTTCTGTATGCAAATAAACACACATAAATAAAGAAAATTTGACTAAATATAAAATTTAAATGAAGGAATACATAGAAAAAAATTATACAAATTGGTCGTTTTACACAGAAATAATTTATTTTAATAGGAGAGATTATTAAACACGGGTTATAATTAGACATAGATATGTTAAGAAATATAAATCATTTGGTTATTATTTATTATCTAAAATGTATTGATATAAAATATTATATTTAAAGTCGGTTAAAATATTATTAAAATTATTTTTTATTTATTTCATTGTACATATATAATTCTTCTAAAACTGAATTAATGTAAATTTTGGGTATTTAATATCTCTAATTCTGTATTAATATCAAAACTTATATTATGGTTATTTTTTTAAAAATGTTTAGCAAAATTTGAATTAGGGGCAGTTTTTTTTAATTTTATTTCCGAAATGTGTTCTTTATATCTTATTTTAAAATTTCTATTTGTCTTACCTATATAAAATTTATTACAGTTACATTTAAGTTTATATATACCAGCATTTTCAAAAAAAGGGAGATTTTTTGTGAAGTTTTTAGTTCTACTGCTTATATATTTGATTAAATTTTTATTATAATTTAATGTATACCTGAACCAAAGTAAATTTAACAATTGCCAACAAAAACGATTCTATGTGGAGCGAGGTTAAGAGTATTACTTAGGGGCGTCTTTAGGTCAATTCCATGGAAGGAAGTGAACAATTTTTAATCTTAAATACCACCGCTTTGGTTAACAAAATCTTAAAACTTTTATGTCTGATGCCATTTCGACTTATATTACCTTAGAAGACTGCAGATATATTGTACAAATGCAGTAAAACAGTATAATTTAAAATTTAATGTTATTTTTTGCACATTAAATAAATATTAATTAAAATAATGATCACTTAATTAATAATGCAAATTAATTATGGAATTTTAAGAATTTTAACTCTGTTGTAGATGAGTAGTTGAGAAGATAGGATACATCATATTATTTAGTTCATATAAATATGCAAAAATAAACCATTGCTAACGAAAAACGATTTTGAGCGGAGTTCGGTTATGCATATTTAAAATTCCGTAATATTTACAATTTTTATCAAAATTTGATATTAAAATTGTGATAAAAAAAAAAAATATTACATTAAACTCAAATTTTTTTTATTGACCACTAAGTAAGATTTGTAATGAACCTTCAGTTAAATTATCAAGCATTTCTGTTTGGTCTAACAATTTTATCCACGGAATACTTATCAAATTAAAATGGCTAATATCTTAAAAATGACTTAAATGTTTTTTCAACAGAATTTTAAAAGCCTCTACGAATATGTTTCACTGAACTACAACAAAACATCAAAATTTAAAATGATAAAAGCATTATTTTCGTAAATTTGTTTGTTTTTCTTTCATTTTTCCCATTTATTGAGAAAACTCCTGGGCAAATCAAAAAATGATCTTCTTAAAGTACCACTCCGGAAAATTTCCTATCAGAAAAGGTGCTATACTTGATACTTCGGAGCAAGATTTTTGGTTAAATTTTTGTACACAGTAAATAAAATTTTTAAAAAAAAAGCAGTTGGAGCAAAAGTGCTGGTAGAAAAATTATGCACCGAAACAAAGAAGGCTATAATATATTTCAACTAATACCTACATTTCTTATATTTTCCCGTTTTTCAAATTTATGAGAAAACTCTTAAAATAATCGAAAAATAACCTTAATGTACCTCCCCAAACACCAATTTCCTTTTAGAAAAGGTGCTACACTAAGAAATCCAAGCAAGTCTTCTGGTAGAAAAGTTGTTAACAGATAAAAAAAAAATAAACATCTTTGGAAAACCATCTTCACTCCACTCAGAATCTAAAATCCCAAAATATCCTAAAAATAGTTAGAATTAACGTAATGATTTCATGATTTTACATTTTTGTAACTTATGTTTTCTACTAGAAATCTTGTTTCAATTTAAAAATGTCAAGAGATCTTTATTGTTGTATTTTGGATCTAGTTGATTTTCCAAGTAGTTTTCATAATAATTGAGAAAAATCAAAAAAGACGAAAAAATGAAAACTGATAAATTGCCGGCATCACGATTCTTTTATTTTGACTTTTTACGACTTATATTTTCTAACAGAAATATTATTCTAATAAAAAAATAAAAAGTGATTATTGCTGCTGCATTTTTAATTTAGTTGGTGAATCCTTTTTTGATTTCCTGCGTAATTCAAATCTGAATCAAAACGTAGAAAGAACGGAAAATGTACACAAATTATTTTCTCAGTTTTTCAGTTCGACGATCGTTTAGATATTAATACAAAACGTAAAATAATTGAAAAAATATTGAACAAAGATAGTAGTAGTATAAATGAAGATAAAGCCGAGATAAAAAAAAAATAACGTGAACAAGACGAAGTACTACAATTCCTACAAAAAAATCTTCCAACTGATTTAATAACCTCTAAATCTGCTAGAATGTTAAAGAAGTTTGGAATTTCTAAATAGTTTTTGAGTATTATTCCTACTAATATTGAGATAATTAGGAGGACTATAAAATTGGAAAACAAATAATAAAATCAATCAAAGTTGTAAAGGATACAGTCAAAAGAGGTGTTAAGCTTATTGAAGAATTTAAATACAAATTTACAAAAAACAAAAACTTGACCTATCCTAACCTACTTTATTACCGGTGAAAAATGAAATATTTTTAATTTAAAACCTTATTATTTTATACTATTATTCATATACAGTTCAAGTTTATCAGAGAAAATATGTAAAAAGGGATAGAGAATACTAAAAAAATATTTTTAAAAAGTATTTATTTCTTGACTTGTTCTAAATGAAAGTCTTAAAAGAATGTTTTACCATTTTGATTTTAGTTTTTTTTTTGTGTTGGTATAACTTAATAGTTCCATAATTTCACTGTAGCATATAAATGGTTGATTTTACAATATTTTTCGATCGGACAGTATATCGGTACTGAGCCATTTTCCGATTTTCTGGAAAAACCAAATTGTAGCAAATTCCAAAAATGACTTAGCAAAATCTGGCAAATTCCTAACAATTTTTTGGTATTAGTTTTATCGGCCTAGCATAATGTGCCGGTGCTAACTTGATAGACATACAATTTATCTATCCATACATATCAATTAACTTCTTGCCTTGTCTGATTCATCAATGCCTAGCCCAAACTACTGAATGGATCGGGCTGAAATTTGGCACACAGATAGTTATTATGACGTGAACATCCACTAAGAAAGGATTTTTGAAAATTCAACCTTTAAGGGAGTAAAATAAGGGTTTTTGGGTATATTTGTTATTAACATTTAATTGCTTATTTATTTATTTATTTTTGTTTATTCAAGGGTTCCTTGGTGATACGGATGATAATTTAGTTGTCAAGGATAAGAAAACTGTTATAATTATAATTATTACTATTATTTATACTATTAAAATTTCACAATAGAATACTTTTAGTCTTTTTTTAATCCATTTTTCACCTAAATGTTTTCATTAAATTCTGACACAGTCAAAACCAAAAATTAATATGAGTAAAAAAAAATACATATTAGCACGGGTAATGCCGGATACAGGACAGCTAGTATAATATATAATAATAATAGTTGTAGTTCCAAAAATCTGAATTTGAATATGATTTGTAGAATTTAACCATACAAATGGGGCTAGTATGCTTAAAAAACTACCCTGTAAATGAAAACTATGTCAAAAAAAAAATGGTTAAAATACGATTTAACTACCTAATAATAATTATAGTCAATGGGTATTTATTTGTAAATATAATATAGATAGAAGTTAATAATGTGTTAAACATTACACGTCAATAATGTTAAATAAATCGCAAATCCCAAAGACACAGTTCGCAATTGGTATCTAAGTAAATTGACATTTTTACAAAATGTATATTATAGTTAATCAACCTAATAAAAGCCTGCAAGAAAAAATCAGAAATAAAAAAAAAATAGATTACAGCCATTTAAAGTGATCACTGGCTTGGAACAAAGTAATACTTTTTAATCTAGTATTGGAAAAAGTAGAGATATATATTTATCAGAAAGCCTAATATTAAGCCAATCAACAAAAGGCCTTCAGGCTCCTGACATGTGCAGATGATAATGCCATCCTAGAAAACAGCTCTTTATTTAGCTATACTAAGTTTATATACAAAAAAAATTGACAATAATCAAAAGGTAATTACGATTTTTTGAGATATAGCAAAAGCATTTGATACAGTTAATAATTTTATTATGATAAAAATAATGCTAATTACTAAATTTTTTTTTGTCTGTGAACAACTTTCCTAAAAATAAAAAAAACCAAAAAACTTATTCCGAAGTATAGACTATAACACCTTTTCTGAAAGGTAAGCTTATCTAGTTGGTGCATTGGGGTGATCATTTTTTCGATTTCCCAAGGGGTTTTCGAAATAATTTAGAAAACCCCGAAAAAAACTATAGGTAAAACAGCAAACATTTATGGCATGGCCGCGGCATTATCGTATTCATTGTTTTCATTGTGTTATATTTAAGTTTTCTACCAGAAATATTACTTCAATCGAAAAATGACAAGATATCAAATTTGTTCCTATTAAATTTTTTCACTGGCAGAACAAGTCGTTTTTCGATATCTAAAGAATTCTTGATAATAATAACCGTGAAAAATCAAAAAAACGAAATTTACGATTTTTTTCAAATTACAGCACAATGAATTCATTATTTTAAATTTTTACGATTTTTGTTTTCTAGCATTAATATTGCTCTAATAGATAAACAACAGAAGACCTTTTTTATGCATTTTTAATCTAGTTTTTAAGTATGTTGTTTATTTTTTAATTTTCTTTATAGTTTTTGTAATAATTAAGCAAAACCGCAGAAATAACGGGAAATTTTACGAAAAAAATTTTCAATTTTATTCTTTCATTATTAACCAGGTTAAAATATTCATAGAGATTTTAAATTTTACCAGAAAATGTACTCTTACTTTCTAGATGTGGTAAAATTGTCAAAACATTTGCGTTTTTTTTTAGCTATTTAAAGACATTTTTATTTTACGAGGTTTTTTACGTAATTTGTATTTAGTAGGTACTTTGTTAAACTAACAAAAATGTTTGAAAATTTTATAGGAGGTTTATTGATAAGTAGTACTTAATGGTAAAAAAATATTTAGTTTAATGAAGTAATTTTTTTTTTAAGAGTTTTAAAATCAAATTTTGACAAGAATCGTACATATTATAGCCATTCAAAACATATATAACCGAACTTATGATTTATGGTTGATTAAAGGTATAAATTAAATACATTTATGCATCCCACCTTCCCCACTATCCACCTAATAGGGTTCGCACCCATCCCCAGTAACAGATCTTTTATTTTTTGTTTTAAAGAATTTATGTTTTACTACTTTATTTTAAGTTTTGTTTTGTTATATTAACATGCAACTCATTTACTCCACCGCAAGCCATGCTTATTAGGGTAAATTAATCAAAATGTATATAGGTAATTTTATTTTTTGGTATTTAATTTGATTTCTTGAATAAAAAAAAAAAACAGAGGAAGTGAAGAAACTTACCTAACCTTTGTGAGAAACTAATGGAGAGAGACTGCGAGTAAAGTTGGTCACATAGTTAATGATAAAAAAAAAACATGGAATATTCCGAGTTTCTAAAATTATTTTCAACCGAATGAAAATAAAAAATAAATAAAATTAATACTAGGGACGAATGCAGCCACTGTTTTAGGTAGAAAGTTGAGAAGATAGAACACATAAAGTACTTTAATTTATATCTGTACACAACGATAACCCATTGCTAACGAAAAACGATTTGGAGCGAAGTTCAGTTTTCCGTTTTTTGAAAGGCCGTAATTTTGTACGACTTTCGTCAAAAATGTAATCATAATAAAAGCTTATGAAAGAAAAACGAATGCATTAAATACAAATTTGTTTTTTAGACCACTAGGCACTAAGTACAGCTTATAATGCACTCTATTATATTTCCAAGCATTTATTTTAATTCATTTACCTAATTGTAATATCAAATACCTATAAATAGCATAAAAATAGCTATAATGTTTTAAAAATTTAACCTAACCTATTTTTTACCATTTCGGTATAAATTAATTGAGTACATTTATTTAAATATTCTAAACTATTTTTATTAGATGTCTAAAACAAAGGTATTTCTAAAAACTTGACATTATCATAAAACACGACTTTTTGAAATATGTACCTAAATCATAAAATAATAATTCTTTATTAATAAAGATTAAAAATAATATTATTCATAATGATTAATAATTAATTAATAACTAATGAATAATAATTTAATGGGGTAAAACGAAATAATGTGATTACCGGTTTTCGTGGCTACACCGTTGGGTGTTTGCGATTCCTCTGCATCACTTCCAACTGGACTTAAAAGTGACATCATAGTGACCACTTCTACATTTTGATTTTTTTTACCAAATTTCTGACCGTTAGGAAGACGATTATCTGCATCAATACTTTTATGAAAAGCTTTACTTCTACATGACTTCAACTTCCTAGTCGGGAACCTATGGATTTCTTGTGATTTTCTTCGTGAATTTGCAGAATAATATCCTTGTGTAGAATTTTGCATACTTTGTTGTCTGGTTGCAGGTGCTGACATTACTCTGGTCAGGGTTTGTCTTTCGTTTTGTTGTTTCACAGTTTTGTAGAACCTTACTCTTCTCGCGGCGGCCGAAAGAGGTTTTTCCTCATCGCTAGAGTCATTTGGTGAATTTTCACCTTCGTGCACTCCGTGATTTTGGAGCTGAACTTCCAACGCAGTACGACGGCTACAATCACTTTCATAGTCTTGTATCGAAGGTTCTTGCACTTGATCTAAAGATTCCATTAAAGGTTTCTCTATAACGTTCCTAGCCAAATATATATTTATACATGATTTTGATTGTTCTCGATCGATCCACGCTTGTCTTATTCGTTGGGCAAACTGTTCTTTGGATTCTTGCGGAAATTCTTGCTTTAAACACACTTTAGTCGGGTTTGCTGTAAGCCGGGATTTTTTTTCATTTTTTAAAAGCTTGTTTATAGACCGAGAAATAACTTCTGTGTTGCAGTTATTGCTGTCGTCCGTTTCAGTTTTATTAAAACCAGAATCTTTTTGTACCCAGCCTTTTTTTGCCATCGATTTTTTATCACCTTTATCATCTTGACCGTTTTCTGCTGCAATATCAAAATTTAAATCATACAAACCCCTAGTCTGCTGTATTTGGTTATCCGTAACGTATTTGTGTAGTACGTCTTTAGACATGCCAATAAATTCAGGCATTTACCTAAAATTTGTAATATTTTATATTAAAATTTAGTAAATTTAATTTATCTAAAGTTCAACAATACTATTATATTAATAGTTTACCTAAATAATGTGTAAATAATAAATATGAACTTTTAAAAAAATGGTTTTATTTCATACGCCTGGCTAATAGTAAATAATACACTTAATTATATACACTAATAGACACTAACAAATAATTAAGAAATAAAATCGTTGAATACTATAAAGTACAGCATAATATGTAAGGTTAGGTAATATAATTATTAATTTAGATACATATATGTAGGTACATATAGGTATGCTGTATTAGATAAATATACATAAATAGAACCTATAATAATAATTATATATTTGATTAAGATACTGTGGAAAATATTAAATATAGTTAATGTTTATATATAAGTATATAATATATTTAATGTGAATTAATACAAGTACACTCACATATTTCAAGAAAGATATGCTTCAATTGTGAACATTCGACTCCGGCAGTGACACAAACACTTCTAAGCACATTTGATTTGTCTTTTACATGAACGTCTCATAATTTATTGATCTCGAGAAAATATTGTTTTTACCGTATTTTCCTGCGTTTTGCCGGTATAATGGCTTTGTTTATAATACGTCACCAAGACGACAACCATCGACCAACTATTTAGTCCCTAAAATGTTTGCGCGCACACTTTTTTTTATTCTTCTTAACACACTTTGAAGTGTCGTTATAATTAATTGTTTTCAGAATGGGTATACTCGTAGGTACATCATTCATTCAAGTTATACATTATACAATTTCGTGGATGTCTAAAGTCGATGAATTTTTAACACTAATCAAATAAGTTATTTAAAAATATTCAAGTTTTATTTTAAATATTTTATGGAAAAATACTTTAGCTTCACGATTATTAATAATCAACAGACTAGATCGTGTATGCACTCATTATATATGTATATAATGTGTACAATGTAATTTTTTTTATAATGAATCAGTCATTTTCTCGGAGGATTTTAAGTAAATTTGAATTGTGTGTTTTTTTTTTTTTTAATCATTATGGAATCGGTTTAGCTTTTTTTTAAAGCTATTTTGAATTTTTTATCCCTACTGCATATACCTTAAATAAGTATATACTTTTGTTTTTTAAAAGAAACTCCGTTTTTGAACATAGATTTGAACACACTAATAGAAAATACATTTTTCCAGAAATGTTGACATGCATAATACTAGATTTACCGTTTATGAGTTAGGTATAATCGTTTAAACTTTAGACTGGAGGAGTAGGGAAGGGTAATTAATTGCATGATTGCACTCAAACCTACTCCTCCAGCCTAAACTCTTAACAGTTATAACTAACAAAGGTAAATCTCATATTAGTGTAATGCATATCACAATTTCTAGGAAAATATTCTCTGTTCAAATCTGTGTTCAGAAAGAGAGGTTCGTATTTGAAAAACAAAAGTATATACTTATTTAAAGTATATGCAGTAGGGATAAAACAATTTAAATGGTATTTAAAAAAAGTTTAACCGAGATTCCTTAATGATTAAAAAAAAAAAACAGAAATCAAATTCACTAATGGAAACCAACACTGAACGACATTTCTTCCGTTAGAAACCTAACCGTTAGGATCGTTTGGACCAGGGAGTCAAGAACCCCATCCTCGATGCGTTCTCGGACTCGAGTCCTCTCAGTGGCCAGTAGGTTAGTCAGTATTGTCCCTGAGAGGTCTAGTGATGCATCGGTCGAGACCGTTCGATAAGCACAAATTCTTGGCGGTTATAACACCCAATGTAGCCCAGGTAGGAAAAGTGTACAGAAGCTTGCTGATAACCACATTTCCCAAGAGTATCCTTTTGGACTGAATCAGACCACCAACATTAGTCATCAGCCTAGCAATGGGTCTTGCCGCTTGGGTCGCCTTACGTGATGCTGTTCGGATATATTCGGTGAATGACAGCTTGTCAAGCTGCACTCCAAGGTATCAAATGAAACGCGAAATAGGGATTGCGTGCCCCTCAATGAATAGGATTAAGTTGATGTACACTCTTTTGGTGATTAGGACTACCGCCTCAGTCTTGCACGGTGCAAGTTGGTGGTCATTTTTGTTCATCCGAACAGAAACTGCGCCGAGTACTGATTGAATCTGCTAACTGTTCCCCAGTTGCTTACGACCAGGCCTACGACCGCAACGTCATCAACGAAAGTCACAAGCTGAACCCCTGGAGGCGTGCAGAGGTCGAGGAGATCTTCATAAAAAATGTTCCACAAGGCTGACCCGAGAACCGAGCCTTGGGGAACGCCGCATTTCACTACGCGGCTCCTCTGAGACTCTCCGACCAGAAAACTCCTGTTCTGTAAATAGGATCGTAAATGTAAATAGGAACATCATGTTTATTCACTAAATTCAAATATTAGTCATCCATAATGGAAAAGAACTAATAATTGGGGGAAAGGGGCCGGGTATACCACTGTTATAGATAGAAAGTTTAAAAAGTAAGATACATAAAGTTATTTGATTTATATCTATAAGTAACGATAGACTACTGCTAACAAAAAAAGATTCGAAGCGAAGTTCGGTTATCCATGTTTTGAAAGGTCATAATATATTCTGAACTTTTTCGTTCGATATTCATCAGGCTGCTCAGGCAATTTACTTTTATCTACATTACCAACACTATCAACTTTTACACTCTCTATATTAGAACTTGTAAAAAGCACAAACTTTTAAAACAATTTAATATATTTGAATTAGTAAAATTATTTCGTTTCATTTTGATCAAAATATATACTTTGTTTAGGGACAGTCAAATAGGGAAAGGATGAAGAAGATGTATCCCTTCCATTAATTTATTTTCCTTAAATATTTATAACATTGTACAGAGTGATTTTTTAAGCACATTCAGTACTCACCTCGTTTTTATGGTTAAATTTTGCATAAATTCAAGTTTTGATATTAGGAAATTTTAAGCGTAATGAAAAACCATATATTTACACTTAGATTTTCACATCATTTAAGGAGCTTTCCGTCAACGCACGTTTTAGTGGGGGTTGGTAGCCACCACGGCACCAAACAGGTTTTGGCGACGCATGTCGGAGTAGAGATCGACAGCCACCGCGCTAACGTTCGTATTGTCTCGGTTTCTCTTTGATATTTTCTCATGCGCGGAAACGGCTATAGTTAAATATTGCAAAATATCGAAGCAAATCATTAACAGTTATCACTTACTAGATTTTTCAAAAATTAATTTTTGAACTTTTCATTAGTATTGTGGAATTAGTCGAATTGTTAATAATACTAGTGAAAGTAGAATAGGAAAGTAAATGCATAGAGTCCGTCGAAGTGAATATTAAATTCTGAATTTGTAGGGAGAAAGATGTCCAATTAGCTTTATTGAAGTTGAAGAATGTAGGATTGATTGTTACAGCATCAGGATTGATCCTAGTTGGTGTGGGGCAGGTGACTTGTTTAGTGTTGACTTTTAGGATAATAGGGATATGATTACTACCATTAGGCTCGCAGATAGTCCACCATGATAAGTACCATATGATATCAGAGGAACAATGAAAAAGCCGTCTTAGGATAATAGGAACGGGTGCAGTCACTGTTAGATAATTTAATGTATAAAAAACACATTTACATTTTACACATTTAATGTGTAAAAGGAAAAAAATAAAGTAAAGGGGAGAAGGTTATATGGTGTGGAGGATAAAAGATGAACAGCCAAATATAATAGACACCTATATATTAGTTTATGGTGTGAAATGATATTGTTATTGCGTAGTATGAATAATACGGATCCACAGTGGTTTGTCCGTCGATGAATATGTATGTGTATCGTTTTGTGTCTGTGTATGTGTGATTATTATACGGTCATCGTCGCGACTACATATACATACTAATATAAAGACGTATTAAATTTAATATTTGCAACTACTTAATCTTTTCACTTAATGTTCTACTACGATAATATGGTTATAATATAACGATAATATAATGATTATAAATAATCATTTACCTCAGTATACTGCTTGAAGTTCACAAAAAATTTGTTGCTCAAAGTGTAATAAGCAGATATAAGGATGCATAAATTTCGATGAATTGTTACAATAAACACATGTAGGTTTTCTAATTGTTTTATCACCAGGTCTAAAATGTCAATAGATATTTATATGTGACTATACTCAGCGTTGGGTCGCTAATAAGTGACGACTTGCGGGATAATCATCTGTTTACTGTAATAAATCGCTAGCCGACGTATAGCCATTATGCTAAAAAGTGCTTAACTTAACTAATATTAAACATAAATATTTATACTAAAGTCTGTGTACGGCAACTCCAGCAACGCATGTCGATTAGAACGAGACATTTTTATCATGTTTAATATACGAATATTGGAAATTGGAATACACGTTTTTACAGTGCACAGACTACACGGAGCGGTGATACCACAATAACATATTGGGACTTGGGATGGGCACTTTTCCGGGAATAAAAAATTATGGACTTTTCCGGGATAGTTCCTCAAATGGGAAAATATATTTCATAAACATTATTTAACTTCCTCACAACACATGACACGACTATATGTCCATTTTGTGTGGAGTCATCGACAGTGGACTGTATAAAGGAAAGTTGCTCATGGTAAGCACGAAATCAACATGCGCAAGCCTTGTTCTCCTACGTAGGAAACATGAGCAACGCCATTTAACCACCAAGTGGCCGTGCACGAATAAATAAAAATATATACTTTTTTTTGAATCGTTAAATACCGGTTTTAACTAGAACCCTACATTAAAACTTATTATGTTCAAACATTAACAATCATGACTTGTGAGTTTTAGATTCTGAGCGTAGAGAAGAATGTATTGGTTTTACTAAGATGTTTATTTTTTATTATATTTTTTACTGAATACAAAATTCGACAATAAATCTTGCTCAGATATATACGGGCGTCACCATTTCTGAAAGGGAGTGTTGTCCAGATGGTACTTTTGGGAGGGTTTTTGTGATTTTGTGATTTTTGTGAAGAAGTTTTCATAATATATGGGAAAAATCAAGGTAAAACATAAGAAATACGGGAAATTTACAAAAATAATGCTTTTATTATTTTTTAATTTTGTTATTTGTTTTAATTCAGGTAAAAATATTCGTAGAGACTTAAAATTTGGACAGAAACTTATATTTGTCTTTTCTTGACGTGATTGTTTTCATTATTCATATTTGTGTTAAGTAGATAAATTAAATTATCATATATAGTTCATTCAATTTGTATTTTTTTAGAGTTAATACAAATTAAAATAAATATCACCTTTGTATATATTATTACCTTTGATATAAAAGTAAATATTAAAATTACTTCTAGGATATGAGGACGGGTGCAGCCACTGTTATTGGTAATTTAATGTATACCTGTAAGCAACGATAAACCATTGTTAACGAAAAAGCAATTCTGAACAGAGTTCAGTTGATAGTGATGTTTTGTCAACAATATTATAATATTTTATACTATAGTAAAATAATTAAATAGGCTTTATATATTGTCTTCAATAATATTTGTTTAATATTGTACCGATTTTCCCGGTTTACCTACGTTTTTTTTGATTTTCCCAATGTTTTTCTCAGTTGTTCACATTTGCTGAGAAAACTCTTGGGAAAATCGAAAAATTACCTTCCTAAAGTACCTTCCAAGTCAAATTTCTTTATAGAAAAGTTTGCTAAAATTATAATAATTGTTGCTGGGAAAAAAATTGTTCACAGGAAAAAAGGTCATAATATATTTTAACTAATTCCTACATTTCTTATATTTTCCGTTTTTTTTCGGTGTTTTAAATTTGATAAGAAACCTCATGAGAAAATCGAAAAATGACCACCCTAAAGTACCTCCCCAGTCGAATTTCCTTTTAGAAAAACTACACTATATAAGTGTTAATAATACAACAATTATCGTAAATGGAAAAAACGGATAGTGCATGGAATTTACGTGACTATATTATGATGCATTATAATCAGTTATATTATGAGAACAAGCAGTTTATTTTCAAACTTTTCTGATTATTATCACAATATATTATATTAGCCTATACTTACTTATATTATATTATTGTTACATTTGAAGTGTAGTAACAACTCTTGATGTTTGACACAGTTATCGTACAACACTCAGTATAGGTACCTACATTTCTTCAAACCCAAACTAGTCTTAACGACTAGTGCTCGTTTATTTGGGAAAAATCCAATTGTTTGTTGGTGTGTTCACTGTCGATTATTTATAAATTATAATGTACCTATTTACTCCGTATATCTATGGTAGAAAAAAAAAGCTAGGGACCCAGGCAAGCGATCGCTGCCTAGACCAAACCGACACTGATTTGAATAATTAATACATAACACATAATATTATCTTTGCTTTTATGGACTTTATGAGGTGTCACTCTATAATCATCAGGTAACTGTGTCGTTTATTCCCAAAGAACACGAATTAAGATATACTAAGGTAGAAATATATTAAGATATATTAATTCGTGACATACAGGATACAGAACAACCGAACGAACGTGTGTTAAGCTCAAACCTTCTCACTTTTGGCAAGGCTACTAACACCATCTAGTGTACTCTTTACAAACTATGTCAATATTTAATATAAAATAGTTCAAGGCCGTGATAGAATAGATATATAATTTATTATTCACCCTACTCCAGTAAAAACTTTAAACTGGTTTTAGTTGATTTTTACACTAATTTTGTCTTAAAACGCTGGCTGTCTAGCCAAACAGTAAATTCGAGGGGATTCAGAAAAACATTGATAAGACCTCTCCGTTCGGTATCCTGTATATCCTAAATTTATCAGCTTATAATAATACGTGATAACGTTGAAAATAAAACCAAATTACCTATAATATAAATATAGTGTATTATAATCTAAGCATAGACAAATTAATAAAGTGTCTGTTTATTCCAGATAGCGGATACTGATAAGAACCGTTTATATTATGATAGCCTGTCTGGTATATGGATATAATAATCATGATGAAATAAATTTACTTAACCATGATAATAATTATATTATTATCTATCTCTGCCTACTACAGAGTACTCAATACAGACCTTAGATCATATACTAAAGATAGACTTAATATTTGAAGCAAACATAATTAAGGGGAGTTGGGACAAATGCCCTTGCTCAAAATGTATATCACGCGCAATTGGTCGAATCACGTAATCACGTGTGACGTACCAACTATCTTTGCTGGTAGTATTATGATTAAACGATAAATATGCGACGAGTACTGATACGCAAGCGCAATAGACAACAGTTTCCTTAGCACTCGTTAATAATGATGTCAACTCGTAGTATGCGTTTATCATGCAGTAGCTCTATGCATAGTATACGATCTAAGGTACAGACCGTAAACAACTTATTGTATTCGTGGTTATTTAACTATTATATAATACTGTACTTTTTTTGATTAATATACTTAACGTGTTTAGGCCAATAATATGGAGTTTAAAACTAGAGTAAAGAACCAAAGCGACATGGAAGTATGGGAAATGTCAGAAGCGTATAACGTAAGATTGAATTAATACTAAATTAACTTTAAACAATAAAAGTTAATAAAAAAAAAAATTATCCTTTTAGTTGTTAAAAGTTCATTTATTATCATTCATTATTGTATAAATTATTAGCAGTAATATATTGAGGGTATATAGTGTAATAAAATATACATTGTACATCCAGAATACTATTTTTGGGTTTATATTTATTTATAAACATCATTAAAAAAAATATGTATATACTTCATATGGTGGGTGGGCCACTGTTGGTGAGAAATTGTTAAGTTAGGATATAGAGGAATATTGCTAAAGAAATGATACTGAACAGAGTTCAGTTATTCATGTTTTAAAAACGTCGTAATATGTACATTTTTATGAAAATTTGATATTAAGATTCTTATAAAAAAAAAATACTTTATTAAACTCAATTTTTACTTGTTAATCTCCAAGAACAACCTATAATGAACCTTCTGTTAATTTTCAAACATTTCTGTTTGGTCTAATAAATGTATACACAGAGTACCTATCACGTAAAAACTATAAAAATTCAAATTTCCAAAAATACTTTAAATATCTTGAAAATTGTACATTGCGAAAAGGCAAATATAGGTTTACTGTGCAAATTTCAAGTCTCCATGAATATTTTTAATTTAATTACAACCAAAAAGAAAATTAAAAATAATAAAAGCATTAATTTTCTCAGTTTTTCCGCAATTATGAAAACTACTTGGAAAATAAAAAAATGACACCCTAAAGTACCAATAAGATAAAAATCCCTTTTGAAAAGGTGCTACAATTAAAAAAAAAGTTAAACATTTTGAAAACAATTATTAATTTTATTGTATTTTCTATCTCGAAAGAGAAAAGTCCTCAATTATAAGAATATTAATTTTTTTTATAAATAAAACACATTATATGTTAATATTATAATAATTAAAAAAAGAAAAAAAATAGGTTTCAGAAAATATTAATACCAACATATTCCATATACAACATATAATACGAGTTAAAAGCTAATTTAAAATTTAGGTTTTCAAATCGAATATCCCGCTGAACATTATGCTGTTTTATCTACGTTGTGGTTCTATTTACTATTATTTAAAACACTATTTTTTTTTAAAATTAAAAAAATTTTAGAAACTTAGTACCTAAATTAATATTAAAATTGTTTTAAAATTATTATTTTGATGTTTTAGGATTATATTGGATTTATATCAGCTATGAACAAATCGGTGTGTGCTATACCATTGAATAAACCATTAAGTTTATCAAATGAAAGCAAACTAATATTAAATATATTAAATTCTATAGATAATTGGATTACAGAAGTGGAACCACTGAAAGAGAGCTGTAGGTTTGGGAATAAAGCTTTTTCTACATTTTATAATTTATTAAAAACGGTTAGATATTTAATTTGAAGTGTTACTTTGCTGTAATAAAAAAATAATTGTTTTAAGTTTTAATTTTAGAGATTGCCCGATATACTGTCAAAAGAACTTTCATTGGTCGATCAACAAAATGTTATTGAACTGACAACATATATTATTGATAGCTTTGGTAACCCAACTCGTATTGATTATGGTACTGGACATGAATTATCATTTTGTATGTTTTTATGTGGTCTGTTCAAAGTAAACATGTTAAAACAGAGTGATAGTAAAGCTACAGTAAACATTTTGTTTTCAAGGTTAATAAAATATATTTTTGAATTTTTAAAACATATTTGTTATGATACCAAATCTCTTTTAGATATTTAGAAATAGTCCGAAAACTTCAACTCAGATATCAAATGGAACCGGCTGGAAGTCACGGGGCTTGGAGTTTAGATGACTATCAATTTGTACCTTTTATTTGGGGCAGTGCACAGTTAATTGGTAATACTAGTTGGTACATTTATATAATACAGGAAAAATGTATTTTGATTTTGATTTTAAATCTTTGGTTTATAGAAAATCCCGACCTTAATCCCAATTTGTTTGTTGATGAAAAATGTGTGCAACTGTTCAAATCAAAATACATGTTCCTTGGTTGTATCGATTTCATAATGCAAGTTAAAAAAGGATTGTTTCATGAACATTCTAATCAACTTTGGAATATAAGTGGTGTACCAAGTTGGAATAAAATTAATGAAGGTCTTATCAAAATGTATAAAAAAGAGGTAAAATATATAAATTCATCATTAAACTTTAATTAGACTTAATTTTAATTGTTTCTTAATATTCAGGTGCTGGGAAAATTTCCAATAATTCAACATGTACCTTTTGGAAATTTATTTCAGTTTAAACAGTGTGCTAAGAAAATAATGGTTCCTACCCCCTCTACAATAATAACACCTACATCTACTTTGTTGGACAAATTAAAGAAAACTGAACTATCAGAGTCAAATATTGTAAATAAGTAAATTGTTGGCAACATATATTAACTGTGTGTATTAGTTTCTAATTTTTGTGAATATTAATTAAGAATAATTATATAAAAATTGCCTAATTTACCATGTTCATATATTGATGTTTTCCTATTTACTTTGACTTAACATTACTGACATTTACATGTAGTGTTGACAATTCATCGTCATATATTCACTTGTTGAATAAAAAGACAAAGTAGAAAATTACCGCTTGATTATAAATTCTAAAATTAAAACTTGACCCTATTTAGCTAGGTTAACAACAATGTATAATATTGAGATTGGTATTAAAATACAGAGGCAATGTGGTTATAACCCGTCCAGATTTTTTTTTTTCTCAGTTTACTAAATTACGAATTTGTAATTGCCTATTTAATTATTATTATTATATTATATTTTTAACACGGTACCAAATAGTGTTAACTAGTATAGATAATAATAACAATCATGATATAAATAAATTTAAATACACATTAAAGTTAATTTATTTTTATAACATTTTTGCTACTCATTGTTTATTATTATTTAATTGCATAAAACATATACATATAGTGTATATATTTTGTATTGATTAGCCAATCATAAGTAAAATCATTCATATTTTAATTTTCAATTTCAAAATATTTTTGGTCTTACTCCTTTGATGAATGTGTATATGTATAAAAATGAAATACAAAAAGTTTTAGGTCAATTAGATAAAGTTAACCCATGCTAACTTGAATTTGAAATTTGAACGTTATTATTTTATTGATAAAAATAATGAAAATATTTATATTATATACTTTAAATTAAATTATAACATTTATTGAAATACATTTTTTTTTATACCTTACCGTTTATGAAATATATTAACTTAACTGTAAAAAAAAAAAAAAAAAACAGTATTTTGTGTAATTAATAATGATTCTCCTTCCTCAGCTTATGACCCATTAAGGGTCAATGCTGCCTGCTACACACCTTTCCATCATTCTCTGTCCCTTACCTCTCTTACACTTGTATCGTGTCATCAATGATTCATAGATTCGTATGAGCCATATAATTTTCTTTCAAACGTAATAAGTTTCTTGTCGTGCCCTCGTAGCCTATTGTATGCCACATACCCATAAGTTAAGATGGGTCTTATATATGCTATGTACAATCTTACTTTAGATTCTCTAGAAAGTATTTTTGATTTAAATAGACTTACCAAGGAGAAATAAGTTCGATTGACGTTATTGATTTTTTGTTATATCTCCTGGTGTATGCTATTTCTACTGTTAATTAGTGTGCCCAGATATTTGAAGCTATCCATGCGTTCAAATATGTAACGACCAACTTTGCTATTATTATTGTTATTATAATTAACACCTAGAACGTTTTCCTTTCTAGATACTCTCATGTATTTAGTTTTTTCCTCACTGAAGATCAGTCCCATCTTCTCCCCAGCTTATATTAATTTTTTAGTAATCTCAATCACTTCATAGGTATCTCCAAGGACCACTATATCATCTATGAAAACGAGTATAGGGCTTTTATTTAATTCCATGATTCTACTCTCTTGTCAGAGGCTTAAATCCTTAAATCCTAAAAACTTGATTGTAATTCCAGAAATACAACTTTATATTGTACTTATTTACTTCTATTTCTTTAACTTTTTCTTTTCTGTGTAATCTTTTACATCGGCGTAGTATTTTGATAGCTGGCTTTTTAGTAATCTTGTAATTTTCAACATTTTCCATAAACAGGTCTTGTGTCATTGTGAGTCTGCCTATATTCCAACTTTCTATCGCATTCTTATATTCACTGTCAAACCATGTCTTCTTTTTTGTATGTTTTATCGGTACCAATGTCTTATCTGCCGCTTCTTGGATTATTTTTAGTTTCTTATACATCCACTTTACGTTTGATGTCTCGTTCGGTACTTTATTTTCTGTTAAAATGACTTCTAATGCTTAATAGACTAAATCTTGTCGATTTGTTTTTCTTCTTCAATCAAGGCTCCTGTGTTGTACTGTAATTTATTGCTTTTATTTACCTGTTTTCATTTTGTTAATAGTCAATCTCTGAGATTGATCATGACTAAATAATGATCCGTGTGCTTATCAGCTCCTTTGTAGCTACGTATGTTCATAAATTTGCTAATGTATTTCACTCCTATTAATAAATGATAAATTGATCAATTTGGTTTTTTGTTTTTTCATCAGGTGATATCCAGGTCTCTTTATGAATATTTTTCCTTGGAAAATATATACTTGTTCTATGTTCTTAGCACTGGCAAAATTTATAATCCTGAGCCTGTTGTCATTACTCACCCCATGCAGACTCTCTACATCACCTCCTTCCTAATGGCATTGAAGTCACCCACTATGATTTTAATTGCATAGGAAGTCAAATTATCATAAACTTGCTCTATCCTATCATAGAAAGTGCTTTAATGTCATCATCATCTTCAATAGGGGCATAACAGTTTAATATTATTTATATTTATATACAAATTTACGGGCATAGCCCTTACTTAAAAGTACAATATACATAATAATTTTAAGATTATAAGACATTAAATAAAAAACAAAAGAAGTAATAAAGGTACACAAAACAAAATTTTACATTTCATGGACAGACATAAGGAAGGAGATTAGGTTAGAGGGATTTTCATTGACACGAGATATTAACTGCCTAATAAGTTCATTGCACATGTAATTGGTAGCAGAATGTGGAATAGAAAAGGGGACGGCTGACTTAGTATTACGCTGGGGAACCTTAAAATGAAGTAAAACGATGATGAGGACAGTTTATTATTCAAAAGACCTTCATGAAGTTTATATCCAATAAACGTCTGCGATCAGCCAAAAATGCTAAATTGAGTAAATCAGACACAGGGGTATAAACATGGGGCATACATGGGATCCTCATTAAATGACAGGCAAATCACAAAAACCGTCGCCAAACCCTTTCAAGCTGCAACGAGTCACCTGCAGTATGAGGATCCCATACAATCGCACCATACTCAAGAATTGAACGTACCAGTGCACAAAGAAGTGTCTTAATAGACATACCACAACGAAGTCCATAATGACCTCATTATGAACCCAAGGGTTTTAAAACCCTTACAACAAACATAATTAATGTGGGAACTCAGGTTAAGTCTAAAGTTGAATTTAAATCCTAGGTACAGGCAACAAGCGTAACAAGTAACTCACTGATACGGTAAGAGAAAGCTATAGAAGAACGAGTCATAACCTTACAGTTAGACAAATTTAAGGACTAACTGCTAAACCAAACTGCTCAAACCATTTAGAAAATCTAGTTAAATCATTTTACAGCTTCCGTCTATAATTAACTGTAGAAACTCAGGCAAACAGTATGTCATCCGTGAAACATAGGAGATAGCAATGGCGCAATTAGTGATGAATTCCATTTATAAAGAATAATAAAAGAGAAAGGTAGCCTTCCTGAGGAACACCGAACATAGCCAGAAAAAGGTAAATTTAATTCCAGAATCTTTTACCCATTGATATCTGCCCCTAAGATAGTACATAACCTAACTAAATTTGAGCTTAGACAGAAAATTTACCCCCATCAAATGATCGTTGAAATAGAATCCATAGAGGATAAGCAATGACTGACCCTCATTTGGATAGAAAATTCCCAGAGATGCCATCAGGTCCAATAGACCAGACATTACACAAAGCAAGTAACCATTGATAGACATCTTCGTCAGAAAGACAGACATGAGACATGACTGGGTAAATCAAAGGTAGGTATGTCTTTATCACTAGTATCAAGGTTAATTTCTTTAGTGGAGTAGACGGAAGAATTTTAAGTTGAGAATAAAAACGTCGTTAATTGTTTGTTCATAGAGAAAATATTGTCAAGATGCATTTTAATAGGAATAATATTTGAAAAATTATTATGTTTAACATACCGCCAAAATTCATAGGGGTAAGTGACAATTCTAAGCGTTCCATATTAAGTCGACATGATCTTTTAGATTCAAATTTAAATTTAGCTCATAGAATTGAAAAGCCTTGTAATCAGAAATAAGTAAGGAAGATTTGAACCTACAGTGGGCTATTTTTTTTAAGTATGACAAGTGTTTTAAATATTTTGTGAACCAATGTGAGTAAGTTGATTTTCGAAAGCTACATTTTGGCACAAACTCCATCACTGACATGTGTTAAGCAACAAAAAAGATATTAAATGCTGTCTTGGTGTCGCGTATATTATTATTATGACATTGAATAACATACCCTGAATGTGTTAATAGCAAATGCGAGGGTTAATTGCTACAAAATTTGTATGTTACAACATTTTCGTATATATTGTCATGAACTACAAAGCTGACACCTCTTTCATGTCTATCGTTATTAGTGCCACTTAACAGAATAGCTTTATCTCCTTTTTGTACATTGCTATTCCCTTGTCATCTTATCTCTTGTAAGGAAATAATATTCATGTTATACACTCTAGTAGTATTTAGCACAAATTACAGTGTTTCAGTTTTATAACATTCCATGTTCCAATCATGAGCAAATTTTCTAGTTACGTTGTTCTGTATAGTAAATAATAAAGAATAGTTAATAATAATTAATAAACAATATGATATTCTTGAAATTGTAATTTAATTAATTCACTGTGCTCCACTGACGTACAAATAGTGGCATATCGGGTAATGAGTCAAGGGCCCATGACATTTAGGAGACCTAAGACATTATTTTCTAGTATATATATACAGGTGAATTAAAAACAGGTGATGACTATTGTTTTAATCATCAAGTAATGTGAGTATTAAGTTTAATGACCAACTTGAGGGATGATTTTTAATGTAATCATTTTTTCTTTTTGAATCATTCAACTTTTGTTGAACGTAACTGCTTTCTTTTATTGTTCCATTTGTCATAACTTCCGAAATATCAAAGACACTCGGACATATGTTGGTTTATTAAAAATTGTAAATAAACAACAGTTTTTATGAATTTTAACTCATCAAAATGAGTAATAACAAAAAACAAATTGTATTTGTTTTTATCAATATACTCGCTTTTATTATTTTGAGATTTTTTTCAAATTATACTATTAAAAAAGAAATATATTTTTATAAATATTATGGAAAATTAAATTTACTTTAAAACATATAAACAAAATTTTAAGTTCAAGTCAGTACGAGTTAACTTAATCTAATTGATCTAAAAAATTGTGTAGTTCATTTGTATACATAAACACACTCATTATTTTAGTGAGATTAAAAATATTTTGAAATTTGTTTTGATCATCATAGTTGAAGAAAACCCTAATGCAGTAATTCTCAACTGGAGTGTCATGACACTTTAGTGTGCTGCATATTACTGTGATATTTCGCCAAGAGTTATTTGTTTGTACGTAAATAAGCATATCCTCAATCATAATCACCGTGTTATGAGCATTGTGTGTGTCATTTTAGTTTCATTACTTGTTTTAAGTGTCGTTATTTTTATGGATCTAAATTAGGATGTAATCATACAAAAATGGTTGAGAAACCCTATCCTAATGCATATCTCGTATATAATGTTGGAGCTAATGGTGTGTTTTTAATTTAACAGTCATTATAGTTTAGAAGGAAAATTATGAAAACAAATTTCATTTAGTTAAATATAATAAAAAGCAAGTTTGGACAGTAGGATATAGAGTAATTTAATTTATATAGTTTATAGTTATAAACAACAATAAATCAATAAAACAATTTTAAGCAAAATTCAGTCAAACAATAAATGTTTTAAAATACATTTTTATTAATAATTTCATATAAATATGAATTTAAAATGTTTGTAAAAATAATTAAATTATGGTCAACTTTTAAGTATTATATTTTATAATGAATCTTGTATTCAATTTTCAATCATTCTTGCTTAATCAATCTGTCCATATTAAACAATGAATTATTAGAAATTCCAATTGGCTAGGAACAGCTTAAAAACAAATTTTGTAAAGAACTTAAAAACTTTTTGATTAGTTACAATTAGTTGAATTAAAAAAATAATCCATTGTCTTAACAAAACAAAATGTGCTTATAGATATGTAGATATGTAGTTGATGGTTGGAGCAAAGTAAAATCAATATGTACCTTTAATTTAATTTACATTGATTAGATATATTAATACAATATTTGTTATTTATATATAAAAAGTAAGATTAAGTAATACTCACATTAACTGTCTCAGTCTTAATAGTAAAAATGTGTTACATTAATATAGACATATTTTTGTATGACTTTAAACACAAATACTCAATTTTAATTAAGTAGTATTATAAAGTATCATTTATGAGAAAAAAATATTAGTTAACAGTACAATGTGTTAATTATACTTTTTCTAAATAATATGGATAGAATGCAAGTACAATTTGTACAGTATAATAAATAAATAAGTCAAAAATTAATTTTATTTTTTGAAAAAATGAATATAATTAATGAGAAAAAAATATTTTATTTATTGTTTTTATAGTATAAAATAATAATAAGATTAAAAAAAATGTACATACAATTACATTACTGCTTGGGATTATTTTTTAATACGGAATTTTGTAGTTTGATGCAATGCACTAGTAGGAGTAAGTATAGAATCCAATAGATCATCCTATTCACAAAAATTTAAAAATTATTTGAATATTCAAATTTTATAAAACAAATTGTCAATACTTACAGAAGGGATATTACTATTGTCTGCCAATGGTGGTTTGTTATCAAATAATCTACGTTTACGTGTACTTATGGGTATATTATTTATGACTTCGTCCAACATCTTTTCGCACATTTCAGGAGTACCACCTGATAAAATTAAAAGTTAGTTTTATAAAAATTATACAACATTTATATTGTTAAATTACCATATTTATTATTCTTTCCTTTCCTGAAACAAATAATTTGCGTTTTAATCATACATAATAATCAATTTATAATTGTAGATTTTCATCTATTAGTCCACTAATGATATAACTTAAAATACTTACTTTGTGATTGACATAGGAGTTTTGATTCTACATTTTCTTGTGGATTTCTTTTCAGTATTCTAAAAACAAACATTTAACATTTTTTAAAGTTATATAATTTATAAAACTATATAATTTACATTTTACCTTATTTTCTTTGCCATCAGAATCTGTGATTATTGTCAAAGGCTATAAGTGTACATATATAAAATAAATTAATACTCAAAATTATTTATCAACATATTTCAATAATTAAATAACTTACTAATTGAACATTACTTATATCTGTTAATACAGCTATACTTTTAGATTCAGGTTTCTCGCATTTTTCCTTCAGGGCAGCTTGTAGTTCTTTATTATATCTTCTTTCATTATCTCTATAATTAAAATAATGAACAATTAAAATTTAAATAAAAACATATTTAAGTCAATTTCTAATTACGCCAATGTAGATTCTAATGCTGCTGCTTGTTCTTTTAATTCAGTCATTTTTAACTTGATGTCTAATACATAACAAAATCTTATAAATTAAAATGTTATATAAATTAATACACATATAAAATATTAACGAACCCGCCAATTCTGAAGATAAAACAGTGTTACTTGATGTCAACTGATTGACATATTTAGCCTAATCGAAAAAAAAAGACAGAGATAAAGAATAACGAATAGAGAAAAATAAATAAAATTGACAAAATAAATTATACCCGGATCCGATATTGTTGTTTTAAATTTTGGTACTCCTTGGCGATCTCAGATTTATCCTGCAAACATTTTTTGTGTTTCATTTTTTCTTTTTTTAAATTGTCTTCTAAACTAACAATTTCTTGTAATTTTTCTTCCATATATTCTAGGATTTTTTTTTCTGCCTGAAAGGATTTTATAAAAAAAACATTTAAAAAATCATATTTCTTATAAATAAACTATTATAAATAGTCAAACAATATACTATATCACAATTTGTTATTTAAAATAATAATTATTAATCAATCCAATCCAACACTTAATGTTTCAAATTTGGTTTAATAAATATAGACAAATATTTACATAATCCTTTAATTCTTTTATACAATTTATGAATACTGTTAAAAAAATTATCTTACACACTCAGCTATTTGTAGTTCTTGTTGATTTTCCATTTCGGTAATAAGATTTTCTTTTGCTTCCAATGATCCTGTTAATCTTTCAATTTCCATATCCTAAAAAAATAAATTATTAGATTGTTAATATCTTTCTTTTTATAACAGAGTAATTATGCTAACAATCACCATATTTAACACTAAGGTGTTAATAAAATAGTTAAAATATTAACCTTGAGTTGAGGAAAATATTTTTCTATTAGAAATATTACTCAAATAGAAAAAAACAAGAAACTATTTTTTAGATTCTGAGCGAAGCGAGGATAGTATTAGTAGTTTTACAATGTTTATTTTTTTTTTCACACTGTGTACAAAAATTCTATCAAAAACAAAACCTTGGTGCGATTTTCAAGTGTAGCACATTCTCAGGAAGAGCATTTTTAAAAAAGTTACCAATAATAATTGGGAAAATTAACGAAAAAAAAATGTTTTTATTATTTTCAATTTTGTTTTGGATTCTAAATGGAGCGAAGAAGCTTATAGTTTTACAAAGATATATTTTTTTTCCAAAGATAACTTTTCTACCAGTAATTTTTTTCAGATTTACAATGATAGCACTTTTTTTTTTTAAAGGAATTCTGACTGGGGATGTAACTGTAGAGCGGTAATTTTTCAATTAATCTATTGAGAAACTTTTCTACCAATAATTTTGCTCCAATTTACAATGAAAGTACTCTTTCTGAACAGAAATCTTACTGGGAAATTACTTAAAAGAGGTTATTTTTCGATTTTTCCGGCAAATGTTAAAAACCAGGAAAAAACATAGAAAAGTCGGATCAATATTAAATAATACATATAATGTCTATTTAATTATTTTATCATAATTTGACATATTGTAATATTAAGAGATACAGAAAGTGATGTGCTTAAGGCCACAGAGAAATTAATCAAGTCCAATCATAAAATGAAACTTAATGAGGAAAAAACTAAATACTTATAACTGGACATTCAAGACTAAAAGTGGGCCCTCAAGTATCTTGAAGTGAACATAAATTCAAAAAAAGAAAGATGAGATAATGTGGACGGATGCAGCCACTGATGTAGATGGGAAGTTAAGATAGGCAGGAATTTTATGTACAACTAAGCAACAATAAACCATTGCTAACGTAAAAACAATTTTAACCGGAATTTAACCAATAGTGATGCTTTGTTAACAATATATATGCCATATTATAGTAAAATAATTAAATAGGCTATATATATTTTCTTTAATAATATTTGTTTAATGTTGTACCAATTTCTCTGGTTTTCCTACATTTTTTTTTCCAATTATTCAAATTTGCCAAGAAAAATCTTCCTTAAAGTACCACCTTAGTGAAATTTCCTTTTATTAAAATTGTTATCATTAAAAGTTAGAGCCAAAATTGTTGGTAAAAAAATTGACTATAGAAAATAAAAATAAAAATTTTTGTAAAACCATAAGCTTCTTTGCTCCACTCAGAATCTAAAATAATATGTATGATATCCAATTAAGAAAAAAATAGTGCAAATAAAGCATATTTTGCCATGAATAAGATGCTAAGTTCTAAACTACAGCCCAAAGGTATAAAAGAGAAACTGTATACTTAGTTTCTATGTCCAATAGAAACATAGTACACTTGTGAGACATAGTCAACATAAGGAAAGAAAGAAAAAACACTCACCTTCGAAAGGAAAATTCTACTTTAAAATCTACGAATCTGTTAACTTTCAAAATACTGAATATGAGATAAGAAAAGATAAAATCTGTTAATGTTATTTAACAAGCCGAATATTAGATTATTCCTAAAGGCAAAAACGGTTGAAGTGGGCTGGCCATGTTTGGTGAGCCGTCAAAAATATTACAAGAATGCCTTAATCAAAAACCCAACAAAAAAGTGACCAATAAAAAGACTTCGTCAAAGATGGTTAGGCAGGATAAATATATTAAATAATAAATATATTCTAGATACTGACAACTCAAAGATGACGCAAAGAACCGAAATGGATGGAAAAACTTGGTGGAAGCACACAAAAAATCTAAATGGCCTGTAAAGCATTTAGAAAAAAAAAAATACAACACTTATATTGCTCACAGAGTATTTACTATAAGTCAAACTTCATTCAGCATCGTTTTTTCATTAGCAATAATTTAATGATGGTTAAAAATATACATTAAATTCTATTTTGTATTCTAGCTTCCCAACTACAATAGTTCACCAATCCCCATTATCCTAAGACACCTTTTTTTTTTGTTGAAATTCAGTTAAAAGTATTTGTTAACTTGAAAATTGGACAGAAAATATATTGTTTGCCTTGGGTGGTAAAATGTTTAAAACATTTGAGCAATTTTTAACCTATTCATAGACATTTTTTATTTATGAGCTTTTTACATAATATATATTTGATAGATACTTTTGAATAAAATTGTTAGACCAAATTTAAATATTTAAGTATTTAACTAGAAGTTCATTTAAAGTTATACTTAGTGGCGAACAATATAAAAGTAGAGTTTATGTAGTATTTTTTTTTTTTTTTAAATAAGAAACAACTTAGGAAATTATAGATAAAAATTTGTGTTAATTAATAAAAATAAGGGATTAATATTAGTGTTGTAAATCAAATACAAATTATTGTGGAACTAAATGTTTCACAATATACTTATAGTTGTTTTTTTTTCTAGTTTTTATTTGGTAGGCACTATATAGATGAATATATTAGATTTCTTAATGTATATCAAATGTATAACCAAACTTTCGCTCAGAATTGTATATTATTTGCAGTAGTTTGTTTTTACAGATAAAAATTAAATAACTTTTTGTATTACACTGTCACACTTAAAACAAATACATTCGCCTCAGTGTAAGGTTTTTTTTTATTTTTAATAATATTATCTAAATTGGAATTAAAATGACTGGACTTTAATATTTAGTTAGTCAAAAATTAATTTCATATCTAAAGAGGAAAGTAAATTATATAAAATAATATTCTATTAGTTTCAAGCTAATCAATTCATATTTCAAACAAAATTATTTAAAATAAATTACCCTTTCTTCTAATAGTTGACACGCTTCATCAAATTTATTATACATTTTATTTAAATTATCATCCATGTTTTCATATTCTAAATTAGCCTCGGTTAACATAATCTTGTAATTCTAAAGTAAATAAAAACAGGAATTAATTAACTTATATTTAAATTTAATCTAATTATTATTACTTCAATTTCTTGATTTTTGTCATCAAGATCTTGTTGCTGCTCAGCCTGAACATTTTTTAAGTTCTAAAAAGAAATCAAAATTAATTTAATTTATATTATTACATTTTTTCTACTATTTGAGGTTTACTTAGCTCTATATTTCAACTAGACTGTTTTTTAGATTATTAAACAATACTCATCCCAGCAGCTCTAGAGCTTCTTTCTCTCAGATATTCCTCATTTAACAAACTTTCAATCACTTCTTCACATTCAGACAACAAATTATTAATACAATTATCCTTTTCTATGCACTACATCTTCTTACTTTTTCTTTTTCTTTAAATAATTTCCTTTTCATTTACTTTAATTAATTTACTCCAATAAATTATCAGCTCTTATATAATTTAGGTGTTGAAAATTTTTTTAATTAATTTAGGTATATACATAATTTAAAAAAAATTGTTATTACTTTTATCTCTAGATTTTTAATGTCAATTTCTTCTTGATGCGCTGTTTTTAAAGTCTAAAAAATTAAATTAAATTAAAATTATATTATTTATGTAAGGGAAATTTTATTGCTTTACATCAATTTCAGCGACAAGTTCTTCCTTTTGAAGTTGAAATTCACCAATCCGAAATTCATAATTCTCAATTTCACTCTTATTATTTACATAGTTAGTTGTGTAGTTGTGTTGTTTCGAATTTAAAAGACTCTGCAAATATATAAATCATTTATGATATTTATATATATCCATTAAGAATAGAGGAACATACAGTTAATTTTTCATCTTTCTCTTGAATTTTTTCCAAGTAATATGATTTTAATCGTTCAATTTTAGATTCATACATTTCTGTTTTATTTTTAAGTGCAGTTTCTTTTTGCTTACTAAAAATAAAAAAATAATTCAATAAGATAAAAAAACATTTTTAATTAATGTAGGAATATTATAAAAAAATTAATTACTTATAGAATGTATTATTATCAGTCAACATTTTATTAAATTGTGAAAGCAATTCTTGTTTGAGTTTCTTTTTTTCTTCGAGTACCTTTGTTTCTAAATCTTTATTATCAATCTATACAGAAAAACAATTGTGTAAAAAAATAACTGATAAATATATACATAAAAATGAAAAGTCATGAAAAATTACTTTTTTTTCTGAATTTGAGCAGTCACAATCTGTATTTTCAAAAATTGTATCTATAAGATATATGTTATGTATATTAATATATTTGCAATATCATATACAGGTATAATAGAACCAACATAACGTAAGAAATTCATGGTATGTGTTAACTTGTTTTGGAATTTTTTTTTATTAAATATGTAAAAATAAGTAGATGTATATAATGTTACATTAACTTATTTTTTATAGAGGGTGACACCACTACATACTTTTGATTTACAAATGGCAACCTGTACTAAAAAATTGCATTAATTAGTTAAAGTACTAGATTAAAATGATTTTCATGTTGAAATTTTTAATTGACCAGTTGACAAAATGTTTTAATTATAAAATTTGGATGGGGGAGAATAGTGGTGCACCAATTTGTGTAGTGATACAATAGCATTATAATAATGTTCCACCAATCTGCCCGCCCTAAACTTAAAAGTGCAGTATCTTATTGAAGAGGTCGACAGAAATTAAACATTTCAACATCAAAATTTAATCTAATACTTTTTCTATTTATAAAATATTTAGGATAAATAGCTATTTGAAAATTAAAAATTAGGTAGAGGTTTCACCCCTTATTTATAAAGGACGACAAAAATTACAAAAAGTAACTGCAATGTAACATTTTGGAACTATTTTCTTAAAAATGATTTAAAAAAAATTCTTATAAAAGTTAATACTTTTCAAGACATGAGTGCCTCACATTATGTTGATCACTCTGTATATATGAATATATAATAAAATATACTAGCGACATGACAAATTTCAAAGGATGAGGATAAAATTTGTTATATCAAAAGTTCTTTACATAGATTTAAAATTTTTTTTAAATTTCTGACAAAACAAAGTTAAACGATACATAGAGGGTACAATAATGTTGTAGTCATTATATATTTATCAACATTAATTTTATCTTATGGCATGATAAACAAGCACTGTAATATTAAGTTATTTTTATTTTATATTTTTAGCAATCATATTTGCAGATGTGTATAGCTTATATGCATATGTATTAATACAAATTTGCAACATCAAACTCCAAAATTGTATAAATTCATTACATTTAGAGGCAAAAAAAATTTCGTTATATATCTCCAGTGAACTATATATAATTTTTAAATACTTTGTTTAAATTTGGCTTGTGTAGAGTTTTTTCCGTTGTTAGCTGCCCATACAACAAAACTGGGCCTTGGTTTTGAATTGTTTTTTGGTTTTGACTTAGCGATAGAACGCACAATAGCGGACATAAATAATACTTGTTTTGTCTCTTCAAATAGGCTAGGAGACATATCAACATTAACAGACATTGATATACCAGTTCGATTAATGCCTGTTAAAGCAGTTTGGAACATTTGGGTTAATTTAGATTCTCTAAATGGAACTAAATGATTTTCTCCGCGTTTTTGATTGTCACTTTAAGTAATGTATAAAAATGATAAATTAATAGATAAATTCAAAAATATTAAAATTTAAATAAATACATACCGTAGTACAGAAAAGCATTTATTTAGTACTAACAGTGATGTGTTTATTTTTTTAGATTCAGCAAGTCGATCACCAATGTTCATGGTTTTTTTAAGACGTTCAGAACCAGCCAAGTCACAAAAAGTAATACTAAAAATTAAGAATATTGTAAATTTCAAAAATTAAAAGCTTCCATTAAAATTTTTTTAAAGAAAACACTAAACCTGCTAATGACAGCAGTTGAAGGGGATTCCACATTTTCTACTCTCATTAATTTTAATGTGAAAATGCAATGTGAACGACTTGAAGATTTGTTTAAAGTATTGCTTGCAATTTTTAAGTTATTTCTACCAAAAGACATTGCTTTATATGCTTCTTCTGCAGATTTAATAAATACATGAGTAAGACCTAAAAAAAATGTTTATAAATATATATGTTATGAAAAATATAATTTTCCTAAAAATCAGTAAATGTTGTAATTGTGTAGGCATTCCCTGGTTATTGACATCAATTACTAAATTTATTGATTAATGATGATTATTGGTGTAAAATCATTTTTATTTAAATAATTTGTTTTTGTTTATAAGTAAGATATTATCATTAATATTATAAATTATTTATTTTTACAGTTATTATGACATTTTGTATTGTACAAACTTGCAGTTGCATAACAAGCACAACCTCTTTTGCACATTATGTACATGGTACCAACATTTAGCTAGGCACTTATTATTTTATTTAATAATAATTAACATTAAATTACATAATTTATACATGTCATCTGGCATGTTGATATATAAATACACAAGAGCACAAGTTTCCTCGTGTAATGAGAAATTCATACTACGATGAAGCAGTGGAAAAAATAAAAAAGGAAATAACTTCACAAAGCTGAGGGACAAGGAGTAGCTGGTCATCAAAGGTACACAAGATGTAACTATGAAAGTGGTTAAGGCACTAAAAAATGTGCTTGCCATGCAGCAGTAATGTTGTACAATTCAAAATATCACAACAGTACTAACTGTAAAAATAAATAATTTATAATAATAAGCAAAAACAAATTATGTAAATAAAAAAGTTATTATATATCCATAATCATTATTAACCAACTTAGTACATGATGCCATTTACCAGTGAAAGATATACATTTGAGTTTAAAGTTATTCTTTTACAATATTTAACTACATAGGTAATTACAATAGTCTTTTGTCATAATAAAAGAAGAGCTCAATTTTTATCAGTTATATCTAAAAAAAACCATATATAAAAAAAACATAATTTGTTTACAATTGTATAGTACCATAAAAAAAATGTATCATGAAATTTTGAATTATTAATGAACTTTGTATCAAATTTTTGAATATTTTTTGTTAGTCAACATAAAACCTCAAAATTAAAATTAATGAATAGAAATGTACACATGAATAGATCAAAAATCATTTTGGAAATTGAACCTAAAATTTGCTTACACAGGTCACACAAAAATAAATAAATAAGCAATTAGATATTTGTACCAAATATACCTAAAAACCCCTACAATTTTTTTTACATGAATCTCCAATATTTAAATAGTTATTCTGCTATTCGAGAAGGAGACAAATCAGATATTATCAAAATAGGTCCAGCTGTTTTATTTATATATACGAAAATAAATGGTCATAATTTGATAACAATAAATCAGTTATAACTAGTTTATTTTATAGAATATGATCCAAAGAAATTAAAATATATATATATATATATAAGAAGCACATACCTTTTACATAAACATTTTTATTTTGATCAAGTGTAAGTTTAAGAGGTATTCGTTTTTGGCTCGTTGAACAATTAATATCAAATAAGTCATATATTGATTCATTGTAAATTTCAGAATAAGTAGCCCAAACTGTGTAGGAGACATCACCGTGGTCCAAAGATGCTTTCTCATTATTCTTCAATAAATCAAATATTTTTCCAATATTGTTTGAATTAAGATGATCAATACCATTAATTATTTGACCTTCATCCAATTGAGATGAATACTTATCATCATCCTTAAATAAACAGATTAGTATTTCATTAATTCATAATAAAAGTTTACTAAATTACTTGATTTTTTTCATAAGACAAAGTATTTAAAATTTTATTTCGGATTTCTTCTTCATGCCCCATTAACTGTTCATCCAAAACATGTGCTGCCATAACTTTATCAGGCTTGTACTTACATTGTGTCATTAACTTGTTATTTAATGTATTAAATACAAATACCAAAGTTCTAGGAATTAAACCAGGATCATTCAAGTTTCCTAATATAAAAATAAAAATGGTAAATATTATTGTAAAATAATAAATTTAATATTAATAAATTACCATGCATTGTATAAGTCTTCCCTGCATTGGTTGTACCATATGCAAACAATAACTCACTGTTTCCATTTAAGAACCTTAATACTTTATCATACACCCATGTGTTGAAAAATTCTTTTTGGTCAACATTTGGACCAAATACACTAGAAAATGTATACCTATAAAAAGAAAAAAAATTGTTATAAGTTCGAATCTAATCGGTAACTTCCTTACTCAGTAACATCTTCACGTGTATTCCCATTATAACATGAAACTGTAGTATCATTTAAAACTGCTAATGTATCATCACACTGTATATATGACAATTGTAAAATAATTTTGAAACATGAAACATAAAGTCAATTTATATTTTACAAGTACTCATAAAATTCTAATAACTTACTCTACGTGAGCCATCATCTAATCGTGGTTTTAAACGAAGACAAACATCAATTTTTGGAATTCCTGAATTTAATTCAAAAGAATAATCCAACACTTTCTTAGGTTTTCCATTGACCCTTCTTTGTCCAAACCCAGTTATACTTGGTATTCTTGGTTCAACATAAGAACCAGTAGAATCTTTTTCTTTTAAATCCTCCATTACTTTTATATTGAAATCTAGGATTAGAATATATAAATGTAATTAAGAGTAACCATATATGATCATTAATAAACAATTAATTTATTATAGGTATGTAATACTAATCAAAAATTGAAAATAACCATACACTATAATTATAATTACAATAAGCAAATTAAAAAACTATGTGAATCTATAAATATTTTATTCGTAAATAGTTTCATTTTGTAATTTATTAAGCTGCATGGTTATTGTTGTATTAATTTATAGTGATATCTAAGTCGGATAAACTTTAAATAAATAAACGAAATAATCAACTACTTTATATTCCTAATTACACCCTAAGTTACATGTTAAATCACCCAATAAATACTTTAATGTCTTCTGTCAACAATCAATTAATTAATAATAATCTGTTTGTGATTTATTCAAATAAAGTTTCATTTTTGATTTTATTTTATTTTTCTCGTTCTCATTAAATTTATAATAACTTATATAATTTCAAAATTGTTAACCTCAACTTGTTACAACGATATTATAATTATTATAACTATTAATATATTGTAAATTGGACACTGTCTGTATGAATTTAAAATAAATAAATATCATTTATTACAAAAACATAGATAATGTTGGGTTGGCCATAGAACAAGAAAATGCAATTTTAAAATATTAATATTGATTTTTCATTTTGTAATTTTCTAAAGACTGAAATTTTAACTAAGTATTGATAACTTAAAATTTATATAGGGCTTAGTTTTTAATTTTTATCAATAACAGTAGATAAATTAAATTAAATACATATTAATAGAACAATTCTGAGATGTTAACTCCCCTCTAATTAAGAAGTTATTTTCACAGATATTCATATTTAATATTTTACATTTTTTTTTCTTGATTTCTAAATAGATAACTTACATTCCAATATTTGTCCAAAATTACCAGATGACAAGATATATTATTTTAGTAAGTACCTAATATTTCTTATATCATGAATACAAATTGTTATGAACAAAGGAGCATATTTATTCTTATTTCAAAGGAAACTTTAGATTCACCAATAAATATTAAAAACATTTCAAATTGTTCCATATTCAAAAATGTTTTAATAAATATCACTGGTATTAATAGCTAGCACTTGAAATGGAAAAATAAAATAGGGACTGTGACTTCCTCATGAAATAATTAGTAAGGTAACATTAAAAAGAAGTACTGTCCTGAAAAATACAATTCTGGTCATTCCTATAAATTATTTTTATATAGTATAATACCAGAATGTTATTGTCCTTCAATAAGAATTCATTGGAAGCTCTGTTTCCAGCAAACATTTTCTTAAAAACACTGTACCAGACAAATTTTTCAGATTGTGTTTTCAGAGTTCCAACAGCTCTTAAGTCTCCTTTCTTAAGGCGCCAGCAGCTTATACAGCTATACACAATTGATTATATTGCACAATATTATTGTGTCTGATACATATATATAGTGTATGCTGTTCAAGTATTGAATGAAGATTGTGATTCTTTGACATCAATAGTGCAATATTGGATAATATGTACATGTAGGTTTAATAATTCATCTGCTATCAGTGAACCATATTCTCAAACTAGTGGGTACTGTACAAAAATATTGAATACCTAATTTGTGTTAAAAATATTGTACAATATAATTGATTGTGTAGGAGTAACTTGATAGTAACCTTATAACAAACAATTATTTTATCAAATCGAAGACAAAATTTATCATAGATTTATTTTAAATTAATAAGCAAAGTTTATCAGAAATTTAATATCAAAAATCGGGTTTGAATCTGGCTCTCGAGGACAAAAAAATAGACCTAAATATTAAATACAATTTCTCTTTTCTGTACTCTTACCCCTTTAACGTCCTGCATTTCATTTTCCACAAAAATATATTAGATTACAATTTTGTTGGTTGCCTTTGATACTCAAAAGCTATGTTAGACTTTTTGATGATAATTTAGGTAGTTATAAAAAATATATCTTGGCTGTGAATGTTCAATTCTTAACTAGTAGAACCTCAGAATGAGGAAAATTTAAAATTGGATCGTAGATCATTTAATGGAAGGGAAATGGAATTTTTTTTTGATATTTTGACACTTTTATTTAACCAAAGATACACGTTTCATTTGAAAATTGAACATTAATGTAGTAGACTGTAATTTTGTGTAATAATTATTGTTCTAGGTATTAAAGCCATAAAATATCGTTTGAATTCCGAAAACAAATTTTTGCTATATTGTCCAATAGATTAATAAAGATGTCAAATACAAGTGCTATGTAAAACTATTAATACAAAAATAGTATTTTACATAAATTTATACAGCAATATTTCATTAAACGTGTATAATAAGTACTTACTTCTAATTCTCAGCAATATTGAATGAATAACATCGGTAAAAAAATGAAACTACTGAAACTAAAATCACAAAAACAAGCAAAGAAGAATAAAATTAAAAATAAAAATCGAAATTCGTATAGCGTATAGGTAACGGGTATGAAAAATAACGGAAATCCAAATGGCGATCGGATACCCCCCTCCAGTCTAGAGTACCCGAAACATAACAAAACCTAGTTGTCCAATAAGGTTTACTGAATTAATCTAGTGTGACCAACCGTCAAATGTCCAACAAAATAAGCTTTGTCCCCCTTATTAACCGAGGAGACAAAAAATCAAGAACCACGGCTTTAGATACTATGGTTACATTCATGAACATATATGCTGCATCTATAGCTGATATTAAGAATAGATAGGCCACTCCTATATTAATATAAGGGGCTGCGTTCCGAAATGCGAATGAGACAGACTGCTTATACCGCTCTCACACACAAGGCAGCGGGTTTTATCATTAACATATAATCACAATGATAATAACTCAATCAACGTATTTGTATTTGAATTTTGTTTATCAAAACAATTTCAAGTAGGTATTTCAATAATATTTGGTATTATTTTTATCGTATTTTTCACAAAATTTGAAAGATTTAAAATGATTTAAAGAAAAATCGTACCTAGGCTAACCTAACGAAACTTATCCATTTCAGACATGAATAAATTCAATTGAGTGCTTACTATTATTATACCAAATTTTCATAAACCAGAGTTGTGATTTAAATATATATTTTTTTTTAATAGCGTATTTTGTAGATATATAATTATATACCTATATTATTGATTATAATATAATTTTAACATTGTTAAAATATTAATACTTGATATTGATTATATACTATTATAAAACACTAATTACGTTTAACTAACTTATTTCATAGTAAATAAAAGTAAAATTAGTAAAATGAACTATTGATTATTTTTGATCAAGTTTACAATCACAATTAAAGATCATCTTATAAAGATATTATACAGGTTGAGAATTGAGCTGTTATAAAGTGAAGCTCAAACCTTCTGAAAAAGTCAACTGTTCCAACTAATCACTAACGCTTGTTCATTTCAGGTGTTCAAAATTATTATTTATTGAGAAATTAAGAGATTCGAAAAATGTCTAGATGTTAGTATTTTGTTAGCAGCAATTTTTTGGGAGCGGATAAACCCGGGATAGGTACGCTTGGCGATAGAGAGCGTTTCCGATCAATAATGGTTGTTGGAGAACGGTCGATCGAATTGTAAAAGTAAAATGAAAAAGTCTAGCGGCTCATCAAAATATTTATTAAGATATAAGAAAATGTCTAGATGCCAGTATTTTCGGAATTGCGTGGTCGGCCAGGATACAGGAGTTTATGTTACGTTATGATACTGAATACAGTTGTAAATAATTTTAAAAATGATACTATAAGAAATAAGATCCAAAATACAATTAAATAGGTCTCGTGTCATTTAGAGCAAGATTTCAAATGAGAAAAATGAAAAAAAAAGAAAAAATACCCTCATCATTTTAAAACCAGTATAATCAATTATCACCATTTCGCTCGAATTTAAACAATATTAAGAATTATTTAAGAGGGCCACACACGTTCAGTTAAAACTGTGCGATCCGACTGCACAGTTTTATCTGTACAGATAAATCGTACGTGTGTAGGTTAATGCGACGTAATTTTTAGAACTGTGCAGTTGATCGGAAATAAATTGAAAATACCAATTAATAAAACTGTGGCAATTAAACTGTGCAGATAAAAGACTATATAACAGATAAAATAATAGATTGCGCTCTTTGCGACTTTTTTCTTTCCGGGAGAATACTGTTAGTATCTTTCCGAATTTCTACAGTCTATGACTATACGGTTTATGTATATATTTTTTTCCGATTAATACGGTCCGTGAGATTACTTTCCGGGATTTTACGGTCTCCCAATAACCGTCCCGGCCGCAACGAGTTTAACGCTATCTATAATAATAATTGTAAATATGTTTCACTTACTGTCAAAACGGGCTACATAATTGCGTTGTTTCCACGAAAGTCGTAATGATACTTGTATACAGATCACTAGTCTATTAATATAAGATCAATGATAAGCACGGACCACTGACATAGAGATTTGAGACAGGTTTCTGGGCCTAACGATCATCCAACAACACCCACATTCCTTCAACTTTATTATATGCTATCAATGTACTCTTTGGTGAAACCTCCAAAAACTGGAAACTGTACAATAGAAGGTGAGAATCAATTATAAAAAATATCAACATTTAACATATAACTTTAATCATAGTAGGTACTATATAAAAACAAAAAATAATTTTAATAATTACAATTTTCAGAAACAATTCCTATAATTTCAATTAATGATCCAGAAAATTTGTCTGAAAGAATTACTTAAGTGAATAAACTAAAAAATAAAATTAACAAAATTATTCAAGATGACTGTTGGAATTTGAATGACATTTTGTTGTAACACAGTTATACAGATTCAAAAGTTGTTGAGCGTTTTTTTTTTTGGTTGGGTAAAATAAATGATTTATTCGTTTCTTTTTCAATGGATATTAATACAAAAACAAATATTAATTATTATTTTCCCTATATTTATTATAAAAATTTGAAGTTTCACAACTGTATGTATAGACATTCACAAAATCCTTTCATAAAAAAATGTTAACAATAATTAATTGCGCTGCACAATAATATCTCTAATTATTCAATTTATTTGTGTTTAATGTTCATATAGATATTATATTATTATAAAAAGTAATAATGCAATACGGTTTAAATAAGTGACAGTATTGAAATATGTAACAATATCTTATCTTACAATAACTCATCTTACTTATTTACAAAAGATAATACCTATATTGAAATAATTCACCTCTAAACAACGGTTAAACAAATAATTGGTATATATAACTTCTTCTTTCTTGTATGTGTATGTATAAATAAATAAGTAATTTTTAATTATATGTATTTATAAAATACAGTACAATATATTATAACTATCTATTACTTACAATTAAATATTTATATTTTATATTAACAGGTACCTACATATAATATAATATGTAATATACAAATTTATTGTTTTACAACTGTATATCTATGATAATATGATTTATATTAAGAGGTAATATACTAATTAACGTATACTAATAGTGATTCAAAATAATATTGTCAAAATTTATTTCAATAGAATTACTATTTAATGTCAACAGGGTTTATTGTTTTCATTTATTTTTTTGTCAATACTGATTCTGTATTCTACTTGTTATACTATTAGGTAAGTATAGATTAAATTTAAAAATAAACTACCTTCATATAATATTTAATATAAATAATAATATAAAAATTTGAAATTTTAACAACTACATATATATTTATGTATACCTATAGTGAAGGTAAGATGATTTCTATTAAGTTATTAATTAACATATTATTCTCTGCCTACAGCTATTAGGTATTAAACATAAAATACTGACATCTAGTCATTCTCAATGGCCTGTTTCTATTCTCCCGTAGGATGGTATCGATAGAAATATTTGTATTTTTTTTATACATTTTGTCTATTTTGATAACATAACAAATTTTCATTTGAGTCAATTTCGATCTATTCATAGCTATTTTAATTTTGGGAGTTCTTTTATTGTAATTCGGTAATAAACATTCATAAGGATGTGATACTTGGTGAGAAAACTTATATGAAGTAAAATATTCGGATCACTTTTAAATTATGAATGGAGTGAATAATCTTAAGATTTACAAAAATATTTGTTTTATTTTATTTTCTGTGGACAACTTTTATAACGCAAATCTTACTTCAATTTTTATGTGTAGCACCTTTTCTTAAAGGAAATCAGTGTTGGGAGGTACTTTGGTGACCTCCTCAAAGTACTTCCCCAGAAATTTTTAAATGTTTGAAATATATTAGTAAAATATTACGACTTTTTTTTCTGTGGAAAACTTTTCTACTAGCAATGTTGCTCCAACTTATAATGATAGCAATTTTTCAAAAAAGAATTTTCACTGGGAAGGTAAGGTATTTTAGAGAGGTGTTTAATAATACAATATAATATATATATTATTTTATAACTCTGTTTATTCCGTTGAACGGAGCAATTTTGAGTTATTTGGTCTCAATATTTTACAATTTGACTTGCCAAGTTACTGTTTTTTTTCTGTTCAAGATATTCTTGATGATCTTTCTACATTGCGTAATAAAAAATCTATTGGACCTGGCAGTTGGGCGTCGAAAATCAAAAAATGACCTATCTAAAGTATAATCTAGACAACTTGAGTTTTCAGAAAAGTTGCTAAACGTAAAAATTGGAGTACGTTTACTAGGAAAAAGCGTGTCCACAGACTAGAACAAAGAAAGAAAAAATGAAATAAACAGCATTATGAAACCAATAGTTCCCAAGCTACGCTCAGAATCTAAAAGCAAAAAAATTGTTTCGAGATCGCTGTATCGAATTTCCTAATATGTAGATTGGAAGTGATGCGTCATCCCATTAGGATACCATGGATATATTAAATTAAGAAACAAGGTACCCACTTAATTGAACAACGTCGACATCCAATGCTTTTGCATTGCGATTCCAATCGACCAATCAGAAAGCACAATTGGTTAGCAGGTGCCGTATTCATCTATATTCGAAATGTGGTGATATAAGAGAATGTTAAAGATAAGTTGAATGGACAATTCTCTCTCTCCAGCTTATTGGTTATTCAACTAATAAAGAAATAATCGAAATAATTTTAGAAGGACTAATACTATTATATAATAGAATAAAGTAAGAAAACGGAATGAAAAGTTGGGCCATTCAATACATGAGAGTTTGTTATATTAATAGAACTAATTATAAGAGAAAGCGTAGAAAGACCAAGACTGGAATATATTCAATAATTAATAAAGGGTGTGACTCATATTTACAAATAAAAAGAGGAAAGCAGAAAATAGAGAAGCGTGGAAGATGGCTGCAACGAATTATATGGATTGCAACCAAAGAAACTTTTTGAAAAACAATGAAATCAAATAATACAAATAATCAATTACCTAAAAATACTAGATTAATTTTTCGACTAGAATTATTATAGTTGAAGTTGTAAATCAAATCATTTTTTCCAATATAAACTGTAAATTGTGTACTCGTACACACACAAATAAAAACATACATCATTGTAAAATGGCTCCGCTCAGAATCTAAAATCATAAGTATGTGTAATAATTAAAAAGAGAGGTAAGATAATGGGGAAGTGGCGAACCCAGGATTTTAGTACTGTGGGTTTGCCTGACTTACGAGAGGCCATAAATCATAACTAATTCTTTAGTAAAATTTAAAACTTTCTTACAAACTTTGGTATTGTTAATTAATTCAAATTTAATTGTTTTTTTTATTTGTTGCATTCAAATTGATATTCACTTAACAAACCTACCTGGAATATTTAAATAATTTTGAGTATTTTAGATTTTGAGAAGAAATTATATTTGTATACATATAGTTGCAGTATATTTTATTTTATCTTAGTTTTCAATAACTGCTTTCATTTTCACAGTAAAAGACAGTTATAAATTCTAATCCAATACAAAAATAATTCATATATAAAATTATATTTTTACTATAATATATAAAAAAATAAAAGTAAATATAGTATTACAATAATTTTCTACGTTTTTTCATTAATGCAAATGTACTTATTACTTTATTAAAATTTATTGTTTGAGCTATGTTGCTTTCTATGCCTAATATTACCAAATTTGATAGCCGGTCTTCAGTCGTAGTTGAGTGAAGATCTGTCTTGAGAAGTTTAAGCCTGCCAAACATTTTTTGCCGGACACATTTTCTTCAAAAACATAATCATTATTATTAAAACCTGGTTGACAAGGCCCTATTTCAACAAGTGTTCTGATTATTTGAGGTGTTAATACAGTATTAATAAATAAATATGGATCTGATGGATAATTATGGCATCTATCAATTAATTTCGAGTATGAAACATAATCTTGGGCAAGTTCAATTTGTTTGTCTGTACCAAGAGTTGGTAAAGTAGGTGGATTATCTTCCTCTTCACTACAATTATATAATAATGATCGTTCTTGAGTGATGTTTGATTTTAAGAATGACAGTATACTTCGATTGCCTTTAACTGTTTTTTTTCTTTAACTAATCGCCTTGCTCCACCAGATAATAATACCACTAATAATACGATAAGAAAATCTTTTAATAGCAAAGGTATATATTAGGTATACAAATATATTATACTAGCTGAATTACCCGGCGTTGCCCGGAAACAAATTCGTGACAAATTAGATAACGCCATGTATTACCNTACATAATAACCTAATAAAATAGGAGTATTGGTGTACGCGCGATTCATGAGATTATTTTTATCGATAAACTTCTCGGTACAATTTTATTCTCGGAATTATTATTCTTATCTACACGACGACGAGGACGAATAAAAAGGATAGGTTGCTGGTAGCTGGAAACCCGCGGGCCGCCGTGCCGCACAATACGTATTGACAGAGAATAATTATAATCGTTAATTACTCCACTAAAACGCAACATTTTTGAAAATCCTTTCTTATTGCCCGGTGAAAATATGAGAAGAACCTCTATTCCAAATTTCAAGTCCGTACGTAGAGTAGTTTTTGAGATACAGC